ACAAAGACAATGAAAAAAACAAAAACTTGCAAGAAATTCAGGATGATGTTGATTTGAGTAATCCGAGTAATCATTCCAAACGAAAAGGTGCTCCAAGTAGTGATGAGCATTCACCTAAAAAACAGAAAGTGGAGGAGAATTTGATTCTGGATGATAGTGATCAAGGTGCTTTAAAACGAAAAGGTGCTCCAAGTAGTGATGAGCATTCACCTAAAAAACAGAAAGTGGAGGAGAGTTTAATTCCAGATGATACAGATTTGAAAAATCAAAGTGATCTAGGTCCTTTAAAACGAAAAGGTGCTCCCAGTAGTGAAGAACATGCAAATAAAAAACAGAAATTGGAGGAGACAATAATTTATTCTGATGCAGAGAAAAGGCTTGGAGATAGCAAAATGACAGAGAATCAAGACAACACAACATCTAAGTCAGAAGAAGTGGGAAAACAGACAACATCCAGTAGTCCTATAAAGGAAGGAACCAAAGATGTGTTCCTCATAAAATGTGACTTATACATAACACTATCACAGTATGTGCACATTGAAATGGTGTATGGGGAAGGCCAGAAAGACCAGATGAATCAGATATTACAGTACATAAAGAACCACATAGCATGGCCATAATGACTTTTTATTGGCTTGCCTATGCATTTAGTTGTACTTGCTTGAATTTAATACATACATACATGTATGGAAAGTGTAAGATCATAAAACACTAATATTACAAATAAATTAGCAAAAAAAGCACTTTTAAATATATTGTAAACTTCACAGTTATATTATTTAAAGCGAATGAATATTACTTGGCTGTAAGCATCAATTCATTATATGCATATTCACTATAAGCATGGTTTACTGTATAATAACAAAAAAAAATGGGTCATGTAATTTGCATGCAAGGATGAATGATGATCAAAAATGCCTGAAATTTGTAGTTTTGATAATTTTCAGTAATAAGCAGTTTCTAAACATGTTTTCATAATATATTGCTCTGAAATACTTTTGTAATACCTTTTATTACATTTTCAACAGTGAAATACTGTGATTTATTTATTGAATAAAAGTGATATTCTCTCACAGTGTGAAAGGATATCAAAATGATATTCTCTCACAGTGTGAAAGGATACCGAAATGATATTCTCTCACAGTGTGAAAGGATATCAAAGTAAATAAAAAATAATTTCTGGCCTGTAATAAGATAGAGATAGTAACTAAACCATCTTGATAGAGCTAAAACTGCCAATTTCTTCCCAATTATGTTGCTAAAATACATGTTACGATGTTTTCAATGCTATGATCTCAACTGCTCAACTATGATGTCACAGCTTATGACACTGTGTTAAGAAAAGACAGAGGCAAAGGGAAAATCAAAGAAAATGTAATAAACAGAAAATTTAATGTTTTGTAGTTGGATATGGAATTTATTTCACTCGTGAGACAGGAATTTTTTTTTATTTTCACTTGTGCTTCACACTCGTGAAAATATAAAAAAAAAAAATCCTGTCTCACTCGTGAAATAAATTCCATATCCAACTACAAAACATTGAATATCCTCTATGTATGTAAATTATGAAATTCTGCTGAAAATTTTAAAGGTTACAAAGTTCAAATCTGTGTCCACGCCCCTTTAAATTGTCTTCATTCTCAAAGACACACAACCCAGATTCTTTTATGTAGTGGTTTGGACTATATGGCTCATGAATATTGGCCCGGGTAGCTCAGATATCAGAGCACCTGATAAGTAATGCACAAGGGCACTTGCCTCCATTCCTGATAACAGAGTAAAATGTGGAATGACCACACATGGTCAAACTTACAAAATACAAAGAATTAAGGTGTTTTATACATGTGACATAAGAAAACACAAAGAAATAAGAATTACAATACTGAAATATTGACAAATACTCACAATTTAGAATATACAAGACCAGGCTTTTTGATATTAAAATGTTTACTATCAAGGTATATCAATACATTCTAGCAATCCCATAGTGAAGTAATTTGCCATCTTCACAATGTCAAGCTTTTGTGATATCAAACATCTTCACAATGTCAAGGCTTTGTTATATTGTTCCTCTTTACAAACCTTTGATAAAAGTTGCTATATAAAAGTTGGGCTTGTAGTTACAGATGACGTAATAAATAAATATAAACCAACTGATGAAAATTTCTCTTTCAGATCTGTCGTTATCAAGTGGCTCAAAGCCATAGCACATTTGTGATTGTAATGAGAAAGATCTTCAAAAAATTGATCTCCGATATTTTATTTGAGGTAACTAGTCGCAAATTCTACAGTATTTGCACTTTCCATTTTAAAGACAAATCATATTTCTTTAAAAAACTTACCTACTATAAAGACTGTTTTCCGATTGGTTCCCAGTCCTAGACTGGGAACAAAAGAAAAGTAGCTTTACAGCCCGACTTTTAAATAGCAACTTTTGTCAAGGGTTTATGAAGAGGAACTATATCACAAATCCTTGACATGTGAGGATGGCAATTTGCATGAAAACAAAATATATATTATAATTAATATAAGAAGTAACTTCCTTTGACCCAAAATTCAAAACAAGAGGCCCATGGGCCACAACGCTCACCTGAGTAACTTTGGCCTTGCTGTTTTTCACCTGATTTCCCCCCTTGTAGTACTTATTGTTGCCCCATCCTACCCCCAGGGGTCATGATTTGAACAATTTAGAATCTACACTACCCCTGAATGCTTCCACATAAGTTTCAGCTTTTCTGGCCCAGTGGTTCTTGAGAAGATTTTTTAAGATTTTTACTACATATTTCAATGTAAATCTTGGATTCCCTATTGTGGCCCTGCCTTACCCCCAGGGTCATGATTTGAACAATTTAGAATCTACACTACCCCAGGATGCTTCCACATAAGTTTCAGCCTTTCTGGCCCAGTGGTTCTTGAGAAGAAGATTTTTAAAGATTTTTTCTGCATATTTCAGTGTAAAACTTGGATTCCCTATTGTGGCCCCACCCTACCCCCAGGGGTCATGATTTGAACAATTTAGAATCTACACTACCCCAGGATGCTTCCACATAAGTTTCAGCTTTTCTGGCCCAGTCGATCTTTAGAAGATTTTTTAATGACCCCACCCAATTTTTGTCTTTTCTTATTATCTCCCCTTTGAAGGGGGATTGGCCTTTCATTTTAACAATTTAAACTCCCCTTCACCCAAGGATGCTTTGTACCAAATTTGGTTAAAATTGGCCCAGTGGTTCTTGAGAAGAAGTTGAAAATGTGAAAAGTTTACAGACGGACAGACAGCTAGACAGACGACGTACAACGGGTGATCAGAAAAGCCCACTTGAGCTTTCAGCTCAGATGAGCTAAAAGCCAACCCATGGTGAATATATTAACATCTATTGTATAATATATTTAATAATTATATAATAGGCCATACCAAAATCCTTCTCAAATTATTGCATGGAAATCACATGTAATTTTTGCAACAGAAGTTAGCCTTTTGACCCATAAAAGTAACCCCAAACTTGCTCTTTATCAGACTTACCCATGATACAATCTGAATACATGTACTGTAAAATCACTTATTTTCGTAGGGTCAAATTTTTGTGGTTTGAGGAAAAAATGCTGGTTCAAGGGTATTTGATTTCGTGGGGTATAGAACTAATACTCTTGTATAGAATTGAAACAGCTCATGGGGGACATGAATTCGATGATCTCTTCATACCAAGAAATCAACGAAAATTTAACCCCCTCGAAATTAAGTGATTTCACAGTATTGCAAATCAGATATTTCACATAGAGACCATGAATGGAAGAAGGGATATGGATACTCCCCCTTCCCTATTTTAATGTTGGGAAAATTGTTTTTAAAAAACATGATTTCTGTGACCTTTCTGGCTCCAGAACTGTACACTTGCTTTCTTTTGTAAATTTACTATTCCAATATACATGTAAATGCCATCAATGTCTTTCCACATTCCTTCATGATAACAGAATCCAAATATGTAATAATCATCAAGTTATTCATGGTGGTAAACTTTTGTGATTTTTCATGAAAATTATAAGCAAAGGTATTAGTTTACACAAAGAAAAGTTGGATAATGTATTGCTTGGCAATGGTAATTCCAAGACACTAAGCTGCTTAATAGAAAACTAAAACATCAGGAAATGTGTAAAACTCAAAAACATTTAATAACAACACAATGCATGAACAGTATCGATGAGCACTGAGGTAAAATTGTATAAATTTAAATAAGATGTAATAAAAAGAAAATGAGGTACCTCTATATTCATTTTCAATTAAAAGCATACATATCTTGGCACTGAATATTTAAAATGCAAATGAAATAGTTTGTATTCTAAAGTCAGCTTGGAATATTTTCAGATGACAGTCTTTTTGCTTCAGCATTGAGAAATTTTAGAACACACTCCAGGAATTGTGCTGGATTGTCTGAATGCACCCAATGGCCTGCTTGTGGGATATGTTCTATTACAGCATTAGGGAAGAGGTTCATTATATCAGGTTTTGTGCTTGGACTGAAAAAGAGAATACATGTACAACTATATCATAAGGAATGCTTGTAAAAGTACAGGCATACTGTTAATTTCAGTTTTTCTTGTGAACTCAAGAAAAATTCTCATGAAATACAGTTGAACTTCAGTATCTCAAACACCAATATCTCAAACACCAGGAAACGTAAAAATGATTTTAAGTCCCATTTATGACTTTAGACTTGCTATCTTCAATCCTCAGATATCTCGAAGTATTTTCGAGTTTAAGATAAAATGAAAGTAGACTGCATAACTTAAAGTTAATAATTAGGATTCATTTGGAATAGTCTTGCTCTGAGTGTGTACATGTATATCAAATTTAACAGAAACATGTACATATTACTATTTATATCTTTAGAACAGTGATCAGAGCTTAACTACTATTCTGACATTTCATAAAATAAAATAGTATACCTGATGTATTGAGATCTCTCTCCCCCAACAAACAAAGTGGGTCCTTCATACTTAGCGTCAAACTTTGGAAAACTGGCCAGTTCCTGGTAGTTATTTATAATGGCATCAAGGTTCACCCTCCATTTCAGCCGACCATTCACCTGGGTCAGATTAGCAGCCAAAAACTGACGGACACCCAAGTGCTGAAAAGAAAATTCAAAATTACAGAGTGTGAATTGGGGACTGGGAGTCACTCTCACACAAGGGAGCACCTGTATACACTGTATTAGTACCTCTTCCACCTCCTTCAGAGTATCTACCACAATGGCCCTGGCCTTGGTCAGAGACATCCCTTCTAGCTCCGGTAGTCTGGTGCTGATCTTCAACATACACTCTAAGTAGCTTGGAAAGTATTTAGCACCAGGACTAGGGGCAGGAGAAACATCTACCACAATTAGACTAGATACTCGCTCAGGCTGAAAAAGAAAACTTGGTAATAAAATCTTTACTTCATTTTAAATGTTTTGTATTTAAAATACCGGTAGTTTTTTCTAGACAATATTGATTTTGAAGTTTTGATTCTTGGTAAAACCCATGAAAATTAATTAGGGATGTCAATTTTGTCAATAATTCATATTCGAATATTCAATGAAAGTACAGTGTATTTGAATATATTCGAATATTCAATAAAATAAATAAAATCTGGTTTAATTTAAATGTGTACCATCATACTCTCATGACAGGTTTTGTGTCGGTATTTGGAGTAAAACTGGATTATAGGTGTGTAAAAAGGAATTCTACATTAATTTTGATATTTGTCAATGTTTGAAATAAATAATTGATTTAAGTGTATACAACCGAATTTTAATTTTAACAAATGATATCTATACAAGCTCAAACTGACGAACCAGTCATCTAACAAGGGGTAGATTGTCGCTTACTCGTCATATTTAAATACATGTATGTGTCATTAATTAAAATTACCTGTCTAATTAGAGATATTATCTCTTGTAACAATGTTTTGAAAATTAAACAAACACTTCGCATATATTATTTTCTTAGGTCATTAACTTCTCGATAATGATTTTAAAATTTAGAAATATATGCAACCCGAGATAATCAAGTAATTGAGCCCTTTACAATATTACAGGCTGATTCTATCAAACATGTAATTCAAAGATCAATAAAATTTATTTTCATTTATTTATTGTGTACTCTTCATGTCTCCTGGACATTCTAAGACGGGTTTCATTTCGTTGTCCTCGATTCTAGATTTGATCATATTAAGCTATTGAGATAACTTTTTTGTTTCATACCTTAATAATTCTTGTTTATATCTTTTATACCTTACTCGAATCAAAGTAATTTTACATAGAAGATCTAAAAGGTAAGAAAATATGAAAGAAATCAGGCCATCGAAATTGATCGCTAGTTAAAAAAAAACAGGAAAATTCCAGCACTGTTTTAATTAAAATTTATTATGTCTTTTTTTGTGAAATCTGAAAAACACTGAATATTCGAATCTTAAATTCATATTCGAATATAAACGCATCGAATGAATATTCGAATGTTCGAATATTTGTCGACATCCCTAAAATTAATATAACAAAGTAACCCAGATCACATGGAAGCTATCATTGGTACTACACATACCATTAAGAAATTTTAGATGGATGTTATATCACCATAGGCATATCTTTGATAGATACATAAATCTGCAATGAAAGACTTGCGAACAAAGTCGATTCATCTGGATGAAATATTTGAAAACTAATGCAGAAACCATCTTGTTATAAAGACTTACATGAAGCAAGGCTGTTGTCATGAATGCTTTTCCTCCCATGCTGTGGCCCATAAGGCAGGCTTTCTCTATCTGTAAGTCATCCATCACTTTCAAAACATCCAATGACATTACCTCATAAGACATGTTTTCACTGTGTGGACTATCACCATGGTTACGAGCATCTAACCTAATGATCTATAATCAAGATAAATAATGTTAATCAAGTATATGATACATGTACATGTACTTACTTTTATATGTATATAACATAGGTAACAAAATAAAAAGTTCACCTGGAAAAATTTTATTTTTAAGGAAGGAAAAGTTACATGTAGCATCCATAGAAGCAACATCCCTACAAGGTTGGTCTGGATAGGACTTATCGGTATATTTACTTTGGAATAGACCTGCTCCAAAGTCTTTAATTGTTCACTTATCCAAAAAGTTTTGCTCATATACAGAATCCAATGCAGGTCTGATAATGTGCATCCTTGGATGCAAAACATCCTTGCAAGTTTGGTCCAGGAAAGGGATCATAAGAAAGATAAGGCTCAATCTGATTAAAATCAGATCCATGATCTGCTCCTCCTTTTTTTATTGTCACTACATTTATTGCATAGTATGTAGTAAATGGAGCCAAACAAACACCTGAGTTTAATCAGATTGGATAAGGCTGTACTTGGGGATAGACCTGCTCCAAACCTCTTCATGCAATCATTAGATGCAGCTCTAAAGCATGTTTGGTAGTGCACAACCCTAGATACATTATCCATGTAAGATTTGTCAGGATATGGCTTAAGAATTACAGTTACTTGATAATGCTCTATTCCAACAGCTTTAATCTTGTCACTCATCCTGAAAATATAGGTCAGATGCAGCATTTGAAGCATGTCTGGTAGTGTGCATCCCTAGATGCATCATTCAAGCAAGTTTGGTCATGATGGGGCTTATGGTTACTTGAAAATGCATCTTCTTAGAAAACTATAACCTGGTCACTCATATGAAAAAATGTAGGTTATATATGTAGCATTTAAAGCATGCATGGTAGTGTGCATCCCAAAATGTACCATCTTTGCCATTTTAGTGAAGATCGGGCTCATAGTTACTTGATAATGAATTCATTCCAAAAACCTTTTATCTGGTCACTCATCTAAAAAAAAATAGGTCATATGCAACATCAAAATCAAATAAGGTCAGGGTATGGTTCATAAGTTATTTAGCAATACACTTTCTCCAAAGGATTCTGACAAGCAGAAAATGCAGGTTAGATGCAGTATCCAAATAGGTGCTGTGTGCATCCTAAGATGCATCATCCATGCAATTTTGGTCATTATGGTAACTTGGGATAGGACCTTCTCCAAAAGCTTTAACCTGTTCAATCATCTAAAAAATTACCTTGTTTGTTTGTTTAACGTTCCTTCGAGAAGTTTTCACTCATATTGCCAGTGGAGGGCTGCAAATTAAGACCTGTACTCCACACCTAAGGCCTTTGAGCAGTGAGGGATCTTTTTTGTGCCAGCACCTACAATCAAAGGGACCTCAGTTTATACGGTCTCATCTGAAAGACCTGTCTCTGTGTCATACTGTGGATTCAAACCCGCAACATAAGGATCAACTCCTTACTCTAAACCAAATGCTCTAACCACTGCACCACATGGGTGACTCTAAGAAATGTAAATCATGTGCAGGATCTGAAGCAAGTCTGGTATTGTGCATCCAGATACATCATCAATGCATACTTAGTTCAGGGTAGGTTTACGGTACCTTATAAATGTACCTTAATTAAACTGTTTAATCATCCAGAAAATGCAGGTCTCAAGCAGCATCCAAAACATTTTTGATATCCCTAGATGCATCATCCATGCATGTTTGGTCAGAATAGGGCTATTAATTACCAGTACTTGGGAATTGACATGCTCCTAAAATTTAGTCTGGATATGGACACAGGGGATATACCCGGTAGCATTAACTCGTACTGACTTTGTCTGTAAATTGAACTTTGGCTTAAATGTATATTTTTTATTGGACCCTTTGATATCTAAAATTTCCTTAGTCAGCTGATCTGAATGAAACTTGTGATATTCTGGAAAAGACTTACAAGTGAATATATAATAATTTCTAACTTCCATGTGGATTAATTACCTTTCTACCTGTTTTTGCTAAAACTTTTGATAAGGAAGCCCAGTTAGAGGATGATCCCATTAAGCCATGCATGATAAACAGAGGAGGACCACTGACATTGCCTTGAGGTTGGTGCTGATAGTCATAGGCAAGATTTACAGCAGAATAATCAGAAGATCTGAAAAAATGAAGAGAAATAGTGAGTTCTTGTCCCTGAAATTGTGCATTCATTTTGCATTACATTCACATTGTATTACCATGAAAGTTTAAAAGATGTTAGAATGGGCCCAGATATCAATGCCCTTTTAATCAAATGATCTGAATTGAACAATACACATAGATATGATATGCAAGAAGTAAAGTTCGACTTTGGGCTTCATCTGACAAAACCTCCAAGATTGCCTGCCCTTCACACATAAATCAGCTTACTTAACCTTACAACAATCCTAGAATATGGCCATTGGGAGGGGGGGATCATCTGGAACCCATACATACAATCTGCTATAGACAGACTTGAGTGTATACACAAGAAGGGGGCAAGGTTCATCACAGGAAATTATAGGTTGGAAGACCCGGAATGTGTCTCAAAGATGATAAAGGACCTGGACTTGGTATCCATGCAAGAATGTCGTAAAGATAGGGTAGTTGAGGGCCTGCATGGTTCCAGCTATCCTTTTGAACTTTACGCACTGTGTTAAAATTGCAGCATACTGTATGTGTATATAAATTGGCGGATTCAAAATTTAGCTCATTCACTGGGTATGGAGTTGTTGGCAAAATCATAAATTGGCGCTATACATGTCCATGCCGTATATTGTATTTATAATTGATTTCTTGGCGGTATTCAATATGAATTAACACATCGTTGTCTGTGCGAAAGCCACTAAAATATGAAGCCCGTTTTTTTTTAAGTACACATACAGCACTTGCTATGAAGTACAAATTAAGACTTTGAAAGTTCAAATACCTTGGAGAGACTAAGCTATAGGACAATGTTCAGCTGCTGCTTCAAAGGCTGCAGGTACCAAATATTCATGACTACTAGAATATATTGACTCTTGGAACCCCTTACCATGCATGCAGGTTTACTTGTTTAACTAAGCTACAATTTCACACAGGTACTTAGGTCTTGGTTTATTAATATGTATGTACCTTACTGATATGTGAAAAAAGTACATATCAATAGGGTACATATTAATAAACCAAGAACCAAGTACCTGTGGAATTTGACACATAAATGAGTTCAAAATTACCGTCGATTCTGTAAATTACGGGTCAGCTTTAAAAACAAACATTTTCTGCACGTGTTTGTTTGTCCCAACAAACGTTGGGCGATAATTCCGGACATTGTGGTTCTGAAGGGTGGTAAATATACACCCTTCTCTGATGTTAGATTCCTCCTTACGCAATACCGGAAAACGTTTTACTGACCGAGACCCATATCATATCATGCGCAATCCAAACATCACGCCTTATATCCGGTTGAACATTTTGTTGGAAACTTCCGAGTTGAGAGCTTTGGGCTAATAAAGCTCAGTAATTATGGCCAGAGAATATGATCACTTATTTAAACTACTCATAATAGGAGACAGCGGTAAGAAGTTGTAGCAGTAATTTCTTTTTTTGATTGATTTCCAATATTGGGCAATATAATCAGCTCAATCGATGTAAACAAACTTCATACTTGACTCTCTTAATGTCAATTTTATTTAAAACATTGAAAAAAATCTTAAATTTAACATCGGGGTACGTCATTTAACTCGTTAAAAACTTGTTATGTTTAAAGAAACTACATTGGTATTTCTCTTCAATTCGAGTTTCCTCTGACGTTCTAAATCGATGCAGAAAATGTTACCTCTTTGTCAGGGACCTACTTACTATAGTTTATTATACCTCTGTTAAGAATACTCAAATTTGGTTGGCTTGTTAGAAGGCTTTTAAACTCAATAATGACTTCCAAAAGTATCTTTTACAGCAAAAATGACCTAGGAATCATTGCACATGGGGTATAATGACGCGGTCATTATATATAATGACTGCTAAAAGTGACCTGTTAATCTAATTGCAGTCAAATTAAAAATTTATACATACAGTAATGATTGTTCATTACAAAAAAATGCTGTTATAAAAATATGTATAGTCTTTTTATGATACGGAATACAATTGGCCTTTAGATGCATCATAAAATTTATCATTTTCATTGAAACTTTCGTTACAATGTCAAATTCAACGAATGCAGACTCAGCTCTTTTGTACAGTAAAAGTCTGCACCAGATTGTCATTGTACTCGGGAATGGTATTTGTGAATTTATAAAAATGCATGTTACTGACAATCACAGAGTGTTTTAATAAATCGGCGGTGTAAAAACTTACAAGACTTGCAGGAGAAAAGTAAACAACTTCACTAGCAAATCCTGATCCTGATGAAAAACTGATAATAACACTTCATAGGTCTAATACACAATTGATTATTTTAGTAATTAAGCCTACAAGAATTGTCATAACTTATATCTGTTTAATAAAACAATTGATTACTCCTTATGAGATCAATATGGTAAAATAAGGACCCTCGACCTGGCCCATTCGCTGAACTGACCTGACCTCGCATCGTGGGCCAGGTCTCGGGTCCTTATTTTACCATGTTGACCTCATAAGGGGTAATTAATTGTATAATAAATGTCCCTGGTATTGTTATCAAATTACATTCTTTAATAACAGAGGTCTAAGCATATTGTCATTGTTATTATGTTGACGGTGCTACCGATAGGGCGAGTGCAGATACCTATATCCAGTTTTATTTATATCAGGCTCTTCAAACCACACGTGACATGTAGTATGTTTAGATTCTGACATCACATGACGTCACTTGTAAGTTGCATTACCAAAACGAAGTCTAAACAGTGTTAATTTTGATAAAGAAGGTTTAATTTACTATTTATCTGATATATATCCATCAAATCAAGTTGAGTTTATTTTTTTCTTGGAACCTCTTGTTGCAGCGAGAATGTTGTTTACGGTGAAATGCAATTCGCAAAGCATTATGGGACCACAGGTTACTGTGGAAAAAAATTCATTTGGATCAATGTGCACAGTCCGAATTTTCTCTTCGCCCAGGCGTTGCATTAAGAGCTTGCAGTGACGAGCGGCACTTTGCGCCGCTCGCTGCACTCGATATAATACGCTAAAATCTCTCAGACATTCATTTTATTGTGGCGAGAAATTTGTTTTTGAAGTAAACATCACCTTGAAATGCAGTACCATTATCTTGTCTAGTTAGAATAATCTAACTGTGTCTTTGGTCAGGCCCTCACCAAAGTTAGAATGCCTCCACATATCCGCAATATAGCAGAAAATTGCAGAATAGCTCCGAAAAGATTTTGGGAAAATTAAATGAAGTTGCATTGAAAATAACCATCAAATTATTTAATAATAACAAACCTTTTTGAGATTGTTTTTACCTTTCACCCAGAAAATTAATTCATATTATAAAGGAAAAGCTCAACATTTTTTCACAATGTGTTTTCCTCGTTTCAAATCAGAGCTCTCTGAATTGTTCATAGTATGTGCACTGAGTTAGAGTTATCACCTGTGTTTGTTTTGCTATATTGGCAATACACACTGTCACAGAATGAATTCTATCATTAAACTGGGTCCATAGGAAATTATCATATAATAGACATGTCATTATCATAAAATATTTTATGGACAATCAAATCATAATAGTATGTTTTAAACTGTAGACAGAATAAGCTTTCTATCTTGATGTTGGCACCTATAATGAGGTCATCTAAAATATTGTATTATTGCAAGAATACTGATTTGGTGCCATTGCTGTCTTTATGGTATTAATTAACCATGAAGATGGAACAGTAAAACAATTGAATGCACTATCATCCACCAAGTGAAAGCGAGCAAGACTCTTATTTATGTTCATGCCTTAAGGAGCTATATTAAAGAGAACATGGATCTGTTACATGCCAAAGAGTGTAAATTTATATATATTTAAAAATAGACAGAGATAGTGTTCCTTGTGTTTACAAGTCAAGAAGTTCATAATTTCAGATCTTTAAATAATCAGTTCATCTAATCAGAAATTCCATTTTTGATACACAAAGACAACTGTGGTTTAGATGAAAATTGATTGTAATTAATTTATTACCACCTTCAGTTAGAAAATGGGGTTACTCAAGAGGATCATGATTAAGCTTTGCATGCAAATACATGTACCATAATTTTCAGGGTATATGTCTAGGTTTTAAATCGATCGAAAGGCTCATTTTAGCCTCGATTTAAAAAAAAAACTCCTTAGATAGGGCAAATGCAGAAGACTGGGTGAAACCATATTTACAGATTTTCTAGAATTTTTTATTACATTTTTTCTAAGTAATATACAATGTATCAGAACACACAAACTTAAAGGTATTCCCTTGAAGACATCTGTATTGAGAAAGTATATTGCATCTGTATGTGTTTAACATTTAATAATGTTTTATTTCTAGCAATAATTCATTAGCTGACACTTCTTTGAATTTATGCTATGATATATTTTCTCTAACTTGTCTATTCCAAAGCTGTCTTAGTTTGTCTCTGTCGTTAAACAATCACAGTAACCAGCAGCCTTTGAGTTACTGGACAAATACCTAAGACCACTGAGCCATGTGCTCCACCATTGGTGTGATTTACCTGTCATTTACAAAATGTTACCTAGGTTTCCCTATATTGTGGTCCATGCTTCACATCCAAAGGTTTTTGTTTTGTCTATATATTGAAAGTACATTATATTTTTGAAAAAATCTCATCAATCTTTTTTTTTTTTTTTACAGGTGTTGGAAAAAGCAGTCTCCTGTTGAGGTTTTCAGACAATACATTCTCAGGTATATACATAAAAATTCATATTCAATAATGATAGGAAAAAATCTTACCAGAGAAGTACTTTGCACTAATTCTCATTCACCTTTCCTTGATATGTTTTCTGCACAAAACCAATAGACGTACAAGTATTAAAAAGCTGAATTCGAGTGGCTTAAAATCATTCTACAGAGTTCAGTGTTGCAAGGTCCCAGAATAATAATACTAAGCATATAAATAAATAAAAATTGTTGAATGAAAAAATGTATATCCATAAGCATAGTAAGTATAAATAAATGCAATAACTTCTTCTTTTGGGGGGAGAAGGAGGAATTTGCAGTCAGAGCACAGATACACTGAATTCAGTTTTAAGATTTTTAATAGAAGAATAAATTATTCAAACTCTATTATAGGAAGAGTGTATTAATTTGGATCATATGACCTTAAAGCTTCCTTAAGGAAGATAATGTTTTGCAATTTTTTTTGTGGATGGTAAAATGAATAAAGATTGTTTAGGTGAGCTTAAAATATATTTTGTGAGTTACAAAATCTTAATGTATATTTTCTGTTGCTACAATTGTAGGTACATACATCACAACTATAGGAGTAGATTTTAAGATTCGTACTGTTGACGTCAATGGTGAAAAAGTTAAACTTCAAATCTGGGACACAGCTGGTCAGGAGAGGTTCAGAACAATAACGTCTACGTAAGTCATTAAAAACAAATATGTCTATGTTAGTCATAAAAAAAATGCATCTACGAAATTCATAAAAAACAAATGAATTTACATTAGTCATTAGAATCTATTATGTCTATGCAAGTCATTAGAAATGATTACATCTACATAAGTTATTATAAACGATTACTTCTATGTAAGATATGAATGATTATGTCTACATAAATCATTAGAATCAATTATGTCTACCTAAGTATTAAGCCTACATAAATCCTTAGAATCAATTATGCCTATGCAAGTCTTTAAAAACAAATACAACTCGATAAGTCATTAGAAAAAGTTATCTTGTAAGTCACTAGAAGCAATTACGTCTATGTAAGTCACTAGAAATGATCATGTCTGCAGAAGTCATTAGAAATGATTGTGTCTTGTGATATGTATAATATGTGTACCAGCTGTACACAAAGTTTTACCCCATTCACAGGATCAAGTGGGAGAAAAAAATTAACAGGAGATGAAAATTTGTACTGTATTCTAAATTTTTTACCAGAAGCCGCCATTTTTTCTTAAAATATTTATGTTACATTTGTATTTTCCTTTATAAAGTGTGTTAAAAGCATCAGCATTTAAAATACCATAAGATGGGGAGGTTCAAAAGGTTGAAGTAATGATTTCATTTTGACATCACAAAGGTTGAATGCTGTAAAAGTGCAACGTTGTAAATGAAAATCAAAATTTACTCTCACATTGAACAGCAACAGCTGCTCTCTCAGTTTAGCTATACCAAAGCAGTGTGTATCTTTCAAACAGATATAATGTATTCAAAGAAGTGATATTTAATCAATCTACAATTTACCTTGAAATGAATAAATGTAAATATAAGCATTGAATTATAAATTTTGGACGTTCATAAATTGATGGCTATGCTGACAAACTCAATAATGCATGTTAGCACATCATAAAAATTTGTCTGCACAACCATCTGTGTTATGACACAATGAACGTCCAAAATTTTTAAGTCAGTGCTAATTCTCACTCTCATGACACCATAAATTGTGTAAAATTACATTCATCTTTTAATCTGTATCTTTTAAAATTGTAAAATTACATTCATGCAAGTCATTAGAAATGAATGCATCTACATCTAGTCATTAGAAGATATAATTTTGTTGAATTCAAAAGGAACTAACAAAAGATGCAAAATGGTTTGTATTCCACAATGGGTTTTTATATAAGAAATGAATAATGATCATTTTGAATTTATGTTGTCAATAATAAAGAAATTACATGACCATGGTATTTGTTCTAATGTACAACAATGAGTACATAATGAGTGTAGTGATCTATAAGGTATTGCCTTCTACATATTCAAAAAAAAATTTATTGATTCATATTATATATTAAACATTTGATATATTAAAAATTCATTTATGAAAATTTAAACCAATGCACTACGGATGACATACGTTCACTTTGTTAAGTGAAAGCAGATATATTTTCAACAAATGTTTTATTTTAAAATGAAATTCATTCCTTTCGTAACTGTTAATGAGTCTAAGGCTATGATTAAAAGTTATTGATTTTAAAATGCCTTTAGGAATATGTTTAAGATTTGCCTTTACCAGAACAAGGGAATGACAGGTATTGATTAAGATTCAGTCTTAATTTCTCTCATCTCTAGAATCTTGATAAGTGAGCTCTCTCTGTTAATGAATCATCTTAATTACTTCTCTAGTTACTACAGAGGAACACATGGTGTGATTGTCGTGTATGATGTCACGAGCGGGGAATCGTTCGCCAATGTAAAGAGATGGCTTCATGAGATTGATCAGAATTGTGATGTCGTTAATAGGATTTTAGGTAAACGGAAGGTCATGTTATGCAAAATCACATCAGGTGCACACTTGGAAAGCTTTTAATTTAAGTGAAAATCTTGAAATTTTACTGTGTCCTTTTTACTTGGTTCATATTTTACTATCTAAAGACAAAGTTTTTCTTTCTTGTAATCACCCATTTTCACAAGCATGTAATTATATATTTGCTATTTCCAAAGGGGAAATACTCTGTCAAGAAAAAGTAAAAACAGGAATCACCACTTCTTACGTTTATGTTGTATTACATTTTATTGGATACTTATATATCTCATGATATTTTCAGTGGGTAATAAAGATGACGACTCTGATAGGAAAGTTGTACTCACTCAAGATGCCCAGAGGTTTGCGGATCAGATGGGAATCCAGCTTTTTGAAACCAGTGCCAAAGAAAACAAGAATGTAGAAGAAGTAAGTTTCTGTAAATTTCTCAAATTTAGAAGGAAGTCTTTCAACTTTCCTACTGACTTGCTGCTTTAATTATTTGCAAGATATAGTTAGTCAATTTTGCATTTCATAAAAACCTCATCTCTCTTGCAGATGTTTTTAGCCATCACAAAACTAGTTTTAGCCACAAAGAAAGAACAAATGAAGAAAGCAGCAGAACAGCCTGCTGAGTCAATAAAACTGAACAAGAAGTCGACGGGCGGGGGAGGGGGCAAAAAAGGCTGCTGTAAAGTATGAATGCTCATAGACATAGTGTGTAAACAAATTCTTTTATCACTTATGAAATACACTGATGGTGCAAGATGAAACAGCAATACAAATTTGGGACTCATAATATTCAGTGGTAGAATCAGTAGATTTCCATGTTGTTCTGGTGAACTCTGTCGGCGTATGTTGTCCTTGCTGTGGGAATAAAATTAAGAGACTGGCTTTTTTAACCTTCTGAGAAATTTTATTACCATTAAGACATAATTTTTTTTATTGAGGTATACAACAATTTTTTTTGTATTGTTGATTACTGTTGATTTACTATTGTTTGTTACTCTCTGATTTTCCCTAAAAAATAATCAATTGTGTTGTTATTTATTTCACTTATTATGTACCTCATGCAGCATGTTGTAAGAATGTAAATCATATACACAGTCATTAAATAACTTTTGAAATGATTGTATACTTGTAGATAGAACAACATGCATTCCCAATTTTGTAGAAGTTTTTTTTTTTAATTGTAATGGGGTTTTTTTTCTGTTGCCTCTCAGTGATCCTATGTGCTACAATCCATGTAACTTTTGATAATTTTTATTTGTTGTGTTTATCACAGGGTTTAAAAGGTCTTTTCATGAGTAATTAACATATACTGGTCCATGAATTGTATTTATATTAATAGAACGAGACCCAATTTATCTTTCATTGATCATGTTGATACAACTACAAATTTATTGTCGAAGTCAACTTCAGCAGATAATTTTTTTTTCAAACAGAAAAATAATAATTTTGTTCATTTGATGAAGAAGTTCAGAAATTCTCATTTGTGGTTCCAAAACTTGAATCATTATTTATAATCTATATACACCATACTTGTCTTGAATATGTGTTATGAAGCCAGTCTTCTGCAGATGATCATGATGTGACATCAGTTTCAGAACTGAGTTAAAAACGAAGAATAGTTATCCTATTTTCATTGTCAAAGGTATAATTTAAGCATTCTGAACACGATAAAGTGTGAGAAATTTTCATTTGATCTTTGTATATGTTATATTGCTTTCATCCAAAAAACTCCCAAAAAATTCTGCATTTTAAAGGAAACAGGCCTAATTTTTTAAAAGTACTTTTTAATGTTATTAAAAAAATGTTTCATTTTCTTTTTTCTTTTTTTTTTAATCTTTTCAATTCATTTGCAAGAAAGAAAAAAAAAATGTTTGGCAGATTAGTTTGAGGCTTAGAACTTCCCTTGAAATACATATACATGTATGTACAAATAAGAAGGAAAAATTAAATTGTGTGAAACAAAAAGGTGGCAGATGTGTTTATTTGTTTTGCCTAGCAGTATTTGCTCGTACATAACATATTTTTGTACAAAAAATAAAGTTATGATGTAAAAATACTAAGTTATGATGCTTTGCTCTAATTTTGCATCTAACACAAGAACTATAGTTTTGTGCAAATGCTTTCTTATGTGTGTGTAGTTTGATAGCATCTCATAATGCCAAACATAATGTGCAATCATGTGTCTTAACAATTCTGAAATGTTTCTTGTGCACACTAAGCTGCCAGTGTCGTGTCAATAGTAATATTAAATGCCAATACAAAGTATTTTCATATTAATGGCGCTGATGCTTACAGTTTTTTCTGTGACATTTTGACTTTATTTAATTTCATGTAAGAATGATTATGCTGTCTATGATTTTTAAAAGAGGATGGCAAAAAGAAATCTTAAGTTGGAAGGTACGTATGTGAAATTCAGAATTGTTACAATTCATTTTTAAACTTGAAGAAAATTCTTGAGATTTCCTTATTAATGATCATTTTATGCCAGATTTCTTTTGCTGTAATGACAGTACATATATTGTCACAAATTACATTGCTCATAAAAACTCATCATTTTACTTTAAAAGAGGATTACTCCAGAAGACCCAAAGTGGTCAGTAATGGTTTGTGATGAATTTTTCTTAAATATTTTCTTTGTTTTGTGTGATATTTTGCAAGCTGATTTAGTGGAAGTCAGACAGACTGACAAATAAGTATGTAGCAAGTTTATAGCATGGCAATATTGGTGTGTAGAGAGTAACGTATTTTGCATGTAAAAATCAGTTCATAAAGTAAATACTAGTAATTCTGCAACAGTTATAGTTATTAGTATTTATTGATATAGCAATAAATATCTCTAACATGTGTCATGTATACATATATGTTCTAAAGAATCCTTAATAACTTTTGTGATATGATTTATTAAAACATGTATGAAGAATGGTTGATATATTTTAAAATGTATATAGTATTTATATATAATTTGACTGTAGTTTCCAGTTGGATTGATGACAATGTTTCAAAAAAATGTAACTGGGTGAAAAACTTGAGACCTGCTGAAAGGAACAAACTTAAATCAATATTGATCACAGTTAAGCATTTGGATCACAAATTGTCATTGAAATCTAGTCATATAAGTTGTCCATTCCTATAACTAGTTACAAAATGGGTAGAATCAAATGTGTCAAGACAGTGATGAATCTGAAGATTCCTGTTCAAAATCCATTTGGATAAGTAGATGCATTGTGATTTGAATAACTCCTATAGCTAAAGGAAGCAATTTGTAAATGTTACTTGGCATTGTCAACTATTTATGTTACATTTGGTGACTAGAGAACTTGGATCTCCCTCAGAATTTGGTTTGAGTTTGACTTGTAACAAATGTTTTTCTGACGTTTGTCTCATCAATTAGCGTTGTGCTACCTCGTCTGGGCACAGTCACGTGACTTCCTTCGCTATGTGACCGATGTGTTTCGGTTCCACCAGTTTTGAACGCTTCTAGCATGCTTTTCAGAAACCTAGACATATGCTCGTATTCCGGGTTACGTTGCAATGTCGCTAGGTTAACATTTGGTCTTGCACACAGCTGCAGACACTTAGTCCACAGAGCAAAAAGCTTATAGGAATCGGAAATTTGGAGACACCGCAGTAACTGATCATCTTTGACAGATTTTTCCGTATTTAGGGAGTGCAAAAGTATTTCCTCACATCTTTGTTTCAGATTCCAGATTTGGTATTCTTCTGCGATTGGAAGAATTTGGAAGGCAGTTTGATCTGGAAATAAATGTAACCACAATCAATTGGCTCTTTTATATATATGCATTAATGCTTTTCCACGAATGATTCACTGCCTTACATCAGTGTTTTAGGGAATAAATATATAAAGTACAATCATTGATTCAATGCATTGAGATATATATTGTTATTTCGTTCGCACTTCGGCATAGGCTTGCAGCTGGGTTAACCAAATCCGATACTGATCTCTATCATGCACTTCGACATGGGGCCTTTTTTTTTTTTCTCTATCATCGTACAAAGATGTATAGTTAAGAAGTTTTTCTGTTTCAAAACTTACGGAGGAGTGACGAAGTCTTTATAAGCAGTGATCAACAAAATCATCTGATTCGAGACAAAAAAAATGTTGTAAAAGAATTAGGCCAAATAAAAAAATATGTGTGGTTCCGGTTACCCGACCTTCCCTATTTTATACCCCCGACCCTAAACTTTTTTTTGGCAATTTTCATATTTTTTCCGGAATTTTCCCCAATTTCCATCAATGGCTTCGGTATTTTAGTTTCAGCAATGACGGCCTCCTTGCAAAACATAGTGCAAGTGTTTAATAGTATTAAGTCCAAAGCAAGCTAGCATGTAGGTGTCCCCTACCAATATTGACTAGTATATTATCACATCACATCTAAATGCCATCTGCAAAGCAGTCATAGGTATTATTTAGAAAAATTAAGAAAATTATTTTGTTAAAAAAAAAAAAAAAATTCCCTACCTACCTACCCTAATTTTTATGGAAGTGTAACCGGAACCACACATATTTTTTTGTTTGGCCTTAGTAACTGTAAGACTTCATATATAATTCCTTAGAAGCTGATGAATTGGAGTTATAGAAAGTCTTTATAAAGCAGTGATCAACGAAATCATATGATTCGAGACAAAAAAAATGTTGTAAAAGAATTAGCAACTGTAAGACTTCATATATAATTCCTTAGAAGCTGATGAATTGGAGTTAATAGAAAGGGGATTTTTTTTTAATGATGGAACCATTTTAATATAAATTCACAATAAATCTGATCACCTCAACAATTTTATTCAATTAATTTACCTGTCACTTTGCGTTGGTAGGCAGGATGTAGGATGTACAGCAGTTCATGGACTGTATCATATGACTTCCCCTGTAGAGGGAATTCCCTCTGATCCTTTTGTTCTGGTGAGGCCAGCATTCTGGCCAACACTGGGGAGGACATACACAACAGACTTCTGGATGTGTGGAGACGTTTTCCCTCGACAACCAACACAACATCCGTAAATCCATCCTCTTGGACGAAAGGAACCGGGTTCTTCTCGTCCCCTGTTACGCGGGGTTTTTCGTAATCCCGACTGTTAGATACAGCGGACAGTTTGTCGTCACTTTGTCTTAGAGCTAGAGGTGTTCCCAATATGCCTTTCCTGGCGGGCATGACTGTGCTCAGACTACTCATATCGCTCATAGAGAGCGGCAAACTTTTGTCGCTCGTAATGAATTACACCTTTCATTTGTGTATACCATTGGTATTTAATTTCTTTGGTTATATAGTTATCAAATGTTTACAAGTCACCTGAAAATAAATTAGAAGAGAGTAGCGATAAATAATAGTGAACGATATTAAAGACGCCGGGGACTCAGCGCGCACATGAACTCGATAAGGTGGAAAATGAATTGCAGAAATGTTGATATATTGATGCCCAATGCTTTTCAAACTGAGGTTTGTTTTGTAAAGGCCAATATTATGTGTACATTGTACTCAAACCAAGATTTCCCGCCTCAATGAAGTTAGATAATTAATATCATTAAAGCTCTCCATTATCAATTGAACTTTCATTGAAATTGTGCAGCTCTTTTTGCCACTTAAAAATCCCTGTTTGTAGTGTATATCGCAGTAGATAAAAAAGTTCTTTGTTCTTTTATATACTCCAACGATGAATAAACTCATAAATGCAAGATTAAAATCAGATCTGAATGCATTATTAATTCAGCTGTCGGTGTTACGGAGAGAAGGAATTTAAAAATATTCCATAAATTGAAGAAATGAAAACCGCGACGAAATGCATTGTTAAATACAGTACTTAAAAGGCAAAGTGAAAGAATTCTTTAAAAAACATCAGAACGTGACGGTATGTAGTCAAATCCAATCAGAAAATACAGATCAATGGTTCGGATTGATTTTTTCTCTTTGTAAACATTTCCCTTTTATCTTTGTGGTATAACACCAACCTGATGGTTAGGATTCACTGGTCACCAATACTTCAGCGACAAAAAAGCTTATAATTTTGTTGATTTCTTTATCACTCAACACCCTGATGTCATTAAGCATGAAAACATCAACGTTGGGTACTGTGTAACATTCTCTCTGTCAGTTAAAGAACACAGTCAATGCCTGTTTACATTTCTGCTCCGTTTTCTGCAATAAGCTCTCTAAACATTGCTGATGTAATTATGGAAATCTTTCTACGTTCCCTTTGTTTTTCTGCATCTTTGAATAGCCTTGACCAAAAGTTGAGAAATATTTGGAAAAAACGTCCACTTTGAGTTCAAAGTTAATTATCTTGACAAGCCTAAGCTCAAAATCCAAAACATCACTTGAGAATGACATCTGTATTATTACTAGATTGTTCATCATATCTGAATTTTATATGCTTTCTCCCTCGGAAGAAGACATGCTTTCACTATTCACAGTCACAAGAAAATGGTGTTCGAATCTCATGCTTTGTGGTTAAATATTCTTTATTCAGGTATTTAAAAATAGCACTTACCTGTAACTGCCCTGTAAGTTAACAATTAAAATGAATGTAAGATTCTTTTGATTGTAAACGACCTTTACTAGAGATAGTCCATTAATAAAATGCAATGGATGAGAAACAATTCTTAGAGAGTACATTATGAACACAATAGAGTAAGTGTTTTAAATAGGTTATATCCCTCAAACTGTCCATTCTGAGAGAAGAAAGAACAATTGTCGGGCCTAACGGTCTCCAACAGTTCTTTCTTCTCGATCACAGAATGGACCGTTTGAGACCTGTAACCTTTACCTTAAAAACACTTTTGTTAGTGTTTAGAGTTTCTTTAAAACCTTTAAATTACGTCACGTGATGGGTAATTTTTTTTTTTTTTTTTTTTTTGCTATGAAAAGAGAGTAAGGTAGCATAAATGTTTTGGATGTATCCCCTTCACAACGTCAGAGGGGTCCTGAGTACAATCCCACGACCACGTACAAGTAGACTCGGGACCCCTGCCGTTGTGAGGATGGGATGTCATTTGCTTTACCAACTGATTGTGTTCGAACACGTAAAATCGTCATGAATTGATTTACTATAATCTCTACAGGTCTACGTGCCCTTATCATGTTATTGTTGAAACCTTTGTAGATATTAGTGCCATGTAGAAGTGTTTTTCTATATACATAACATTGTTACGCTAGTCTTATAATATTAGCTCCACCTCTCATGCATAGATTTATCAACCTCAGTAATTATTAATGAAGAGTGGGTAAGTATAAATTCTCGATAAATGCGGATATGTGCAATCATGCACCCTTTAAATATATGTTGATTTGCCCTAATAAGCTTTCGTAGAATTTGCGTTTTATCGGTTTCACTTTAAGCTAATAACCATTTTGAAGAGCAGTGACAGTGACGTAGCATCGTTTTTGAAAGTGGGGGGCCAACCCGAGGAAAAAAATTTCAACTTACCTGAAAAAACTTGACAAGCAAAAAAAAAAAAAAAAGGAAATTGTGCAAACTCAAAAATCCTATTTCGGGGGGGGGGGGGGGGGGTTAGCTTCTATTTTCTTTTAGTGATTATTCTTTATTGCATAATACACCCATATGGGTCAAGCAATACAATTCATAATAAGAAAAGAAACAAAGAACAATGAATGTATTTATACAATAGGCGCAATTTAAGTAATTTACTCCTTATATGTTACACCGATGTGGACCTTTTATTTCTTAATTCTAATGATTGTTTTATAAAAGTGAAAACAGCCGGTATAACTTCAAGTGTTGGACTAAGTATATATTCAAGTTTCTGTATGGGTGATTTGAGATAGAATGAGGAACAATTATCTAACATGGTTTTTATAAGTATATACTCCTTGCTTGTATATTCAAATTACATTGTAAAAAGAAATGAAATTCATCATCAATAGCATTACATGAAGTGCATAATCTTTGTTGTCGAGGTATTTTCTTATGTCTACCAGTTTCAATCAGTAGGCAGTGGTCACTTGTTCGAAACTTAGTTAGTAATTGTCTATTCTTGAAACTATTTTCAAGCATAAGATATTCTTCCATATTAAGATTGTGTTTTAATTTACTGTACAAATACAGTTTGGAGTTTTCTGTGAATTTGGATATTTTTTCCATAGTTTTGCCTTTATAATTATCTAGTACTATTTTCTTCAACTTCTTTTTAACCGAATTTCGAATGTTGTCAAATTTTTCATTTTCTTTCCTGTAGTCATTGCTATTTAAATTATTTTCTTTAAATATAGACAGTGCGAGGGTATGCCACGAGTAAAATCCCTCTTCATGCAAAGACATACTGATATTATATGATTCTTCAATCATGGGGTTTACATTCTGAGAGTTTAGTCGTACAAAGTACATCATAACTTGAGTTTTAATAAAAGAAGAAACTGGAAGTCTACCTAGTTCACACAATGATGAAATGTTGCATGCTGTTTTGTTGAGTCCTAGAACTGTTTTACAATATCTAGCATGTACTTTTTCATAGACAGATTTTTCTTGTAAAGCGAGATTATCACATGAGTTGTTATTTTTCATTGCTCTAAGTATTACTCTGTATGAAGGAAGATAATCATCCATAAACCAGATTTCACTATTAAAGCATAAAATAGGGCGAATAAGAGTGTCAAATAATTTACAAGACAAATTCACAGGTAATTGTGTGAAATTGGAGAAGATTTTTCTTAGGGAAAATATTACTTTTAAGCCTTTCTTAGACAGCTCTAGTACTCCTTTGTTTAAACTAGCTTTGTGATCAATTATTGTTCCAAGGAAATTATATTCTTTTACTTCTTCAAGAGGGTGATTATCATAATAAAAAACAGGAGTTGGTTGATATATTTTTTGAAAAGTTAAAACTTTAGTTTTTGTAGTATTAACAGTTAGTTGCCAATTTAAGCAATAATTCTGCAATTTGTTCAGTGTATTCTGTAAACCAGTATGGGACTCTGAGAGCAGAACAAGGTCATCTGCAAAGCTTAAACTAGATACATGTGTGTGTTTGAGAATAAGTGGATCACATGACTGATCAAATGTGTCATGTAGATCATTAACAAAACAGTTGAATAATGTTGGACTTAGACTATCCCCTTGTTTTACCCCTCTATCAAGTTTAAAATAATTGGAATGAGTGTTTTCAAATTTAACAGCTGATTCACATGATCTGTACATACTTTGAATAACTTTAAAAAAAAATTTGACCAATCTGATTGTTCATTAATTTGTATAAAAGGCCATTATGCCAAATAGTGTCAAACGCTTTGCACAGATCTACAAAGCATGCATATATTTTTGTTTTATTTCGAACAATATATTTTGTTATTAAAGTTTTAAGAACAAAAAGGCTGTCTGTTGTTCTGTGATCTGTTCTAAAGCCAAATTGTTGTTTTGAGAATAATTTATCATAATGTAGCATTAATCTTTTATTAAGTGTAGCACTAAAAAGTTTTGCTATGCAGTTCTGAAGTGAGATGCCTCTGTAATTATTTAGGTCATTCTTATCTCCAGATTTATAGATTAGAACAATGAATGATTTTCTCCATGCCGATGGGTATTCTCCAGTATGCAATATTAAGTTAAATCGTTTAACTATAGATTTACAAGTAACCACTGAGCTATGTTTTAATATTTCATTTGGAATAAGATCTGGTCCTGCACTTTTATTGATTTTAAGCTTATGAATTAAGTTCTTAACTTCAGTTATGGTAAATGGTTGGTCAGTAATTAGGTTTTCTTCTAAAAAAAGTTTTATACTGAGTTACATGATCTTCAATCCTTTTCTGAAACTCTTTATTGTTTTTTTTACATATACCTTGAGTCTTACAATGGTTTATAACTTTATTGATGTTAATTAATATGTCTGCTGTATTATTAGAGCTTTTATTTCCTTTGAGAGAATTAAGCACTTCCCAGTATTGTTTGGGGTTTGTTTCTTTCCAATTCAATAATTTATCGTATAATTCTTTCTGGAATAAATACTTTTTTTGTTTTACCATTTTTTTCATTTTTTTACAGTGAGTAAAATAATCATGCCTAATTTTTGAATTAAAAGGTTCATTTTTCATCTTAGTTCCTAACATTATCACAGTTTTTTTCAAATCTTTAAGCTGAGTGTCAAACCATGGTTTTTTTTCTTAGCCTTTTTTTTCTTACAGTTGATGATTTTGCAAGATTTCATTGCTAAATCTTGTAAAATTGAATTCAGTGCTTCTGTAGCTTTATCTATACCTTCTGCATTTTGTTCATAATTTGTATTTTCATAAGATAAAATTTGTTCTAATAATTTAGGATCAGACATAGCATCTAATAATTTAGTTTTTGAAATATTTTCCCATTTATACGAGCATTTCAGAAATTACCATTTTTTTTTACTCAAACACTGCATTCCCCTTATATTACCATTATTTTACAATACTGCAACCAAAAGTGGGGGGGGGGGCAACCGGACTTTCAATGAACATTTCCTATAGAAAAACTTATGTCTGGAAAAAAGTGGGGGGGGGGGCAGGCCCCCCTGATACTACGTGCCTGAAGAGTAAGAGTTTTCGAATTAACCGTAGGTGATCTTTTACAAGTTTGACATTTTTCAGGGCTTTGGTAAACGACTTTAAACTTTATATAAGAATTAATAGGAAAACTGGTTGTTTTAAGAAAGGGCTTTTAAATATTGGGTGCCATTATGTCATTTCTTAAGTGTCAACAGAGTGGCTATAATTTATTGACAATGTTGACTAACCAGGGGAAGCGATAAGATCTTAGTACCCGTAGTACATATTTGTAAAACAGATAAAGTAATTTATCGCTAATGTACATTATTATTTGCCATGGTGAAGACAATCATGCGTGTTCGAATTTACCTCGCGGATATCTGATGGGTTGTCTTTTAAAATTTAAAACTGGCAGTATCCTGGAATGATCATTATACATGTATTTCCTATATGATATAGAAGGAATCAACTGTACCATCTCGCTCAAAAGTTTGCTTTAAATAGCGAGAATGAAGACAGAAATAGTGACTTGCCTTTACTATTTTTAAAAATTTATTTTGGTTCTAACAGCGCACCGTCACTTTCCCACGCTCAGCTGTAAACATTCTTACGTTTGTTTACCTTTCCATATGGACTATCTTTTTACTATTCCTTGACAGGTAAGAGGTCTTAAAAATTGTAAACTTCTTTGAAAAATCATCATTACAACAAATGATCACAAGTTTAACGATGTTAGAGATAAAGAGTTATAAAATATTATTTTACTCAATATTACAACGAAAATCGATACTATTTTGTCTCCATTAGGTAATCATCTAATCACCTCCTGCGTCGTTGCAAAGAACATCAATTGAACTGCCATTACAGTAGTACGGTAAAGTGAATTCAACCTGACCAAGTATTACTCAGAATTTGTTATATAAATTAACAAAATGAGATGATAATCATCTAGACTCTGACATCATCACCATCAATATTCTTTCCGGAATTTTCATGCCAAATGTGTGATTACAGTTTGGAAGCGAACGACCACTCTTGTGATTACGGGGACCCAGAAGAGTATAGTGTGAGTGGGGACAATATGGCGGAGGGCCCGGGGGTCGGGGAGGAGAGGGGATTTTTGGATGAGGAAGAGGAAATGGATGTCTATGCCCAGCTGGAACAAAAGCAGAAAGATTTAACTCTGGCTGCTGAATTGGGGAAAGCTTTACTGGAAAAAAATGAGGAACTTGAGAGGAGAAATGAACAAATCATGGAAGAGTTTGCTCAGAAAATTGAGGTAAAGATTTTTTTCTTTCTATTAAAAGCCACTTAGTTCACCATTATTGATCAAAATTTATCATCACAGTTTGTGCCATATTGCATCATTTTCTGTATATAAAAGTATTGATTGTCTTAGTTTCCTTATCATTGTACATAAAATATTTTTTATTCTTTTTCTGGCGACAAATATCCCTAATTCATTATACACTTTTGATGAACCAATTTAATGATTCTCTTTGATTAGTGTGTGGCATATTGGCAGTCATAGCTTGTAAAGACCCCACTTAATAATGTGTTGATCTGAAGTTATTGCTTTGTTATTTGTAACACTCTCATAATCGCTTTGATATGATCCTTTGATCCCCCCCCCCCCCATTTCATGTCTTGAAGCTGTGCTTATAATATTATTTTTGATGTTTATTTCTGTTTATTTTTTGGCAGAATTTTAAGCATGTGTTTCATTTGAATGTTGTTCAAAGTATAATTTTTAACTTCCTTATCCTATATAGCTGTATACATTTAACATGTTTAATGGTGATAAATTGCGAGTGTATATTGTAATTTTCCATGTCCACATATTTAAAGGAAATTAATATACAATTGTATATAATTTAGAAATATACATGTAGTAATTTGTTGGATCAACAAAAACACATTTCAGTGACACATATAATTGAAACCAATTAAAGAAATATAATAGTTATCTAAAGCTTAACATTTTGAAGTACAGTTAAATGATACAATGGATGAAAAAAGAAAAATCAAAATATATATTTCACATATCAGAGTAATTGATTTTCTTATTTTAGTAGTTCTTTAAATTTTTCTTTGTGCTTCCTGCATCCCTGAAACAATTTTGTTTGAGGATACATTGACTTGTCTGTATGTCTTGCTACCATCATCATCAGAAATCCACTAAAGCTCTGTCAATCTGCTGAGTGTGTCTGTTGGTCTGTCTGTCAGGTTGTCCATCCTGCTAAATTCATATCCATGCCATAACTTTATAATGGAGAAACATTTGAACTCATATTTAGGTACAAGGTTGCTAACAATCATTTGATGGAGATTTGGTCAAGGTCAAGGGTTCCAAAAATGTAAATTCTTCTGTGTAGACTATAACTTACCGGTAATTATAAGCCCATATTGGTGTGCCAAGGCCATTTTGTCAAGGTTACAGGATTCAGAAAAGTTATAAGTTTATTTAATCTATGCAAATTTTTAAGCATGCATGTTCTGAGTGTACCCTACGTAGGGGATCTGTCCCATTAATAAATTTCGAGTGTACCCTATGTAGGAGATCTGTCCCATTAAGAAATTTCTAAGTTTATTACAATTCAGATATATTTTAAGGTAGGTAAATACTATCAGAATTTTCTGTCAAACAATTTATTTTTTCATTTAAATATCTTAAACAACTCTTGAGCCAACAAAAAAACCCATATTACACATACCTTTGCACGCTTATTTTCATACTATGTGCTATAGAGCACATATACCCCCAACTTCAACAGCCAAATTCTAACACAAGGATGTATAATTTCATATTTTATTCAAATATGCACCAAAGCACACTGTATTGTGCTATAATTCATTAAATCTAATAGATAATTAACTACAAAGAGAATTTTTCGAGATATTCAATTGAAAACATGCACATTTAACATTTATACTGCTCAAATCCATCAGAAAAAAAAATCACAAAATATCATTATTTTCAAAAGTCCCAAAATTTATATTGTTAACATGCCATTTTTTCTTTAAAAATATCTAAAATTATATCTAAGGTTAACAAAAAAACATATTTTATCACAGTAGACCAGAGATATTTTATTAAATCATATCTCGAATACCCCTACCCCCACTTTGGTAATAGCATGTTTTACAGTTATATTTTACACACTGTGAAAAATATCAAAATGTAACAAACAAATACAGTCTTAGAATGAAATACAAATGGAATATTAAAAAATACTGAAATTTTGGTCCTTCTAGACACTTAGAACATAAGGGGTAGGGTGGTGGTGGTGGGGGGGGGGGGGCAACCCCTTCCTTTTTTCACAATTTTTTTTTACATACAAGTACACATTCTTAACAATTTATAATCTAATACATATAAAGAGAATAAATGTAGTGTAACAAACATACATGTAGATTCTAGCAAGTATAGCTCATAAACAAATAATTTTGTTGAATGAAAATACTTATGATGAACTAACAAGAGTTCAAATACTCCACAACTTTGCCAATGATCTTCTGAGACTTCATAATTCTTGGTGTCTTTGAACCAGACACAACCTCACTAAAGACAGTCTGAATCCCACAATGGGGGTCACGCTTATGTATGAGTTTTAGCTTGTTTAAGCTTAGATTGTTAGCTGTAAGCCTTTTAGAGATCAGTGTAGAAATTACTTTGCTTTGTATCAATGGAATTAGTGAGGACTTGACATTATAATAATTCATATTAAATATATCTGAAGATTCACATTTGAATGCTAAATTTGACTCGTACAGTTCTCGTAAACTACAAACATCAGCTAGAGCATTGTGTGCATCGTAACTTTTCCCTAAACACAATCTGACCAATGTTTCTTGTTTAAAATTTCCCATTGTTTTCTTGTCAAACTCTCATCTTATGTAATTAAGCTCTTCACTTTATAGTTTTCTACCTGACAAATTTTAAATAACAAAATTAACCATCTTAAAATATATATAAATAATTATAATATTTTCATTTTAATGATGATTTAATTCCAAAATGGCTACTATTCTTTAAATGCAGTCCCTATCATTTTTAATGTTAAGGTTTAACACTTCTCAAAAAAAGATACTTTTTAGACTGAAGTCCCCTAACCAAGTCTCGACTATGTAATTAAGCCCTTCACTTTAAAGTTTTCTCCCTGACAAAATTTTAAATAACTAAATTTACCATCTTAAAATATATATATTAAATAATTTTAATGATGATTTAATTCCCAAATGGCTACCTTGTCCTATGATTAGGATGTACAATGTATATTTTTGTAGTTGTAAAACATTTCTTTGGACATATTTCAGGAATTAGAACAGGAGAAGTATGAATTGTATCTTCATTTGGAGAAAAAGGAAACGGAATATGAGAACACCATTAAAGAGCTACAATATGACATCAGTCAGCTGAGGGAAGAGCTTCAGTCCCAACAGCACCAGAGGTCAAACAGTGTCAAAGAGAGTTCCATGGCAATAAGGGACTTAACTCTGCAGAATGAGCGACTGACAGAGGATCTAAGGACAGCATCAATAAAGGAAAGGGAACTAGAATCAGAGAACCAGAATCTGAAGGAAAAAATCACAGCAAGGAGTTCATCCATGCATGTTCATGTTGGACAGCTAGAAGTCCTGCAACAAGATGTATGATAATTAGCTGTTATTTTCCTTTTTATATTGTGTATGTAGTTTACAGGAAGGAAAGGATGTGTCTCGGTAATTAAGATGACACAAGCTAAAGCATGAAATTAAAACTATGGACCTATGATAATGCATAGAGGAATCGGTATCATGCAAGGGCTAGGTATTAGTTATTAAGTCTCATGTAGAAGCCCCCAAAAATATTTATACTCCAAACCCAAGCCTTTATGGTGCAGGAACAGTCTCTACAGTACCTCTTTATTAAGATTTAACTTGGCTGGTCATGTGTAACATGGCTGAGATTTCAAAAACCTTGACCTTCCACACACAAATTGACTGATGTTTAGAGTCTTCTATTTGTAGTCCCATTAGTCATCGATTTCGTACAATTGATGCTCATGGTCATAATTAATTTATTAATATTAACAGAGAAAATGTTATCAAGATGAATATATTCTTAAATACAGATTCAATATTTGATTGTCACATCTAAAATTCCAATGTAATGTTAAACACATGGCTTACATTCCAACCTTTTGAAATATCAGCTGAATGTACTTTTGCTTTTTATCAATATCTCAATATAATTTTTTTTAAAAATCCTAAAACTGCAATTTACAGTATCAAATACAGTTCCAACTTGGATATCTCGAATACCATGGATATGTCAAAGTGATTTGGAAGTTCCAAGCACTGATATCTTGGGGTTTTTTTTTTTCTTCGTCCATCAAGTTCAAGACTGTAACTTACTGTACATAGCATGATAAAGTGATAGTTACATAGTTACATGTAATAATTGTTGTCTTTGTCTTAATTGTTTGTTTGTTGGCAATTGGGGGGGGGGGGGGCAATATTGGACCCCTTTGAAATTATGTAATATATTTTTTTATTTAATAGAGAAATGACATTGTGTAACCTTTGTCATTTTGATGTTTGCATACACCATTGTTGAAATGAAGATGAAAAAGACTTTAATGGCAAATGTCCTGTAATAAAAAGATACAGACTGCTAAAATCCCCACCAAATGCCTGCTGTAATTCCTGCTTGTTTTTATCTGCAACATTAATTCTTTTCAGTTTAGCCAAAGCACTCCTAGAATTGGAATTTTTACAATAAAATAATACAAGTCTAATTGCTCTTGATTTCCTTTATGGAAATGAGAAATCGGTATATTGCGTGGCTCTAAGGCCGCAAAGTCTGCAGCTTAAATGTTTACAATTGATCAAATACCTGAGAGGAAGGACATTTGCCAGGAGACTGATGAAATATGAAATATTGTTTTTCAGATTAACGAGCTGCGGTCAAAGCGACAGGAATTGGAAAAGAGACACAGTATTGTTCTGGAGGAGAAGCATGCTGTGACCTGTAGCCTGGAGGAGTCACAGGAACGCATTCTAATGTTAGAAAAGTCAAAACGGGAAATTGAACAAACTGTAAGATTGTAGAATAGTACATATACATGTATATGTATAGAAAGTACCTCAGTATTTTCTTTAAGTAGCTGGAGCTAAGCATGTTTGTTGCAGAAATAAAAGGGGGGGGATTATTACACTTGAAAAGGTAGAATAGAATTCTTGTTTTAAGTTATAACATTCTGAAGTTAAAATGATGCAGATAAGTAAAGAGTACTGATACTCTTAATGCACAGGCACTTGACATTTTAAACCTTTCTCTTTATTGATAAAAATATCCCCATACTATAATAATTTTATCAATAAAGAGAAAGGTTTAAAATGTCAAGTGCCTGTGTCTTAATGTATCAAAAAGTCTGATTTATTTTTGGATAGTGTGCCCCACCATGCATGCATATATTTTGTGATTGTTCATTTGTAATACTGCACCAAGTTTTGATAAGCATGTCTTTTTTTCCTTCCTGTTCTATGTGTACACAGTTGTAGCATAGTACCCACTTAAGTCTAAAAACAAATGCTCTAATATTGATTCAATCTCACTGGGATTAATGTTATTCATTCCATGTCATGCTATTTTTATGGAAATGACACAAAGTGGCCTTTTTTGTGATGTACCACGCATATACCATCTGTTTCCTCGTGAGGGATGTTATCAATGAAAAGTGTAGTGTATTCAAAAACTGAACACCTAAAGCATCACACAGGGGAAATTTTGTAATTTTATTAATGTACCACAGTGAATACTTTTCATAAGTAAACATGCAATGACAAATAAATAATATATGTATGGCATGCATATATAATTAAAATTTTTATTAAGAATGTAAGAGTAGTAAATGTAAATATGGTTAACTTAATGAAAAAATGAATTAAAAAGATTCAGAAATTAATAATTTGTATGTACAGACCCTTTGGGGTTTTTAAAAATCCCTTCATTTTTTATTATGCAATAGTAAGGTGTCTGTCATCCATCCAGCTGTCTGTCTGTCTGTAAACAATTTTTCAAAAAAAAAATTTCTCCTCCTACAGTTTTGGTCTGATTTCAAAATAAATTGGCATACAAGGAAATTTCAAACTCGGATAAATACTTCTGTGTATCAGTTTTTATTTTGAATAATGGTGTTAACATGGTTACTAAAAATAGAAATTTCTGTAAAATACTTTCAAAACACTACTCCTTCTACAATTTTGGTCTAATTTCAATATAGCTCCGCAAAATTCTGTGAAATTCTTTCAAAAGGCTAATCTTCCAACAGTTTTAGTCTGGTTGCAATAAATCTTAATTGTCACACAAGAAAGAGACCAACCAAGGACCATTATTCTATATATTGCTGTTGCATAGTTTCAAGTGCATGTGCTACTTTTCACTTCCTTTGTTTTAAGTACAAACAAGTAGAGCTACAGTCTCATCAGAGACTTCTGGTTTTAATCATCCCATATGCAAATGTCCAGCCTGAATTATTGATTAGACAATTAAATTGCAAAATTTATTTATTTATTTATTTTTATTTTTTTTGTACAATGTAATGTACTTTTTCTATTAAATACTCAGATTTAAAACTAGGCTAATTATTCTAAATACAATTTTACATGTAGATCAAGTCTAAATGAACTGTATAGTAATATATGACTATGAAGCTATAGTCATACTTCCAAAATTTTAAATGTTCTATGATTGACCAGAATAGATATTTTTTCAACAACAAAAAGTGATCCTAATTATTCCATACCCCGTTTTGTAGGTCCAGAACCAGGAGCGAGATATCATAGAACTCCAGGAGACCAACGTCCAGCTCCAATCTCAGCTTCATCACATGTCTACAAATCCTGTCACTTCTAGTCACCCCAATAAAACACAGTCCTTGTCATTATTTAACGAGATCTCTCAGTTGTCTCCTGATCATCTCTCACCCGTCACCTCACCCGAATCATCAAAAACAGTGAGTAATTGTCAGGAACATTTTGTTAATTGATGGTTCCTTAAAGGTGACATGGAAGGATTAAATCTACCATCACATAAAATGTCAAAAATATTACAATATATATACATGTAGTTCAATCTGATTTAAGCCTTGCCAATGAGATGAAATTTTTGTATTAGAGTTACTTCCCTTAAGATGTTCATTTTTTAAAAAATATTCTATACACTGCTAAACCCATATAATCTGTATGTAGTCTCTAATTCTTCTCCATAAATATCATATAACAGTGATGTTTAAACTGTCAAATCAGTTATTGTTGAGACACTCTAACCTTGAATTTTGCTGTTTTCCCCCCTACAGTTCCCTGTGGACTCTGACACCAGTGGGGGTTCCTTCTTACTGGACCTTATGGAGGAGGATGAGTACGAGTGTGACGATGACCTTTATCTGACCTCTCCAGTATCACAGCTCCCTCTACACTCAACCCTCACTGATTCTCAATTCTTAGAAAACTTCCAGTATTCATCTCAGCATTATCAAGCAGATAAAGAGGTATTTTCATTACATTTTGTTATTAAATTTCATACAGGAATCAAGCTGGTATTAATGTAAATAAGACAATTATCAGTTAAAGCATAACCCTTTTTATTACCAGTATATGCCAGAAATGTTAGGATTTTTTTCTTAATTTTTTTTGTTTTGTTTTTTTTTTTTTTAATAAATTTTTCAGAATGCTTTTTTTATAAGAATCATTTTTTTCTCTCACATATACATGTACTAGCACATTTAAAGAAAATGTTGATATATCTGTATAAAGAGGTATTTTGTGTATCCTGCAGATAATGTAATTTCCTTAGGGCGTTATGTCTGTAAAAGTTGTCCCCCTTTAGCATTTTATGTTTTATTTGACAGTTTCATGAAGAACTAGTCAGTGTATATTGCCAATTGAAAGATATGTGTGCGAGTCTTCAATATGGACATTCAGATTCACAGGAGTGTTCAGATTATACATTGTGTGAGGATATTCGTCCAGGTGTTTTGTCAGATCTGCTGCAAGAGTTCAAGGAATTAATGCAGGATGTTCTCACCTTTAGACCTACAGTAAGAATTTAAATTTGAAAAGACTTTTTATATAAACACGTAGTTAATGTTAATACAGTACAAGCTCCTGCACTTTCTATGCTTGTAAAATCGTGTATGCAGTACTGTATATGAGGGAAATAACTCATTGTGTTGATTACCATGCTTTCAGTAAAGTTTGCAAATTCCATTCTGATAAATTTGACCTTTAACGAGGATGTTATGTTTATATTTACACAAGATTATGGAGGAATCTCAGGTGTGCTTAGATGGAGAGGATCTAATATCTGTATCAGAGCTAGGCCAACACATCACTGATCTGAAGGAGGAACTGAGGGGTGCTCAGGGGGATCTCAACCGGCTCAAGCAGGAATTGACTCAGCGAGATGCCCAGCTCGAGCAGAAAACTCAAGAGCTTAAGAATCTCACAGGAAAGGTAAAGGTAATTTGTATGATTAATGGCTTTTGGTCACATTGAATAATAAATAAAAGGGGAGGGGCAAAAACTTGTTTTCTGTCATGATATATTTAGGGATTGTCATAAAATACTGATTCAGGGCAGAAAAGATTTTGATCATCATAGAACTAAATCATTGGCCAGCAAATTTTCTTTTGGAGGTATTTATTTGTAGAGATATTCTTTGGTCATGCACAATTTAGGATTTTCTTGGTCTTTCTTTGTTATCATAGGTCTCCATATTAGAGGTAAGCATACACCCTCTGAATGTTGTTCATCTTTTCTGTTTGATTAAAACAGAGAGAGTTGTAGCCAAAAGGTGCCTACACAATTTAAAAACTGAGTAGCACCTTTCTTGTACTTACTTAAGATTTGCTGTGTTTTAGTTTGATAGCTTGCTTTTTTAAAATGAAAGTGTTTTTCATTTCTAAGCCTTTGAACTTTTGTCTTTGCCTTAATGTATATTACTGTTGGCTTTTCCTCTAGCCAGAAAAGAAATTCAAGTTGCCTCATAAATTTCAAAAATTGTAAAAAATGTATGTCAGTTTAAGAAAAGTTCCCCATATTACTATATGTTTTTTTTCTTGCATTTACTTCTACTTGCTGTAATCTTTTAAGATACAGACTCGAACAATCACTTAATTTTTCCAAAATTTGAAATTATAAATAGTATGTGTATTTAGCCTTCACATATAATCAATATTTCACATACTTTTTCAGTTGTCCCTGCAGCATGAGGAATTGTCTGCTGTTCAGCGTCAGAGGGACCATCTACACACTGCGCTGCTTGTTAAGGGTCACATGACTGAACATGAAATCATCCAGCAGGCTCGACAGGAAAGGGACTTTGCAATAGAAAAGTACGTCAGTTAGAAACATAAACTGGTACAGTAAAATAGCAGTGTTCAGCAGATTGTAAAGGAATATATTCCCCTTAGCAAGTGTTATACATGAATACTTAATTACTTTGTCCTTTCCAAAGACATAAATATTTTTCCCTGGGTCCTTTCATATTCTGACGATTGCTACTTAATTGGCTATCCTTATATGGAGACAAAATTTGTCTGCAAAATTGTTACCTTATTTGATTTTTCAGGTTAAATATCTTTGGGGAAAAAATGATAATAATAAAAAAGATTTTAAAGAAACAAATGAAAATGAAACAAAGTCAAATTTACATCTTTATTAATACGCTGTAATTGACAATAAAAGATGTGCTATACAATTTTCTGCTGGTTATAAACTACATGTACATATATTCCAGGGGTATTGTTACTATGAATATCATAAATATCATTCTTGAACCCTTTCAGGAAAAATAAAATGGAAATAGAATTGGCAGAATCCAGATTTGAATTGCTGAATTTAAAAGATCAATTAATGGAGGCCATTCAACAAAAAATGGTATTAAGTCAGGAGCTAGAACAGTGGCAGGTATGATAATTCAATCAGAATTTTTCATCAATTATTTCATAAGTATTACTTGTAATTGCATTAATTTAAATAAAAAGTATTTTTAAATTTATGTGAGTGTATTATTTTTTTTTCAGAGTGATATGGAACACCTATTTGATGTTCATATTGAGAAAAACTTTCAAAAGGACACTAAACAACAAGAATTTTGTCGAGAGTTAAAAGAGAGCATGCAGGGCATGAGAAAATCTAAATCTGCGATTAATTTCTCCACGTATCATTAGCAGTGTTTAAAGCTGTTTAGATATGGTTTTATGGGATCAACTTCAACAAATCCACCACTTTAATGTGACAAGAAAACCGAATGTCTTTCAACCAAGAAAACAAATATTTGGAACTTCTGTCTCAGTGTTCTCAAAACTTGAAGAATAATATTTGCAGCTGAAGAATGTAACAGAAATTTTAGAACAATTATTGTTTATTTATATTAAATAATGGGTAATGCTAATATCCTGCCAGTTATATATCAAACACGTCTGTAGATCCAGACAGGTTTGCATTAACAAGGACATATTGACTATTTTTGTTTTCTACGTGATAAAAACTTTAAAAATAGTTTTTATCACATATACTTGTGCTTGCCATTTTTTTGTTGCAATATTAAAAGTTTTAACATACTTAAAATGTCTTTGCTTTTTAGAATTGTGAAAATAATGTTAACAAAAAACATATAAATATTGCATGTAGTTGAGGGTAGCATTGAAATTTTTTCACCCACAAGAAAACCATTGTCAGCTGAGGCACAGCCATGCAAGGCTGACAATATTGTTTTTGAGAGGTGAAAATTTCAATGTTACCCTCAATAACTGCAATATTTATTATTTTAAACTGAATGTTTTATACAAATACACATATACATATTAGTGAACTGTATGTGCATAAATTTTGCACAGTCAATATTTTGTGGAATATCACCTGTCATCAAGTAGTGTTGACTGTTTCTATGGTCTGTCATGCTGGAGGGCATGGTTTCATCATTTAGAGGGTAATAGTTTTTCTGACATAGGATTGTGTTAAAGAAATCTGTAAAACAGTTTTTGCAGCTTTAGTTATATTGCTGAAACACAAAGTTAGCACAAAATTTCCTTACCAAACTGCCGTATTTTTTCATCCTCCCCAAATATATACTTTTATAACTACACTGGAATCCAAATGATTGCAAAAACATGAAAATTTTTTTAAAAAATTAGTACAAATTTTATACCATGAAACAAATTAGTTTGAAAGTAAAAACTGCAATAAAGAGTATGATTAAATGTTCACTTTCTTTGGATTTTGGGTATCCATGACTTTAGTAAATGTTTCTTGACCAATCAGATTCAACTAATTTAAATGAAAGTTAAATATGACGAAATACTGTAAAAGCAGAAATATTCGTTGGGGATTAAATTTCGTTGTTAACAATTATTAACAAAATTAAATCCCGCACGTAATTTTTTTATTACTACATGTATATATTGAATAAAGTTATTTTCAAAACAATGAAATTTAATGCCAACGAAACTTTGAGATGACTAATCAACGAAATTTTATCCCCATGAAAATTTGTGCTTCTACAGTATACATTAAAAAATAATATGAAAATAAAGATATCTATTTCCAGGCTAAGTTGGTCTGGTAAATAATGTTTTTATCCTTATTAGTGGTACATGTATAAGACTCATATATTTAATCATTGTGGTTACTAACAGTCAACTTTATCTGTATACAGTCAGTATAGAGTCAAACCGTTAATAAAAAATATGACTATATAGACCCTGATGCTTACATACCTGATTAGCAAGATCTCAGACAGAGGGAACACTGATTACTGTCAAAAGATAAGAAAGTGACTAAGTTCCTTCATAAAAAGATAAGATCCTGTAAGAAACACCCGGTCTTTTGAGATGGACTGCAATATATAGTAAAACTCAAAAATATACATACATGTATTTCACTTATTTTCATGGGGCTATCTTTAATTTTTTTGTTTATTTGATATACTTTGACTCTCATGTTTCAAGGTGGGTAGGTAGGCAGTTGATTTTTTTTAAATTGTCTTAAACTTGGATAAAGGTCATTAAAATCACACACTTAGAAATTTATTGATGTTTTCGCTACAGTGTATAAATGGATAGCTAGACAGATTTAATATTTATTGCTGTTAACATCTCAGTCTAAAAGCATCTTTTTGAGAAGTGTTAAACCTTAATATTAAAAATGATACGGACTGTATTTTCATACAAATACCGGTAATTAATAATAACTAGAACAAAGCTCATTGCAAAGCAACAAGAAGGTCTTCCGACGGACGTCGAAAGTATTGTTACGTTCCGATAAGTTTACCTGTGAAATTCGGATTAACTGTTGTTGACAAGTTCCGAATAAACGGACCCTGAACCCGATGTGTATAAACTACTAAAATATTTGTCAATGAACAATGAACGAAAGAATTGAACAATGATTTATTATTTGAACTTTATCAATTTTATTTATGTATTGTAATTACAAAGCGTTATGTTGTATATGTTCTATATAGGTACAACGTTATTAAGTAATTTTAGTGGTCAAAACCCGCTAACTTACAAATTAGATATTGATTGTGACGTTATTGGTATCTGACGTTTATACGTCATCATAACAACTTTTGTCTATAAAAGACAGCTGTTTTGTGTTTAGAAGTCAGAATGCATTGGGTTGCGACTCCGTATACTTCGGGTGTAAGACAGTGGTATGTACAAACAGTACCAAGTCTATGTATACGAAATCATTAGTGAAGAGTCACTCAGAGTAGAAACGTCCTGGATTGACCATTGGTTCGTCATCTTTGTATTAACCAAATAACGTTGTACCAACCAGGTTTATCATTGTGCTTATAATTGAACCATTTGATCGTCTTAATAAATATCATAAACTTTATAACGTGTTATTCGTCACGGTTCTAGTGCAGATATTATAGTGAACTAAAAATTGGTCATTTCGCCAATTATTCAGTGGACCAAAAATTGGTCATTATTCCGATTGTATATAAACTTTGTGGATAACCATTTCAACCTTGACCAGTTACCAGTAACCAACAGCGGCCCACGATTAACTGATTAAGTAATAACCTTATACCCTCGGTTTCGTTACAGTATTTTATAAGAGTTTATATCATTATAATGATAACATTTCGACAAATTTCTGGAAATTTCACAAAAAATCATTTTTAAACAACTTCCGGTTCCAATTCGGACATTTCCGGTTGTTAGATCGTCACTTCCGGTTGACGTAGAAAGTCACAAGGCCAGAAAAAACCTTTAAACTCAATTACAAAATCATTTTATACTATTTCTAATGATTTTAGAGAAAAAAACTTCATTAGTCATCTATTTCCGGTTTACACCGGAAGTCTTTCCAATTGATGGTTTTTGTTGCCGATTTTAGTTCTATATCCCTATATTCAAAACTGTTTTTCAAAAATATCAAATATCACTTCCCAGTTTGTCGGAAGTGATGGATACAATAATTAAAGGCATTAGCACTACTCAAAGAGATGTTCTATCTTTTCTGAAAAAATAAATTGTCTATGTTGAGTCCATCTTCATCTATCTTGAGTCGTTTACAAGAAAATGCGTGGACTAAATAAAAATTTGAAAAATGAAAATCAGACAGAAAATGCAATCGGAAGTGATTTTTCAAAAAAATGAAGAAAAAAAAAACGGTCTGGAGATATAGTAATGATGCATCATTCCTGAAAAATCTTTGAAATCAGTTGACTATTTTCCAAGAAATCATGTGTATTATGGAAATGGAATAATAAAAATAATAGGAAACAGAAAACAGTAAGGTCTTCTGAAAGAAGTCGGAAGACCTTTATAAAGATAAATAAAGTACGGAAATAAAGTGCCCCGCCACAGCATGATACTCCCATCAAATATTGTTCAATTGTTATAAACAGTTTAGAGTAAAAGAAAATCATGTCAACCTTGATACAAGGATTTCAATGATTTTTCCATTCCTTTTAATAATTGTTTATACATCTCCTGTGGTGTAGGCATTAATTATAACAAATATTACATTATAGATCCTCAACTGGTTGTGTTAGAGCTTGACAAATGTCCATCTGCACCCCCCCCCCCCCCCCCCCCAGCTTTCAGATTTGTGAGACATGATGCTCTGAATTAGTTGATATTTTCAAAATATTAAATAAAAATATCATATTAAACAATATCAATTTAGTCTTAACAACTTAATCTATATCAAATTAATATTAAAAATAAAAGGCTGGCCATCAAATGACATATGCTATAAACTGACCAGCAGTTCTTCTGTCTAATTCCCAAAGGATACAGATAACAGCTGCTTGATCAGAGATCATCTAACAGAAATGATTGAGACAGCTAGCCTCCCTACACTGAACTCATTAATTAATCTCTAACTGCATGGATGCATGTCCACTCATTAATCCCAATGGATGAATGGATCTATACATACTATCTGCTTTGTAGTGCAATAAAAATGCATATTTATGTCATTCTGAAATTAAATTTGAAAACAAAGATTTTTTTTTAAAATTTGTAACAAAGATTTATAAAAAGAAACAAAAACTTGTGTAATCTTGATGCAACATTTTTAATAAGGTTCCTGGAATTTACTCTTAGATTTGTAGGTACTATCTACCATAATTAAAAACATTTTTTTTAAATACTTGATTTTTTTTTAGATTTAATGTCAGACTGGTTTTAAGCTGCAATACCGAGTATAATTAGTTTTAATTATATTATATAATAATTATATTATTTATTAATAAATTATAATTTGTTATACAATATCAAATAAGTTTTTAATTACTTTTCACCAAATTCATTTTAAAAGTTCGGCTAGCCAACTATTTAATCCAACACAGCTGATTCTTTTTGCCCAGTTCCCAAGAGATATAGATAACACCTGCTTGATCAGAGATGCTCTACCAGTTAGCTCCTCACACTAAACTCATTAATTTCTCTCTAATTTGACATGCAATTTTCTGTTATCAAATTCTTCTTGACCAGTGCTTGATAATTACACCCATGGGAGAGGTGGAATTTTTCCTTGTAACATTACATTTATTATAGATTGCTGTAAAGTATATTATGAAAAAATAAATATTTTCTTGATTTAACATTTTTTAAAATAAGGATACTGCAACACTCTTGCATTTTTTGGGATTGTGTGATCTAATAGTAAAAAACATTTTTTTTTAAATTTCACTTAAATTAAAGGACACAGTGACCTTGAAATAGGTCACGACACACCTTCTACCTAATATGCATAAATTGACCAAGTTTGATGATTCCAAGTCTTATAGTTTTCTAGTTAAGAGCCGGACAGGATTTTTCCATATTTGGCCATAGCATCTTAATTAAAGGTCAGAGCGACCTACTTTCAATGTGCGACACACCTTCTACCCAAGAAGTATCAGCTGACAAAATTTGATAATCCTAGGCCTAATAGTATTAAAGTTATGAGCTGGACACGATAAAAGCTAACAGACGGACGGACGGACATGAACGTCAATAACATAATATGTCCCGTCTAAAGACAGGCGTATAAAAATGATCAGGTAGGGTAAGGCTGATTTTAATGGGTCAGTCAGAGTACATTATTTGAACAAATCATTTTCTATTGTTGGCCTAGGGTCCAATTTTCTTGGTTTGAGAAATAATATTGGTCATGAGGATTTGAATTCCTTGATGAAGACATACTGTAATCTAACATTTTGTGGAGGACATGAATTCATGGTTCTCAGACTCTTTATACCATATAAACAATGACCCCCCCCCCCCTCAAAAAAAATAGTGATTTAACAGCATTTTAACAGGGACCTTTAGAAAATTCACTTTGATTACACTTTATATAAAAATCTGTATATACCAGTACAAATAAATGGAAAATAGTAACAAGTTTTGCATCAATGAATTTATTGAGAGATTGTTCTTTTATACATAAAATTAAAAAAGTGTAAGATATAAAAATTTGCATCTCAAGATAATTAAATTATTTTAAAAATATACATTTCCATTTCTTATTAGTCCTAAAGTGTTCTTCATCTACATCATTAAAATAACACACAAAAATGTGTGCAAAAAAAGGATAAACTATAAGACAACACAAATATTGATAATTGTGCTAAGTTTCTGACCATTCATGGCATTGTATCACAAGATTTTTTGTTACACTTCAGAATACATGTACTACACTGTAACAACCTGTTGGTATTTGAAGTATGAAAGCTATAAACATAAAAAATCCTGATTAAGCAATCAAAAACTTTCATGTATCTGTTTTCTTTGTAGAAGTCATGTTCATCCTTTACATCAAATATGCAATATACCAAATTTCAGCAATTATTTCCCTTCAAATATTGATTTGACCGGGGAAATAAAATAAGTGTCCAATGTCTCCCAGAGATTCTTCCCAAAGCTCAGTCTTCCTACACCAGATTTCTTATCAGAATCAGGTTTTGACATCTCCTGAAGTTTAATGTCCTCGGCAATTTCTTCCCTTTCAATTAAATGTCGGTCTTTGACCGGAAAATCAACACTGTTAAACCTGCTCAATGGTATCAAAGATGCATTCACATTTTCCCTCTGTCCTTTTAATTCTAATCCAACTTGTGGACTTGGAAATGAGTCTTTGAAATTTAAATGCTGCGTCACATCACTAGGTGGATCAATAAGAGAACTTTCCAAACTAGGGAGATTCAAAAGAGGGGCATCAGTGCCCTTGTACAAGTTAAGTCCCTTTTTATGTCTGCATGACTGTTCAAGAACAGATACATTTACAGTTGTGTTACAACTCTTTTTAGACTTCTTCAGTGCTGTGCCCAGAATATCTGCAACTTGTCCATCTTCCTCTTCCACTATATTTAATGTTGTGTGGAAGGACTTGCCCATTTGCACTGACTTGTCGCCTTTCCCTGCGTATGTTTTTTCCAGGAGAGAACTATCATTTTCTCTGATTCTTTTTTTGGCAGACATTTCTGTGAGAACATTAAGAGGAATGTCTCCAGAGGTATTAAGGTGAGTTTCTGGTGATTGTACAACAACAAATCTAGTTCTATCCAGCCAGTCTCCATTGGATTCTGGTTTCCTTTTTGTCCTTTTTCTTTTTTTTCTTGCGTGATTGTTTCCATTTCCTTCGACGGAATCACCGTGCTCATCCTCAAAATCTGAAGAGGTCACATTCTGTTCAATGCTTGGTTTCTTGATAGCCCTTCTTCCTTTTTTTCTGGGGTGATGCTTTTCAGTATCAGTATCTCTGTTTTCATCCTCAGAAGATGAGGTGACATTCTGATCAAAGCTCAGTCCAGAAGCTCTCTCTTCATGTGACCTCTGTCTTAGATTTCTCTTTGGTTTCCTTTGGCGAGATGGAATGCATCTGAGAGGCTGTTTCTGTTTTCTTAATATTGATGAATATCTTGTTCCACTCTGACTTCTTACATCCTCCATCGGGCTTTGCTCCTCTGAAAGCTGGCTGCTTCTATTTTGGACCCTCCTTGAACTTCTTGTGCTGGATTTTTGAGTTGTATTATTATCTTCCAGTACACAATGATCTGTATCTTTTCCCTGAACTTTTAAGTAGCTTTTCTTACATGTCAAAGTAACTTCAAATAAGAATGGATACACCTTCAGTATTTTTCCATTCTTCTTAAATGTTATTTTTTGAGAAATTTTCCATGGTTTTCTGTTAAAGGTCACAACAAAATGTTTGCTGCAAACAGTCTTGAGAATTTGATTTCGCTGAGACAGGTATATTAATCCTCTCAGTACTTTGTCAATATCTTCTGCGGTTTCTGAAAATAAAAAATGAATTATTTACCAAGTGGCTAAAAATAAAATCTGAATTATCTTCAATATTCTTCAACCAGGGACCCATTTCATAACTTACACTAAGACCAATAATTTTAGCTCTTACCTACCTTATACTATTCTCAAATGAGAGGTCCATGGGCCACAATGCTCACCTGAGAAACTTTAGTCTTGCTGTTCCTCCTCAGATTTTTAAAAGATTGTTAAATTCCCATGAAAAATTTTGACCCCATATTATGCTCTAAAAGGACTCTGAATTTAATCCACACATCATGGTTATGCTTCAATATGGCCTTGCAGTTATGGAGCAGAAAATTCTTTTCCTTTATACAGATATACCAGCATTATGTAAAATATAATCCTGATTTAAGTCAACTAAGTGAACTCTTATCCAGGATCCATAATTTGAAAAAAGTTGATTCCACACAACTTGGGAATGTTTGCAAATCAATGGTTCTATTGTGGTTTTTTGAGATTTTCAATAAAAAAAAGTTTTTATAGTCCCATGTAAAACTTTGATCCCCCTGGGGCCATGATTTGAACAATTTAGAATATAACTACCTCAGGAAGCTTTCACATAAGTTTCATATTTTCTGGTTTAGTGGGACTTGAGATTTTTTCCCCCTATATATTTCTATGTAAACATTTCATTCCCTACTTCGGCCCCATCCTAACCCTGGGGAATTGATTTGAACAAATTAGAAACTAAGCTACCTTACAAAGCTTTCACTTAAGTTGCATCTTTTCTGGCCCATTATTCTTAAGAAGAAATTTTTTTTAATGATGGTTGACCCTACCCTATTTTGCCTTTTCTTGATTATCTCCCCTTGGAAGGGGGATTGGCCCTTCATTTGAATAATTTAGAATATCCTTTACCCAAAGATGCTTTGTGTTAACTTTAACAACTTTAAAATTGACCCAGTGCTTCTTGAGAGGAAGTCAAAAACATGGCCGTAGGAACGGGGGGGGGGCATGGGGGGGCTGTGCCCCCCAATAATTTTGCCGATTTATATAGATTACTATAGTAAACTTAGATACTTTATGCTTGTGCCCCCCAAAAAAAAAACGTCTGATAACCCTTCTTTTTTTTTTTGCTTGTCAAGGAATTTTTGGTAGTTGATGCCCCCCCCCCCCCTTTTTTTTTTTTTTTTGCTTGTCAGGAAATTTTTGGATAGTGTCCCCTCAACTGTCAACTGAAAATATATGGCTGTGCCCCCCCCCCCCCCCCAAACTGAAATTGCTTCCTACGGGCCTGAAAAATGTGAAAAGTTTACAGATGGATGGATGCTGGACAAGGGGTGATCAGAAAAGCTCACTTTAAGTTTTCAGCTTAGGTGAGCTAAATGTATTTTTACAGAGTCTTACAAGTTTTTTTTCAAATTACTTAAAAGAAGAAAATACTAACCTTTTCCAGTGAGAAATTGATTTAAATTTCCATCACAACAGTTAGATTCATGGCAATGAAATAATTTTGTTTTGTACAAATGGTCCACATGCAAGATCAGCTTTGTTTTATCGTCAGCAGCCATTTCCTGAAAATACATACAAAAGAAGCTTTAATAAATTAATATTACAAGTCACATCTTTGCGTGCTTTAAATAAACGAAGGGGCTAATCAGCATGCACTGAATAAACAAAGCCGCTAGTCCATCTTGCCTCTGCTAGGCATATTCATTTATTTTTGCAAGGAAAAAAAGGGCATGGCGCTGGAAAAAAGGGCATGGCGCTGCGCCATGCTAGTTTGCTTTAGATTTAACACTATCAAGACTTTTTAAATTATCATTATTGTACCTGTTGTAATAGCTGACATGGATTCTACACTACTGAAATGGACAGGGATTTTGACAGCAGTAGATATAGATAGGTATAGAACTACTATTGCACTTAAATACTGACTATGGATAAAACTTCCATTTAGTCTTAAAGTTGCTGGTATGTTGAACAACAGGATGGCTTATATCTATAACAACAACAATTCAAGTAACTGAATTACTTTTTCACTTGAGAAGACGCAAGCCAAAGGAACAAGATGAGTTTGTGAAACACTGATGCCCCTGTATGACAGCTCATAACAAAGGCTGAAGTTTCTCAAATGCAAGTCAAGCTCCGAAGTCAAAAATCAAGAGATCAAAAATGTTGGTACATAAAAGAAAGATGCTTAAAAAATTAAATTACCTATCTAACTCTTCTTGACATGTTTCATTAGATATTTATATTGTGCACTTATTAACAGCAAATTCCAAACTAAGCATCTTATTTGCAAATAAAATGATTTTTTTAATGCATTTTCTTTAAAAAAATACAAAAAAATTCATATAAAATAATTAAGAGCTAATATTAATCTTTCCATGCTGAAACCAGATCCATTAAATAAAATCTTGGTGTAGCATTCCTCCTTAAGTAAGATGTGACACACCTTCTACCTAAGAGGCATTAATTCGCAAAGTTTGATGATTCTAGGTCTAATAGTTTTCTAGTTACGGGCCAGATAGGATTTTTCCATATTTGGCCATAGCATCTTAATTAAAAGTCACAGAGAGACCTATTTTTTTAGGTGTGACACACCTTCTACACAAGATGTGTCAGCTGACAAAGTTTGATAATTCTAGGCCTAATAGTATTAAAGTTATGAGCGGGACACAGAAAAAGCTAACAGACAGATGACCGGATGCCAAAACAAAATACATCCCGTCTTAAGACAGGCATATAAAAATCACACTTTGATGCAGTAATAATTAAGAGCTCGCAGTGTCGAGCGGCACATTACACCACAAGCTATTAACAGGTTGGGCACACTTCCCTTCTTAAGTAACTGTTACGCTAAAAGGGAATTGTTCTTCTTCCCTTTTAGCGTAACAGTTACTGAAGACGTATATAGAACGTTATTTCGTTATTATGATATTGTCTTACAGACCCAGTTTAACGATAGAATTCGTTTTGTGTACTGGCAATGTAGCAAAATAAACACAGGCGATAACTCGAACTCTGTGCATTTTCTATCAACAATCCAGAGAGTTCCGAATGTCAACATGGCATGTAAATATAAAGCGAGGAAAAAACGTTGAGAAAATGAGTTGAATTTTCTTATCTATAAGGATTATTTTTAAAGTTAAAAGACATATACAATCTCAAAAAGGTTTGTTACGATTAATTTGGCAGTTATTTTCAGTGCAACTCCTTTTGTATTCTTCAAAATCATTTTGGAGTGGATCCGCTCCAATTTGCTATATTGCAAGTATATGGGACGTATTCTAACTGTGGTAAGGGCTTGTCCCGAAACAGAGTTAGATTATTCTAACTACAAAAGAAGGGTAGTGTGCCCAATCTGATTATCCATCTGAACATTTTTTTAAAAGGAGTTTAGTAAATCATCCCTGGCTTGGTCTCCAAAAAAATCTTAAGGTGAACAAAAATATGATACACAGATTTACTGAGAGATTACAAGACGATGTATATAACTTAATCAGGTCCAGTACAATCAGTACATTTAGCTATGTAGCTAAAATTACCTACCGTAGCTTTATTTACCTACCTCAGGTAGCTTTATTCAGCTATTTCAAGGCAACTTTTCACAATTTTGCTTTTTATTTTAAAAAGACAAAAAGTTGCAAGTAAATGTCTACTAATACATATTCTAGGTATTATTTAAAATGCAAGGCCAAAAATAAAATTAGCTTTGTTTGGCATTGCTGGCTAACTCACATATATCGGTGCGGTCCGAAGAATTTTTTCAACAGATACTGATCATAATTTTTATTTCGTTATATTCATCCGGATTTAGGTGTTTGTAGGTTTGAGTAATATATACAGAATGGGAAAGAATCTTGTATACACTTGATTGACCGAACAGTTTTCATTTATAAGCATCTGTTCAGTGTGATGTTGAATAAATGCGTATCACGAATCCAAGCATGGCTGTCGAAAGCGGTAATGTAAACTCGGTATAACAGAAGTTGATGGCATGACTCTTTGGTAATGTGGTTTTAAATGGAAAAAGTAAACTGATGTATTCGATATACCAGTTCGAAATAGAACTTTCACAGTATAATGTCCTGTCCGATTTGCTAGATGAATCTAGCTGCCATGCTTGGATTCGTGCACATGATAACGTCTTTATACTAATTTAATGTCGGTGATTTTTAATACCATGTTTATTACAGTTTTAAAACTAAAAAGGTTTGAAAATAAATGACAAAACTGGGATCAATTCGGACTGTGGTTGTTGTTAAACCATCAGAAACCCATGACACCCGGATACAATCAACATGTGCCATTTCTGAAATTTAAATAAAAAAAAAAAAAAAAAAAATTTTCCCTACCTACCAACCCAAACTTATAAAGACTAAGTCGGCAACGCCAAACCAAAAATATTTTGTGGCCCAATCTAAAGCAGTGATAGTTTTAACATTGCTGCGTTTGAACACTTTTAAGGAAAATATGTATTTCCATTGTCTGAGTAACTGTACACCACCTAGTTAGAATAATCTAACTGTGTCTTGGGACAAGCCCTCGCCACAGTTAGAATACGTCCCATATACTTGCAATGTAGCAAATCGGAGTGGATCCATTCCGAAATGATTTTGAAGAATACAAAAGGAGTTGCACTGAAAATAACTACCAAATCAATCATAACAAACCTTTTGAGATTGTATATGCCTATTAACCCAAAGAATAATCCATATAAATACAAAAATTCAACTCATTTTCTCAACGTTTTTTCCTCGCTTCAAATTTAACGCCATGTTGACATTCAGAACTCTCTGGATTGTTCATAGAAAATGCACAGAGTTCCGAGTTATCGCCCATGTTTATTTTGCAACATTGCCAATACATGGAACGAATTCTATCGTTAAACCGGGTCCGTAGGACATTTATCATTTTAACAATAGAACATTCTATCTATACACCACCTTGTGTGCGATGAGGCGTGAATAAGTATGATTACTCCACATTATGCTCGTGTTAACCAAAACTGGTTTTCTTTCTTATTTCACTCAAGAAGTAACTGTTAGGTCACAAATTAACTGTTGTATATAGTCCCAAAACTTTTAGAATTTTGATTGCAATTGCGCAGAAAAAGACACATCTCCAAGAGTGATTTTTTCATGAATTGTTTTCAGATGAGTTCAAAGTTGAAAATTATCACTGCATCAAAGTGCAATTTTCTGCACTTTCTGGGAAAAATGTTAATTTAAGAAATAAGTTTGATTTAGTAGCTAAATAAAGCTACTTCAGGTAGGTAAATAAAGCTATGTAGGTAATTCGAGCTACGTAGCTAAATCTAGTGCTTGCACCAGACCTGTTAATGTAACTAACAGACTTGTGCAACAATACCAGGCATTTGCAAATAAACTCATGAATCGAATTCAAATGATCGTTTTTACATAAATTTGCGCTCATTTGATCTCATCATAGCCTTTTGAAAACTTGGAGTAAAAATAACATTCGTATCACCTTTATGCGACTGGTATAATCCAAATACTTTTTGTTTTCAGCGCGTCCCATCCATAATGACTCGGAACCGAAATCATAATATTTATATTCGGATAAAATTGAATTTGATAATTCGTACAAGAAAGTGTTCGTGTTCTGTTTTAAATTCTTATTTCAATGTATATATAAAAAATACCTTGTGTTTTGTTTATGTTTATTAAATCAATCAATGTTTATTTTTTCTTTAAATTTTAATCAATGTCTTTAGATATACAGAGAAAAACACAATATACACAAATTAAACACTCTGAAACCGAGCCCCTATATGGGCTATTTAAAGCACAGTTTTATAGACATGACATGTAAAATTATTATTTATTGAAGCTTTATGTTTTGCAAGTGTACAGTAAATTTAGTTCATTGATATTATAGTCTAGGACTGTTTATCACAATGCAAATGATTATCCCATGCCGTGTGCTTAAACTGCATGTAATTAAAGACGAAAATTCTTTGCTTCCAAACATTTAGAGGAAAGACCTTTCAAGAACATCATGCATGTGACGATTAAAAACTATGACAAGGTAAAACATATAAGTTTGTTAACGGATGAAATTTTATAATTTAACTACCTTCTTACTTTATGCCATGTTCAAGCATTTTGTTTATTCAATCAAGTAAAATGTTCAAATGTCCGGTGATTCCCTCGTCCCGTCAAAATCGCGAAATGACTTAAAAGGTAGTATATTGTTTAGCCGCCTACCTTCAGGTTAATTTTCAAAAAGTTATCATATATTCCAATTATTTTTATAAATTTATATAGAAATGTATCTCAATTTTTATAAATTTTGAACTATTCAGAAAAAAAGATAATTTGGGGGGGGGGGGCAAAATTCAAGAATTTCACTATAGAAATCAATGGAAATCGAAATACATATATAATATCCCCCCAGTGAAACAAAAAATGCCTTTTTTGCAGCTATTACGCATTGCTATTAGGCAAATTAAAACCAAAGCTTTTGTTGTTTCGGAGGGTGGGGGTTATGTTTACAGACCAAAATACAAAAATACACTGCTGAAAATAGTCTTCTTGTGACCAATATAATTTCATATGATAAATAATTTATAACTTGTAAGTTTTGCTAAATGATTCAGGTATAGTTAATTTAACATAGATTTATCAAACTGAAAGTTTAAGAGGTCATTTATCCATAATTCCATATCCACGATTATGAAATCTAGGGGAGGGGGGTGCACATCCCATCAATCAAAAAGTTGTATATAACACTGGTATTAGAGTTATAAATCAATTACGTATCATTAAAAATATTTAATAAAATATGCCAAACATGTTGAATTATGAATGTGCAAAATGTAGGCGATAAATGGGAGCGTTCGCAGTTTCAGCGAACTTGAGGTTATTTTTGGAAAGTAAGAAAAAAATTACATTGTAAATACAGGATGATCGCATGATGCAGGTTCAATAATGCATTTTTGTCTTTATGATAGTCTAAAATTTTTTAATCATCAATCATACGCATTTCCAGAGCCGTTGTCTCTTTCAGCTTCATAAATGATAATTCAATCTAGAATTAACAGAAATGTAAATGATATTAATCGAGTCTATAGAAAAAAAATTTCCGTTTTTGATTTATATAATTTATTGTTTGCCATTACAATATTTTTAATAAAATCTCCACGTCACTTTTTGTTTCAGTTTTACTTTGAATAAAAGGTCGATTATCTTTTTTTTTTATCTCTTCATAAAATTCAAGAAATTTTATTATCATTATTATCTTGACATTTCTTAACAAATTTAAAAAAATATACACAAAAATATGGGATACGATACATGTATCACCAAAAAGCCAATTAATTAGCTAAAAGTGATTTTCAGTTAAGGGTTGTATGAGAAATAACATACTCTGAATCTTGCACAAATGTCTGGGAATATGTAGCAATACGTACTTCATCACAAATTCTTGGGAAAAATTATATATAATTGAGGAATGTGTCATCAGATCAATTTTAACCTGCTCAGACGGAAATATTTGAAAAAAAAGAACCAATAGCTACGGTTGTACACAGATTTCTTAAATCGGAAAATGTGATAATTTCTGTAATAAGAAATGTGGTTGCGAAATTCAAACTCGGCACATGTATTTATGAATGTGATTGCGAAATTTAAATTTTCACAATTTTACGTACCAGAGTAGGGGGTGTACACATTATATAGTATGCTGGTAAAATTGATCCATGATTTTATCGAGCCAACCAAGAGACAACATCGATCGAAGACACATGAAATAATATTAAGGTCTTCAATTAATCATAGATTACGGGGAAAAGGGTTCGAATTAAAAATTCAATTTTGTCCGGTCGTAACAATTTCGCAACTTCCGTTCCGATTTATTATGACAGATCCTTGAAGGCAAGTAAGTAAAATTTCCCGATTATTCATTATCATGGTGAATCGATGGTGTCATTAACACACATGTGAAAGGACTTTTAGTGAAGTTAAGACATGATTGTTGCAGTGCTTATTAATAAATTGAACAGAAGTGTTAGGAAAATAGAAGGCCTAAGCATTCCGTCACAATGATCAGCTCTACAGGCACTTGCTAGATGAATAAAATATCGTTTTATAAAATGATATTGTCCTACGGACCCGGTTTGGTAAGGGCTTGTCTGTCCCCAGACACAGTTAGATTATTCTAACTACAGATATGCCTGATCTTGTTGATACTGATATCACACTGAAATATCTTTCAGAATCTTTCTTTTATAATAGATAGTTTTCAGTAGGCCCAAATTATCAAGAGTTATTTCCCGTTGGCCGCCATATTGGAGGTCAACATGCTCATATTCCTTCATTATTTAACCAACTTTAACTTTTTATACTGGCCATTGTGGGGTAGGAAGCGTTGTTTTTCTGAAAAATATATATTAGTTAAAGCCTCTTTCATTTCATAATTTTATTTCATAAAAATTTCCCCTCAAATTTTTCTGCTACACCTTCTTAAATTTGGTAAGACAAAGAGGAAAAATTCTCAGGTTGACCACCAAGATGGCAGCCAAGGGAAATAACTCGGAGAGAAAATATGTAGTATGAAAACTATCTATAGATAAACCAGATCAAAACTTAATTAAACCCTTACTTTATCTGGACATGAGAAGTGCAGAGGGATTTGTCAGTGTTTTTCAAAATTTTCTGTAAAATTTCTCCAGAACCACCGGACCAGTTTCAACCAAACTTGCTACAAAGCAGGTGATTCAAGTTTATTCAAATGAAAGCCCAAACCCTCTTGAAAGGGGAGATAATCAAGAAAATGTAACAATAGAGTGGGTGTCTTAAAAATCTTCTCAACAAGCCACAGGCATTTGTTTCATATATGGGGTCACCCCTTCCTTTCCCTCCACAAGGTACCTAAATCAATTAAAGGCACCCCTGGTTCAAGCTCGTATTTTGTTATTATATCAGTCATTAACCTACTTTTAAATGACATTGTTGGCTTTGACAGACTTTTTTCTTGTCATATAAATTGTTTCAGACATCTCTGACTCAAGACGAGATACAGGAACTTCTGGTTAGGGTTGATAAAACCAAAGACCTCAGAATGGAAAACTCTGAAATCTCTGCTTTTATCCTACATTTATAACCCCCACTATCCTGAAAAGTATGGTTATATATTCAACCTAAATATAGGATAAACAGACCATGGACAAACAAATTTCATTGTGAATGCACTCTGGGTGAACAGGAATTTGGAAAAATGGCGTAATTGGTGAAGGATGAACGTTTTAAGGCCAACGAACCAGCATTTGTTTGGGCCACAATAGGGTTCAAAGATTTCCATCTAGGAATAAATAAAATTTTATACAGAAAAAATATATAAATCTGCCAGGGGCATAGCCATGCATACTTACATGTAGTATATGTTACATATAAAACTATATTTTACAATTATATAGAGTTAAGGATAGAAAGCACTAGAAAAACCTTACCTTTTCCTGCATAATCATAAAATTTCCAAATAAAATTAGCATTTTAAATTCAGATCAATCCTTTTCTGGACAATTAAAACTAGCTGTCAGAAATGCTGAAAATTCACTAGCTTCTAAAGGCCTTCAACCCCCCCACCCCACCCCCCCATCAATAAAGATAAAATCATGTTACATGTTACCGGTACTTGTGAAGTAAATCAGAAGGTAAAACTCAAATTCTGTGTAAATAACTTCAGTTAATGGTGTGTCATATTTATAATTGGATTTTTAAAGAAAAGTTTCTTTATCACATAAGGTGAACATTTTATTTTGATCAGTGCATTTGTTCTATTATGAAAACTTTTTTTTTTAAATTTTAACATTATATGCAGTATACTATGATACTAGCTATCAAGTTTTCTGTCTTTTATTCCATTTTGTATTTTATTAGTAAACCGACAAAAAATTATCAATCTTTGTGTGTGTATTTGATTTTTTTAACAGTAAATGGAGTGGTCATGTGAAATGACTAATGAACTCATGTATTACTTATAGACAAGGTTGCTACTCCATGAGATCATGACCCTGACTTTTTTTCAGCTTTTTTCCTTTCAAATTTATTGGGTCAGCAATTACTGCATGACACTTGTGAAATTGGTGTTGGTTTTTGCACAAGATCAATCACATAATTAAATCCAGTAAAACCAAAGGGGATCTGTGTTGAATCAAATATATAGCAGTGATGGAAAATTCATAAATGATTATGTTGATTAAAAAAGGAAGTGAAATATGGGATATTGTTGTAGTGAGTGTTATATACGTTTTGTAGTATTGAACAAAGTGATGACCGAGTGAAGCTACAGTATAACCTTAGCGATGAGTTACTCCAGTGAAGCTAAACAGCTGGTCGTAGATGAGGAAGCAGCCACGGGAATACTCCAGCATCTCGACAAAAATGAACTGCAAAACCTTCTAGAAGACAATGACAAGTTAGATGGATTAATAAAGGATTTACAACAGGTCAATGTTTGATTTCAATATATAGAATGTAAAATGTATATATCTGGCAGAAGAGCTACTGGTAAAAATAAGTAATTGCTTTTAATATAAAAAATTATATATTTTAATCCTTGTGTACTTATTGGTAATTACATCTCAATTGTAGAGCATCTGTAGGTATACTTAATTGTTTACTTAGAATAAAGTAATAAATATACTGTAAGTTACATTACATGTACCGGTACTGTTAAAAAGAAGTATTCATCTCTTGATGAATGTCACAGATAATATTATTTTCTCATTTTTTTCCCTCTTGGTTTTAGGTCAAAAACATACAAACAGACAGAGAAATGATGCTTGCCAAAAATAAAAGCATGGCAGAGTACAACTTAACTTTCCAAAGTCGACTAGAGACCTTGAAAAGTGAAGTTGCTAAAGGTTATGAGGATGCTAATAAGTTGAAAATAGCTCTGGCTCAGGATAAATCTAGAATAGGTAAAGGAGAAGAAAATATGACTAGTGCATGTATTTAGCTTGGTGACGACACCTAGACAGTTTATCAAAATCAAGGTACATGTCTATTAAGCTGATAATAGCTCTGGCTCAGGATAAAAGAAGCAGAAAAAATGACAGCTTAATGTCAGCCCTTTTTTTCAAATTTTTCAATTTTTCAAACTCAAGGTACAGTAAATCTTGGTTATAGCAAAGTCCTGGGGACCTGTGAATTCACTTTATCTGTAATTCATTACCTGGTATATCCATACAGTGACGTCAATAAAATATATATAGCAAATTTGCAAAATATATCTGTATATCTAGGAGTATTTTTTAACTAACAGCTTTTAAGAAATGAGAATACTCAATCAGATTGTGAGAATACTTAAAATACATTTTATATATTGTTGTGTTCTTTAAGACGTTTTGACTGGCTTTACTTATTTATTGTAGATTCACACCCGAGTCGCCTTCTGCCTGACACAGTCCTGGCTTTGTTACAGTCTGCTGCTGCAGTGTCAGAAGAAAGTTCAGAGGTAACTCAACAATCTAAAAATAGAACAAAACATACATCAATGAATGCCAATCCCCCTAGTCATTTTGAAAAAATCCATTGTTCATTCAGGTGTAAATTTGAGTATGATATTATTATGATTACTGAGTATCATGATACAGTCATCAGGGAAAAACAGGATATTGTATAACAATTTATAATTATATATAGTTTTTTCCCTGAATTTTCTAATGTATTAAATATATATGTATTCATTACTTAAAATCATTTGGAAAGCCAACCAGAGAAAAGTAACGGTCAGGAATCAAAATAGTGAAGGAATTGATAAATACATGTGCATCAGTTATAACTATTTATTTAACTATTTTTATGCTTCTTTTTAATTTTAGCAATTTGCAGAGCAGTTCTGTGACAGTAAGATAAATCATGAAGCTTTCTTAGAGAATTATCTCCCTGTTAGAACAGTTGCTCATTTAAGACAAGTGAAAGTGAAGAAATTAACAGAACTGATGAATTCTGGACTCTCAAGGCCAGATGTTCCCACTGTTAACCCCTCGACAAACAGTTATTCCTGTCCCAGTGGCCTGACCAATCTACCCTACCCTAGTGGGAACTTTTCAATGCCACAGCCAGCAATGTATCCTAGATAGTGCTGAAGGATTTATGTGAATTTCTTTTTCATGAATTGTGAAATTAGAGGGCATACTACTATTTTACGTATAGATTCCAAACCTAAAATCTCATTGTTTGCTGCAATATAAGTGTAAAAAGACAGACTTTGTTTTTAGCTCACCTCAACGAAGTTGGGGGAGCTTATGTAATACCCTCGGCGTCGGCGTCCCAGGTTAAGGTTTTTGGAGCAGTTTTCTTTTCAAGTACTTCTATGGCCTATATTAGTCAGAGATGCATGGAGGATGCTTCTAGTGTGTTTCATTGTACCAGTCAAGGTTTCAGATGCTGCAATTTCAGCTAAAGAATGACCAGGTTAATGTTTTTGGAGCAGGTTAAAGTTTTTGGAGCAGGTCTCATTTCCAAGTAACTATAAGCCCTATATTGACCAAACTTGCATGGATGATACATCTAAGGATGCACACTACTGGACTTGCTTTGGATGCTGGATCTGACCTATATTTTCTGGATGAGTGACCAGGTCAAAGTTTTTGGAGCAGATCTCATTTCCAAGTAACTATAAGCCTTATATTGACTAAACTTGCATGGATGATACATCTAAGGATGCACACTACTGGACTTGCTTCGGATGCTGGATCTGACCTACATTTTCGGATTGAGTGACCAGGTTTAAGTTTTTGGAGCAGATGTCATTTCCAAGTAACTATAAACCCTATATTGACCAAACTTGTATGGATGATACATCTAAGGATTCACACTACTGGACTTGCTTCAGATGCTGGATCTGACCTACATTTTCCGGATGAGTTACCAGGTTAAAGTTTTTGGAGCAGATGTCATTTCCAAGTAACTATAAGCCCTGTGTTGACTAAACTTGCATGGATGATACATCTAAGGATGCACACTACTGGACTTGCTTCGGATGCTGTATCTGACCTACATTTTCCGGATGGAGTAACCAGGTTAAAGTTTTTGGAGCAGATCTCATTTCCAAGTAACTATAAGGCCTATCTGAACCAAACTTGCATGGATGATACATCAAGGGACGAACAATCTCAAACTTGCTTTGGATGCTGGATTTGACTTACATTTTCTGGATGAGTGACTAGTTTTCAGATAAGTATATTCCCAAGTAACTGCAAGCCCTATCAGACCAAAATTGCATAAATGTTGCATCTAGGGATGCACACTCCTAGATTGTTAGTTTAGTGTGGGACTTTGCCTTACTTAAAGACAACATTCGTTGAGGTGAGCTCTGTAATCTCTGATAACCTATGTTTTTGAAATGTTTAAGAATGACTTTGTGTTTATAACATGTTTGTATATTTTGCCATATGAAGTGCTGACACTGAACAATGCAAAATTAATGTTTCATGTTCTGTTGTGTGGTAATATATTTGAGCTTTGCTAGAATAGAAAACATTGAGACAAAGGAAAACTGCCTTTTTTCCTCCATAAAATAGGGTACATGTTTATTGTGGATGATGGTTTTTTTAACAAAATTTTAATGACTTTTTAAGAAAAAAAAAGAACATGCATTCAAATATGATGTTACCATAAATACATAGACAAAAATCAATTATTTGACAAGACAAAAATGTATGGGTTTAAGTATGATGGAAAAGGAATGAAGATGAATCATGCATTTTTAGTTTAATATTCAGAAATATGTGTAATGATATCCCCATGAAAAAAAGATGCCACAGACTGTGTACCCATATTTTACATAATGTGTACTACCAGTATTTGTTTTAAATTTGCAGCATCCAAATCTATTTTATTACGAGTTCAAAGATTCTATGAATCTTTAAAGTTTTGACAAATTTTAAAAGAAATTCCTGTAAATTAATTCATTTAGGTATATGAACATGTATTATGATGTTTGAAGAGCAAGCCAACTGTTTCATTGGTTGTTTTTGTCTCTTAAAAAGCTCATAACAGGCTACAGGTTTAATCTGTTGGGTCTCTTTAAGGTATTTCATCCCTAAAAGCCTCAGATTCAATGAAATTGAATGCATATATAACAGATATGATTGAGTTGAATGTATAAAAAAAACATGACTGAGTTGAATATGGTATATTAGAGGGTTGAATACTCATCATTTATTAAGAAATAATATATCTGGTAGAGAAATTATTTTCAATTGTTATTCTATTCCTAATGATTAAACACATCTTTTCACGACTGCATTTATTGATATTCTTAGTATTTGAAGTTTAAAAAAAAAAGACTTGTCCCTATAGACCTCAATGCAATCTTTGTTTCTTAATTACTGCTTAAGCAATTACATTTTGGAATTTTTTTTCTGGGAAATCCTTCTCTACTGTAAAATACTTTAAATTAATATCAGAGTATTATAAACATGTATGTGACTGATATTTGAGGATAGAGAATTTGGTCCTATAAGGGGTGGAATACCTTAAAAAAAATGAACATGGCTGCCCGAGGTATACTTGTTATCCAGAATGGTAAAGGAAATAACATTATCCCTTCTTGATTCAAAATGTGTACATGTACTTGTGTGCATAGACTTTTGCAATCATTAAAATAAACTTATACTAATAAATAGTATTTCAAAAGCTTGTTTATTTGTATCTTCATTTATATACTCAGGTACACCAATCAAATGTGAGTCAAATGAGCTTTGTGTCCTATGGAACACTTGTTGAGCACTGCATAGGTAGATAATGGTGGCATGAAATTCCTTGTTGAAAATTTTTTCTAAATACAAGTAGAGTGTACACATTTTTCAGCACTGGTTATCTTTCAAAAGAACTATAATGTAGTAGGATTTTGAAGAATTTGTAAATATGGTGATTGTAAGGTTTGAATACAGTGTCTTTCTGAGTGCACCATATGCATGTACAAGAAAGCAAAGTACTAAAATATAAATTCTGCTAAAAGAAATACTCATATAGCACCATTACCTAGTTGCTACAAGACTCGGTGTCGGAATTATTTGTTGTGTGTGCCTGAAAGCATCTTAATTGAATTATATATTATTGACACAATGTAATTTAAATTGAAATGTGTAACTTAAAGTGATCATTCTCAGAAGTCCATTTAAATATTAAATAAAAATTATGAGCAGAGTCAACATGAGCATCTGAAAACAGAGGTGGAATTAGGTGCCATGGGGGAGTAAGCATCCCCTGTCGACCAGTCACACCCACCATGTGCTCCTTTTGATTGGGTAAACACAGCGCGGTTTACTTCTGTGGAAATTCCTTATTCTGGATTTTTGTTTCAAAATAAGAATTGGCCTCCAGAAATTACGCTTTTGGATTATGCTCCTAAGTTTAATTTTTCTATGTCGTATTAATACTTTAGCAATGATAGGTTTCACTTAAAGTTCTTAGTTACACACCGATTTATACTCAGATTGTCATTTATACATGATAAATGCTGATAAAATGGATAGTAATGTAACAATTTAAAAATCATTCATTTAAAGTATTGATATGTACATAAGAAAATTAAGAAAAGGTATTGTCAACACTAAAAAATTACGGATGAAAAGCTCAAATCATGGTGAGAATCCATTTAAATAACTAAAAACTGCAGAATAGGGTAAACACATCTGTAAACAAATATCTGTAGACAATTCAGTGAGAAAAAAATGGCCTAACAATTTGTATGAAAGATGTCGGTCAACGTTCCACTTGGTCAATTAGTAAATTGTATGAATTTTGATGGTTTTATGAACAGTTTCTCCTAAAATATGCTAAATAAAAAATACTTAATAGTGAGGTCAAGGTCATAGGAAAGGTCCGAGTCAGAAATAATGTCATATTTTAATACCTCCCACCAATATATATCATTGTATGAATTTTGATAAAAATATCTTGAATAGTTACTTTGAAACTAAACTAAACATAAAATAGGGAATAGTGAGGTTAATATCACAGGGAAGGTCAAGGTCAGATTAGGTGTCTCACAGTTGGATACCTCTCATCAATATGTATCAGTTTACCTTGAAACAGACATAAAAGCAAAGTGTGATGAATGGATGGACAGAAGGAAGGAGACGGATATGATAAACACTATATTTCCTGGCCATATTCATGGTGGTGCATAAAAATACTGTCCCAATCCACATATTGTATTTGTGTCAACCATATAATTTCTTTTTGACTTTAAACAATTTTGTTGATATCCTAGTATCATCAACTTATTTGTCAATAGCCTGCCTCATTTTAGAAATTGTTTGTATGCAGAATATCTCTTGTGTATAAAACCAACCAGGACACATAAACTCCACATGCAGGTGATAATGTTATACTACATAAATAAGGGAAGTTGATAATAGAAAAGTTGAAGTCATCATGTTTATCATAAATTTAAGTTTTAAATTTCAAACATTCAGTTATTGAACATACATTGTATCTGAATAAGGATTTACATGAAGTTAAATGATAATTGTCCATCAACTATAAAAGAGCTAAACATGTCTACTGTAATGTTGATGTGGACAAACATCATCAATCCAAAGCATAACCTATTTTGCTTCAGTTCTAAATGCAGCTAAAAATTTTTGTCATTTTATGGCTTGTATGATATATTTTTTGTTTAATATTTGTTCAAAATTGAGATAAGTGTTGCTGAATTCTTCAGCTAATGCTCCCTTTGTACACGTGAAAGATAATGCACTTGTACATTAATTATCCAATTTATGATGGACCTTGAACTTTTAATACACTTGTACATTAATTATCCAATTTATGATGGACCTTGAACTTTTAATACACTTGTACATTAATTATCCAATTTAAGATGGACCTTGAACTTTTAATGCACTTGTACATTAATTATCCAATTTAAGATAGACCTGGAACTTTTAATACACTTGTACATAAATTATCCAATTCAAGATGGACCTTGAACTTTTAATACATTTATTATCCAATTTAAGATAGACCTTGGAACTTTTACTACATTTGTACCTTAATTTTTATGGGCCTTGAACTTTTTATACACTTGCACATTTATTATCCAATTTAAGATTTGACTATTACATGTAATTTAAAAAGCTCTACTTTTGTTCCATTCATATACATGTACACGATTATGACAAGAAAAAAAGACAATACATTTTTATTAAAATTGAAACTGTATTTGAAATATTATCACAGTTATAACAAATCAACATATTCATAAAAACCTAAATAACATACACAAAGCACTAAATTACTATTACATACAGAACATACCCGAGTTACTTCTAACACTCCAGACCAATTACTTATGTCGATTTGAGGGAGTAGTTTTGTTAAAACTAATTTCTACCTTCACAAGATCTTTTGATAAAGTTACTGATTATGCATTTTACTACATGGGGGAAAAAAAGAGCTGCCATCTATACATGAAGCACTGTATTTGCTTACGGTAATATGCTTTTACTAGGTTTTTCGTAACAATTCATTATATATTATATATATCTGTGGAGAATAACCAGTATTTTTTACAAAAAAAATATTTAAAAATCAGCTGCTTTTAAGGTGTTCAATTTTCTTTTTGAGTTAAAAAACAACATGGATTGCGAAACACCGATGCTCCCATATGGCAGCTTATGGCCAAGGTTAAAGTTTGTCAAATACAAACAAATTTCAAGATCAAGAGATCAAAAATGTTGGTACCCAAACAAAGGTCTTGTCACAAGGAATACACCTGTGAAATATAAAAGCCCTAGTACCAACCTTTCAAAAGTTATGGCCAAGGTTAAAGTTTTTCCTAAATACATCAAACTCCAAGGATGAAAATTGTCAAAGGATGAAAATTGTTGCTACCCAAGGGAAGGAATACACGTGAAATATGAAAATCCTAGCATCAACCATTCAAACGTTATCAATGTTAAAGTTTGGTAAAATTTTTCAAAAGTTGGTCAAAATCCAAGGTCAAGGTCAAATATGTTGGTACTCAGAGGTCTTGTCACAAGTATGAAAGCCTAGCTCCAACTAATCAAACATTATTGACAAGTTAAAAGTTTTTTGTGGACAAACAGACAGACAGAGCAAAAACATGCCCCGGAATCTTCCATTATGGAGGCATAAAAACTATGATCTAAACATGAGTTATAAACCCCTTCCTGCTGAGGCGTCTTTTAGAACAGTTGTTGCGTAAATTCTATTCATCTGTTCAATGAAAATAAAAGTCAGAACTGTGTGAGGTCCCAGTCGGAAATAGTATGGCAAGAATCCCTTCCATAAACTGAAAAAGCCTTCCTTTCGTACTGTATTCAGAAAAACATCCTGTAATGAAGAAGGCAAAGGTTATGTAAAATCTCAGAGATGTTCTATTCCAGGACATTTACTTACTTCTGATATATAGAACATGGGCCAAAACATTCTTCTGAGTCTTCTTATTCCCAAAAAAATCTAATAACAATCCTTATTCCGATAAAAACATCAGATTTTATTAAATGTTGATAAGGCATGGTATATGTTAGCTTTCGCTGCAATTTTTACCCCTCCATCTTTACTAGAAGACATCAAAATATCAGTGACAAGGTTATAAATTTTTCTAACCATAGCTCCTTTGTACTCTGGTTTTCCATCAATGGTTTTCATGTTCTGTATCCTGTAAAAAAAAAAAAATATATATATATATATAGGCAACTATATTTGTTTTGTACTATAAAGGGAGAATTCATATTTTCATTTTAAAAAAAAAAGATTATTACCTAGTTTTCACAATATCCACAGGCATTGAGAACACTGTTGTTACAAAACCACTGATCATACTGCTAATGAAATGGAGTAGCAAGCCATCTTTCACCATGTCTCCTGCAAGCAAAAAATGTGCACATATACAATTTTTAATAGTTCTCTAAACAGAAATGGGTCTTTTCTAATTTTCTTTAATAATTTGGTAATATCCCCTATTCCTCCTTTTAATCCCTAAAAGAGTTACTGCCCTTATCATTCTAGCTAAAGTATACATACTGTCTAGGAAAAACTGTTTAACTTGTGAATAAGAGGACAGTTGAGATGCATTCACTACCATAGCTCTCCCTATAGTAGGACCACTTCCCTGTGATAAATTAAAAAAAAAGTTTTGGTGAAACAGATTGAATTTAATTCCAATCCTTATGATTAAATATTGCTAAGAAGCTAAATATTAGCATATACAAAATCATATTTTCAGTTCTTGACATTGTGTCTATGTCTGCCATACTGTATACAGGGTTATTTTCACCCCATGTTAATTTCATCCTTTCACACTAGCAAACAATTTTGTCCCATTTTAAAATTCGCCCAGTCACAGTTTTGTTTATGAAATTATACTGCGTTCTTTTAATTCGCCTCATTTTAAATTCTACCCATCTGTGGGTACGGCGAGAGGGGCGAAAATTTCCCTGTATACAGTATTTATTGGAATGAAAATAAACAAATCAAACAAGGTCCATAGCTAAATAAACAAGAGGCCCATGGGCCACAGCACTCACCTGAGTCACATTGGCCCTTCTGTTCTTCATCAACAATTTTTTCCCTATATACTGTACATGTATTCCTATATAAAATTTTGATTGTTCTTTATAGCCCCACCCTACACCCAGGGGCCATGATTAGAAAAAAAATTAAATTTATATGTACCTAAGGATGCTTACATATAAATATGACTAGACATGATTTTGCTGTTCTTGAGAAGATTTTTAAAATCTATATTCCTATGTAAATCTCATCTATTGTGGCCCCATCTTACCACCGGAGTTCAAGATTTCAACAAACTTGAATCTAAACTACCTAAGGGTGCTTGCATATTAATGTGGTTCATCGTAGTTTTGCTGTCCTTGAGGAGTTTTAAAGATTCTTCCCTACATATTTCTATGTAAAATTTTGATTCTCAATTGCACCCTATCTCCAAAGGCCATGATGTGCAAATCTACAGTGCTTGAGGATGCTTCCATATTAATATGAGTAATCATGGCTTTGTTGTTCTTGAGATGATTTTAAAAGATTCTTCCTATATTTTTCAATGTATTGTAAAACTCTGATCCCCTATTGTGCACTACCCCCAGGGGCCATGATTTGTAAAATTTAGAATCTACACAACCTCAGGAATTTTTCACATAAGTTTAATCTTTTCTGGCTCACTGATTCTTGAGAAGAAGATTTTTAATGACCACACCCTACTTATACCTTTTCTTGATTATTTTCCCTTGGAACGGGGTTTGGCCCTTCATTTGAACAATCAAAAAACCCTTTACCCAAGGATGCTTTTTGTCAACTTTGGTTGAAATTGGCCCAGTGATTCTTGAGAAATCGAAAGTAGGAAAAGTTTACAGACAGACAGACACTGGACAACGTGTGATCAGAAATGCTCACTTTAGCTTTCAGCTCAGGTGAGCTTATAACCTAAAGCTATATATCCTAAGCTAAGCTAGATTGACATAAAAAGAATACAGTTTACAAATCCAAGTATTTACCCTAAAGAGAGCTAGAAATCCTTCTTCTAGCCAAACTCTTTTGAGTGCATCAAAAACATTTTTGTAACCTCTTCTTTGTTCAACAGGAAGGCTGAAAAAGAGAAAAAATGCTGATATGAATATCTTTTCTATACATGTATATTCATCTAGGATCATTTTACTTTTCAAACTGAATCACTCCCTCTAAATGTTTTACTGCATTGCATACTGTTAAAGTATTTTTTTTTTTTAGCAGTAATTGAATTTAAGCTTCCTGTCCACTAATTAATGTGCAATCTAATATATATGATAAAATCTAATACATGAATGTCATTTTTAATACTGAAGTGTGATAATTTATTTATGATTGCACTAATCAGTTGAAAATGAAGACTGCAATGAATTTTGAATGTGGTAATATAAGTATGTTTACCGTATATATATATATATATATATATATATATATATATATATATATATATATATATATATATATATATATATATATATATATATATATATATATATAGTGATAATGTCATATCTTACCGTCCATCTGCCGTCATCCTAATAAGAGCCAACTCGGCGGGAGTTCCAACAAATGCCCCAATACCTCCAGCAAACACACCTATGAACACTTTCTTGAAAAAGCTTGGGGGTTTACCATCTCTGAACAAAGAAAATAAGTCTTATTTTATTTTCTGTAAGCTGTTAAAAACTAAATTCAAGTGAAACAAAATTCATTATTTTAAAGTTGATACTAGTAATGTAAAAACAACCAAACGTTTCTGTATTTTTCTGTTTCAAACTGGTCCATAAGTTTTTTCTAATTTTGCTTTAAAAAAGGTTCAAGTTGGAATGAGATATAATTTCTTCACATTAGAGTACTGGTACTTTTTACACGACACTTACACACTAAATCTTTCAAACAGGGATGAGTATATGCCCATTCTTGTTGTTGTGTAGGTCGCCTGACGCAGAAGACCTGCTGAAAGCCTAAAATAAACATTCAAAAGCATCACTTTAATTAGTTACTTCAACATTATTTATTTGGATGGAGATATTTTTTTCTGTACCATGTACATGTTATGCAAATTACAAGAGATACAACTTAAGATCATAATTGATTAAATAATCAGATAAATTAGTACTGATATCTTCTACGATACTTAGACAAAACTTACCCTGTATAGATACCAGTAATACCCTCATTCCTTAATACTGTGATTAATGCATGCCCACTTGATTTATACTGACGACTTTTACCTCCCTCACCTATTCCAAAAAAAAAAGTACCATAAGGCTCCTATATCTTCCATACAAAGCTGAATACTTTTTTTGAGTTCCAAAAAAAAAAAATATTTCAGTAACATTTCTTTATCTTATGGAAATTATTGATTATTTTATCTTTTTTCCTCTCTCTTACACTTATTTTAAATGATACTTGTAACAATAATGATAAAACTGAAATTCATCATCATCAAAATATTAGACTACCAAATAAGTACTTTACCACTGAGCTGCATTCTGTTCTTTACCAAGTCCAGAGGCTGAACAAACACTGTAGCACCCATTCTGAAATACACAAGAAAACTTCATTTCTTTACAAAGGAAAATGATTTAATCAGAGCTGGAGAATCTTTATATTTAAGCACACATTAAGGCCAAAAAGATAACCTTTCAGACGTAAATTAATTCCACCAAAACAATGACTTGAATTTTTTCTGATACAAATTTAATATACCATTAAAAAAAAATGCAGTATTTCAATTTTTTTTTTAAATACATGAAGATATAGAGGATATTCAAAGTGTCATAGTTGGATATGGAATTTATTTCACATGTGGGACAGGATCTTTTTTTTAATATTTTAACGAATGTGAAGCATGAGTGAATATATAAAAAAAAATGTGTCTCACAAGTGAAATTAATTCCATATCCAACTACAAAACATTGAATTTTCTATTTATTACATTTTCCTTGATTTTTCCTTTGCCTCTGTCTTTTCATAACAAACTGTCATAGACCATGACATCAAAGTTGAGCAGTTGAGACGTCATAGCTTGGCAATTGTGAGATTGAAAACATTGTAACATGGATTTTAGCAACATATTTGGGAAGAAATTGGCAGTTTTAGTCTCTATCAAGATGGTTTAGTTACTATCTCTTATCTGACAGGCAAGAAATTATTTTTTTACTTACTTTGATATCCTTTTACATTGTGAGAGAATATCACTTTGGTATCCTTTCACACTGTGAGAGAGTATCACTTTTATTCAATGGATTACAGTATTTCACTGTTGAAAATGTAATAAATCGTCATTTGCCCTGTGTATCATAATTGAAAATACATCAAGTATTCTAAACGTTAGTTAGACTTAGATATAGTAGTTAAAAATATTATTTCATGCATTTTTTCCATTTGAGAAAGCAAAAAAAAATTCTTTATCATAACTTCATGTCTTTGAAGATTTCTCCTGGATAAAAAAGACACGCTCCCTATATTAAAAATGAATTAGCCTAGTTAATTTCAAAATATTCTCTTTTACGCTATATAATTTTCTCTAAGTCCAAAAAGCAGTTTTCATCAGTTTATAGAGAGTTTCCTTAAAGCAGCCGCTAAATATGCTTAAATAGCATCGGGCTCGCTATTCGGATGCCTATCATTTACATTTTATGTAATTTTTTAAAACTATAAACTTGTATGTACATATTTCAAAATAATAAGAATTCATATTTCAAGCTTTGGAAATTTAATATAGGCACCATTTTGTTCACCTGTGTCACCTGAAAACTGAACGACAATCTGACAATTTGCGGTTGCAGGTGCGTGTCCTTGGATCACTCAAACTCCACGTGCATTACTAACCCTTTTATTTTGTAAATGAAAAAGATGTAAATTTACTTACCCAGCTAATCCACCGATGGTAAATTTCATATACTTGGGTATCGTGTTCTTTTTCTCAGACATTATTGCAGATAAATATTAATTAAAGTCGGGTGCTTAGTCGACGCGTTATGTCAGTCAAAAAAGATCTTACTAAAATCCGGTAAGTGGTACAGAATCCTGAACGCTATTTTGCTTCTTGCATGTTGTAGCCATTGATTATGTGATAATATTTTTTCTGTTCTTTCTTTTTTTTCTGTTGTCTGTCATTTGATTAGTTATTTTGACTTTATACCAACATGTTGATGTCAATAAATTGAATTGAATTGTTTTTTTTGTAAAATTATAGAAATTTACTATTTTGTACAGAACCACACACACTCCTTGATAATGTCTCATTAATTTTAATGTTCAATGTATACATGTATTACTTCTCTCCCGACTAAGACTGTGTTTTGTTGCTAAACAGTATTCAAAGGCGAATCCAGGAATTTTTCTTAGAAATTGGGGATTCCATAGGCACTCCCCAGCTTAATTGTTAAAAAATATATATCTACTATACAAAACACATATGTTTATAGCATAGTAGATATATATTTTTTAACAATTTAGCTGGGGAGTGCCTATGGGGGATTCCATACTCACTGAAAAATCTTACACAGAAATTCTTTGACGAAAGTCACTTTCCTTCATATATACATGACTCTTCTTTCCAGGCTTACTAGTGGTCCGTGATTTTTTTTATTTGGGAGAGGGGGGATCTTTACAATATAAATTTAATAGCTCTGAAAAATGCCAAAGTCTGCATGGAACCACCGACCCCCCTCCCCAGAATCCTCGAATGTTTTGCATAAACAAGTTGGGGGAAATGCTTGAACTGCTCAAACACTCTATTTTTTAAAGGAAGGATACATTATGTGATCAAAATGTTAAAATGAAGCAATGATTGCTTAGTATTTAAATTGTTACATTAAAAACAAAAAATAATACAAAAAAAAACTAAAACAAATGAAAGCTATAATAAAGAAAACTGATAAGAAAGAAAGCAAATAGTCCTTTCTAAACAAGTATTTCAATATCTACATGTATATATATTGAAGGGGTGCCTATCGTGACCAGCTCCACTGAGCCCCTCTCCCTCCCGCTACGTAATGCCAGGTATAAACATATATAATGTGGATTTGTGGAATTTCTTAAGCTTCGGTATCAGCTCTTTCACATGATGCTCCGATTATCTACATGGTGCAATTCGATCAAGGTTTATTGTTGTCCATTTCGCTCTAATATCTTCTTTTGGCGAAATTAAGAAGAGAGAGAATTTTATATTGTGAAATGCAGATAAGACTGTATGTAGTAACAAAACATACTTTGGAAGATTTCTACATGAATTCCTCTGTAATAATGTATGTCTCGCAACCCCTTCCCCAGGAAATTATATTCAGCACCTAAGTTCTCGGGAGTTCGGTTAAAAAAAAAGAATTTGACAAAGGCAGCCTCTATATATATATATATATATATATATATATATATATATATATATATATATATATATATATATATATATATATATATATATATATATATATATATATATATATATATATATATATATATATTACAGGGTTTGGCAAAGAGAGCATCTATATATCCACCACGTTCTGCCTGGCGAAGTGGATAATAGCGGCTATTCAGAAACAGAGTTTGACAAAGGCAGCCTCTATCCACCACGTTTTGACGAGCGCAGTGGATAGTAGGAGTTTTGTTTAAGGCCTGTAGTACACACGGTATTATTTGTATTATAATATACTTGTATTAGAAAACAAAATCTTATCGTTTATACACTTTTAATACAGTATATAATAATATTTTTTCAAATTTTATAAAATCTGTATTAAGAATAGAGCAATGTTCTAGATATTTCCTAACAATGGTGCTTGGGGACGGGAACCACCCCCACCCCCGCTCTGTACCCAAGGGGGGGGGGTTAATGCTAGTATTTTGCGAATTTCTTGTATTGCACTGGAAAGATAAATTACCTCTTTGTCTGGAAAATTTGAATACAGGTTTTTTATTTACTAATTTTTTGTGTTCTGCTCAAGATACGTTGGTATGGTTCACCCCTCCTAAATCTTGACACCCATTTGCGATTACATTGTGCGGTGGTTTATGAATCATTATATATTATATTCTGCTAAACGCGCGAATTCGATATCTGCCTTAAGAAAATATCACAGTTAACATTAACTCAGAAAGCATTGGTGATTGTGACAAAATTTCAACTTACAATAAATAATTGACATAATAAGTATACAAACATGAAATACAGAGAGAGAGAGAGAGGAGAGAGAGAGAGATGATGATAATGATGATGAAGCATGGACTAGTATTTTCACAAGCAATGAAAAAAAACCCAACACAAATTTGGTTTACATATAATATTTTACAACAACATTGATATAAACAATATCCATAATGGCTTGGTATCCATATGGCAGTATAATGCTAATTTATAGTTAAACAAATAAAGCAAGTGTTTTTTGATTATTATGAAATTCTTTCTCTCATTCATTCCCTTCATTTTGTCCTTCAAATCACATCACTTTAAATGTAGAAATTCCAGCAATCTTCCATCTTCATTGGCGTCGTCAAATGCTTGGAAATCCTGTGGATGTAAAATGAACAAAGGCCGTGGTTTATATGAAACATTAGCTTTCTACAATTGATATGTACTGGGTTTAAGTGCAGATGTCTAAAAATAAGATTGTACAACAGTCATCATTTATTAGCTGCAATAATGTAGCCCTCTCCGATTTTTTTTTTTTTTTTTTTTTTTTTTGAAGTAAGTTGAATGCAAAAACAATTTATTTTGCCTGTAGTCGCCCGTATCTAAAAAATATATTTGCACCATTAAGGAGATGCAGTGGAATTGTAGCCCTCTCCTGAAAATATCAGATTAAAAAAAATCGGAGAGGGCTACATTATTGCAGCTAATCATTTATAGCCCTTATAAGGACAGATGACACAAACATCTTCTTTTTCAACAATCGTGAAAATAACAACTAAATATATGTTTATTGATATAAATAAAATGTATACGTTAAGCTGCAAATGTTTTATTTTTCAAAGTTTCTCAATTATGTCCTATTAAGTGAAAAAAATGTATAGATTTTATAAGGGTGATGGAAAAGGATGAAAAAAATTGAATATGCATCATAGAAAGACTACAATTTCTTAATATTGTAGAGATTTTATTTATGCAACATTTACAACCAAAATAATTCCAAAAATATACACCATCCTTGAATCCATTTTTTTTTGTTGGTATGTGTCCTTACACACTATTGCCTATTAATATGAATGAAATAACAATGTTTAAAGCATTATCTGAATGTCTTGTAAATTTCTGCAAACACAGGATAGTATATGCAGAAAAATAGTATTGTACATGTACATGTGGGATGGATGGATACTACCTAAATTCATTAATGTACGTTAAATGAAAAATAGTAAATATGAAACACGTCGGTTTGATGTACATCGTATACATGTAGCAATTAATGATTGATGAGTCAAATCACAGGAGGTTAATGGTCAACTATTTAGAAAAAAATCATATATTTCTCTTTACAAGTCCTCAAGCAATTATTATTTACATAAAAAACTGCACGAATTTTGTTTTGTTTTCACATATCAATATAATCAAGGAATTACATGGATTTATGATAAGGAAAAAAAATTCAGAACTACACACTCTAATTATCTATACTGGAACTGAGTATGCTTACCCCGCAGTATGTGTTGTCATTAAATATTTGAGGGGGTAATAAGTCTGGAATCCCCGCCAGAGCCCTCATTTCTTCCCTGCCTTCCTGGTTTTTACTGAGGTCTATCTCCTCATAAGGAATCTTTTTACCGTCCAGAATCAGCTTTATTCGGTTCTGTTTGATGTATATCTGAAAATAAAATACGTCATTGACTACATATATTATGAATGAGTATATCTAGTATGCCTATTCATAGACATGATAGAGAGTGGAGATTCTATAGGAATCCCCCACCGATGCTTATATCACTGTTTTCGTACAATGACTCACTGCATCCTTATTCGATTATCACGCTAGTTTTAAGAAACTTATTATCAGGAACTAATTCACGCATTAACTACTCTTCTGAAAGAAAGAGCTCTTAACATGGAAAATGGGCAATTATATGCACGTGTGTGGATGTATGTGAAATAAACTCTTCACGAGCATCACTGCATGTAACAAGAGGGAGTGTCATGCAAACACTTAATTGTCGATACAAACGAGCTATTGTAAGAGATGGAGTTATTGGAAAAAGTAGAGTCCAAATAACCCGCTTCTTTGTCTGCTAGACAGAAAATCAACAAGATATCAGTTATCAAAACAAAGCGATAGCATACCAAGCTTAGAACGAAATTGAACGAAACAGCAGAAAAAGTGCTCACAATTTTTAAATAAAAACCTACCCCCCAAAATCACTATATCAAGTGATTGATACTTATAAAGAAGAGAAAAAATACAGTACTTACATCTCGGTTTGTAGCCACGGTGGTCATGTAGAATTTTACAGTCATTTTTTTGTCTACTAATGATATACGAAGCACACAGTAGCGCTGTGTGTTTTGGTGAGCCGATTAGCTTCAGCCAGCATCCCTGCAGGTCCCCCCGACGATGAACAAGGCCGAGGATGATTCAGCTCCGAGATGCACAAGTGTTGCACATGGCTATTAATTTTTGGCGAAGAGAGAGCTGCATACTTGTGCGGCTACTCACATAATTAATGATGTCCTTACTGATGATGGAAGACTTAATTTTAATTGGTTAGGAAAAGAGAGGGATGTTTCTTTAAGAACTTTTGTCCTGTCGGTGGCCTCAGGTTGAGAAGACGGGAAATCTCTTCACACCAGCTTTCATTCAGTGAATTGTCAAATTATCTCCAGATGGAAATTAAATCTAACTTTATAATATGTTACAAGTCTAAATCTTTTTCTTTAGAATTGGTATATTTCTGTTAAGAGTGAAATATTATATCATTTGAGTTAACATGTAGATATATGTGTACGATACTTCCTTGTAAGGGTTCATAATGCTAATGCAAGTAAAAAAAAGTAAAAACAATATATTACAGCTATGTAATAACTAAAAATTACGCGTTGAATCATATCAGTGAGATTGTAAAGATAATTTATAAAATGAATCTGATCGCATTTCCTGAAAAATGATGCAGAATAAATTGTCATCTTTAAATCTAAAGTAAACGGGTGCGAGTGGGAAAACAATATAAATTAAATATTTGTACATCTAAAAAAAATCATTGCGTGAACATGGCAGCAATACAGGTTTTTTTTAAATATGGGTGGTGGGGGTTGGTTGGCTTGACAAGCAAAAAACAAAGGATATTTGAGAAAAAAACTGCCCAAACTAAAAAAAAAAAACAACAACAAACAAATTATTTCATGGAAAGGGAGGAGGGGCTTTCTCTCTTCGACTAAAAAAAATTATGCACATTAACAGGTTGGGGGGGGGGGGGGGGTTAGACCATATTGCAACAAAAAGGGAGGGGTGACCTTTCAATTAAAATTTCTGTATTAAAATAAAAAGCAAGAAATTATTCTCGTTAAAAAAAGGAGGGGACAGAACAGACCTCCCCGGCCCTCTGATACTATTGTTCCTTATATCAGATATGCAAAGGTAGGTAGGTATAAATGAGGCACGCAGTATCGGGATTTGGGGGGTGGGGGGGGGATTTTTTCCAAACATAACATTTTACTGTTGCAAATGTTCGTTGAAAGGCTGGATGCCCCTCTCCCCACTTGTTGATGCATTATAAGTGAAATAACGTTTAATGTGGTAATGGTAAGTAATGTATTAATAAAATTTGGTTGGGAAAAAAGTTGGAACCTCTACATTTTTTTTTTTTTGCTTGTCAAACTTTTTTTTTCTGGCTGCCGCCTCCCCCTCCTTCAAAAACGATATAACGATACTACGTGTCTGTAAATTAAACGACTATACTCGTATTTTATCTTTAGCGGAGACAATCACCGTTGAATTCACCGTTGAATGCTTACCATGTGTTTTTTTTTTCAATCACTTTCAAGGCAAGATTTGTTTCCTAAAACTTAGACTTAAAATGAAATGAATTTAAAACCACAAATGTTGAAATGCGAAATTGAAAAAAAAAATTGCCCATGGAGGATTTGAATGAATCTCTACTCACTTAACTGAAAATCTTATTAATATTATGATATACTTTTCAAACAGAAGACGGGGATAACAATGAAATGCATTGTAAGATACAGTGTAACATATATAGGGACTAGTTGAAGAGGATTTTTATGGAAACCGGTCGGTAATCTATCAATTTTAGAGCTATTTCCCTTAGCCTTCTCGTGGGTGGGGATGGAGGGAGGGAGGTGGTGGATGGGTTGGATTGGTTGCAGGTAAAGTGATCTGCCCTTTGATCTAATTGAAATTTATAGTGTATTACTCAGTTAGTACTGCATTCAAGCATTCTAAGCATCTTATGTCAATAAATCAATTGAACACCTCTTCATTACTGAAGTATAAGCAACAGTGGTTTTGTTCACCTTTCCTAAGTGGTTCATGGAGAGTACCCTGTGTTGAAAATGAAATACGTCATGTTGATAAACACAGTACATTGTATTTACATCTTTATACAATATGAATTTTCTCGGAAATCTTTTTTTTTTTCATTAATGTATAAAAGGTCCTTGGATTGTGAAAACCAATATCAAATTTAGATGTTTTCCCTTCTGTAGGGCATAAACAAAAACTGATATTTATACAGATAGTCTAATTTTTGTGCTCTTTCGGTTGTACCAAAATACACATTAAAATCAATATTTCTGCATATGAATAAAAATAAAGATGAAGCAATTTGACTCTTGCCGAAATGGGTTTAAGAATGCCTCTCTGCATAAGTTTTATCTTTGTTTTGTTGCTCTTTTAAAATTTTTATTTCATTTGATGATTTGCAAATTTATCCACAATCTGGGAAAAAACCCATCAGTACAAGTTCATCGATTGAATTTGAACTCTCAAAACTTCATACTACTAGTAATAAATTTTAACCCAATTCAGTGACACTTGCTATTAAGGAATCTATATGCAAAGCAGGGACAGATCCAGGATTTTTTTTATCCAATGGGGGTGGGGGGGGGGGGTGGGGTGGAGTTCCAATTTAGCTGTAATAAATGTCAGGGTCAGAAATTTTTTGACAAGCAAAAAAACAAACAAAAAAAAATACAAAACACCCCCCCCCCCCAAAAACACACACACACACACACACACACACACAAACTAAACAACTTGTCCAAACCTCATAATACTATTTCGTTGGGGTTTGGGTTTGGGTGTGGGGTTGGAAAGGGGTGGGTGGGGGTATGAGAAGACACTTTCCTAAGTCAATTTTCTTCGGATAGATGACTCTGTACTATTTTAAGATGGGTCCATGTTTCCTATGAGTGTCTAAGGTCATTTTTTCGTTACTAGCTTTTACCATAGACCTACAGCTATAGGTCTATGCCTTTACATAGAAATTTTGTTACATTAAAAGTTTAGACTTTATCAAGTTAAACTTAAGACTGTTACAGATAAGTTTCACTTGATAAAGTCTAAACTTTTAATGTAACAATTTATAACTCTGAAAATCCCGGGGTTGGTGGGAGGTCCAAGTATACGATGTAGCTGGAAGGAGTCAGACGGATGCTATGCATTCAATGAGTACTGTGGGGAAAAACTGAAGTTCAGATCATTTCACTGCAGAGTTCCTATGTCAAATTTTAACCTCTATTGTGATATTACCCTAAAATGGGTTTGTTATTTGAATTTTAAAAATTTGGGGATGTTTATGTAATGATATGACTAACTGTGCATCTGTTCTTGAAAACAGCATTTTCAAAGACCCCCCTTCAAATTACCATATCAAAATTTGACCCATATTGTGACCCTAAATCCGGGAGACATGATTAGAACAAACTTAACTGAGAATCTTTACTATACAAAGGGATGTTTGTACATTAATTAATATGACTAATGGAGTCCTTTTGTTCTTGGAGAAAAGTTTTCTTTTTAAATTTACCCCTGTTATGGTCCCATCTTACCCCCTGAGGAGCGTAAATTTTTAGTACATGGGGCTGTTTTTATTAAAATATGACTTACTTTACCCTTCTTGAACAAATTTTTAAACCTTTTTTCCTTAAGTTACAATTTAACCCTGGTGGCCGCACACTAGAAACGAGATCTATTATTTATATAGATTGGAATGTAAAGTATATAAGGACGCTTTTACATTTACATAAGTTTTGTCTCTTACAATCCGCTGATTCTGTATAATATTAAATGTCCCATCCTATCCGTATCATTCATTCATTATTTCCCTTTGGAATGGGACATAACCTTTTATTTGAACAAATCTGAATTCTCTCATTCAAAACAAGCTGTGCTAATTAAGGTTGTACAAATTGTTTCTGATATTTTGGAGAAGATTTGTTAAGTGAATAGATGACAGACAGGCAAGCGGACAAACTTCTATCAGAACTCATCTAAGCTTTTAGCTCAGAGGAGCTAAAGGAGTTGATCCAAGGTGTATGGCTCAATCTTGAATAAAAGAAATGCATGTAGCACTAAATTGAAATCAACTTTTTTCTGGGCTAAACACAATTGGGCTTTCAAAACAGAATATTGGAAATTGGAGGAGGGTGTAACAGTTGCGCCATCTCAACAATTTTTTCATCTTCACTAACCAAGTGTCTCATTCGCTTACTCTCACATCATAAGAGACGAGAAAAAGCGCATTGGGCACTTGGCTAATGAAGATGCAAATATTTTTGTGAAAGCATTTTATAGGGATCATCAGTAAAGGAGTGTTGCTCAGGAAAATATCTAGAACTTTGTCAAGCTTGTACACTCCAGCAAATAGAGGTAGTCGAGTCCTGACTATATCAACAACAAAAAAGAAAGGAATGGTGACAGTCAATTTACACAACGATTCAAAGAAAGCAAAATACAGGAGTCGGTAGAGCGAACAAGACAAATTGAGATTTTCGAAAGAATAATATGTTCTGTTGCCAAAATTGATGTGTTCACTTCCTGCAACTATCATAGAACAAAATGGGAAAAAATTAGCAAAAAAAAAAATAATAATAAAAAAATGGTCCAGTCGTTCGCTGGAAGAAGAACTAGATGATTAGCTATAGCACTACTCTCCAGAAAGTGGCAGCCGGCACTACTCTCCAGAAAGCGGAAGTTAGCACTGATCTCCAGAAAGTGAAACTAGCACTACTCTCCAGAAAATGGAATCTAGGGTTTTCTTCAGAAAGTTTAAGCTAGAACTCTTTACAGAGAATGGAATTATGTGTGGGCCAAGAAGTCTAACGAGAGGAGGAACAAACAACCAGGGAAAAGGGCAGTACATGTAGCTTCAACTAACTACGAGCACATCTTATGGCTCGTCAGAGTGAAAAGAATGATCCAGGGGATGACCAACGGTTCCTACGGATTTGCTTTTGAGAAGCGCTATTGGGAACACCACATTGTATATGTTTCAAATACTAATAGGATTTAAAATTATAATTGCTAATTAATGTAATTCACCAGGGACTGAAAATATGCTTTAATAAAAGTACATATTAAATCAATTGTTTGAGCACAGTGGTAAATGTACTTAAGGAAACACGAGAAATACGTTTGATACGAAAACTACCGGTGTTAAATATTATTATCTGATAATTCAGGTAGCACATTCTTTAAAAGGTATTAAAACCCCATAGCCCTTAAGAAGTTAAACATAGCTTTTCACACAATACTACATATTGATCGTTTAGGCAGACTTTTAAAACGTATTTATTGTTCCTCTCTCGGGAGATTCAAATAGAATTGTCACCAATACCATTCGGGAGTTATCTGCCCAATGTCGGATCAGAAGAGTCCTTGACAACCTGCTGAAATGCAGTGTAAGATGCCTTTTCAATTGGGGTAAAGGGAAATTATAAGCGGAAATGAATGAGGATTCTATCAAAGGTATGTGAATTATATTTATCCATCTATTTGTTCGTTATACAAAAGGCTATATTAATTTTAATTTTTTAAAAGAGTAACTCGATGTTTAAATCTGCATGTAACGATTTCATATGCATACATGCATTGTTTCATTGTAACGCTAGACTGACATTCTACAAAACGATAGACCTTATTAAATAGCAACGGAAGTTCTCTTGAAAAAAATGTTTTATTTAACTTAAAATGCATGTTATATTTAACTTAAAATGCAATTAAACGGAAGGCAAGTCATTATTTTTATAACAGATTTCATTGATAATAAGTATATTATATACTAAGTTGACAACGATAATGATTTCAATTTAAATATTCAACATCAAATCTTTTAATGATTTTAAGACTTACCGGTACGTAATTTGAATTTACTTATAATATGCCGACTTCGCACAGATTACCACCCTCTTTCCCCAACCCACTAATAAACACACACATGTAAATAAACATTAAACAATCAAATCGGTTAAGGATTATTTGAACAAAAAACAAAAATTTTGAACAACTGTTCCTTAAAATAATGAAAAAAGAAAAGAGAAATCGTTAAGTGTCGTTGATTTTAGGGTCAAAGTATGACATACAAGGGTTTGAACAAAATTAATATGTTGACATTCATCAAATATTTGCCTTCACAGGACACTAATCGTTAAAACAGCCATCGCCAATCATCGATAATTCCTCAAAAGAGCCGTTTAGAAATTACTTTCAGAATATCAGATCAGTTTTTACATATTTATTTTAGATCTCTGGTATTTGTAGAAGGTGAATATTTTTATTCCTTTTTTTATTATATATCGGATTATCTTTTTGATGAACGGCTTAAATGGAGCAACGATCTGGTCTAGTATTGTCAGCAAATACAAATCTGTTTAATCTTTTTACTGTATGGGGCTGCGTAAACAAATGTTCTTTTATGCCAAGAAATTTGTTTTTGATTTTCTTTACTGAATAGAATAACATTTTTTTTTTACCCAAATCAATCTTTGTTTAAAAGATAACATGTGATTGACTAAATCACATCTAAAACATCTTATACACCTCACAGCATTTTACATTCCATGTCTTAATTAACTAGTATTTAAAAACACACACACACACACACTCATAGATAAAGTCAAAACGTCGACACCATACTGTATAATACACAGCATCGTAGACATTTTGGACATCAAATCTGATTTTAAATTGATTTTTAAAATTCAAATATCCTGATTGAATTGTGAAGAACGAGCCACTTAGATCTGACAAGTCTGTGTGTCAAAAAGGTCTGCGTTTATCTACAAAATACCTGCTGCCTTTTTAATCAAACTAAGTACGTCTTTTCAGATGTCAAGAATCGCTATTGATCTTTCGATACAGATATTTGACTTCGATAAGAAAAATAGATATCGACTTATATCCTATAAGTTAATATAAACCTTATTTTCAAATCATTTTTCATACAGTTGTCTCACATACAGCTGTTAACAATATAGGATAGCAATATAGATAGTTATGAAGGCATTCTTTCGTGCAACTTTCCCATAATCGTAAATTTCATAAAATGTTTTGACATTGCCTTTATCTCGTAGTGCATGTACAAGCGAATGTTTGATTTTATCTGTCTACCCGCAAGAAAATGGCAGGCAGACTATTCTGTTCTTAAGATTTATGGTAAAGACTATGACATTTGGTCGACAACATGCGTAATTATGGATCGAAATCCAAACATAGAATATCAAACCATTATCTAATACATTGCATCATATTTTTCCTTCAATTGATATTTTTTGATTTGGCAATCATTACTACAAATTTAGAAACTGGATCATAAAATTATTGTTGTAATGGTACCTTTCTAATCGATTATAAATTGTTATATATACTTTACCCGTTTCTGTTCAACACTTATATTTATTTAATCATTTGATATATTTTCAGAAACCTTTGAAACAGAGGAAGATCAGCTAAAACATGGTCTTCTCCATGGAGGGTTCAACCTCCATGATCTTCCTCGACTCCCATCCAATGTCGTCAAACTGTACGTCTGCGCAAACAGGAAAGGTAACGCTCAGTAATCTTTAAAAAATTCTCAATAATGAGGAAGTCTCTGACCGATTCATTGAAAGTGTCTTGGTGAAATCAGGAGGGAAAAGTTTTGCAAATTATATTTTCTAGAGTTTGAAAAGGAACGAGAGATTTTAATCAGAGAGGTGTATCCCGACCTGAGACGTTACTGCCGGGACAATCATGGAGTGGACTTTCACGTAAGAACCAAATCCTCATAAAGTACTTTATTAAGATCATGCGATGAATTTTGTACAGTACATTATATTTTATCAAAGCTAAGTACTATTAATATTTAAAATACATGTATTCATGTTGTGAATGTCGATGTAGGCTGTTGATTTACGATGGGGATCAAGGAAGGAAGTGGATGTATTCCAGCCGATGTTTCTGCGAGAACTTCAACTGTGTCAGAAAGACACAATGGGTCCAAATATACTTGTAAGAACAATGATTTTAATAGCCAGTGGTATTCCACCATAGCGTAATTCACAAATTGTTAAAAGGCTTAATTTTTTTAGTGCATGTTAAGTGAAGATGAGGAAGTGTGGTATCCGCCATTGGAGGTGGAAAAAGACGAGTACGAAACTTTACTGGAATTCTTAGCTTCCTGTGGATTTGAAGACGAGGCTCTCTTTGTGGATAGGTACTACAAGGAAGACAAAAATGGCCCTACACCATACTACTATTTACAAGTGGACTTCCAACAGACTTGTAAGAATGAAGTGTTTTCTCATTTTCGCTTTTCCACATTCGATGTGTACAGATCAGGTCTGTCACCAACAGATGATTTAAGCATGTGTCCCTTATAGTTGATTTAAACATACATATATTGCCCTCATTAATTCCAAGTTATTATTCGCAATGATTGATTCTTCTTGCAGATTCTGACGAATGGTCTAGCACACTTTGTCTTCTTCAACAAATCTTTCTGAAAGCATCCGAAGCTTGTCTGCAGAAAGGAATGATTGACACTGAAACTTACATGGAGTTCAAGCCTATAGGTAATAAAAGATATTCATTTGGTACAAACTGTCACTTCATTATGTGAAGCAGACTTTCTATTGTGGAGATATATTTGTAGGCTTAGAGAACGAAGTTGAAACAGGAATCCTTGCAGTTGATCGGAAACATAGGGAAAGAAACTGCATCTTGTACGTAAAAGGATTATTACAAGAAGGAAAAGAGAGTACAGTAGATGACAACAGTAGTTCTTGTACAGAGAGTACCATTAGTAACGGTTTCCTACCAAGCAGTCTCAGAGAAACAGTGTATGAAAATATGCGAGGAAGCGTGAACGTTATAACTGAGCCTGTAGATGATGTATCACTTGAAAAGTTAGAATTTTCTAAAACGTTTGCAAACAAAGTCTACTGTTCAGTGAAAGAAATCGTGGATGAGTCGATCAGAAATCAAAATCCCGTGCAAAGAGATCCTTTTTTCAGGGAAATTTACAACCAGTGGAATTTTCTTAAATCTTCTCAGTGTCCATTTCTGGAGAGAGATGATTTGATGTCTGCAACGAAGGATTATTTTCTATCAGAAACAGATAGACCTTTGGCAATTATCGGTGAAAATGGAGCAGGGAAGACCTCTGCATTGGCGAAGATTATCAGAGATGTGAATACCGCCATATATAACAAAGACTTGACGATGAGGACAGCTATTGTGTTCCGATTTGTAGGAGAGACTCAAGTTGTCACCGCACGACAGTTTCTCTTCAATCTTTGTCTTCATTTGGTCGACTTGATGGGAAAGGATCGAAGCGAAATCCCCACGGATTACAAACAGTTGAAATACTTTTTCTCAGAGCTTCTTCTCAGTGGAGAATTTGGCGGCATGCTAATAATTCTTCTAGATTCGGTGGATCTGCTAGAAGATAATCACAACTTCGAATGGCTCCCAATAAAAATAGCAGTAAATGTCAAATTGATTGTATCATGTAGTTCAAACAGGACAGAATTGTTCACTCATTTGTTAGATAGATGTAAAGACAGTGTCCACTTTCTATCACCACTGTCCTCTACCGAGTGTGAAAGGATTTTCAGAGCTTCCCTGAGCACTAGTTGGAGGTCGGTAACATACGAACAAATGTCCATTGTAAAAGACGCATTCCAGGTATGCACCTTACCATTGTTTTTGTCAATGGCTATCGAGGAGGCTAAACGTTGGCATTCCTACGACGACATGAATTTTTGTTTCATCGGAGAAAGCGTTGGAGAAAACATAAACGCCCTATTTGAACGCATTGAAAAAGAGCATGAAACCTTGCTTGTATCGCATTTTCTTGGTTACCTCACTGCTGCAAACCTGGGATTGAGCGAGGCCGAATTACTGGATATTATGTCAATCGATGAAGCGTTGCTTGATGACGTCACTGCATGCTGCAAAACTACCATTAGAAGAATGCCGGCGTATCTCCCAGCGCGTTTGTTACAAGATCTTGAACCCTTTATCACAGAGAGGGAAGTTGATGGGATACTGGTGCTATCATGGAAGCACAGGCAATTTCAAGATGCAGCCGCTAAGAAATATTTAAGTGAAGAGAAATTCGTGGAGGATCTGCATTCAAACATTGCGGACTACTTCTTGGGAACATGGGGAGGATCCATAAGAAAACCATATCATGAAAGCAATAAATCTCATCTTCAAAAAAGAGAAAATGAAGCATGTCGATTTTTATGCGAGCAACCAAATCATTTTGGAAGTACAGAAGCAATGACAACTTACAATCTGAGGAAGTTCCGACATCTTCCCTTCAGCCTCCGAAGAAGTAATCGCCTGGATGATTTGAAGAAATATGTACTGTGTGATTTAGATTACATGTTTGACAAAATTAAGTCCTCGACATTTCAGGAACTCTTGAGAGACTACAATGACGCACCAGATCGAGAAATTCAACTTGTAGAGGATGCATTAAAAATGGCAAAACCAACAATTGAAAAGGACATAAATTGTTTAGGAGCGGAGTTGTCAGGTCGACTGCTTGAACACACTAAATCCTATAAATATATTCGCCAACTTGTGCACAACTGTGACTTGTACGCTCAAAGAAACTGTCCTTTGATTCCCAACTGCCAATGTTACAATACGCCAGGTGGGCTGCTGCAATACAGTTTTAACGCCGAAAGTGCATCAAATATTTCCTTTCATCAAAGTCCGTGTGGTATTTTTCTTACAGCTAAAACTGCCGGTTCCCTTTCGTTAAGAGCGTGGGAGATTTCAAAGGGGGATCCAAGGCCTGAAATAGTGATGCCTTTTGGTCAAATATACGCGACTAAGGACGGAAGTTTTCTAAACGTTTTTTGCAATGACGGAACTGTTAAAATTTTTCGTTCCGATTGTGGTGAACTTTACGATTCAATCGAGTACAAATATGACGATATTGCAAGTGTTTGTGTTTCGAAAAAGTATCTAGCACTTGCATTGCAAAGGGAAACAGGTCCATATCTTATCGACGTAACGGAAGCATCCCTAATTCACAGATTTAGCTACCATTCACGGAGCATGGCATTTAATTCTCAGGAAACACATTTTGTTTGTGAGTCAGGTCGTAATATTTACCTATTTGAATTACCACGATTAGTGCGAAAATGCACTGGAGAAGCAAGTGATGTCCCGAAACAAATTGTCCTTTGTGGAGATAAAAAATGTTTTGTCGTCACCAAAAGCAAACAAGTTGAAACTATCATTTTTGACATCACTAACAAACACTATAGGCGTAACAACCTAATGACTGACATCGATATCCGTGATATGAAGTTGTCCAACACTGGATTTATTCTAGTCATTATGACTGGAAAGAGTCTTCGCCTGTTTTCAACCAGTACGGAAAAGCAGAAGTTCATTAATAATGACTTGCCGCCTTGTTGTTTGACATATCCGTCTTCTAACTACGCCAGTGTGTCATTCTCCGTTGATGATAAGTTGTTAATAGGAATAAGAGGCTACTTTGTTCTCATTTGGAAAACAGACACCGGGAAACTTGCACGTGTTTTGCAGACCGGAAATACCCCGCTCTTGAAATTGCTGACGTCATCTGCAACTAATAAAGCAGTGACACTGTCAGCTGACAACGATGTCCAGATCTGGGATTTGAGCAATGTTGATTATCCAACTAGACATACTGACAAAGTATTTCAAAATCCAGTCAAAATTACTGAAGTCCTTCACGCCAAACATCAAGTCGTCTGCTTAGGATCAAATCAAGAAGACGTAAAAATTGTTAACAGCAGTAGTGGACAAATCGAACACGTTTTACGGAACGACGATGATGTTGGTCCTGTCCATGATTTCATAGTATCTAAAGATGGCAATTATGTCATAACACGAATTAATTCCCAAAGCCTAAGAGGTCAATCCTCTACAGAAGCCATCCTCTATGATGATTTATTGTGGGATGTCAAGAGTGGTAGTAAAATTCGACATGTCTTCGACAGTCGCTTTGCCGTTTTCTCCAATAACTGCCGAACCTTGGTGTTTGTAACTTGTGTGAATCTTTCCAAAAACTGGAGAAATAACGTCTACAACTTAGAAACCACAGCTCTGGACTCTGATTTCAATTTTCTATGCGATTTTCCCGAGAAGACAGAGTTTTTGACCACACCCTGTGTTGTTTCTGAAGAGGAATTTAGTTACATCGTAGGAGTTGTCAAAACAGGTGCGCCGGCGGACACTGAAAGTAAAGATGAAATCAACACCCAACTTCTTGTTAGAGGACTGTTCAGTCCCTCAGCAACGTACAGAATGATTGGAATCAGAGATATTGTTCAGACACTGGGTGAGGAGGATACTTTTCTAGATGCCTTTCCATATCAAGAATGTAGCTGCTTGATCGTTTACGAGAACAGGAAGGGGTTGAACAATTCAAAGAGCTCCAACCCTTATCCAAAAGGGGCTGTAGTTTATAATGTTGAAAAGGAAGAATGTCTTTTTCACTTCTCTTCATTTTTAGAACCAACAACAGATGTATCCAGGATCAAATTTTCATCAAATAATAAAGTTATCCTGGATAATAATGGAAATGTATTCACAGCAGAATCAAATTTTAAAGTGCCAAATACACGAAGCAAAGGACTGGACTTAAGATATTCACGTCTAGCATTGAAAGGGCAGCACATTATTGGACTAACCAAAGATCGCACTGAGTTAACAGTGGTTCGATCCAGCGATGGTGTCCAGAATGCAAAAATCCCTGTTCACGGCCGAGGATGTTGCCTGAGCGTGGACCACGACGACAGAACCATCGTAGTTGGCTGTGAGGACGGAAGAGTCATGGTGTGGAGTCTGATTTTACACCTGAGTGATCCCATGGCGGAACTCATTTCAAAACTTCCCAGTCGAGTGTCCAATCCTAATAAAGTGACTGACAATCAAGCAGTGGATTTGTTGCAAAACGATATAAAATATATAGAGGGTCGAAAACCAGCACAGCCAACGATCACCAGTCAGACTGACATCAGAAGACCACCAAGTCATCAGACCGTGTCCACCGCAGTGTTTCTGACACAGCAAACAAGTCTGGGGAGAGAGACACCCTGTCATGTACAATAACAAACATTAATAGTATTATTTAATTTGGAGTTTTTGTGCCAATTACTAATAAATGAAATTTTGCATTGAAATGATGGAATACTGGATATACATAAATGTTCAAACAAATGTGGCATTGTTCAGATAAAACTTAATATACATTACTGTAAATACATGTATTAGTTACTGATTATTGTTGAAACACAATATTTTGGTTAATAATGTCACAAATATATAAAAGATAAAAACTGGAAATGGAATCTAAAACTTGAATAAACTTCCATATAAGGTAATAAAGTTTTTGTGCAGTTACTGTTGACAAAACTAAAGCATCCTCATGTCCAATATGAAATGTTATATCACGGATTATTATTCTATACGTGATATACTTCTGTTATGCACGATAAGATAAGAAAGATATTATACACGTATAAGGCCTCTCTGAAGGAAGTTCATTAAAAACATAATCCATATTGGTAAATTTGATATATTGAAACACCATATTTGATCTCTGCTTCCCATAAAACTCATTGAGAAAATTTGACCTAAAGAAAAAGTTCTAAAGTTTCACTCTAAATTCAATGTGAACTCCCTCAAGAGCCCCCTGGAATTTTGTCCAAAACCACGATTCCTAGCGCTTCTTTCACGAGAGACCTTGGTTAAGAAACAAGAGTACTGAAGATGAGATTGGCTGCTATAGTTTTCGTTGGTCTGTTTGCAGGTAAGATAAATGAGGATATATTTTTAAAACAAAGAAATTGTAAATAATTCTAGTCTTTTGTTGCCATATGAGAAAATGGATACCAGAATACAACCTATAGAACATCGAGTGTATTTAATAATGAAAATTGTTTTTTTTTCTGGATATGTGGCGTGCTATTATAATCTAGTTACTTAGAGGTCAGAGTTGAGAAAACTATTTTACTAAAGGTGTTATAGAGTTTCCCTACTTCATTTTCAACAGAGTACCAGCCATTTACCCCCAGATAAAATGTTGAAAGACATGATTTATTGATGAACAGAAATCATTGATGTTTTCAAGCAAATATGGAAATACATGCAAAAAAGTGTTAAAATCATTTATCTTGGTCTTAAAAATGTCAATAATGCTTGGATTGATAACAAATTGGGTGATTCACTGTAGATTTCAATTTTATTTTATTTCAAATCAAGGGCAGATAACTCTAATTGTATAAAAATCCTTAGTGTTCAGAATAAAGGGGGTCCTTACTACTTATAGTACAAAAGAGGTATAGCGCACTTAGTATACGACATGACCTACAATATAGTGCATTTACAAACATCCAAAATATTTCAATATTTTATGATATTTTGATAATCTAACTATGAACAAATACAAATTATACCAGTATCTTACAAAAAAAAGTTATAATTATCTCAAACAAGATCAATGAAATTTACATATTGTGTATGGGATATAAGGAGAACTATTGAATGATCAATGAAAAAATACAGATTTATGTAATTGAACCAACTTAAACCAAAGAAATCTTGAATGGGGTATGTCCTTTTGATATCATAGTGTACTATTATACTAAAATTTGTTTGGTTTAACTTGGTCTTTATATCGAAAATCTGCTTAGCCTAGTGGTGTACGCAGCACTGTTTTTGTGTTTGTGGTCTCCGGTTCAATTACCCCAAATTCCATATATTCTTTTTTTTTTTGTATAGTACATTTTTTTTTTGACTTTAGCTAGTTAACCGTGTTTTTCACATAATGAGAAATAACACATGAGAAATAAACATAAAAATCTATATATTATTGTTCCAACCTGTCCGCTTAAATATACATTAGAATTTAACGTTACCTGAACTTAAAATAACATGGGATTTTATTATTTTAGAAAGAAAAGACATACAAAGAGAAAAAGTGGATAGTTAAGTTGCAGCAATAGTTCCCGAAACGAATAGTGATCTAGACCTTTCATAATAACAAAAATCTTGAAAAATAGTCGAGTCAAGAAAAGAGTTGACACTTATTTTCTGTAAAATGTCAAACAAATTAAAAATGTATTTTGATATAATTATAGTGATACTATGTAAATGCAATACACAGAGAGTCTGGTTGTGAAGTAATAAAAGAGAAATATGTCGTAAATAGTTTAAAAAGTGTTTCTCATAAATTTATAGCCCGAATCAGAGCATAAGTTTACCGGGAAATGTTTTCTATAATATACAGAACAGAACAGAACATTTATTTTCTAATTTAGAGCCCATAACAGACAAGTATGAAATTATTACAATAATAAAGTAAAGATATGCCAATGGATAGTATAACAATTTGTAAATGTAGAAGCAGTTTCACATATTTATTTCATAAAGTTGTTTTCCTAAAAAAACAATATATAGATGGCCAAGTAAATCTATTTAAAGTAACAGGTACTTTCCACTTAAACATGGTAGTAGGCGAAATACTGGGAAAGGGCGTTCTCTTTGAGTGAATTTCAGTAAATCCTTCCTGCACAAGTTAGAAGAGGAATGCTTGAAAGTACAGCAAAAACTAACAAATATGTGCAAAGTAGTGGTGCAATGACACATATGAACAAAATGTAGATATTCACAAATTTTATTATAGGTTTCAAGAACTTAAAACAAATCACAAAATGATTTTGGGGTTAGAAAATTGGTCTGCAATATCTACACATTATAAAAAATTGTGGCAAACTAAAATATGTTTATGGAAACGATTATCTTAGTAAATAGGTTATAGATGAGAAGTAAATACTTTGAAAAAGGGTTTTTCTTTGTATGAGAAAATGCAAAATTAGACTTTTTTTTTTAGTTCACCTAAGCTGAAGGCTCAAGTGAGCTTCTAGTTTCTAGCTGTCTACCGTCTGTAAACTTTTCAAATTTTTGAATTCTTCTCCAGAACTACTGGACCAATTTCAACCAAACTTGTCACAAAGCATCCTTGGGTGAAGGGAATTTAAGTTTTTTTCATATGAAGGATCGCATCATTTCAATAATTAAGAATTAGTGAAAATTTAATGGCATCTTTTAAAAATATTCTCGAGAACCGCTGAGCCAGAAAAGATGAAACTTATGTGAAAGCTTTATTACATAGCGTAGATTCAAGTTTTTTTTTCAAATCATGACCTCCGGGTGTAGGGTGTGGCCACAACAGGGAATCAAAGTTATACATGTATAGGAATATATCAGAAAAATCTTTAAAAATCTTCTTTTCATGAACAGCAAAGCCATGATTAGTAATATTAATAAAGAAGCATCCTCAAGTAGTTTAGAGTCAAGATTGTTCAAATCATGACCCCCAGGTGTAGGGTGGGGCCACAACAGGAGATCAAAATGATACATAGGAATATACAGGAAAAATCTTTAAAAATCTTCTTCTCAGGAACAGCAAAGCCATCATCCATAATAATACAGATGCACTCTCAGGTAGTGAAGATTCAAGTTCGTCCAAGTTATGTCCCCAGGGGTCGAACAGGGCCACAATAGAAGATCAAACTTGTATAGGAAAAAAATCTTTAAAATCTTTGAAAGATTAGTCAAAGAAATATGGAAGCATCCCCAGTTAGTGTATATTCAAGTTTGTTCAAATCATGCCGTCCCCCCCGGGGGGGGGGGGGGGGTTTAGGTTGGGACCACTTATTTAAACTTTTCAAATTGAACCAATTTCTGCTTTTCTCTAGTTAAATGCTCAGGTGAGTGATGTGGCCTATGGACCTCTTGTTTTTCAGTGTCTTGTGGTCAGTACGATACATACTACTGTAGATACTTAACTAATGCTAACTGTGTATCCAGACCAGAGGATCTGCAATGTGGAACAGATGGAAACACGTACTATAATGAGTAAGTCATTCAATGAAGATTCACACCCTGTATAACCAGTTATTCCACTCAGAGATGTCTTTCAAAGCAAGTAATTCTAATAGTGGGCACACATAATAACCATCATTCACATTTTTCGCCATCCATAGCTGTGACCTATCTAAGGCCCATTGCAAAAACAATGCAATCCACAGAAGGTACAAGGGACCCTGTCCAAATGATGCTAGCACCACAACTAAACCTGTAGGTGGTGGCACCACCCAGATGCCAGTCACAAATGGTCCCACCCAGAAGCCAGTCAATGGATCAGAAATTGCTTTTGATATTTTTTGCCTGGATTTGTTTCACCATGACTGTTCAAATGAAATGACAGAGGCTCTGTGTGCCTCTAATGGAAAAACATACCAGAACCTGTAAGCAACATTCATACAATTCATAGAAGCTGTAGTTTTTTGTGTTATCCACATCACACATTTGTTCAGAAAAACTTTTAGCAAATATTCTTTCTGAAATTAAAAAAAAAAATTCTTTTCATTAATGAATCATATTTAATATCAATCACGTATGCAATGATATGCTGAATTCTTTATTCCAGATGTGAATATGAAAAGACAAAATGCACACACAGAGACTTACATATTGTGAAGAATGCTCCCTGTAATTAATAAAAATTTTCTCCATTTTTAACTGTGTTCTTTTTTTTATGGTTGATTTATTATTATTTTCCAGAATCATTTAAAAAGAGATTACTAAAAACAACTCATAGCCAGAGCTAGTTGTTAAGTTTCAAGTCTGTCTTTTTCTTGCCAGTCTCGGTATCACTTTTATAAAAGAGCATCAAGTGTATAATGTTGACTCTCTATAGTCTTTTGTCACACATTCCTTTAATCAATTCATTTTCAAAAGTCTGAAATCTTTAAATGGGACACTCTTTCACTTGACTGCAGTATTTTGTGTCTCTGATGAGGGTTCTGTCTCCATTTCTACAGGTTTAGTCTCTGAACTCTCTGTCACAGATGAAACAACAGTACTAGAGCTGGCGCTCACTGTTGGATTTGGGGGAAATTCTGAGACGGGGGGCTTGGCTGGGCTACTGATGCCTGCTGCAGTTGTAGGGGGTTTGACAGGGGTTGATCCTGGGGTTCGAGGGGATCGCTGAAGTCTGCGCTTTGTCTCTCGGTCTGCTGAATTCTGTATTCTTTGCTTCATAACATCTTGCAATATTTTGTCCATGGTTGCCACCTTTTTCTGGGTCCTGGGAGTTCTATTACCTATAATTGTATGGGGTTTTTTTGATACCAGAAAGCAAAACAATTTATTCTCCAATTATATACGGACATTACTTCTATTGGTATATATTCTAAAGGGAAAGAAAACTGCCTGAAACATATACATATTATTATATAATGTGCCTATAGCATGCCTCATTTTTTTTTCTTTATCTTGTTTTAAGTTTTACATCTTTATGTCTCAATTTAGCTGCAGAACTGTAGCACTTTGTGGAAAACAATTTGTCTTAGCTTCAGGTTTTTATTCTTGCTTATGTTTCCTTCTTTCTTTCTTTTTTTTTTTTTTGCATTATATGCATTTTTTAGCTTGAAGCATGGATTCCATTTATCAAACACTCCTACTGCTATTCTTGTTGCTACATTTACCTTTCAAAAGTTCCAAACATAGATTATTGTGAAAGAAAACACAGAATAAACTGGTTAGAGTTATGACCCTTGAACAACATACATCGTGTACTCAAAGAACACAGATGATCATTTGAAACTGTTGAAAAGTAAATGAAATAAAAAGAATAGGGGTACAATACTGAGTATATGTTGAATGAATGGTTGCTATCTGGTAACCTTGAGATGTAACTTTATTTACCTGGTAACATTTCAGGTGTAGCTTTACTTATCTGGTTACATTTAATTTTTAACTTTACTTATCTGGTTACATTTAAGGTTTAAATTCACTTATCTGGTTACAATTTTAAGGTTTAACTTTATTTATCTGGTAACATTTAAGGTTTAAATTCACTTATCTGGTCACATTTTTAAATCTGGTAACATTTAAGGTGTATCTTTACTCACCTGGCAATCTTTGAGGTGTAACCTTTGTTGTTGTACCAAAATCATCATCATCAAAATCAAACTCTGTTGATTGTACTTGCCTGAAAAGCAGATTAAGAAATAACCAGTGAAAATATGATGGGAAAATTTTGCAAGTACCAAGCATAGTGTTCAAATGGTTTTCAAGTTATAGAAACAATGAGAGAGATATCAACAAGGCTTTTTTTGTATCTGAGACAAAACAAGAGAAGGCATAAATTTTAGAATTATTTGAGGTGTATGCACTGAGTCCTCTGTTAGTTGCTGCAATGTAATACAACAAGCTTCAATCCCCTGCTGCTACGCTATAATACATTGACACTAACACTTAGCATTTGACTGGGCTTCTACACAGAGCCTTCATTTTATTGATCAATTTTTACATACCAAACTTTGAATCCTATTTGATGTTGCTTTTTGACACAATAATTTTGAACCTTCTTTTGGGTTGCTATATTTTACACACTAACTTTGAATCTTCTTTAGGTTGTTGAATGATTTCTGGCTTAGCCTCCTCCTTCATTTTGACATCTTCTGAAGGTTTTTCTGCCTTTGGTAAATGTCTACCAGGACACTTCCATTCCAGTTTTAAAACCTTTTCTTTTGCTAAAGCTTCATAAAGCTAGAAAAAGATGAAGTAATTATTAATAAATATTTTGTTACTTAAAAGAAATTGCATGTATTAGATATTTGTAGGTAACTCAAAAGTTTGCAACATAAAAATTTACATGATGGAATTATACTGAAGAAAGATAAAAGGTTCAGAAATCAAAACTATGAAGATACATGTATTGTAAAAGGTAGAGAGAATGTTCTATCGCTAAAAAGATATTTGTCAGATAGAACTAATTCTATCTGTATATTTGTAGCAAAATAAACAGGGGCAGATAATTCTTATTTATGCATATAATACAATTAATTTAGAGAGTTCCAATTGTCAACATGGCATGTAAATTTAAAGCAAAATAATAATTTTAAAAAATGCTGAAAAATGTATTGGTTTCTTTCTTTATATGGATATTTATTGGGAGTAGAAGGCACATTCAACATTAAAAGAGTTTGTTATGATTAATTTGGAGACTATCTTCAGTGAAACTTCTTTTGAATTTTCCAAAATCGTGCTGGATCAGATCTGCTCTGTTTAGTACATTGCTACTATATGGGACTATTCTAACTATGGCTTATCCTAATACACAGTTAGATTATTCTAACTATATAAAAGACTATGTACTTATTATTTCAAAAATATGAAATTCTTGCATAATTTACCAGTGATTGGGAAGAGCTTGCAACATATGGCATTGAAGAGCAAATTGGTGCATTAAATGAACCACTGGTGGCGCCAAGGTGTGCACTCAATTTTTAGCGATGTTTGTTGGATATATTTTGTGTAAGACTTTCTTACCTGTACTTTTGTTTTAAATGCAGTCATTTTGATATAGCAAATCTCACTGGTTAAAAACCATCAAAAACTGCTTCCTGTTATGTACTTAATAGGACAACAAAGGTACAATACCGCACTCATTTACCAGTGTTTACAATGTTTAATCTAAATTTTGATGTTACTGATTCAAAAAATAAGGATAAATCATGTTGTATGCTGGTTTCTTTAAATGAGCTACACTGCATATGTCAAAAATTAGATTTGAATAATAAAAAATGTTTTCTTTCATATTTCAGAGCATCCTCGCAATGCCAGGAGTTCCTGAGTCAACATGTTACCATTGGACCCCTGGCCTATTTAATTCAATAATTTGTGGGCTGATTGTAGCGACATCTTTCAGACAAATTACAAATCTTTACTGTTTTTCTTATCTCTCAACCAATCACATTAAGCCAACTTGGAACACATGCATTTTAGGTCTCACTGAATCCTTCCTGTTTACATTAACTAACTCTTTATGAAAGCTTTAAATTGATTGGTGCTTCTCAATGAGAGAAGCAAGCCCTAAAATATCAAATGAAATTTGCCAGGGGTCTAACGGCAACGTGTTGACTCAGAACCCCTTGCATTGCGCAGATGATTTCAGAGTTATTTCTCATTTTGTTATTTCTTAAAATGGCCCCTCAGAATAAATAGATGGCCCATTCATTTTCAAAATGGCCCACCGAACTGTTAAAAATTTTGACAGTTGCACCATAGTCCCATTGACCTTCATGGCCTTCCCAATCACTGATTTACACATGAGAACTTAGTATAAAACACTGAATCTCTAATTTTAATACTTAATCAAATCAGCTACTCAGTATTGTAAACAAGAAGTCAACTTTTCAACTTAATGCATTATTTTAGCAGTATTCATACCTTTATGATATCTTCTGGCAAAGGACACCAGGTTCCGTTGCCCTTTTTTCCAGGGTCATACTTTTCATCATCACTCCCCTGTACTTGCCAGTCATCATCACTTTTTGTGTCCATCTTAGAAGAGAAGAGGTTGATATTAAAATATCACACAATTTGTAAACTTTTTAAAACATATGAAAGCCAAGGCTATAGATATTGGCACTACCGTCACGATGTCATAGGCATGAATGTTGGCAGGTCTGGTACAATCACTAGATTTAGCTATGTAGCTTGAATTACCTACATAGCTTTATTTACCTACCTGAAGTACCTTTACTTAGCTAGTTAATCAAATTTTTCCCTGAAAGTACAGAAAATTGCAATTTGATGCAGTGATAATTTTCAACTTTGAACTCATGAAAAAATCACTCTTGAAGATGTGTCTTTTTCTGTGCAATTACAATCAAAATTCTAAAAGTTTTGAGGCTATATACAACAGTTAATTTGTGACCTAACAGTTACTTCTTGAGTGAAATAACAAAGAAAACCAGTTCTGGTTAACATGAGCACAATGTGAAGTTATCATACTTATCCATGCCTCATCGCACAAGGTGCTGTACAGTTACTCAAACAATGGAAATACATCTTTTCCTTAAAAGTTTTCAATCACAGCAATGTTAAAATTATATCTGCTTTAGATTGCTTTTTAAATAATATCTAGAATAAATATTAGCAGACATTTACTTGCGATTTTTTGTCTTTTTAAAATAAAAAGCAAAACTGTGAAAAGTTGCCTCGAAATAGCTAAATAAAGCTACCTGAGGTAAGTAAATAAAGCTACGGTAGATAATTTTAGCTACGCAGCTAAATGTACTGATTGTACTGGACCTGGTTGGTGCACTAGTACTACACTTCCTTTAGCAGCTGTTTAGTATACTGTAGCCTTCAAGGTCCTTGCAAAGATAGAGTATAGCTTATTTAGAATTTCTTAAAAGGATACCATATATGTTATGTATGTCTTTGAGTTTGATATTTATCATATTACCTACAGTAAACACTAAAACGTTAGCGCCAATTTTTTAACAAGAAATAGAGACCGCGTCATAAACGCAGAACCTTTTAATGAATTCTCACCTAGGAATGCAAAAATCCGGATTTTCTGAAAAATCCGGATTTTGCGCTCCCTGGTGAGACTTTTCCCCCTTTTCCTTCCGTTTATTTTTCACTCATTTTTTTTCTTTGGTCATAATGTTAAAAAGTACTAATTATGTTAAGAAGACTCACCTGATCACTTAGAGAAGAATTAATTAGTTCTACAACCGTGTTCGATTTTTTTTCCTTGTAGACGCTGTTACCAATCACCGGCACTTGTTTCTGCTGGTCGGCGTCCTATGTCCATAGAAATACAAACGCATATTATTTCATATTGATGTTAACTTAAACCTGGAAAAGAAAAGAAAAATCAAATCTACTTGTTCAAATTAAGTGATATTATGAATTAAAATACGATTAAGATTGCTTGGATAAATAATGTCTCAAATCAGGGACCTATGTACTTATAGGTCCCTGCTCAAATTTTCTTATAATTGCCGAGTTAAAGATATTTGGCAAAACCAAATTGGAAAATTAACTTCAACATATTTCAACTTATGTCATGGGACTGCACAATAAACAAGAGGCCCTTGGGCCACAACACTCACCTGAATCATTATGGTCCTGCTGTTATTCATCAGCAGAATTTTCTAATATACGTATAATATAGTAAATATATGTATTGCAAAATTCCATCGCCCATCATGGCCCCACACTCCTCCTTGGGATCATGATTTGAATAAACTTGAATTTACCCTACCCAAGAATGTTTCAATATTATTCTGACTAATCAGGCTCTTAAAATTTTAAAATATTTTTTCCAGTATATTCTAAAACTCTGCTTGCTTATTATGGTCCCAAAATATCCCCAAGGGATCATAATTCTAACAAACTTGAATCTACACTACCTGAAGATGATTAATGACTAATCATGGCTTTGCTGTTTTTAAAATCATTTTAAAATATTTTTTCTAATACATTCCTACTTAAAACTTTGATCGCTCATTGTGGCCCAACCTTACCTCAGGGGTCATGATTTGAATAAACTTAAATCTAGACTTCCTGAGGAATGCTTCCATAACAATATGACTAATCAGGACTTTACTGTTCTTGGAAAGAAGATTCTTTAAAAATTAATTTCTGATATATTTATGTAAAACTTTGATTGCCTATTGTGGCCCCACCCCTCCCTAACCCCTGGGGTTGTGATTTGAACAAATTTGAATCTACATGCATACTACCTGGGTATGCTTCAACATTAAAATGACTTTATTCCTATATACTTTGATAACCTACTGTGACCCTGCCCTACCCCGGGGTCATGATTTGAAGAAAAAAAAACAAACTTGATTCTACCCTATAATGAAGCTTTCATATATGTGAAAAGTTTACGACAACAGACAAAGGTCACATTTTGATCAGAAAAACTCAGTTGAGTTTTTAGCTGGTGAGCTGAACAGTTCCCTGAATAATATACCATCCCCTTTATTTCTCTAAATTGTAATCCCCCCCCTTTTTAGGTCACCTGAGTCACTCAGTTGACCTATTGCTGTTTCCATCCATCATCATTCATCGTCCATCATGTGATAATATTTGAACATTTTCAGCTTCTTCTCTAGAACTGCTAAACTAATTTCAATCAATGTTGGTATCTGGCATCTTTGGGTGAAGGGGAACAAAAATTATGAATTTCATGATCCCCCTCATGGCCTGAGAGGTGGGGCTAAAAGGCTAAAACCATAAAAATTAATGCAAAATTTCTGTTTTTCTTTTTACTCCTAGACATCAAGCAGTTACATGTAAACTGTTGGTTGATTGTAATAATTGATTGTAATAAGCATTTAAACCCTTTACGCAAATTGTAAAATTCATGGTCCCTGGGTTAGGGGTTCTGAAGTTAAGGTGAGGCTCTATCAACCATATAGTGAAAGTTCTTATATTCTTTTAAAATCTTTCTGCTTCTGGGTATTAAGCACATAAACTAAGTGCATGGTTATGATAAGCAAGGATGCCTCTTCCAAATTTGTGAAATTTATGGCCCTTGGGTCAGGAGTTCTGGTGTTTGGGTGGGGCTATTGATTATATAAAGTGAAAAAATGCATTAATTCTTGAAAATGTTCTCCTCTTTTCCTGGGTATTAAGCAAACAAACAAAGTGCATGTTTATGATGAGCAAGGGTGCATTTTCTTCACCTCAAGCAATCATCTTTGGCAGTTGGATCACAAAACAGTTTGGTGTAAATATAAACACAAATTGATCTCATGCCTTGAAAGATGTCTCAACAAGAGGCCCATGGGCCACATCGCTCACCTGAGCACATTGGTCAGGAAATAGCAAAAATCAGTTCAGTATTGAAAAGTTTACAGAGGGGGGGGGGGTCTTGAATTTTACACTACCTGATGATGCTTCCATATCAATATAACTAATAGCTTTGTTTGCTGTTCTTGAGCAGAAGATTTTTTTCCTATATATTCCTTTGTCAAAATTTGATCACCCATTGAGGCCCTCCCTACCACTGGGGGGTCATCATTTGAACAAACTTGAATCTACACTGCCTGAGGATGCTTCCAAATCAATATGACTAAACATGGCTTTGCTGTTCTTGAGAAGAAAATTTTTCTATATATTCCTAAGTAAAACTTTGATCCCCCATTGTGGCCCACCCTTCCCCTGGGGGTCATCATTTGAACAAACTTGAATCTACACTACCTGAGGATGCTTCCATATCAATATAACTGATGGCTTTGCTGTTCTTCAGCAGAAGATTCTTTAAAGATTTTTTCCTACATATTCCATTGTAAAAATTTGATCCCCCATTATGGCTCTCCCTACCCCAGGGGGTCCTGATTTGAACTATCTTGAATCTACACTACCTGAGGATGCTTCCATATCGATATGATTAATAGCTTTGTTTGCTGTTCTTGAGCAGAAGATTTTTTAAGACTTTATTCAAAATAATCTTTTATAAAAATTTGATCACCCATTTGACCCTCCCTACTCCCGGGGGTTGTGCTTTGAATAAATTTGAATCTACACTACCTGAGAATGCTTCCATATCAATATGACTAAACACGGCTTTGCTGTTCTTAAGATTTTTTCTATATATTCCTATGTAAAACTTTGATCCCCCATTGTGGCCCCACCCCTCTCCCAGGGGTCATCATTTGAACAAAATTGAATCTACACTACCCGAGGATGCTTCCATATCAATATAACTAATGGCATTGCTGTTCTTGAGCAGATTTTTAAAAGAATTTTTCCTATATATTTCTTTGTAAGAATTTAATCCCCTATTGTGGCCCCTCCCTTCTCCTGGGGGTCATCATTTGAACAAACTTGAATCTACACTACCTGAGGATGCTTCCATATCAATATAACTAATGGCTTTGCTGTTCTTGAGCAGAAGGTTTTTAAAAGAATTTTTCCTATATATTTCTTTGTAAGAATTTAATCCCCTATTGTGGCCCCTCCCTACTCATCATTTGAACAAACTTGAATCTACACTACCTGAGTATGCTTCCATATTAATGTGACTAAACATGGCTTTGCTGTTCTTGAGAAGAAGATTTTTAAAAGACATTTTCCTACATATTCCTATGTTAAACTTTGATCCCCCATTGTGGCCCCACCCTTCCCCCAGGGGTCATCATTTGAACAAACTTCAATCTACACTACCTGATGATGCCTCCATATCAACATAACTAATGGCTTTGCTGTTCTTGAGCACCAGATTTTTAAAAGAATTTTTCCTACAAATTTCTTTGTAAGAATATGATCCCCTTTTGTGGCCCATCCCTACTCCTGGGGGTCATCATTTGAACAAACTTGAATCTATACTACCAAATCTGTGTCCTTACCTCTTTAATTCTATTTGGACAAATATGAATTGATAACTTAATGGTAGAAATTATTTACAGATTCAAGGAAATCTTGAAACTTGCCACAAATCTGTATTTACATAATCATATCTTAATAATGGTCTGAAGTTTTCATGTTGAAAAACCATGCATGGTTTTGTTACTGAAAATTTTTACTTTACTTCTCCTAGGATGACAATTTACAACAGTCTACATTTGTTTTTATAATTACATAATTGTAATATCTCCTTTTAAGATGATGACCTATATTCAGGCTCTCCTACACTGTAGCATTTAGTTCCTTTGCTATTCTAAATATCAATATATCAGGTTTTCATGCTGTGAGCAAAGCCACCTTCAGTGTATAACAAAACAACAAAACAAAGTATGAAATGTAACAATGTCTTTCATTCAAAATTATAAAACAAAATCCTACACTAAATAATCAGTGTAAAGGATTCAAACTCCTAGTACACAGAAATAAAATTCTCTCTTTACAGCAAAATGCATGATTGCAGAGTGGAGATGTAATTTTCTTTATAAATAGCACTATCAATTTGGCGTAGACACAAAAGTCTTCAGATGTTGATATTGGTTAGTATTAATCAGCTGTTCCTTATAGAGATTTCACATTGTGCAATTCCATCTGATTTTACTTGCTCATGAAATCAATTCCCTTTTTGATGTTGGCTTGTAATTCTGGCATAGCCTTTTCTATTAACTGTGCTTCATATTCAATTGTTTTAGGGATTCCAAGATTCTTTTCCACTCCATTTTTCTGCAGAAAAGAAAAATTTAAGCATTCTGTAATTTTTGGCTAAATGAAGAATTATAAAACTAATCTACAAGATTTTGATCGGAGCCATGATAAATATGTGAAATTCTATGTACTGAACTCATCCCCTCAACAGAATATTGTTTGTGGAGGATACAATAACAAAATTACTACAGGTACTGATAAACTTGAAGAAATCAAAACATTTCTTTTATGTTGTAATAAAAATATCTTTGCACTGTAATCTCTAAGATTTATATAGAGAGCACTTTAAAGAAGAAACATGGATTTTCTTAAACAAAAAGAAATAATTCAATTCTGATTGTACTTGTTTATATCGTATAATATGTGTTGCTTCTGTCACAATGACATATGTCAAAAAGTATCAATCCGTTTGACATTACAATTAAAATTTGTCCAATTTGAAGGCATTTTTGAAAAGAAATTGTCTTATATTTTCTTATCAATGATAGAAAATTAAATTATAAGGAATAAATGTTAATAGATACCCAAGTTATATTTGTATAACCTGGATAGGGTCAGTTTATACTTTTGTATAAACGACTTTGTGGTTTATGAAGCTGAACTGCACCCACCAAGGTTATACAGTAAAACTTCGGTAGTATTTGAATTCATTCCTAAATATAAAAAATTTTCCCTTGTGTTCATTACAAGTACTCACCCCTAGAAGCAGTGGTGTGGCAAAGTAAGCAGCCGGAGTCTCTGTCGACCTGATGTACGCACATTCTACTTTATTGTCAGCACCATTCAAGGCATCCAGGAACTTGTACGCAAATCTAGCTGCTGCAAATGCCATGGACAATGTGGCTGATCCCTATCAAAACAGAACGAACTAAAGTAAGACCTAGAGGGACATTCCACCTTTAGTTAAATTTTATTTATTTGAAATCTTTTCTTCCTTGAAATTCTATGAAATTTTTCCACTAGGGTATAAAAAGCATTGTACAACACATTTTAATTTTCAATGAATGGCATTAAGAGCAAATGCAAAAGCTAACAAGTACATGAAATACACAAATAACTTACTGCTCCAGCCTTAGCTTCTACAACCTCGGTTCCAGCATTCTGTATTCTCTCTGTTAACCTTGTCCTATCCTCCTGTTATTAATATTAAATACCTGTGTTAAGTATTTCTGTAACATCATAAACAAACTTGAAATGCGAGAGTATATAATTGCGTACATTTTAAGTTTATGTTGCCCTCCATTTATTTATGATATTAATCATTTATGGTGTGTGATAACTGTAAATGTTTAACATTTGGCAGTGTATTCTATTTAGCAGACTTAGCTTTCTAGAAAGCAGCTTTCACTAAATCAAGTTTATCTGTAAGTGCTATGTACATTGTATATGCTTACTAAATCAAATCTATGCTAACTTGTTGAAAAATCAATTTCCACCAAATATCGTTCATGCTTAATATTACTGGTATACATTTATAATATATTAGATCATTATTCAACATAAAAAAGAATACTTTTTATTTTAAATTTCATTCCCTATGTGTTTTTTATCAATAATAAATCATCAGACCAGACATACATATTTGCATATTATCAATTAACATGAGTACAGTAGCATATGCAAAATCTGGATTACATTAAAAGAAAATGAATCTTCAGCTCTTCTTGCTTTACTAAGTTTCAGGAAAAAGTTCTGGTTTCCATCAATGTAAGTATATATATATATACAGGTAACTCTTGATGGCTCGAACTTCGATCTCTCGAAGTTCTTGATCGCTCGAAGTGAGTCTCCGGTCCCGAATTTTCCCCCTATATAACTAAGCAAATTTACTCTTGATTTCTCGAACTCTTGATCTCTCGAAACCCTTGATCCCTCGAAGTCAAAATTCAGTCCCGCTATGCATATTCTTTTAGATTATACCCTCGATAGCTCGAAGTGGCTATGTGTATACAAGGTTATATAATTGGCACCTTTACCTGGACATTTAAATGGCCCCAGGCAGAAGACGCGGGTCTCGAGGAACGGGATGTTTATTCAGGTGACACTTATGCTGCAAGGTGATAATTGATTTATAATTAATCATTTTTGCCTATATGCTATTAAAATAATTATCATCGACTGTCTTACGATGATTCAGAGACGGAATGTCAGTGAAAAGTAGTAATTGATTACAAGACGAAACACTAATTTAATTTTTATTTCGAGTCAGTGTCAAAGTTAAACGAAATATGAAAAAGCATTAACAGCCTCAATGTCAATATGATGACTATTGTTGGACAAATACTTACAGAACTCCGTTCAATGATCATGTTAATATGGATTTATAGTCAATGCTACATGTATGTATGCGACGCGGTAAAATGTCGTTTTCATGTAACGAATGCGTAGTATGATGTCCATATTACAAAGAATAAATAAATATACATGAAATGATTTACATATTTTGCTTTACTCAGTTTAATGAAATATTCATCTAAATTACGAAAAAATATCGTTGTTTTATATAAACCACGTGTAAAAGGTTAGCACTGCATGAAAATCATTACATCCGGTAAGACTAATTTTAAAACCTGTCAACAAACCCGGAAAATTCCGGACTCTTGAAAACTCGAACTCTTGATCTCTCGAAGTTTTTCCTCGGTCCCGCGGACTTCGAGGTATCGAGAGTTACCTGTATATATATATATATATATATATATATATATATATATATATATATATATATATATATGCTCACGGAGTCCGAACATTTGGCAACATCAGTAAACTATAAAGTTTTACAGCACTTACTTGTGGAAAAGCTACTGCTGGTGTAGCTTGTGACAGCAGTGGAATAATAGTAACTCCACTGTGCCCTCCAATAACCGGTACATTAATCTTATCTACATCAAGCCCCTGTAAAATCAATTATATATAATTAAATAATTCTCTCTTACTCTAGGAGTTATTGAAATGATTAATTGTTAATACCAACAGTTCATCTTATCTGCTTCACTTAAATTAATCAAGAAAATTGCATCCAAATTTTTATACTGTCCATTTGAAAAAAAAAAGCATGGAGAGGTTAAAATTGACTATTTCTGAAATTACCACAAACAGCTTAAACTAGAACTGTCCAAAAGGGACAAATACCCCCCGCTGGGTTTTTCAAAGATGCCAAATCACTAATATTTTATGGATCTAAGAGGTGTTTTCTTATTAACATTTAGAGTGAAAAAATAATTGCTCATTATATTTTTTTAATGAATGAAACCAAGGAACAACCTAATAAAACATCAATACCAATACATTGTAGTTACATTGCTTTTTAATACATTGAAAAAATAAATTGCAACTATCTGTCATCTTTTTGAGACATGACATTCTGCATTGACTGTTGAAAAAAAAAATCAATGAATTACAAAATCAAATTAATCTTGATAACTTTATATCAAATTCATTTTAAAAATGAAAGGCTGCTCATCCAGTAACTATGTACTATGACAGACAATAAATTACAATTAAGAGAATTAAAGAACAGAGATCTTTAAATTCCCAGGAGATATAGATAACACATGCTTGATCAGAGATGCCCTAACAACTTCCCACACTGAACTCAATAATTTATCGCTAACTGGATGATGTCCACTCATTAGTCCCAAGGGACAAATGGATTTACACTATCTGCTGTGTAATGTAAGAATTGTTTTTAGTACTTGGTGATTTTTTTTTGTTTTAATGAATAGTTTTAAGCTGTAGTTCACATTTTTGTACAGATGTTCTAGATTCTGTGTCTCAAACCTTAGAAATAAACCCAAAATGACTAAGTCCAGGGTTCTCACTAGGATTTTGCTACCTTGAGTCCCAGGACTCAAGATTTCTGAGAAGGTTGCGTCCCAGCTAAATTTGATGCGTCCCAGAAAAATTATGTTGAGTCCCAACTAAATTATTGCAGTATCCTTCCATCCAAACATCAATAAAAATCTTTATCATTTTATCAGTTTGTTTACGCAATATTAACATATTCAAGTATATAAACTGGTAATGCATTCAAGCCATATTTTAAAATACACGCGTAATCAATTGCCATACAAATAACTTGGTGTTTAACTGTTGCATAATCAATTAGTACCCAGAAGTTGACTGTATACAATCACAGGTGTCATGTTCAATGAGGCGTAACTAATCCTGTCGGTAGTTGCACTGGGTGAAATTCACGAGATAATCAAGCCGCATTGTGTATACAAGCAGTAATTATGGTTTCTACATGTAGATAACACTCAAGATTCAATTTTTTTTTAAAAAAGTTTACAGCTGTCGGAGTTTGGCATACGACACTATTAGGCCTATGACTACGGACTAATAAACATGAACTATCTTATGATCAATCCCTGTTTAAAAAAAAGAGAAATAAGTAAAAGAAAAGTTGTTTCTTGGATAAACTTTATGATAGTTACTGGAAGGTTTCGATTAAATATTTCTTTGACAAATCCTAAATCAGAATTCCCCGTTTTCGAAACCACCCGAATTTTCTCGCTAACGAGGACGCGTCCGATCACGAGTCCGCGGACGCATCGTTTTTAAAAACCTTGCGTCCCAAGTAATTTTGCTGCGTCTAGGACGCAGATTCTTGCGTTAATGAGAACCCTGTAAGTCAATAAAAATGAAAAAAAAAACCCTGTAAAATGCAGAAAAATTATCAAATAATGTTGAAAATACCAGGTGCACATCTTCATGTGGTAAATAATGAGTGTACAAATTTTCATACAATTCTATGAAATAGTCTTTGAGTAAAGGTCAGGACAAAACCACATAATAAAAATGAAAAAAAAAACACCTGTAAAATGCAGAAAAATTATTCAATCATGATGAAAATACCAGGTGCACACCTTCATATGGTGAATAATAAGTGTACAAATTTTCAGACAAATCTATGCAATAGTTTCCGAGAAACGCTCAGGACAAAATCTTGTCTACAGACAGACGGACAGACAGACGGACATGGTGATTCCAATATACCCCCCCTAAACTTCGTTTGTGGGGGGTATAACTATAACTTACCTTTAATTCAGCTACAAATGTGTTGGCTCTAACAACATCTAATGTTGTGACACCAAAAATGTTTATTCTGTTTTCATTGAATGCATTTTTCTTTTTGTATACTTCCTCTGCAATTGGTACAGTTGAGTTGACCTACATTTATAAAGAATATAACATTTTAATACATGTAATTTCACACAATGACTCGTTCATGAAAGTACCACAGTTGAGCTTCTGTTAGAAATGAATGTGACCAATGCACTCAAAATTGCAATTAAAGTTATTTCCATGCATTTGTTAAAAATTGTTTGTAATTAAGAACTTAGTATGTTTAAATGTTTACCAACCGGATTTGTAATAATTCCCAAAATAGCATTTGGACACACTTCAGCAGTGACACTGCAAAGGTCTCTAACAATTCCAGCATTTGTGTTGAATAAATCATCTCTGGTCATTCCTAATGATCAAGATAGTAGAAATAAAACAAAGCACCAAATTACCAATATTCAGTCTCAGATGTTAGATACATATGAAATATTTTCAAATACATGCAAGTCTGCTGATTCATGGATCTAAATTTAATATGCTATTGAGCTTTACCTATGGTGTAGTGACTTTAAAAACAAATTCTAGACTCCTGTAATCTTTCCTTGACATCTAATCTTTATGCCTGCATATGAATATGTATACTGGCTGCTTGCAAAAAGCTTTGAAGTTAATCATACTTTAAGAGCAATATATATTTAGTATATCAGACTTGTCGAAAACCGTCAGTCCTGTCATCAAGGCCAGTACAACTTTGTCTGGACTGATAACTTTCAACAAAACGTAAAATCGAGTGTGACGCAAATTCTAAAAAGATCGAGATTGGGGTGCCGAGGTGGTCACAAAATCAGAATGGCAGAGTGGCTGCGTGGTGACGATAGTCGATTAAATTTATTCCAGCCAGGGCCTATATACTATTGTATATACATCCCTACATGTATTACAACAAAGACATAAAACATGTCATTTATGTCTTTGATTAAGACTCTCTATCCTAAGAAGCGAAACTTGTGAGATTGAAGGCTGTTGAAAATAATAAAGGGCATTTTGGCGCTGTTATTTATTTTCCTTTCTCTGTGTCAAAATAAGGTACATGTATTATCTGATCTGACAAAACTTTGTCTGGTTTTTTGAACACAGAACATTTGACTTTGTCAGACCAAATGTCTGACAGTGATTTCAATATTTCGACAAGTCTGATATATGATTCTTTACAGAGTATACCTGGTTTTCGTGGGACTCCAGCAGGTATGAGAACTAAATCAGCATCTTTTACAGCATCTGCAAGTTGTTCTGCACCTAAATGACCTGTAACTTTTGCTTTTGTTGAAATGTGACTCAGATCTGCAGCTACTCCAGGTGTGTGCATTACATCATAGAGGGACAGATGTGTTACCCTGTGCGAGTTCTTCAAAAGGAGTGATAAAGGCTGACCAATGCCCCCTGAAGCTCCCAGTACTGCTACTTTGGCATTATTCTGAATATATAAAAGCTTAAAATGATGAACTATGAAACTACTGAATGTATGTAAATAATAATAACTAAAAAAAACAGAGCATGTCAAAATAATTATACTTATTGTATTTCTCCTAAGAAAATCTAGTGTTCAAGAGAGGAACAAGATTTTCTGATATTTCCACAAGTGCATAGCATGAGTGAAAAGATAAAAAAAAAATCATCCTGTCTCACAAGTTTGAGTTTAATTTTAAAGCATTAAAGTTGAACTTTGTTATCTTGAACACTGACATCTTGAGTACCAAGGATATATCAAGTAATTTGGAAGTCATAACCACTTTTTCTTTTTGTTTTTTACCATTGTTATCTCAGATCCTCAGATATCTCAATGTTTAATCTTGATAATGAGGTCTGACTGTATATCAAAAACTATCTGAGTTATAGCATCACAACAAAAGTGTTGGTGGACAATGTGATTTCTATATGACTCCAGCATTTCATGCCCTAAAAGTATTAAATAACAAGGTTAAAATATTCACTTGGAAATGAATTTGGTGGTCACATGATCAAGTCTACTAAGTCTGCACTTCACAGGATTCGATTACGTGTCAACAGACACCAACCAATTTAATTTCGTAATGAACTTTTCACCTTGTCCCTCAATCTATATTTCTTAAAGTAAACTTAATGTACTAGGAAATGTATACAAGGAATAAGGATGTTGTTCAAACAGAGTATTTGGCACATTCCATCCTGCATATAGCTACTTTGGCTTCACCAGTTAATAAGAAAAACCTCTTTCTTCAATAAATAGAGCAACTTTGAGGGTGACTGAGGCAAAATAATTGCAAGGAGGCTTAAAGGGGCCTGGACACAGTTGCAATTTTTACAATTTCAAATTTCTATTTTTATTAAAAAATTAACTTTACTTTCATATTAATGAATTGAACTTACATGAATATTCTTATAATTCAATGACAATGTCATTCTTCATAACATCACGTCATACATCTGCGTTTGTAAACGATGCACGAGCTCTGTTATTGTTTATGTCTACATTCTACCGGGTGTGTTCAATTTGTTCACTTGTGCACACAGCACTGACAATGCCGGTGAATTGGTTTTGCTCTCTCAAATTTCTACACCGAATTTTCTGCACTATAGTTTTAATATTTTTCATTAATATACATTCAACAAAATTTCTACTTTTCTTAAGTATTATGAATAAAGTTTACTTCAAGAAAATGCAAGGATACGTGTCAATCAAACTCGTCCCGAAACTTGCTTTTAATCATTTCCAGATAAAAGAAGTTTCTAAAAATGCTTTTATTATATTTCTGAAACAGTGTGAAATGCTCCAGCAGCATAGAAGTCATGATATTTTACTTAAAATTTTAGAAAATATTAACTTCAAATCTGTGTCCAAACCCCTTTAAAACTTTGTCAAAATTTTCTGAGAGAGAGAAAGCTTTGTTTTCCTTCTTACCATTCATATTATTATTCTTCATTAGGATAAAAATTTAATTAATCACAACCATTAAAGCCATTTTTATGGAAACAGTCCTCAAAATCTCTGCTGGAATCAATGCTAGTAAGTCTTGTATTTGGGCAATGAAAATGAGTGATGCAACACATTTGTGATTTTAAATTTCTCTCTTATCAGGTGTGAGTGAGAAGTGAGGTCTTCCTAAATTTGGTGTTTATCATGTCACCAAATTTTTAACTAATTTTAATAAATTTTTTAATTATCTTATGATTTTTTAACTATCTTATGAGAAGAGTCTAAATTTAAAAGCGAGCACTGCTTGCACTGTGAGCTCTAATGACAACACCGGAACGACTTTACTTTACCGGTCCCCAGAAAAACGCGCTAAAATATAGTGTCGCCGTAGGCGACTTCAATATATATGAGATCGCGTGAGCGATCGAAAAAAATAAAAAAATATGAGGTTTTAAGCCTTTTTGACCCCACATTCGAATTCTACGGTTAAAAGTTTAGTTTAAAACTTCGTTTATAAACGAAGTTTTTAACCTCGTTTTCTGAAAAAAAGTAATAAATGTTGTTTATTCAGTGAAAAGGAGACAAAAAATAATTGTGAACGAAGCGCGTGCGGCGCATGCTTAGTGCCGTTTCTTTCGTACTTAGCCATTTTTTTCATGTAAACAAACCAACGAGATGTCGTTGAAGCTGAATTAAGATCTTGCAAAAAATACAGATGCAACTGAATTTCTTAATTAATCTAAAAGAACAAGACACTAACCCTAATCTCTCGGATGGTATGCGAGGACTAACCCAAATCTCCCAGGCGGATGCTAGACCATGCTAGACTAACCCATGTGCGAGGACTAACCCTAATCTCTCGGATATATGCGAGACTAACCCTAATCAGTCGAAAACTTATGCAAGGACTAACCCTAATCTTTCAGGTGGGTGCAAGACTAACCCTAACCAGTCGAAAAATGTGCAAAACCAACCCTAATCAGTTGAGTGACGTAAATCTTACGTCATAGTGCAATGAGCGCGCGGATCTTGCGGATCTGGGGACCGGTAAAGTAAAGTCTACCCACAACACCTGAGCAAAGAGAAAATTCGTACATTGCAAATTGATCCAAATTATTTTTTTTCTGCAGTAACCTCAAGACCCACAATGCAACGCGTATGCATCTTGCTGCTAACCTTTTTCTCGTGGTAACAACAAAAGTTCACAAATAATAAATTCACCTTGATTTAAAGAATATTGCAGATAAGTAGTAGATTAAATGTTCTTTGTTAAAATTTGCACTTTTCAGACTTTGTTAATGGTAATGCAACCAACATCCGATCTAAGTTAGAACTGAATAGGGATCCAGTAATACACATCTGTGCTCACCCTAACGGTCGAACTGTCAGCATATTAGAATACACCACCCTAATTATTGCATCTAGAAGTTTCCTAAGGTTTTTCCTTGGAGTGTTTGTAGTGTACCTTAGGTGGGCGAGCAATGATAATGTGTTAATACTGTAGTGGTACCTAGTACGTATATCCTTCAGTATATTACGTCACACTCCAGTGGTTTTGTGTAACGTGAGCATTTACAGCCATGTAATGCATATTCACAATCACTATATCATTATTTCACAGTACCGGTAAAGTATTTCATTGAACCGGAACTTGCTGCAACAGAATGAGACAATTTTTGCATCAAATTGTCTAACCTGTGATGATGAAGAAAACTTCCTTGCTGAAGAACAAACTGCTAATGAGGGTCTTGCGACTCTGGAAAACATGTTTCTGCTGCTGATTTGTTGTGTCCTCTATCAGAAGGCCAAATGACAGGATGTACTCGTTGAGCGAGAGCGCATGAGCGGAAGCGCTTAATTATTACGCCGCTCTTGACAACCATAAATTTATTTATTGCTATATCAAGTAAAAATATAATAAATAATTACATATTTATCACAAAACCTTTCTTAAAGACTTTGTTACAATGATTTTTTTTCGATGAAATTTTTATAAAAAAGTAAATATAATTTATAAGAGAGAATTATTTAGTGTTAGCGTAGTGAAGTGTTTACAAAGGCAGTGAACCGCCACATGCACACATGAGTTAGGTTGTAAACAATAAAACATACATTTACCATGGAGGAAGGTTTAGAATTACTGGAACCAACAGAGATGTACAATATGCTTCAACAGGCAACGATTTTCTCTAACCTAACAGATCCTAATTATATGCTGCTAATGGGTGAATATAAAAACATGCAAAATGTCTCTGCAATTTATTTAAGGAATGTTTTTAATTTTTGTGTGATTTATTGGTGTGTAAATCACACAGACTTTTCATGTAGGCATATTTCATGAAGTGCGCTAGTGCTTCATGAAAAATATGCTTACGTGCAAGTCTGTGTAAATCACACGGACTTGTCACGTAGGCATGTTTCATGAAGCGCGCTAGCGTTTCATGAAAAATATGCCTACGTGCAAGTCTGTGTGTTTTACACACCAATAACACAAAAATTAAAAACATTCCTTATATTTACATTTTACATACTCAATAGCACCAAAAATATACTCAATGTTTGAATTATTCGCTGCCCTATATATCGTTACATTTTTATTAACATCTCTGTAGCTTATTGTGATGTCACTTTAGCGCGAGTTTCTCGGTGCATATTTCTGCACATGTGTATACACGAAAATGGCATTCAAATCAATTTCACAGTTGGCTTAGTAGAAAAACAAGCAAATGTAAATATTATATGATATAAACATTCTGCATTGTTTAGGCCTAAAGTAAATCTTCCGAGAGATCCCCATTCGTTAGTGATGGGACATCGGTTAATTTTCATATTCGATCATCGGTTGGAATCGGTTACTGCTTCTGATGCGATTTTACCGATTATAATCGGTTGTCATAGTTTTGTATATAAAAAGCAGACTATTACAATTATTTAATATTATTTCTTTAACATGAATATATAAAATATATGATATATTGTTTTCTTTGTTGTTTTACTGCTTTTACACTTTCTATACATGCACCTTTCGGTTCTTAATCACCTCTGCTTCGTGCTAGTTGGCTAGTATCAGATGCAGACACCATTTTCTTTTATTAAGAAGAAATAAATTTTAAACCAGAAATGGATAATTCTTGAATGTATTTTATTAGAAGTATTTCCAATGATCGATTATGAAAAATTATAATCGATCATCGGAATTGGTAGCATTTATTCGTCGACAATCGATATTTTCTGATTATCGGTACAACACTACCATTCGTTATTTTCCTGTTGAATGAAGGGAGCTTGTATTTACACACTATTAACTATATTAATTTTGTATGAATTTACCAAGTGACTCAATCTAATTAAAATTAGGTGTTCCGAATCCGCTATCACTTCTCAAAAGCGGTAGCGGATTCGGAACATCTAATTTTAATTAGATTGCCAAGTGACTACAAGACAAAGGTTATGGTATGAGGAATAGTTCTGCCATTATTTGTCAGAAAATTATAATTATCTGACAAGTCAACATTATCATCTGGACAACTTGACATTATTATCTGTTGAATTATAATATTTATCTGATAAATGGCTATAATTTATGTTGTCATAATTATCTAAGTCGACCTGATTACATGACAAGTCCAGTTATAAATTGATAATTTGTGGAATTAATAGATAATACTGTTGACTTGTTAAGATGTTTTGTCAACTTGTATGTTATTCCAATTCTCAGATTAATTTTGTTGACTTGTCAGATAATTATGTTGACTTGTCAGATAATTATGTTGACTTGTCATATATTAATATTGACTTGTAAGATAATTATGACAACCTGCTAGAAAGTGATGTCAACCTGTTGGATGATTTAATGCTGACTTGTCAGATCCTTATGTTGACCTGTATGATCCTTATGTTGATTCGTTGCCAACTGGATATGGCAAAACCTGGGCATGGACATGTTTTCATGTTGATGTTTTAAACACATGAATAAGTGTCAAGTCAACAAAAAGATTTGGCATGTCAACATAAGCATCTGGAAAGTTGACATCACTTTCTAGCAAGTCATAATTACAGTCAGATTTTGTTATTTTGAACTTAAATAGATCAAAAGAAACCTTCGAGATATCCAAGTATTTGAAATATTGCAGGTAAAATACCTATAAAGAAAAAGTGCTTGTGACTTCCAAATCATTTCGACATATCTGTGGTATTCGTACGATGGCCAGATCTTTTTGTTGACTTGACACTTATTCATGTGTTTAAAAATTAATGACAAAAATATGTCAAGCAGAAGATCTCTTGTTAGAAACTGTCATTTTTGTCAATTTGACAATTTCTCTGCACAAAAAGCAACAAAGCTTTCTGTGCATTATGTACTTGGAGAATTTGTCAATTTGTACAACACCAGCATAGGTTTTTGTGTATTATGTCTGTGTTAAATTTCACATGTACAAAATACAGTAGGTAAGTTAAATTGTTATGTGATGGCCATTATCAGCCATTGTATATTCGATAAATCAATGTTCAAGATACCATTTGCAAAGTTCAGCTGCATCAGAAGATTGTCTATTTGTCAGATAATTATGTTTATTTGTTGGACATGCGTGTCAACATTTTAGATATTTAAATGACAAGTAGATGAGCTGAAGGTTTCTTTCATTTTCTGCTTTTTTCTGTTCAAAATGGATTGAATTTGAAATTGAAGTACATGTATTTGGAATAAAAGATTTCTTTACATTGCTTTCTAGAATTAATGATTTTGCAATATGGGCAAGGCTTATTGCCATTGATATGTGCTTTTAACATACCCCAGCTAAAAAAAGATTGTTTCAAAACACTATCCTACATACAAAATTTCTTGTATTTTCTATTCTTATGTTAATATAGTCATATGATTAGAACTAGTAATTATGTTTTTTTAATTAAAGCTTAATTTTTTTTATATAGCTAGCAAATTATGATGAAAATGTACCTAGTATGAACTTAGTAATCTGATTTATTGTAATTTTAGATGCAAGAAATAAAAATGAGTACAATGAAAGCCATGTTGTTACTGCTAAAAAGGTGCCAAAGGTAAAGTTCAATGATTTTTTACTGCATCTTTGAAAAACTTAGTTCAAAAATTAACAAAAATATCTGTTTATTTTACTTTATTTGAATTTTATGAACTGTAATTGTATGCATCAAAAGAATTAAATTATTGTACAAATTAAAGATTAAATATACTATGGAATCATAAAAATTTTTGAGGGCCAAATTCATGGCTTGCTTAAATTTTACAGGTTTGTGGGGACGTAATTTTGTGTATTCTCTCATATCTACAAATTTTAAAAGAAATCTACCTTTGAAACCCTTGTATTATAATTAATTTGTGGAGGATGTATATTTGTGGATGAGGGGTATCCATGAATTCCACGAATATTGAGCCACCATGAAATCTAATGATTCCACAGGAATCTTTGTTAATTTCTGATGCAATTTTTCTGATTTTTTTCTAACTGTTGGGAAAAAAATATATAATAGCTATAATGCAACCCTTTATTTGTTGAGATAAAAAAAAAACAACAACAAACAAACACATATAGTAACTGTAGCTTTACCTTTATTTGCAATTTATTTGAAGAATGAAGATGGTTATTTTGTGTTACCCTATGATGCTGAATTAGAATGTAAACAGAATATTGTGGTGTACGACAGTAATACTTCTACATTAAGAGAACCAGAGGGTAAGACTATATCATGTCTCAAATAGATGTAAGGAAGACTTTTTGTAAATTATACTTATGAAATATATATATTTTTATATTTTTAGCTCACCTGAGCCAAAGGCTCAAGTGAGCTTTTCTGATCAAAATTTGTCCGTTGTCTGTCGTCGTCGGCGTCGTCGGCGTCGTTGTTGTCGTAAACTTTTCACATTTTCATCTTCTTCTCAAGAACCACTGGCCCAATTTCAACCAAACTTGCCACAAAGTATCCTTGGGTGAAGGGGATTCAGATTTGTTCAAATGAAGGGCCATGCCCTCTTTCAAGGGGAGATAATAAAGAATTAGTGAAAAATTAATAGCATCTTTTAAAAATCTTCTAGTCAAGAACGACAGAGCCAGGGAAGATGAAACTCATGTGGAAGCATTCTCAGGTAGTGTAGATTCAAGTTTGTTCAAATCATGACCCCCGGGGGTAGGGTGGGGCCACAATGGAGGATCAAAGTTTTACATAGAAATATATAGGAAAAACCTTTAAAAATCTTCTTCTCAAGAACAGCAAAGCCATGATGAGTCATATTTATATGGAAGCATGCTCAGGTAGTGTAGATTCAAGTTTGTTCAAATCATGACCCCCCTGGGGTAGGGCGGGGCCACAATGGAGGATCAAAGTTTTACATAGAAATATATAGGAAAAATCTTTAAAAAATCTTCTTCTCAAGAACAGCAAAGCCCTGATTGGTCATATTTATATGGAAGCATCCTCAGGTAGTAAAAATTCAAATTTGTTCAAATCATGACCCCTGGGGGTAGGGCGGGGCCACAATGGAGGATCAAAGTTTTACATAGAAATATGTAGGAAAAATTTTAAAAATCTTCTTCTCAGGAACAGCAAAGCCCTGATTGATCATATTTATGAGGAAGTATCCTCAGGTAGTGTAAATTCAAGATTGTTCAAATCATGACCCCCTGGGGTAGGGTGGGGCCACAATGGAGGATCAAAGTCTTAAATAGAAATATATAGTAAAATATCTTCTGATGAAGAACTGCAAAGCCATGATTAGTCATTTTGATATGGAAGCATCCTCAGGTAGTGTAGATTCAAGTTTGTTAAAATGATGACCCCCGGGGATAGGGATGGGCCACAATGGGGGTCGAAAATTTTACATAGGAACATATAGGAAAATATCCTCTTCTCAAGAACTGAAAATTATGTTTAGTCATTTTGATATGGAAGCATCCTCAGATAGTGTAAATTCAAATTCGTTCAAATGATGACCCCTGGGGTAGGGTGGGGCCCAATGGGGGATCGAAAGTTTTACATAAGAACATACAGAAAAAATATTTCTTCTCAAGAACAGAAAAGCTATGTTTAGTCATATTGATATGGAAGCATCCTCAGGTAGTGTAGATTCAAGTTTGTTCAAATATTGACCTCTGGGATAGGGAGGAGCCACAATGGGGGATCAAATTTTTTCAAAATTTACTCAAGTACAACAAAGACATTTGTTATAACCCCCCCCCCCCCCCCCCCCCCCCCCCCCGGTAACCTTTTCAATACTGAACTGATTTGTGCTTTTGCCTAGCCAATGTGCTCAGGTGAGCGATGTGGCCCATGGGCCTCTTGTTTTTTCTCTGAAATGCAGTTTTGAAGATCATATCTGTTTGAATAGATCCAATTTGCAAACAAATATGTAAACACAATAACCTCAATCTCATTTTAAAAATGAACATTTGCACTAATCTCCACATTGTTGTATTCATTCTGTAGCACCTGCTTTAGACTGTGGAAGAATGCTCTGGGATATGGGTAGTCGGAACAAAGTAAAAATTCTGAAAGGTATGTGTCCATAAACAGTACACTGGTATGTTTGCCTCATTAGAATGAGGTATGCTTATTAGTCTTTTGACTTTTCTGGCCATGTGTTTCTTGAGTAAAGATTTTTCAATGACTGTAGCATATTTTTACTACTTGTATTTCTTGATAAGAGGATGTGGCTATTCAATGGAACAAAACTAAGTCATTTTCACTGATGGGTGCTTTCTTGCAAGTTTAGATGGAACTGGTCCTGTAATTCTGGAGATGAAATTTAAAATATTAAATTTACAGATGACAGACCCATAACTTGAACTCTGTGCATTTTCTATGAACAATCCACAGAGTTCCAAATGTCAACATGGCGTTAAATTTGAAGCAAGGAAAAAACGTTTGAATTTTCGTATTGATATGAATTATTTTTTAGCTTAAAAGGCATATACAATCTCAAAAAGGTTTGTTATGATTAATTTGGTAGTTATTTTCAGTGCAACTCCTTTTGTACTCTTCAAAATCATTTCGGAGCGGATCCACTCCGATTTGCTACATTGCAAGTATATGGGATGTATTCTAACTGTGGTGAAGGCTTGTCCCAAGACACAGTTAGATTATTCTAACTAAATCGGAACCCTGTCACTCAGAAAAACTCACTTGAGCCACTGGCTTAGGTGAGCTTAGAAAAACACACTTTCTATACATGTACTGGCAAAAATCAGATTTTTACAGAAAACAAAACAAAAAAAAATTATAGAAAATGAAGGACCTATAAATCAAGTACCAGATATATTCCTCCTTTTTTTGAAATGTAGCAAAGTTTTCAGTCTCCTTTTCCACTTTGGTATGAGAGTTGAAAGCTATATTATATAGCCATTTCAAAATAAGCTTAGCTTGATTATAAATTTAAATAAAACTTTTTTTTTGGGCGGGGGGGGGGGGGGGGGGGGGGTTCCTTTACTTCAAAGAAAATAAAAGAATATCTTCTTGCAATACACTGATTAGATGGGTTAAAATTAATGTGTATTTAAAATAATATTGTAGTTGATAACACATATATTTCACCTTATTCCTAAAAAGCAAACTTTTTTCAGGTGGATATGAAGAATTTTCAGCACTCTACCCATTTTTACGGACTCAAAAGATTATGTTTATGCCAAGGGTGAGCCAAATAAAATTATAATTTATAATTACTTAAATATTTTTTATACTTGTATTGACTATTCTGATTTTTTGTTTTTTGAAAAAGATCACAACTTGGTTTTCAAGCATAGGGCATAAAAACACATGAGTAACATACATGTGCATCTTAATTGTATAATTCTTGTCCTTATATACTTCATTCAGTACTTGTGAAAAGATTTAACACATATAATTGTTTTTTGGCAGGAGATGGATGACAACTTGAAACCTTACCCAACAGAAATCATGCCTGGAGTTCTATACCTCGGAAATTGGAGGCAGGGAAATGCTCCATACATTCAGAAAGACTTAAAAGTCAAAGGACATGTTAACTGTTGTGTGGAGTCAGAAACTTTGTAAGTTTCTCCATAAAAAAAAAATTGCTTGAATATCGATATCCTTATGGTAACAAACATGGCATTTTGGATACATTGATGATCTATATCAAGCTTATCAATTCAATAATTACAGGTAGTGATGTTGCCTTTGACATGTAATGGAATATATGTATGTGATTAATTCTGGTAGTTTGAATTTATTAAGTGAATCCTGTTCAGAATAATTTCCTTCAATATGTTTCAAGAATAGATTTTAAGGGAGATAACTCTTCCAATTTCTTAAAGAAATTTGGGTAGCATTTGCATACTGTTTAAATACATGTACATACATATGTATTATGAAATATTTTCTGTATTTTGTTTTTCTTTGAAAGTTTTTCAGACCCTGGTCCACATTTGCTCCACATTCAGGTGGAAGATGATAATGAGGCAGACCTCTATAGCAAATTCCAAACTGCCTGTACATTTATTGGTAAATATTTTGTATTGCTTTTTTTTGTGGAAAATTCATAACATTCAGTTTTTTATTTTGTATTGCATTTTTTTGTGGAAAATTCATAACATTCAGGTTTTTTTTGTTTTTGTTTTTGTTTTTTTTTTTTTGGGGGGGGGGGGGGGGGGGATTACCATTATTGACTGAAAAATGTGTTATGACCCATTTACTGAATAAAATCAGTACATGTAATTAAATTGTATCTTAATAATCCTAATTTTTCAGATACCCACAAAGACAAAAATGAAGTAGTGCTAGTATTCTCTAATTTAGGAATCAGTCGGAGTGCCACTATTGTTCTGGCTTATCTCATTTACAAGTTCAAATGGACTCTTCAGGTGAGTGAGTGACTACAGTTCATCACAGAGGATATGCTCTGCTCTTGCTGAAGAGCCCTACACATCAAGTACATATAGTCATAAGTCGGCTCTGCTTATCAATATCATCAATTTTGTACCCCTACATGCAATTTGTTTTCCTCTGGCAAAGTCTTAATTTTAAAAATTTATAAGAATTATGACAGTGCTAGTAGATTTTAATCAATGATCAGAAACTCATAATTTGTCAACTCAACCAGATTGACTTGGTTTTGATTTTGTTGTACTGAAGCATTCAAAGTTTTGAAGGAGATTTGCCAAGCAAAAAAGTATACATGTATAAGACATGGTTTTGATTCAATAGATTATTTATTTTAGGAAGCATACGACCATGTTCTGAAATGCTGCAAAACAATTCGACCAAACAGAGGTTTCATTCAACAGCTATCTAAATGGGAGGAGGCAGTTTTAGGAGGAAAAAAGACCAATATCGAGGACCCCAATTTCTAAAACCTGTTTTTTTTCTTGGTACTTTGATTATACTGAAGGAACAGTAAAAAAAGACAATTCATTTGAACTATCAAGTCTAATCATGTTGCTCTTGATCTATAATGTATGATTAGAACTGTCAATTCATTTATATTAAATTGTACTTCAAGTCTGAATAAAGAAATCAGATTTAATACTATGAAAATACGTGTATGTAGGTAAATTGTACAATACAAATAATTAATAAAAAATCTATTTTTGCTGGGTTGATGTTTCACTTTTGCATAATACCTTTGCAAGGATATTTTTAAATGGGTGTAATATTTAGTTGTTTTGATTCTGCAGTCATCATTTAGGTAGATCTCATTACTTTTTTATTGATCAAGAATCAGTCTCCAAAGTGAGCTAACAGTAGTTGCTGACCTAAATGTATATAACATACGTACATGTTTTAAAATGATTTTTAGCTCACCTCAACAAAGTTGAGATGAGCTGATGCTATACCCCTGGTGTTGGCATCCCAGTTTAGTTTTAGGAGCAGGTCCATTCCCAAGTAACTATAAGCCCTATCTGGACCAATCTTGCATGGATGATGCATCGAGGGATGAACACTACCAGACTTGCTTTGGATGCTAGATCAGATTTCCATTTCCCAGATGAATGAACAGGTTAAAGCTTTTTAAGCTGGTCCATTTTAAGTAACTATAAGATGTACCAGGACCAAACTTGCATGGATGATGCATCTAGGCATGGACAGTATTAGACTTGTTTTAGATATCTACATTTTCTGGATTAGAGACAAAGTTAAAAAGTTTTTTTAGTGCAGACTCATTCTCAGGTAACTATAAACCCTACCTTGACCAAACTTGCTTGGATAATACATCTAGGGATGCACACTACCAGAATTTTTTTGGATGCTAGATCTGACATTTGCCAAATGAGTGACTGGATTAAAGATTTTGGAGGAGCTCTTCAAGAAACAATATGGTCTGTTATGAATAAATTTGCAGGGATGATGCATCTAGGGATGGATATTACCAGACTTGCTTGAGATGTTGGATCTGAACTACCTTTTCTGGATGAGTTATATTCGTGGAGCAGGTACAATCACAACTTTACAAGTAACAATACATCATACAAAACCAAACTGGCATTGATTTTGGGATGCATGCCAACTAGAAAAAATTTGGTGCGAGATTTGCTTTACTTATAGAGAACACTCATTAAGGAGAGCTACGTATCTTTGATTACCTAGGTTTTTTTTTTTTCCAGAAATACGCATTTTGCATGATAGGAAAAGTCAGCATTTACATTAACAAAACATATTTCCATGTCATCGAGTACACTCGTATTTAAATGCTTTTATTTTTGGTTACACTTGCAATTAATAATTCAAAAACTGCATTACTGTGAATAACTTTAATCACAGTACTCAAATTAGATCTACAAAATAATAAATATTATATCACAACTTTTCTTGCACTATTTTGAAATGTACAATTATACATTTATTATAGATATGCTGCAGACATAAAAAAGAAGAAGATATTTACAAGTAATATATATGGATGGGGACACTTAGGTATATCATGTGTAGGATTCATATCGATCCTGCCAATAGTCACTATCTGGCAAATTTTCCAAGTCTGAAAATTGTTTCAGATGAAATTTTGTCACTTGATAATCCACCATGAATCTGATTGCAAAATATCCACAAACAACTTCAAAAATCACAAACAAAGCCATCACAATATGCACCGCTCTCTCTAAAGGAAGTAAGATGGCGTCCTCATTGAACAGAAGCAGCATTATCAATGGCAACTGTATTAATATAGTTAACAGCCAGGATCCAGCTAACTCAGGAACCTGTAGAGAAACAGTGGGGATTATTAAGCAAGTATCTAGTAGGATTTTGCTTGATGTGGCAAATGATGAGTAATACATAATGTAGAGAATTTTTAATACCATATCCTCCTATTACATGTAAGTACCCCTGCCAGTGCTTATAAAATTAGAAAGAAGGAAGTGATTATTAGGTCCGTTATAAAATTTAAGTTTGTGTTTCAAGACATGTATAATACTACAATAAATAGATACATTTTTTTTTTTATAAAAGCACACCCATCTAAAATGTATTTTAAAAGTGGTATATGTTCATTCTAAAATGAAATGTGACAGCAAGCTATACATTCTCTATCCAGAGTTGTCGTTCCCGCTACGCTCCCACATACACCTCTCTCAACGCCTGTTATACAAGATTCTTGGAAAATTTATAAAAGATGAAAAATTGTATTATTTATCATTAATTATTATATTTCTTATCGGTAAACAGGATTTATATTAATCTATTACCCATGAAAAGGATTTTTTAATAAAATTTTTAATAGTTACTGCTCAAAATAGTTCCCTAAAATCTATGAAAATAAATCGTTTTGAGGGATGATAGATTTAAAGGAAATGATAAATTATCATCTTTATCAATAAGGCCAAACAAAAAAATATGTGTGGTTCCGGTTACACTTCCAAAAAAATTAGGGAAGGTAGGTAGGGAATTTTTTTTTTTTTTTTTATTTTTTTTTTTTTTTTAACAAAATGATTTTCTTAATTTTTCTAAATAATACCTATCACTGCTTTGCAAATGGCATTTAGATGTGGTATGATAATATACTAGTCAATATTGGTAGGGGACACCTACATGCTAGCTTGCTTTGGACTTAATACTATTAAACACTTGCACTATGTTTTGCAAGGAGGCCGTCATTGCTGAAACTAAATCTTAAACCGGAGCCATTGATGGAAATCGGGGAAAATTCCGGAAAAAATATGAAAATTGCCCAAAAAAAGTTTAGGGTTGGGGGTATAAAATAGGGAAGGTCGGGTAACCGGAACCACACATATTTTTTTTATTTGGCCTAATTACGAAAGTTAATTATGATTTTATTATCAAATTTTCACCGTTTAAAACTTGTATACAAGAATTTTGTACAACGAGCGTTGATGGAAGTGTTGGTAGCATAGCGATAGAAAACTCTGGATAGAGAATGCAAGCTATATATATATCATATTAAGGAGACATAAATAACGTACCGGTAAACCACTTAATTAGAAATTAGATTAATAAATATTGTCAATGCACAGTGGTATAATCCTGTTAAATTATAAGATAAGAATTTCACGAAGGGGGACCTTATGAATGGATGAATAAAAGGTCCCAGTAGGGTGCTTACAGGGGCTTAATGGGCATATATGGTACACTTTTTTTAAAGGGGCATGGACACACTTGCATAGCTGTTTTGTTGACAATTTTAATTTCTATTTTTATTTGAAAAATAGCCTTAGTTTAATGACTTGAATTCAAATGAAAATTCCTAATATTCAATGACAATGGCATTCTTTAAAACCTTACACAAAACACTGGAGTTTGTAAACATTGGCACGAGCTTTGTTTTTGTTAACATTTACGTTATACCAGATTTCTTTGATTTGTTGACGTTGCTTACATCACCAACCACAATCTGACAACACTGTTATGTTGGTTTAGCTTTCTCACATTTCTTTTTAAATTACTTTTCCTGATTCCAGTTTTAATTTATTTTATTAATGCACCTCAGATTTCCCACTTTCCTTGAATATTAAGGATAAATTTTAGTTTATGAAACTGCAAGGATGTACAGTCAAGGGACCAGGGATGGGGTAATTGAAAAAAGTAATTGTAATTGACTGTAATTAATTACATTTTTTGAGGTAATTGGAAGTAATTTGTAATTGAACATTTTTTCAATTACTTGTAATTGTAATTTAATTAATTACACTGAAAAAATACCATGTAATTTCAATTACTTTTTCAATTACATTCAATTACTTTATATGATACACATTCATGATATATTCATGATATATCATCACCACTACCTCCCCATTTTACTGCATGGTTTTTATTTTATTGTTTAACATATATCCTCAATCCTTCAATTATACAAAGTCTTAGGTTAATGCTTACAAAAAAATAATTAAATGATTGGCTTGATAATAATAAACTGGTTTCTTTCTAATCATTATGTAAATTTTGAATTTTTTGATCTATATTTATAAATATGAATTTTGAACCTTCCTTCTTAGGTCTATTCAGCTATGAAACACACATTTATTATATTTCAGTCTTTGTTGTTTGATCAATAATAAAGTAAAAGAAGGTGTGTGTCATTAATAAGTTCTCTCTTGTTGGGAAGAGATAATTGCCCTCCAGATCACAGCTTTAAATTGCAATCAAAACAAATCAACTCCTCGAAAGAGATATTCATTCCATGATTTAGAAGACAAAGCCAATGGAGATAATTATTTCAATTTAAAATGTTCCGCTAGCTTTAGAAAAAAAACTTTCAATTTGATAATTACTTTAACATCTAAACAGATTTTTATGAATGAATTTTCTATCTGTACAATTCTGATTTAGGAAGTAAAATTGTTCAACATAAATAGCAATTTAGGATGTTCAGGTTACCTTCAAATGAAATATTTAATTTGAAGGGTTACAGTTACGACTCATTTCACTCTATTAAAATACTCATTTTTAATCAAATATCATAAGCCATGCAATTTGTGTATATGTAGGTTTTGTGTGGTGGAAACTGCATCAAAGTGATCTCGGATAGTTCTTTAAGAGATTCTTATTGTTTTGTAAATAAATGTTATAAATTAAACCAGAATGATACACAATGCCTATTAATAGCATATTATTTCTTGTACTGTTTGTGCAGAGGCTGAGCTTATATACAAATAAATGATGTTCTGTTTATTAATTCACTGACAAGGATTATAAAAATTTTCAAAAAAATTTAAAATGTAATTTGTAATTTAATTAATTACTTTTGCAAAGTAATTGTAATTTAATTAATTACATGTCTTAGAAAGCCTGTAATTTAATTGTAATTTAATTGAAGAAAAAGTCAAAGTAATTGTAATTTAATTAATTACTTTTTAAAGTAATTGACCCCATCCCTGCAAGGGACATAATAATTTGCCACTTCTGCGCAAATCGTGTCACGTTTCCTCGCATGTTCGGTAAAGTAAGGCTGAGCACTATTAATAGACAAGAGATTTTCCCTTTCTAATTTTATCTTTGTGTTGTAATACTAAAATTGATGATGTATACACAATATTTTTGTCGTCTGCTTTATTGTTTGTCGATAAATTTATGTAAAAACAGCATGGGTCGGAAGGGGAAAGAATTAGATACATCCGTCAGAAGTATGGTTGTTAAAGCGTATAAAGAGAACAGAAATACATCAGAATTGGAGAGAATATTAGGAATTCCTAGGTCTACAATACGTAGTATTGTGAAAAAGTTTGATGAAATGAGACAGGTAGAAAATCAACGAGGAAGGGGAAGGAAGAAAGTGTTTACAGACAGAGATAAAAACAAACTTTCACGCATGGTTAAAGAAAACAGACGAAGAACTTACGAAGACATAACAGGTATTATAAATGAGGGAAACAATCATAGTTTTTGCACTAGAACTAAAAAAAGAAAAATTCAAGAGCTGGGACACAAAAGGAGGGTTGCCAAAAAAAAAAAACGCTATTCGCGAGGCCAACAAAAAAGCTCGCTGCAAGTGGTGCAAGGAGAGAAGAAATTGGACTGTTGATTGTGAATGGAATAAACGGGTGTTTAGTGATGAAAGCCAGATAGTAATTGGTAAAAATAAGAAAGTTTATATATGGAGAAAAGACGAGGAAAAGTACAGTGCGCAGTTAGTGTGTCCGCCATCCCGACGACATCTGAGTGTCATGATCTGGGGTTGTGAGTGTATAAAAGGAATAGGAACTTTAACTAATGTAGAAGGCAACATAAATGCAAGAAAATATATTGAGATATTAGACAACAACCTTTGGCCTGTTTTAGCCAGACATTTTCCAGGTAACCAGTATGTATTTATGGATGACAATGCTCCCATTCATAGAGCAAATTTAGTAAAAGAATACATCGCCAACAACAACATAATTACAACATCATGGCTTGCCCAGTCTCCTGACCTTAATATTATCGAGAACATTTGGTCAAAAATAAAAAGAACTCTGGAAACCTGTGCCGAATTCATTAACACAAAAGATCAGCTTATGGCAGAAATTCGGACTGCCTGGGAAAATGTACCAACCTCCTATATTGAAGACCTGTGTAAGACAATTCCTGGCAGACTAAATGAAGTATTAAATATGAAAGGCAATTTAACAAAGTATTGAGGTAAGATAAGTATTTATTAATTGTTTAACAGATCCTAAGTATCAAGGTGCGCGATGTAAAAAGTATGGCGGCCATTTTGAAGTGGCGAATAATTATGTCCCTTGACCGTATTTCAATCAAACATATGCACCCAAAATTCATAGTTTTTATAATTTTTAGATAAAAGAAGCTTCTTAACAGGTTTCTATAATAATGTATCAGTCTGAAATGCTCTTGCAATACTGTATATAGGAAAATTTTCACCCCCATTTTTATTCTTGCCCCTTTCACCCTCTTTGCAAGAAGGTGAATTTAAAACAGGGCGAATTCAAAGAAAACTGCATTATCCCTTGTCTATGTGAATTTAGAAATGGGGCAAAATTGTTTGCATTTGTGAAAGGGTGAAAATAATATGGGACAAAAATAACCTGTATACAGTCCATGCCCCTTAAACAAATAAAAATTGAAGAATGCACACATTGTTCCATCACGTGAGTGTCTCATGTTATGTTTCATTTAGTACATGCATATATTCCCCCCCCCCCCCCCCCCCCCCCAAGAATTGGCATACTACTGGTAGGCCGGTACATGTGTACCTGTATTAGATTATTCTTGTTATTGTGAAAAAGTAATTAGAATTTTATTTCCTTACCCTCTCGGTTAGGTTTCCAAGAAATCCTAAATACAGTCTGACAAACTCTATGATAGTAAACACTATGTAGATGGCTATAAGTATGATTGCATACAGTGTTGATAATGTGGAGTACTGTAATAAAGAAAATAATAAATACAAAGTTTAAAATGATAACATTTGGTAAATGATCAACACTAAATAAAAATGGAGCAATTTATAACTTTTTTTACTTACTTTTACTTCAAAAATGACAAGGGTGGCCACCAGCCAGAAGGGAGAGAAGAAAGCATTAAAATACAGTGCCATCTGAAGGGGCAGATTTGTGACATATTCACTACCTGAAAATTAGACATAAGGCTATCAGTATAATCACATTTATAAATCTCAAAATATGTACATTTGAAACAGTAATTAATATCCCCCACACCTGGCCCCTATAAAATGACCCAGTCCACAGTACTGGAAATTGTCTTATCCCCCAATTACTACGTACTAGGGCACAAACATCTGAATGAACTCTGTTTGTGGTTTAGTACATGTATGTAGTAATTAGAGCCAAACAAACAGCTTATTTTAATCAGATTGAATGTATTAATAGTGAGTGTAGCAAGCTCTAGAGACTAAGAGGAAATTTTAACTGAAATCTGTTCATTTGACAAGCAAATTTTCATGTGAAATCTTCCCAAAATTCTTCCACAACCACAAATAGGCACAATTCTATGTGATAATTGCAAATATAACATGCCTGCAGTTATCATGAAGATTTTGTTCTTGCAGCTTGCAGAAAGCTTTAAAGAAACAAAACGCATCTACTCTACAATGCTTTTCCTTCAAAAATTGTACCATTTAAGACTCTGATATGGAAATGCAACTAACATGCCATATCATGCGACTCACAGCCTAGACTCTCATGTGTTTGAAATTTGGAGGCAGATCAAATTTCAAAATGTAGTTTTTAATAGTATACAAGTGTGCTCGCCCAAACAGCCACACCTTAAAACATATTAATTTAAACTATGTAAGGCCACAAAAATTTAAAATTTAGATTCTCATCATAATTTGCTCAAAAATTGGGGCGGGTGGGCGGATTTTATTTTTTATATTTTATTATTGAAAATATCTACATAACGCTCTTCTTACACAAAATTTTCACATTATGTTAATGCCAATATGAATATATTTTATTGTTGATTCTTTTAAATATCTACTGAAGATTCTTGTTATAGAATATTAAATATTTATAGTTTTAATTAATGATTTTTCAAGTACACAGATACTGCACACGCCACACAAAATGGGGTGCGGATCCCAATAAATTGCATATGCTGTGTGTAGTTCTCATCGGCCTTTCTGCATATACCTTTTAGTTTTACCCAACAACTCCTTTTTGTTTTGTGTGAAATATCACAGATTTCCACTGTCCTAATACTTTCGTTCTTGGGACTTGACACGTTCAACACTAACATATGTCATTTTAGCAAAACAGGATGTCTAAAACTGTAAAATATTCTACTGAAAAGTCTATGCTCAACAGTTTTAAGATTTACCATTTCCTTATCTTCTAAAGTCTGCTGACGACCTTTTTTTTTTAAATACAAAATCACATACAACCGGCAATCGTTATAACTTGACCAAATGTCATTTTCTTCATCTGATTTTACTTGGTTAAAATCTCTTTAAAAACTTGCTCATGCCAGTGATGGTATCTAGATGTACTTAAGTTATTTTTGATTTTCTGCCTTCTCTATACTGGCAGGGACCTATATACTATATAGGTCCCTGATGCTGGCAAATTATTTTTCCCTACATATTTAAACTGCTTTTATTGCAGATTTTTCTCCATTCTTCACATGGCTTTTGTGCTATAAATAGTGCCACACGACTTTTAATACAGACGAGATATAACTCTTAAAAATTTTGACCATGATTCTTGCTGAGTAAAAAATACATGTAAATACTTTTGAAACCCAAAAACCAAAATAAAAAACAACGGGGCGGGGCACTTTGAGCAGGACGGGCAGGGAAGAGAATCCAAAGTTTAATTTTACCTGGCCTAAATGGGATTAAATTGTGTATAGTGATTTTTTTTTTTCAACTTTTCCAAATTTAATTCAATACAAGTATAGATCTTGATCTAATGATCTTTACATTAATTTAAATTGGATGATTCAAAAAGCTATTTAATAAATAAGAATTAAACCTCCCTATGATTACATAATTTTAATAAAAATCCCTGATAAGAGAGTACACCACCCTGTTTCAAGAAGATTTATCAGGCAAACTATTTTTTCTCAATAGGCTTAAGAAGTGCCTGAACTTGTCCCAAAGTTTAAATGCCCAACAAGAACTCGAAGGACCGACAAAAACTACGGATCGCATACCAGCTTTAATTATTTGATGTTGCTGGGGATCCTGCGCGGATTTGGAAGGAGGAAATATAACATCTGTCACAGAATTCACTGTTCTTCGCAGTGTAGCTTCCATAGCAATAATCACATTCAGCGCCCAACTTTCCGGAAAGTAAACTTAGTAAATAACACCTGAACCGAACCGGGAAAAATACAAACAATGTTGAGGGCGGTGCATCGAAACGCCGAAATGTCGGGTTTCTGCCGAAATGTAAGTAGAATGCGCCGAAATGACTAATGAAATACTGCAATGACTGTGGATATCAATTGATACGGATACTAATACCCCAAAAACATAAACTTTTTGAGGTCAATCCTTACCCCTAAGGTTTTAGAGCCCATTTATCGTAAATATTGGAGGAAGTCAGCCGCCATTGACGGGTTTCATAGTATACCGTATACCACGCCCGATTTTTTTTTTTTTTTTTTTTTTTTTTTTTTTTTTTTTTTTTTTGTCTTATAAATTACAGATATGTTATAAATGTTTCAGTCATTATACAATTATCATTATTTATGAGGAAAAACATTTATTTTTTCAAGAATAAAAGAATAAATGATTTAAAAACATAATTATCAATTATAAATTATTGTCCCATAGCAAAAAGAAATGGCATTTTTCCATTTTATCTCCATTCATTCAGCATTTTCTAGCCATTTTTCATTTTAAAAACATTTTTCCTACATTTCTCTATCTTTCAATTTTCCAAAACCATTTTTTCAGAACCATTTCAAAACCATTTTTGTTAGAAAATGCTTTTTAAATGGTAAACCTTCACCATTTTTTCTCCATTTACTTGAGTAAATGGAAAAGAAATGCCAGTTTGGTGATCTAACTTGCTTGAGCTTGCCATTTTTCTTCCATTTATTTTCTGAGAAATGGAAAAATGAAGAAATGGTTAGTTTTAGGCATATTCTTAACCCTTAAGATTTGTCAGCAGTTAATTGATGCCAGGTGCCAAGTTTGTATAATGGGCCAGAGGCTATCAGATTTCCTCCCCAGCTCTGTGGTGACCGCCTTTCTCAGTTATTTTAAACATTGGACAAAAGCACTTCGACCTAGCTGGTAGTGATGGAGCTTAGATGGCTGAATTATTCTTCAAGGAAGATTGGGGTTTTTAGTATTTTTGATGCTGAAAAAACTGTACATTGATGATCAAAGCAGAATTATAAGATAACGTAACTTCTTGGAGAATGATTATCTGACAGTTTTAATGTTTCTAATATTTGGGGAGTGGTGGAGAAGAAAAACAACACATTTACCATCACTGAAAGGGTATTCTTTTTGAGAAGTAAGTATATATATTCACATATTTTTATTAATGTCAACAACACAAAAATGCTTTTTCTAAAGAAAACATGTACATTAGGAGTGTCCACTGATCATATTGATGCAATAATTAATTTATAAACCAATCTAGTTAAAACTTAGACTGATCGAGGGACACTATTGTAAATTCTTATAAACTTCAATTATTAACTATTTTCTTGCTCACTTTTCTCAGGTAAATGGTTAAATTTCTTCTGCAATCTGTTCAACCTATTAAATCATTTGTTTCTGATGAAATAGTGAATATACAGGCAGGGCAGTACTTGTACATGTATACTTATATTGTTCATGAATACAGACCTCGTAAAAGTTATTAGATTTATGCTACAGGAGTAACGATCAGCTGCAGTAGTGAAAAAAAATTGACAAAACAGTTTTCTGTTCTTTTCTCATTATGCATTTTGTTTATTTTTAGAATATGTACTGCTTGCATATGGAACACCAAAATGAACATGGAAACTGTAAATTGTCAAAGATGCAGACTACCATTATTCAAATCGAATTAGGAGATTAATCCATCAAAATTTCTAGGAATGCAAAACAAAGTTTGTGAAAAAATAAAACATTTGACCTTTGTTTCATGACTGACTCTACTACCAAGAAGATGGATTTTCAAAGCGCTTATTCTGTGGATATTGAGAACCCAGCTTTTTTCATTTTTCAATTATTGTAAAAATGTTTTTAAAATGGATATTAAATGGTTAAAACAAAAACCATTTATTTTTCATTTTTCTTCTCATTTGCATAAATGGTTTTGGAATGGTTAATTTGCATGTTATAAGGCCCAAAAAAATGGAGTTTGAATGGATGTTAAATGAGGTTTGAATGGAAATAAAATGAAAAATGGTTTTTAAATGATAATCCTTTCTGTTGAGAATTCTTGAAACTGTTGATGATATAAAATGGCTCCCGAATGGTTTTAAAATGGTCAGAAAAGAAATGTCTTTTAAATGGTAATTAAATGGATTTCATTTTGATAAGGGGTGAATATCAATGGAATATTATTGATGTACAATTGATAAATTTATATCGTAAACAATGTTTGGAAACTGGGGATTTTGTTTTCTGTTTGTTTGTGTTTTTTATTTAATTTTTTTTCTTTGTATTAATGGTTTGAACATATTTTATTGTATAAATAATATACAAATGGTTTGAACACAAGTTCTAACAACTTACGAGGTTCTCACCATAAATGTCTACAACTGTCAAGATCTATATACATTAATTACATGATAAATATATAACTAACTAGAGTTTTAGTGTAAGGCTGTAATAATTAATTAAATCTGCCAGAATCTCTTAAAAATTTTTGTTCAGATTGAAAAATATATTTATTGATTTCAACATTTTGTGACTCATCTCCCCACAGAAGTAGGTGACAATCAATAATATTCAATTTAGTGTTTGGTTTAATAAGACACAGTAGGTTTCTAAATAGTTCCTCTCTAGCATGTTGATATTTATTACATACAAAGAAGAAATGATCGATATATGGGTCTTCTGGTGTACCACATGACTAATTTATAGGACTCTCAATAATGTTTCTTTTATAAAGATCATAATTTAATTGTATTTATTTAATTAAATAAATCTTGAAAAGGATAGAATGCAAGTTATTTAAACTTAAAAGATCCTTTCCTCATTATACAAGCAGTGTATAAAATATGATTGTCATAACAGTTATATCATACAAGCAATATATATTAATTTGAACAAGAAGATTGCATGTTTATCAACTTCATGCAGATGGATCAAGTACTTAATGAATTTTTTGAGAATTTGGAAATTTATCACAGTTTCAATCACCTTAAGTAATAAAATAAAATTGTCTCTCATATGGTGTGTACATTAATTTGTTAGACACAATTTGTGCAATAAGTTATTCATGTTTCATGCTGGTAGCATTTGAACTTAACATTTTGTAATATTTTGTATTATATGTTGAAATGCGATAAGATGTATGTCTTAAGCAATAAATAAATAATAATAATATATTAATGATGTGAATTAATTAATTTAACAAAACAAAGGGAAACACTGTAATATAGTAAATGTCATCTGATTCATGTTTTGGTTTCTTAAAAATGCTTTTAACTATATAAATACATATGTTTACATATTGAATTTAGTTTAATCTTATAAATCTTCTGCCATTTGCCTTTATTGTATATGTTGTGCCTCTTTCATTAAACATCATTAGTGAACCTGATACAAGTCACATGCAGGCATCTTCAATTACACACAGGGAAGCATCTTGTGTATCCCGTACGAAAAAATCCAGGCGGAGAATAGGCGGATAGTATAGACGGAATCCGTCTGAATAAAGCTATATAAAGCATTATGATGCTTAGGTGGAATACAAGCGAAATTCAGGTGGATTTTAGATGGAATTCAGGCGGAAAAATAGGCGAAAAATGCAAATTAGTCCGCCTGTGAATTCCGCTTTTCAAATCCGCTTAAATATTCCTGCTAAAGCATTAGTAGAATATTGGACGGAATTCAGGCGGACTTTAGACAGAATCCGTCTAAAGATTCCGCTTAAATATTCCGCCTAAAAATCTGTAGAAAAATAACAATGAAGTAAAACATAACGTTAGTACATTATTTATTAACTTATTTAAAGTTACATCTGACTTCAAAAGTTAAACTATTACTGTCTATTTCAAACTTTTAAATTGGCTTTTAAATCAGCTGAAAGAAATCTTTTACTTGTATTCAGCAAGAGTTCACATGAAATTAGTCCTCTTATGATCCTCAGTTTTTTGTCGCTTTGCTTTTAATCTTTTTCCTGGCATACGACACCTGCTCTGTCACTGCGTCATTTACACTCTTCTCAGAAAATGACCCACCATTCTGATTACACCAGATGGCTATATATTCTGAAAAAAAGTAGACAATACTAAATTTAGCACATTATTAGAATTGAAATTTTGTTATTTTTAGATATTTCAGGCAAATTAAGTTCTAATTGTACTATTTTGACATTTCTTAATTTCATCATTGTAATTCTATAATCATCATTGAAGACAAAATGATTAATGTAAGAGATTAGAGAAACAATGTTACTGATGTCTGTACCCTTTAAGACGTCCATTTTGGAGTTATCCAAAACAGGTCTCAGGTCCCCTTCTTTGGATTTGATTCCTTGACCCCTGCTAGATGCCAACTCCTCCCAGGAAAATATGGCCGGTAGAAGTTTGGCCGTCATAGTAAAGGCCATTTTGGTGGGATGGGCCTTTTTGGCGGCATCTTTGGCCTTCCTTAGAGATTCTCTCCTCACTTTCAAGCTGTGATGAGCCAGGAGTTTTGTCATCTGCAATCAAAGTAAATTGCTTATTTCTGATATAATTATATCTAATGGGAAACATATCAAACTCAGAAAAAGGGAAACATTTTAAATTTGGCATTTGGGGTAAAAAAAAAAAGAAAAGTTTGACTCACCTGGCTATCAGAATCCTCTGGTGTTGAGGCATGTTTTCTCGGAGATCTCCTTGGAGTAGTTGGCAGGGTATTTTGTTGCGAAATCACAGGAGATGTGGTGCTCTGAGGTGACAAGGTCATGTTCTGTACTGATTGTGTGACTGTGTTTTGAAATGAAAGTGTATTTGTGTCTTGTACTGACTGAGTGACTGCATTTTGAAATGGAAGCACATTTGTGATACTCAATGGATCTGTGTTTGTGTTCTGTAAAGACTGAATGTGTGTGTACCGTGGTTGAATATTGTGGGTTGTGATAAAGCTCTGAGGAGTTGAGATGACATTGTTATCCTGTAAAGTTGTGAAATGTTGAAAGTGTGTGTTGCGTGTTGTACTTTGCTTTGTTGGTGTTTTGAGTGTTGGTGTATTAAGTGTTGTCTGTGGTGTTTGCTCTGATATGTAAGTGTCATGTGCGGACCATGGGGGTGGCTGTGTGTAGTTTGTGTATGGAGTCCATGTTTGTGTAGTCAAAGTAGGCATCCTGATCTCCTGGTCCAAAGTTTCATATGATTTGTCTACCATCTGAACAAATAAGGAAAAACAGAATGTTAGGATAGTCATATTCACACTCTGAATAACAAGATATATATAATGTCTGACAATTGAATACACTACCTGGGAGTTCACACAGCTTTCAGACTGTCCAGACTTGAATTGTTTTACAACGGCCTGCATGTAGTCCTGCACACTAGGTTTTAGCAACAATTCAAAGAGCTGAACTACGTCTGCTGGTGGAACTACTGAAGAGAATAAAAAACAGTGATATACTAATTAGCATAGTAATTATCAATAGTGTAAAGAGCATTATTACATGAATCATTTCACATTGTTATGTCGTGTTTTCACTGTAAAAAATAAATAAATAAATAAAATAAACACGAAAGATAAATTTCACCTTTCGGTGGCTGGTATAAAAGGACATGGTATGAATATTTTTTAAATTTAATTCGTGGAACCAGGGAGCTATATACATAGTATTATAGGTCCCTAGTGGAACAGGCACATGTTTCTGTAATATATATATATATATATATATATATATATATATATATATATATATATATATATATATATATATATATATAAAGCACTAAAAATGACCAACGACACGAACAATAATAATTGTCAAATTTTCGGGACAACCTGTCCCTTCCTCAGGACAATGAAAAAAGTTAAGAAGTCATAAAAACAAAGGAAATAGAGAAGCAAAAACAACTAGCACTACTACTAAACTACCAAACACTAAATATTTACAATGTTACATGTTTAATTTTGAGTTTATAAACAGTTGTGAACAAAGAAATCCGGAGCGCTATGAATTGCGTCCGGTCTATCGGGTGTAGTCTGGTGAAGTGTGATTTACATAATTGAACGAATTAAGATATTAGTATTAGTAATCCTGGAACAACCTACCCAAATATTTACAGCTCACATTTTTGTTTATTTCTTTTTTCCGATTTCCAAATTTAAAATATATATCCAAATTCATATTTCTAAATTGTCCTTCCATATTATCTTTCTTTAATTTCTGTTTATTATGTAGAGTTACGCTATTTTGATAGAATAAGACAATGTACGATTTACTGTTGGCCTTAATTAATTAGCGATAATTAATTCGTTCAATTATGTAAATCACACTTCACCAGACTACACCCGATAGACCGGACGCAATTCATAGCGCTCCGGATTTCTTTGTTCACAACTGTTTATAAACTCAAAATTAAACATGTAACATTGTAAATATTTAGTGTTTGGTAGTTTAGTAGTAGTGCTAGTTGTTTTTGCTTCTCTATTTCCTTTGTTTTTATGACTTCTTAACTTTTTTCTTTGTCCTGAGGAAGGGACAGGTTGTCCCGAAAATTTGACAATTATTATTGTTCGTGTCGTTGGTCATTTTTAGTGCTTTATATAAATTTCCATCCGTGACCTTGTATCTACTTAGTAGATCCGACACTTAGGATATACAGTGTTGTTGGTTTTTAGTGCTTTATATATATATATATATATATATATATATATATATATATATATATATATATATATATATATATATATATATATATATATATATATATATATATATATATATATATATATATATATATATATATATATATATATATATATAACCCATACTTATTGTACGTATATTTATAGCTATATTATTTATTTTTTATTATACTATATGTTAAAAAATTATTACAGAAACAAGTGCGAGTGATTCGTGGCCACGAATTTAAAATTCATCATGTTCATCATGTTCATGGTCATGAAATAAAAATTTGCGGCAACGAATTAAAATTTCTGGCCACGAATTATATTTGTAGTACTTAAAATATTGTAGATTATTCAAGTTCCCTTGATGTATGCACATCTAATACTACAGAAGTAAAATTCACTTTATGAACAGAATAGAATTTTATGTGTTTGATTTTATTACTATTGATGTTATAAACTGCTAAATTTATTGCAGCAAAGATATTTGGGGTGGGGGTCAATTTTCAATTTGTGTGAACATCTGTCGGAAAAGCGGGGGTGGGGGGCTCGTGAATAGATATATAAAAATGGGCATGACTGATTCATTTTTCTGCTTTATCCTACGATTAGTGACTTTCAGAAGTTTTTCTGCATTTTAACATTATTAATTAAGCCGAATATTCTTTCAAACATTTCCATATTACCTGATTAAATAAACTCAAATCTAAGGCTAGAAAGTTTTGATGAGTTCAGTTTATCAAATAAATCAGTCTGATTTATTATATTAAGTTGCAAAACCCTTTTCAACTAATCTGAATTAGTCCACGTTTCGGGAGTGGGAAACGACGCACTAATGTTGGAACTAATGCATCAGTTTTATTTACAAATGAACCTTCTCTCCATTGGCGGATTTAGAGATTAATAAATGGGGGTGGATGTGGGCAACATTTGGAAAAAATATAATTTTGGGGGGTCAGATATTGCTTTTATTATACAAAACTGATCTAAAATAATAATAATAAATTAAAGGGGGGTTGGAAGGGGGCTTTGCTGGCCCCTGGGCTCACCAGAGCTTTGCCCTGGACCCATTTGGGTCCTTAAGGCGGCCCCAGGCTCCCGAACTCCCCCCCCCCCTTTTTAAGAAATCCTGGATCTGCCACTGCTCTCCTATACCATTAAACTATGTCTGGATCTAAGAATTTTGGATTGGAATTCATTTTTCATTCAAACAAATCTTTTTGCAAATACTACCAAGTTACAGAATTAATCAATTTATTTCCCTGGCATATTATCATATATTTAGGAGAATTTATCTTTTTCTTCGTATTATTTCATTTATTTGTGTGTACTTCTCTGAGGCGATTTTGAAAGACCCCGGGTTCAAATTTCGACATGACAAAATTTCAGGGTTCATATAATTTCAGGAAATTGCTTCATTAAAACGCTTACTTGTACCCACTATTATACACATAGAGATAGTGCATGAAATTGATACAGATTTTGTCAAAATCATGGCCGACGTGGACTCTCAAGACGCCGCATCAGTCCCAGCTTTAGCGGTTACAGCTGCTGTTGGTGCAGTAATTGTCTTAATTATACTTGTGTGCAGTGTAGGAAGGGAAAACAAACCAAAATCTGAAAGTGGTGAGAAAGTTTACTGAACAAACAAGAGATTTCTAATTTTCTAGGTGAAAACGAAAGATTGCACCATCACTCAGGGTCCTTAGACGATCTGAGCAAAAATTAGTGTATGGTTTAAGGTGGGGTGGGGGATTCCTAATGAGCCTCGGTGACTCGTTTCAAACTCTCAAAACTTTTCTTATTTTAAAAAAATCCATCAAAAAGAATTCCCAGTGGAAAGGCAGAATGTTGTTTTTTAAATTATTGTCATAAATAAATCAATTACCAATTACCTAACTTCATTAAAACTTAAAAAAAAAATCAAACTTCTGAGAATTAGGTCCCTGTCATTATGACCATATAACCCTACATCATTTTTTTCCAAATCACTGGTGAAAATGGATCCCATCTCCTGAGACAGACAGTCAACAGTCATACAAATATCGTGAGGGTGACCAGAAGCAGAAATATTTTAAATTGTTACCCTGTGATTGGGTGCAAGGGATGACAAGTGCATAAAATTCAAGGCAATGAACAAAAAAGGGCATGGAGAAAATGGTGTAGGACTAATGATGGTGACCTAATTCTCAATCGTTTGAATATTTTTTTTTTTTTTTTTGCAAGTTTTCATAAAGATGTGGTTGATGAAAATCAATGTTAGGAATTTTTATAATTTTTTTTGATGAAATTTAGAACAAGACTTATAAGCTGCAATGTATATAAATATGTAATATGACTTTTATATTGTGCAGTCACAATAAGAAAAAGGAAATGAGATGAAGAAATATTTTGATGTTTAACTAATTTATTTGTAATATCCGAGACAGCAAATTTTTGTGTGTTTTCAGAACAAAATGAAAATGTTGAGAAAACCCAGAAAAATGAAAAGACAGAAAAACATGCAAAGAAAGGAAAAGCACAGAAAACAGTGAAGAGGTCACACAGTGTTCACTTTTCTCATCCATGGCTATCATGTAACCTGAAGGGACACAGTGGACAAGTTTTAGCCCTGGACTTCAGTCCTAATGGCAAATACCTCATTACAGCTAGTGATGGTTAGTTTGTAATATGTATATGTGGATATTTATGTGTCAATTTTTTTTTATGTATACTTTTGAGCAGTGCAGTAAAAAAGGTTCTATTAGCATATCCCCCCCCCCATTTTTTTTCTGTCTGTTTGTATAACAAATGCACAATTTTCTGATTTCTTTTCCAGATAGAACTGTTTTGATTTGGAGTACCAAAGAATTTTCTCAGAAAGAACACAAGTGAGTTTAATACTTTTCTGTTAGTACTCAAATAATGAAAAAAAAATGATATATTGATTATTGAATGAATTATGTCCATGAGATGAAATGATGCTATTCTATTGAACAGTTTCAATTTAATGATAGGCATTTTTTTTTATGTCTTTATGGATATATCTATTTTTGGTGGGTTTTTTTTGAAGGTCAATAAGAGGAAATGTGGAGTATGACCATGCAACTAGAGTTAAATTCAGTCCAGATTCTAAGTGAGTTGTAAATTCTTAAACTTTCAAAGGAGAGCTTTATTTTAATTTTTCATAATTATATTAATATTTTTTACTGTGATATACCTGTTGTTTTAGAGCATTTGTCTGCAGTCTAGCAAATGAAAACACAGTAAGAATATTCCGCATTGGGAAAAAGGACACGGGGGGTATTGGAAATATTACATCAGCATTTGATTTTGAGAAGGTGAGAATACCTGTACAGATCCCACACCTATTTCTAAAAAATAGCTACCTTATGCCTCTGGCTATACTGCAGTTGTAGCTGCACAGTAAATATACACTTTTGAATGCATGGATCTGTAGGTTTCTGCTCATCCATCCCAAATTTTTAGACCAGTGAGTACAGACATGCAGCAATAAGAAAATCTAGTTTTATCTTGATAATTTATATAAGTTCTATTTTACAGAAACATACAGCTGATATTATCTATATAGGGATAGCCAGCAATGGAAAGTTCATAATGACGTGTAGCAATGATACAACACTCATTATCTGGTCCATTAAAGGTATATGTACATCACTGTGACATTAAAGTAAGGATATGATATAATATAGAATTAGAAACCTACTTCTGACTACAGTCAATCCTCCTTATCTCAAACTCAATGGGGCCAAGAAATTTGAAAGTCTCAACCACTGTTTTCTTAATATATCCCATGCCAAATCTTTGGATATCTCAAAGTTTTTTCTTAGTCCTGTTGAGTTCAAATCACTTCGACATATCCATTGACCAATGTATTTGAGATATTGGAGTTTGAGATAACAAAGTTCAACTAGTATAAAAGATGTTTCTTTGGTGAATAGAAACTTCTGAGTGGTAAATTTTTTGTGACATTTTCCGTAACAAAAGCCTCTCGTTGTTTTAATAGAAAGAGAATTGTAATGAAGTTTTTAAGGATGTTTGTGCATGTTTTATTTCTGAATCATGTTTGTTTTAAGCTGCTGTATTTTGTAAAACAGGAGATGTTCTGGATACTATAGACACCAGGCAGATGAATAACTCCTATGGAGCAGTGTCGCCTTGTGGTCGATTTGTGGCTTCATCAGGTCAGGAGGAGGAAACAAATAATTATTTCTTAATAATGTGAACACAATTCACATCTGTAACAATCCTCAACTGAAGATGAAATATATTGGTATCAGTAATTTCATGCATTAAAAAAAAGATTAGCTGTCATTTGTATATCCCCTCAAAGTTATGTGGATGCTAAAGCAGTAATAAATGTTTACTGGATGGACATGAATTTGCAACAAGAAGAACTTTGGATTTCATTGGGATTATTCTATTGATGTTTTCAAGGTTTCACTCCGGATGTAAAAGTATGGGAGGTCGGATTTGACAAAGCCGGAAGCTTCACAGGATGTAAGAGAGCGTATGAGTTGAAAGGTCACTCAGCTGGGGTGTATAGTTTTAGCTTCAACAGCGATTCTAGTCGGTAAGTCACAAAAAATTCTTTCCGCAGGTTTTACAAAAAACATATGAAGGTCTTAAACTTAATGTGCACATTCTCAACAATTTTAAGTTACAGTATCTTGATTAATTTTAAATTTGCATTGATATTTATCGGAAAGTTGATGTATGCCTATGTAAAATTTTAACCTTTTATCCCCCCTTGTTTTCTATTTTTTTTTCTAAATTAATTTGAATAATTGTGACCCTGCTGTTCACAAGATTTTTTTTTAAAGATAGTCCTTATATACTTGTATTCACACATAGAATGGTAACCTCTTATCTAGCCCCAGGGGCATGTTTGAATTAATTTAAATCCCCATGGTTACATTCTGCCAATTTCTGTTGAAATTTACCCATTGGTTCTGGATAAGAAGTAAAATATGTGAAAAGTTTATAAAAAGATTAACAGATTGCCAAAATGTTTCAAACATTCATTTTGGAAATATTGTTCATTTTAGAATGGTGTCTGTCTCAAAAGACAAAACATGGAAGTACTGGAATACTGACAGTGAGTGCATGTATTGAAAAATCTAGTTTTTTTTTTTTTAAAGAAAAAAAAAAGATATCTGGTGTTCAATGGTCATTTTTTGTAGCATTCATAAAAGATACTCTTTTTTTGAAGTGCTGATTTTCCAACAAATGTAACCCTTTTCATTTGTCTTATGTTTGTGGCAACAAACTTTTGCAATTTCTCTAACCTGGAAATTATCATAGATAGTGTGTTTTAAATATGAATTGATATTATGTATACACATGGATTTTGTGCTTGCTTTGTTACAGTAAGATATGAAATGGGACAGGATCCATACCTTTTAAAAACTGGGAGTATAGACTTTACCTCTCCTTGCTTGATTTCTCTGTCACCAGATGGCAGAAGTGTTGCAATTGCTAGTGAAAATTCAGTTAGTGTTCATAATGCCATAACTGGAGAGCAAGAAGAAAAATTTTCTCAAGTGTTCTCAGGTATGCATCAAAGAATTTCAACCACATGGAGCCAAAAAAAAAGGTTTTTGCTTTCCTAAAATATCTGCAAATTTCTATAATGGTATATGCCTTGCCAAAATATTTGCAAGTTTGTATGACTTTTTTTTTTTTTTTTGAGGGGAAAAAACTGCTTAAATATGAGTACCTTACTTAAATTTCAGGGGAGGTAACTGATGTGTCGTTTGATTTAAGCAACAAATACATTGTGTGTAGTGGTGATAGGCATGTGTCTGTATTCAATAACATCACTGGGTACAGAGCCTCCATTGAAGAACTGCAGGAAAAAGTCAAAGATGCCCACACACAGGCCCAGAAGGAGAGAATTCGACAGCAAATCAACGATGCACAGTACGTCTTGTCAAATATGAAATGACAATGTACATGTATATAATGAGTGTATGAGTGTGTAATTTTGTTTTTGATGTTGCTTTATACAGGGAAGCTTTGGATCACTTACTAGGACAGTCTAATGGACATGCTGGAGGCAAAAAGGAGTAGACAGATCTCACATCATTTTGTGACATTCCTATCAGTGGAAGGGAAATTATTTTTCTTGACAAAGATTGTTTATTGGCAGCAACTTCTGAAGTGCCACTCTTTATACTTTAATCAATTTATTTGACAATTTTTATTAAAGACACATTTAAATTTCCTGTTTTGTTCTTTCTTATGCCTGTTCTTATGGGAAATGAAGTAAACTTTAACCATTTGAAACTGATTTTTTTTCAATGAGTTCTGTAACAAATGTAGAAAGAAAACTCCCAACAGGCAGTTCATTGCAGGATCACTTTGTTGATGGCTGGAAAATTCATTGGCATGTGCTAAATTACATGCATGTTTGGGATGGGGTGCATTTCAACCTGCACTACAAAAAGATGCACCTTAATTTGACAATTTATAATCTTGCTCAGTCAAATTTGCTCCTACATACTTGTTTTACATACATATATGTAAATCTCTGGAGATTAATGGTGGTGCCAGGCCAGGCTTTGAGGACATGACCAGCTCGGATTACCGGAGCATTAATTAACTGGCTTACTGATATGACACTTGGTAGCCTTGTTGTTACCAGGGAATTTTAAAATATCCTTATGTAAAACTTTAGTTTCTCATGGGTTTTTCATGCCGTTACATGTAAGTGATTGGTCAGTGGGATGACCACCTTTGTGTATTTAAAGCAATTTAGGGCTATCGAACTTGACTTCCATAAATTGTCCAGACCTGTTTATAATCCACTTTTTAGGTAATTTTGAATCCATTCCTTAATTTAAAACAAGAAAAAAACAGATGTGCAAGTTTTTATTGCAGTTTGAAATAATGCTTGGGTACGCCAACAAAATTGAAAAAGCTTAGCAGATATAGGGAAAACAACAAATTCTTTATAGAATGCTTTGTTAATCACAACTATGACATTAAGAATTTTAGTTATCTAATGCAGAAAAGTTAAGTATACACAAAAATATACATATATACACACCAATTTCAAGTATCTTCTGTTCAGTAACCATGCAAAAGTACACCTGTCTCTAAAGCAAAGGACAAATTAATACTTTCACTACCTTATGTATCTATATACATGTAGTTCTAAGCAAAAATTGTCACACCTGGGCATGGGATCATATAAATTTTGGACTTCAGTCAAAATCTGTGTATTGTGCTATTAAAAATGCTGTAGAAGGCTCAAAAATACTACATGTAGTAAGAGTCACTTGTAGAACTAGTAAGAGTCACTAGTAGAGAAAACGGGGATTAAGGTTGGAAGATAGTTTTAATTTTTCTTCAGTAATGTGTAAATGTGAAACACTTACGGCACGGCACTGACAAGACATAGACAAGTTTTAGTGTTCTACTACTGCAAAGAGTGATTTTTTTAAATACCATTCCAACAGTGAGTAGCTCTACATGGAGAGTACCTTACTTGGATATAAAGGGTACCAGGTTCCCCATTTTCCTAATTAATTTTACAACTTTTTAACACTCATGAAGGTACTCAAAGAAGAACGAGAGGCCCATGGGCTACATCGCTCACCTGAACACTTAGGCTAGGAAAAAGCAGAAATCCGTTAAGTATATAAAAGTGGGCTGGGGGAGTATAATTTGAACGAACTTGAATATACACTGCCTAAACATGCTTCTGATATGACTAATAATGGCTTTGCTGTTCTTAAGAAGAAAATTTTTATCGATATATCCTTTATATTCCTTTGTATAACTATGGCCCCTCTATACTCTCAGGGGTCATGATTTGAACAAATCATGGCCTTGCTGTTCTTGAAAAGAAGGATTTTAAAGATTTTTCTTATGTTTTCAAACTTTGATCATCCACTGTGGCCCCACCATACTTCCTAAAGTCATGATTTGAACATTAACTTCATTCTACACTACTGAGGATGATTCCATATGAATATGACTAATCACGGCCTTGCTGTTTTTGAGAAGAATAATTTTAAAGATTTTTCTTATGTATTCCTATGTTAAACTTTCATCACCCATTGTGGCCCCACCCCACCCCCGGGGGTCATGATTTGAACAAACTTAAAACTACACTATCTGAGGATGCTTCCATATAAATATGACCAATCATGGCATAGCTGTTCTTGAGAAGATTTTTTAAAAAAGATTTTTCCTATGTATTCTTATGTAAAACTTTGATCACCCATTGTGACCCCACCCTACTCCCAGGGGTCATCATCTGAACAAATTTGATTCTACACTACCTGAGAATGCTTCCAAATAAATATGACCAATCGTAACTTTGCTGTTCTTGAGAAGAAGATTTTTTTGTCTGTGTTCCTGTGTAAAACTTTGACCACTCATTGTGCCGGGGGTCATGAATTGAACAAATCTGAATCTACACTACCTGAGGATGCTTCCACGTAAGTTTCATATTTTCTAGCAAAGTGGTTCTTGAGAAGAAGTTTTTTAAAATGTCATTAATTTTTCAAATTCATAATTATCTGCCCTTGGAAGAAGGCATGGCCCTTCATTTGAACAAACTTGAATCCCCTTTACCCAAGAATACTTTTTGGCAAGTTTGGTTGAAATTGGCTCAGTGGTTCTTGAGAAGAAGAGGAAAATGTGAAAAGTTGACGACAATGATGATGACAGACAACGGACAAATTTTGATCAGAAAAGCTCACTTGAGCCTATGGCTCAGGTGAGTTTAAAAGTGTGTGTGTGTGTTTTTTTTTTTATTGTTTGCAACTCTCAAGTTCTGAAAAATAATAGAGCACTCAAATAAAAGAAAGAAGAGGAATTCCATGCATCACTAGTGATTTCATAGGAAGAATTTGAGTCTTATTCACAGGTTAAGCAAATGATTGACATTTTGACTTGAGTCTGCTTCACAATCCAAAGACCAGCTGTCACAGCTGATTGCAAAAACTTCAGATTTAACTTGGGAGTTCAATTTTTGTAAAATTTTTGTAGCTGCAGGTATTTTTAATCACCCTGCCCTTTTCAACATACCATCAAAAATACAGTATTATCACAATCATTTATTTTTTATTGTTCACATTTTTTCATTCGCAAAATTAATGTATATCATACTAACACTATATGTCATATAATGTCATAGCAACTCATTAAATATACAACAACAGTTTTTGAAACAAATACTATATATATATTATACTCAGAATAATGATTTCAAACCACCTTTAATATAATTCATCTACTTTTAAACAAAACATTCTTCCATTATAAATCTATACAATATGAATTATAGTTATGTATGCTGCCCTTACAAAGTTTCCTTCTGTAATTTTTCAAAAGTTCAGTAATGCAAGAGGCCCTATTATTGATGAGGATAACAGAATTCAGCCAGTGTGACAGGAAATTAAATAATTCATAAATAAAATATTCATTTCCTATGATCAATATTCATGCCTGAACCTGTTGTTTCACAAACATTATTATAGTAAATAAAAGGTTCACTGCAACAAGTACTGAATCATTGTCAAAAATTGAGAACATATTTGCAAAAATTTGTTTCATACAATGTAGCATTGTAAAACCTGGCATACAGACTGAGGTAGATAGGGGTTCACTAGTTTTTACTGATTATCAAACTGTTATACTAACATAGAGTCAACACTGGTAACAAATTCAAATGCCACAGATCAGATATTTATCAAAGATGAAATACATAACATCTTTTCAATTTTAATTCTTTCACACAAGGCAAACAGCAACTTATATAAACCAAGAGAAGTTTCACTACAATCTTGCATAATACATGTAGCTCATGTACCAACAGTAAATCACAACACAAGTTTGTTTAAAGCCAGCATTACACTTCACGAATTTATAGTTGCAGAAATATGGCACTATAAATCTATAAATGTTTGAACATTTAACGTTGAGGTCAAAGACATGGTCATCAAATCTTTTGTGAAAGTTTGTGTAATAGTTACAATTTATACAAAAACTTAATAGATCTGCTAATTTTCCAACACATGAACACACCAAATACATGTATGCTTAAATGGGTGTGGACGCAGATTTTGAGTTAATATTTTCTGAAATTTTCAGTAAAAAGCATTTCAGACCAATATAAAAGCATGATTAAAAACTTCTTTTATCTGAAAATTATTAAAACTACAAATTTTGGGACGTGTTTGAATGATAAAGTAAAATGCATCCCTAATATTTAATAAAAAGTGTATTACTGAAAAATTTTGAAACTATAATCAGAAAACTTGGAGTAGAAACGTGAGAAAGCAAAACCAACACACCTGAGTTGTCAGCTCATGTTAAGTTATACGTGAAAAGTTTAACTAATGAACACACTCAGTAAAACGTAAACATTAATTAACAATAACAGAGGTCATGCCCATGTTTAGAAATTCAGATGTTTGACATAATGTTATGAAGAATGACATCACCGAATTTTAAGAATTTTCATGAGAGTTCATTTCATTAAACTAAGTTATTTTTTGCATAATTTATAAATGTAAACAAAACAACAGTGTAACTTTGTCCAGGCCCCTTTCAATTCTTTAAATCCATGATTAGCATGAAATACTTTACTTGATTCATACCCTCAATCATAAAATGCATTTGTTACTTAGAAAAACTACATGAAGTTTAATGTAATCATTGCCATATTCATACAGTATGGGTAAATATGAAATAATTAAAGTTGCTATTGCCTCACAAGGTATACAAGTTTATTGAGATTTAAGTTTTAGTTCATCCTCTGCTTTTATTAGGAGCAAACTGCCTTTTTAATAGCATGGTTAATACTGCCATTCAACACCGGTACAAACAGACAACAGCAAGTAAAAATGCTTGGTGACAAGAATTCCATCTCTGAAGGACAAGTGGAGCAACTTGCATGAATTGTGAATGGTGCAATAATGTACGATCTATGGCAAAATAAGTTTAAATTTACATTGTAAAGGCACAATTTTAGCAACTTTTCTTGCAAATCCATAAAGTTCACAAATTATACTCATGACTGTTCTTATAATTTGTTGTGCATTCTGTATAAATCTTAAGGTTATTTCCTGGCAGGGAAGATGTCTGCCATGCCACTTTTATATAATGGCCAGGATCATGATACTAATGATAATATTAAATAGTGTAATGTTCAGATATGTGGACTGATACTTTTTTTTCAAACAGCAAGATTATTACTACACATAACTGTAATAAAACATTTAACTTTATTCACCTTTTTATCTACAATTTCATGTACTTTGCATTGCATTATGCCATTTGAATTCACAAAGCAAATCCCCCCCTCCCCCCCAAAAATAACTTACTGACAGTATTGTTTACAGAAAAGAATTAATGACAAACATCTGAAAATTAAATGGTTCATACTTTTGCATCTATTTCAATAATAAAAATGTAGTACAGAAAACATGTTCCTGCATAGTCATCTAGCAAGTTTCAACTATCAAAACAGTCAGAAAAATGTCTGTTGATAATAAATTCATGATATTATTATTTTTCAACATGCTCTTTTAAAAATGATATATATCGATAATATTCAGCATGAATGAGAATTTCTCAATAAAGTCATTTCAACTTACATGTATGTTACATTGTCAAAAATTTGCAAATTTACAAAACCATATCACTTCCATATTCTTAATTCCCTATTGATATTGCTTTGTTTCTTCATTATTGAGCAGTTGTCCTTGGAATATATGCACTTTTAATAAATGCATCAGGGATTTCACATTTACCAAGTTGCTTTAATCTTTTCATTTTGGAAACAACATTTTCTCTCTGAGTTCGATGCCACTCAAATGTAATTCCATAAGTAACCAACAACTTTAAGCCCTTTAATCTTGCTTAGGCTCAAAATCAACTTGAAATAAGTTTATAAGTTACTTGATATTTCTTCATGTACAAACTCAACAAATGCCACTTTATGTCAGGAACTCAAAATCACCTGAACAAAAAGTTGGACATAAAAATTCATCAAACAACACACATATTGCTTTTGCCAGCAACAAACTTTGAATTAAAGCTGCCCTATGTTTTGTCCAATGTTCGTGGATTTCTAGACTGATCTCGTCTCCACAGAAAATCTACCTCAGATTACAGTCCTTAACTGTACACAACGGCAAACATCCGAGGTTGTTCAGTGTGTGCTGAACATTTATCAAACTATGTCTATGAGCACAGCTGGCCTCTGTATGAACAATCAGGTGTCTGTTGACTTGTCTGTTTTGAGGACTGCCTCTGTGGCATGTTCAGGCATGCGTGACGGGTCAGACAGAATACACGTTGTTGTGCTCAGTTGGCGTAATGCATTCAACACAGCTGTAACAATAGAATTTATCATGATGATGAAACCTGCTATATTTGCAAAGGTGATCTAAAATTACTTTGAAATTAATCTTTACAAGCACAGTTCTTTTCCTGACACACATTTTAAAACTTGCATCATTTTAATGTTTTATTCATGAGAATGGCATAAGACCTTACCAGGCCTAAGAACCACTAGTGAGCAATGCTGATCCAGCCAAGCTAAGGTGGTCCTACAGAGTTCATCCACACTGGCTGTAGACACCATGTTATTGTAAGTATCAAACAGACCCTGGATGATGGTGGAAAACTAGGACAATGTCAAGGAAACTTTTCTAATTATGATAAACAGACTCCTCCAGCAAGTTCAAACAAATGAACCCTTATGAGCAATGTTATTAAAACTTGCTTTTATCTATGGGTAATAAATGAACTTTTTTCCCTTCTAAATCCCCAAAATTTAAGAAACTTCACATATTTTGATGAATGCTTTAAAAGGATACAATCCAAAACTTCCAGTTTGTGAGAGTTCTGTTTTTGACATATTCCTGGAACATCTCTTTCATTTGGTCCACCCTCTGTCTCGTGACTGGTACCCCCGTGGCTGGGAGTTGTGCCTGGCACTGACTGTAATAAAAGGTCAGAGGTCAAGATAAACCGTGACTTTGAATTAGGCCATTCCAAGTTTTTGCTATGCTTAGCGTCCGCCTTGGTTTTTGACACCCCATATCATAAAAAACGAACAAAGTCATGAGTCCTCAAATTGAATATTCTGGTCAAAATCACTGAATTCTGTCAATTTCTCAAAATATTTGTCTACAATATGTCATATTAGGAATATTGTAAGCATTGAATACCTTGATTTTGCTGAAGAATAGGTTTTTTCTACGAGAAAAATAGATTAATGAAATCAAATCCTCTGAGTGACGTCATTTTTATGACTATAAAGTCTGTGTTTTAATTATTGGTTTGTGTTTTTTTGCGAATAGGTAGGTAGGTTTTGAAGATGGGTGGACACTAAACAGAGAAAAAACTTGGAATGGCCTTAGAGAATCTTTATTTGAACAGTGATTTACTGTGTCTGCAGTAAGTCCTTGTAATTTAACAAACCTTATTTGAACATTGAGAGATTCTATTTCTTGTCGAAGGATCTCTGCTTCATTTTGCATCTGTGCTCGCTCTGCTTTCAATTTCTTACAATATTCAGCAGCTGCATAAGAAAGAAGCTAGCTTGGTAAAACCTCTTATCATTCTAAAATGTACCAAATAAAAGTTCTCTCTCCACCTCAAAGTAAGATGAGATAGTAACCAGAAATAAACAAGACTTACTTTTTTGAAGCATTGCTGCCTTGCTTACTTTGGCATTGGGATTCTGACTAAGGGTTGGGATCAGTGTGTGAAGTAGGTCAAAGCCACTCTGAAAGAACAAAAATATGGGATCAGTGTGTGAAGTAGGTCAAAGCCACTCTGAAAGAACAAAAATATGGAATTAATGTGTGAAGTAGGTCAAAGCCACTCTGAAAGAAAATAAACATGAGATCAGTGTGTTATGTAGGTCAAGGCCACTCGGAAAGAACAAAAACATGGTATCAGTGTATGAAGTAGGTCAAAGCCTACATGTAAGGACATGAACATTCAATAATATGGACCAATCCTTGAAAAGAACAATTCAGAAATTGTATGCCTTTTTTTTTTTTTTACAACTTTCAGTATTTCCATGATGTCCATGTATTACACACAATGTGAAAAAACTTGAGATTTCTTTCTGAATTTTTGTAACACAAAACTTTTTTGTAGGTTTCAGACCTTGATATTACACCTCCTCTTCTGTTCAGCTGATGTATGATTTAGTCGCCTGTGTTCTCCACCTCTAAATTCTGCATCAGAGTCCTGAATATAAATACAAAATATATACTGTTGAACGTGGCTAATGTCTTAAAATGGTAAAACATTTTCTTTGTTTTGAAGCATTCTAAGAGACTTTTAACTACTGACTCAGTACTTAAATGTGTCTTAGAATGCTTTAAAACAAAGAAAATGTTTTACCATAGTATTTGTATGTACCACTACGTATTGTGTATTTCTTAAGGTTAAAAAAATGAAACTCTTCAAATTTGCTCCACTATACAGAAGGACTTTGTAGTATAAAGATCTAATTAATTTTTTTCCTCACCCCTGAATAGTTGCCAGAGGGACTAGTAACTGACAGACTTTCAGATGGACTGGTAGGATTCGACAACACAGTGGTTGTACTAGAAGGAGGATAGCTGGCCCGCCGAGGAGAAAGAGTCTCAGACAGGTGTGAAGAAAGGGAGGGCAGGGCTGTTTTGGTAGGAGTCAACGTTGGTACACTGCTAATTTTAGAAACTGTTGTTGATGTATTCGTAGATAATTTTACTGAAAAAAGAAATGAAACCTTTTCAGTGTGGAAAATACTGCATTACAAAGAACCTTTATGTGAACACAGTACAATGTTTTACCTGGATTCGAAACAAAGTTGATCAATGTATCTTTGGTAGCTTCAACACCGGGACTCTGTGTTTGTAAAAGTATGCTTGCATCTGTTAGCTAAGGAGATAAAAATAACAAACTTTGTATAACACTTGGACATTTAAAACATGTATCTACAACATTTATAACATGCACATGTCTTCCCGACATACAAAAACATTGAAACTTGCTGGGGTTGTTAAATATCAGCTCACAAAAATTTCTGGTGTCACTTCTTTTGCACAAATGCTATAATCATGCACTCAAAATCAAAGAGAGATAACAAATGAATATGACAAACAGAAGCAATTTTTGACAGTAATAAAGAATCATTAATTTAATGAAAGTCTGAGGTACACAAAGTATTATTAATCAAAATAGAATGAATCCAATACTGAAAAAAGCAAACAAAACTGGATTTATTTTCCTTATTTTATGATGCCTCAGGGCTCTGGCAGTGGCAAATATGTACTTGTTTTGTCAAATATAAAGACTTACCTAACATGGTTCAAATTAAAATTTTGCTCAGTTAGTATAAAAAGAGAAATCACAAGCAAATTCAAAGATTTGTAGTCCCCTGCTTTCGGTGTCTTAGTGGTTGGGATATAATTGTAATTGTGTGTCTGTTTGTGCTGTCTACTGTTTTTGTGACAGACAGAAAGATAGACTGACAGACAAATAAGAATGTCTCCTCACTTTCGCAAAAGCCTCACCTCATTTGGAGCAAATAATAATTAAATGCAGATACTTTTTATTGTACGTTACCTTATATGGAATAGAGGAGACAACAAGGGGTGTGGGAGTGGGTTGTTGCCCTTGGATTGTCACCAGACTAGGAGTTGCCACCCCTCCCGCCTCTTTCTTCACATTGATTATAGCCCCTGGATATGTCCCTGATCAAAAAGAAAAATTAAATGAAGATGGTTTTCATTAAGAATTTTCACAATAAAATATACTATATATATATTAACATAACCACTGTAATTGTGTTCATGACACTGTGCCAACATCAGAATGGTATACAATATAATGGGTATTTTCTGTCAGTGGAATATTTTGCAATTTGACTCCTTATAGGTAGCAAATAAATTTCTGCATTTTTAATTTCTATGGTTGCAATAATCTGCAGAAATTCCAATTAGGGGATATGACTACTGAATATTTAAAGATTTGGTAAAACACTGCAACGTTTTTATATTTTTGCCTATCATAAAAAAAAAATGCCTAGATTTTCATCCCCGCCTGTCCCAATTTTTTACCCCGTCTCGATTTTATTTATTTCTGTTTTTCTTCATCTTGATTCTGATTGGGATCGGTATTCAGCTACCATTCAACTTTCATATAAAATAACTAGGGATGTCAAAATATTTATTTTCTTTAGTCGAATATTCGATTGCATTATTCGAATGATAGTCGAATATATTCGAATCTTTTTCGGAAAATAAAATTTTATTTCAAACCTCATTTGTACACAGACCTAAAATGTGGATAGCGTGTTTATATTAACTAAATCTTGTCCATAAATCGGTATGTAAAGATGTTTTTTAGTAAGCATAAAAAATGACAGTACTATTTATTTTTTAAGCTTATTAAAATAATTGAGGGGTAAGGAGGGGGGGGGGGGGAAACACACAATACCCACAGGCCAGATGTCTGTGATAATTTTAAACAATTGAATATACTTTTTGTCCCGGCTATCAAAATGTCTTTGAATTTTGTAAAAGAATATTAACTTTATAATAATTATCGTAGTGTCCAAACATGTCACGGCTATAATGGGTACATCGTTTGAGATCAAGCCCAATTAATAATTTTACAAACAAAGCGCAGCATACTGAGATAATTTTATTACAAAAACAACACATTAATTGACAAATAATTCTCGTGGAAGTGAAGCATTTCTAATTACTGTACTCTCTACATGTAAAGTCAAAAACAGTTTTTAATGAGGAAAATCATCTTATCGACTGTGTCTGAGGAAAGACGGTTTCTCGATTTTAAGATGAGAATTCCATCTCTTTATCATTCTTTCATTGAATTTATTCATTCGAATATCGTTTCGTTATTCGATCGTCGGTCCATTCGACTGATAGTCGAATAGTCGACTATTCGTTGACATCCCTAAAAATAACACAAACGTCAGCATTATTTTAACAGCTGACAAGATGGTAATTGCAGTAATATGTATTTAACAAGGATCATTGGTTGTGAAAGATTGGTGATGATGTGTAGTAAGAGATATGCATATTTAAATTGACCTCTACTTCGACTTTTAATCGGGCATAATCAATAAATCTGCACTGTCCAATTGATCAGGTCAACAAAAAATCTGCACAATGGAAGAAATAAAAAATATACAGTAAAATCCGCCTGCCCATCTCAAACTTTTAAACCAGAAGTCTCTGATGAGACTGTAGCTCTACTGGTCTGTACGTATAACAAAGGAAAAGTAGCACTTGGATTTGATACTTTGCAGCATGCAGCAATAAACAGAATTAGGTATCTTAATGTAGTCTACTTCTGTGCCAAGTTATATTGAAATCAAACGAAAACTGTAGGAGGAGTAGCTTGTTGAAAGTATTTCACAGAAATTTCTGTTTTTAGTAACCATGACAACATCATTCATCGAAATCAAAAAACGAAATACATATTATTTATCTAAGTGTATTCTAATTGTGTGCCAAATTAGATTGAAATCAGACCAAAACTGTAGGAGGAGTAGCGTTTTAAATGAATTTCACAGAAATTTCTATTTTCAGTAACCATGACAACACCGTTCATCGAAATCAAAAACCGTTGCACTAAATTATGTACCTTATTGTAGTCTACTTGTGTGCCAAGTTATATTGAAATCAGACCAAAACTGTAGGAGGAGTAGTGTTTTAAATGAATTTCACAGAAATTTCTATCTTTAGTAATCATGGCAACACAGTTCATCGAAATCAAAAACCAATGCACTAAATTATGTATCTTAGTGTAGTCTACTTGTGTGCCAAGTTAGATTGAAATCAGACCAAAACTGTAGGAGGAGTAGTGTTTTAAATGAATTTCACAGAAATTTCTATCTTTAGTAACCATGGCAACACAGTTCATCGAAATCAAAAACCAATGCACTAAATTATGTATCTTAGTGTAGTCTACTTGTGTGCCAAGTTATATTGAAATCAGACCAAAACTGTAGGAAGAGTAGTGTTTTAAATGAATTTCACAGAAATTTCTATCTTTAGTAACCATGGCAACACCGTTCATCGAAATCAAAAACCAATGCACTATATTATGTATCTTAGTGTAGTCTACTTGTGTGCCAAGTTATATTGAAATCAGATCAAAACTGTAGGAGGAGTAGCATTTTAAATGAATTTCACAGAAATTTCTATTTTTAGTAACCATGGCAACACAGTTCATCGAAATCAAAAACCGATGCACTAAATTATGTATCTTAGTGTAGTCTACTTGTGTGCCAAGTTATATTAAAATCAGACCAAAACTGTAGGAGGAGTAGTGTTTTGAAAAATTGTTTACAGACAGACGGACAGCTAGACAGACAGACAGACAGCTAGACGGATGGACGACGGACACCTTACTATCGCATAAGCTCTTCTGGTCTCTGACCAGTAGAGCTAGAAATAAGGATAAGATTCTAGGAATTTTTTTTATTATGGCCTTACTATAAAATTGACATGTTGACTGTGTTCAGGGAGAATCACAACTAAAAATAAGCTGTGCTGCTCTACTATCTTCAAGTTAGTGTTCAAATAACATTTATTTCATACCCCCGGTAAGCAATTCTTTCTTTGATTTATACAGGTATTAGCTATAAAATTACAGGTTAAATCAGGCTAAAAACTATTTTGACATCGGCCCCATTTATCATGTTTGCGAATAAAAGATGATGCAATTACATATTAATATCTGATAATATTTTTAGAATATTTTGCCATTGCATTTTTAGTGGATTTTTCCAATCCCAAGAATTGTTTAAAAAATGGACAACGACAGAATATACCCATTATACTATGCATTGCTATAGTTTCCTCAGCTATATAGATTTGTTCTGTCTCAAAGCTTTAATAAAGCTAAACAGATTAAATGTTTGTTACCAAACACATTAAATTACCGTGTTCTGATATAAAATGTATAAATGTCCACTGGAATATTCAAAAGAAGCTGGGTTATTAAACATCAATATATACTTTAATATTAATCATGATTACCAGTACATTTTTCTGATGAAAAAAAATTAAATGGATTTAATTTTCATTTCCTTGAGGACTATGTCCTGGCCAGTAATAAAGGAGAAATATTTTGTTCACAATTGAAAAAAAAATATTAAAAAAAAATAAATAAATAACTTAACATCAAAGCAATACCGATACATGTATATTGAGAGAGTAATGATGACAGTTATGTTTCTAGATCATGTTTACCAATTAAGGTAACCAGACCAATTCATTTTTTGTCCTTTCCCTGAATACAAGGTTCTTCATAAAAAGCAATGGATGTTTCATGTATACAAACAAAGACTAATTCAAGTAATGTTCCTTCAATAAATATCTTTAGGATGTTTAGAACAATGATGGTGTGCATTTTCACATACAAGTTTATAAATAAACATTAATTAATATTACTGTAGACATACATTTTTCCCAAGTGGGATGAATTTATGCTATTTACATGGTCACAAACTTTCCGTGGAAATTTGTCACAGTGAACTTAAAGTGCATTTAAGACAAACAAAGGCAATCTAAGAAATCTGAGTAATTTTCCAGCCACAGTTGAACAAAAATGTTGGTTCCGCAGAATGCTGCTGACCCCATGGAAAAAAGTACATTTACAGTATTTTAAACAGGAAATCAATAAGATCTTTAGTACAAAAATATCCATCAAAAATACAATTAAAAAATTCTGTATCATATTTGATTGAAACTGGAAAGTGAAATCAAATCCTGTCATACTGTATTTTTAAGTGATAAACCGATTATTCAATGCTTCCTCTACTGTTAGGCTACATGTATGTCATATTTACAATAGGATAACCATTGGTACCTTACATTCTCAAACTCTTATCAATGACCAATTACATATATACATGTATTACAAAATACAATACATGCAACTTGTAAATTTGCAAATTTTATCTTTTTTTATTCCTTTGGCAGATACTGATACTAGCTGTTATTAGCAAACGATATATTTGAAGATAAAATTCACATTTCAAATTAATAATTAAAAACAAGAATTAGATAAAATATATCAGTACTGAAATGAATGCAAAAAAATTTTCCATACAAGAAAAAATATTAATAAATAAAGCATTCTTGAAATAAAATATCTTTAAAAAATTCATAATTCAGGCATGCATGTGCAAAATCACTCTTACCAATTTGCTGAACTTGGGATAATTGCATTCCTTTGAGGATCATGTCTATTAAGTAATTATAAATATTGCAAGGAAAAGGGTCAGTTGTATATTTTCTGACAAAAACATAGAAAGATCTCTTCTCTAATAAGTACCTACTACCTTTAAACAAACTCAAAATATCAACAAACTGTCAGTCTCTGGGGACCAATCAGGCATATATTACCTTAAGAATCATGATTAGATCATCACCTGTACATGAAACATGATGATGAAATAGCATGAAGGTATTCAGGAGGTCAAGGTCAAATCAGCACGCTAAATTAGCATATTCTGATGTTTTCTGTGACCATGCAGGGTCTGTTTTACTTCAGGGGAAAAATATGTCAATCATCATGTGATTGTTACATGACAGTCTGATTAAGAGTCAAAACAAAAGGTGATAAGATACAGGTATTAAGTAAACATCTTATAATCAGGACTATACATTGATATGTAAATTATTGGTTGGAAAAATTTCCAGTGATTGCATTTTTAAATTTTAAATTCTTCACTTTACTTGAGGATAATTTTGGAAAGTTTGCAAAAATGCAGAGAGCTACAAAATTATGCTAACGAAAATGTAAATTATTATAAATTATAGAAATTTCAAAGACTATATAATTATATTTATAAACTTACAAATCAAAATAATTTGTTGTTGTTACTGTTTTTTTTTTAATTATTATTATTATTTATTTTTTGGTTTGTGTTTTTTTTGTAATGAAATAAAGAAAATGAAATCCTTTTATTTCTCAGAAAAGAATAGTAATTCTTTTATAAATAGAGTTGAGCACCGGCCTTCATCAAGCCAAAAACACAAATACTTCCTTTGAAATCATATTATAAGTTGGTGTAAATACAAGTTCATCATGACCAAACTGAGATAGAAAACATCCCTCTGTCAAAGATACATCAAATGACAAATTTTGTTGATTCTAAGCTTCACACTTGATGAAAAAGTCCTGATCCATAACTAAGCCATACTTCATAAATTCTAAGCCTTGAAATTATAAAGACCTTATAATTCATAAGTTACATTCTTGTCTACAGGTAGCTGAAAAAAAGCTCTTCAGAAAAGCATTAGAAGTTTTGGTGGATAAAACAGTGGCTACAGCTAACTTCCTACCTTCAGATCTGTAAAAATTGGGATGGTATCCATCCCAATTGTTTCATACCAAGCGAGCTAGAGATCTACAGCTACTTAAACTTCCCATATGCCTGACCATGACAACTGATTCCATGGGCACTTGCTTAATTTTATTATTATAGGTGATGTACTTGTTCAAGATTAGCCTAAAGCAATTTGAAAGAGGTTGTCTTTGAAAAAAAAAAGATATTTTCAACACCACCATCCCCCTTTTTAAAAAAAATATTTTTAGTCAATCAAATTATCTGGTTTACATATTTGTTACATTATTACTATTTGTAATAGCCTTTCTAACAAATGTCATGTATAGGAGGAACGATAACTCTAATTTATTGCAGAATTGTTCATAGTCAGCCATACTGACATTCCATGACTCGGAGTTTCAATTAAGTAAATAGATTTGTGCCTCAACATGAGACAAGTTAAGTACTGTTTAAAATTTTTGAGCAAGTAGCATTATTCTCACGTTTTTGTCCAGGAAAATCATGTAAAGCAAGAATATTTGCGTAACAAAATGCAGACCAACATATTCGAAAAATTAAAAAAAAAATTTTTGAAGTCAAATGAAAAAATACGCTTAGGATTCACACATTTTCTGAAAGGGTAGAGGTACTGCTACAAAATGTAGAAAAATGGAATTTTTGAAGCTGTTGATTTCTGTTCCTGATTTTTTTAAAAGAATAATTGCTAATGAATCACATTAGAAAAATATAGATTAAAATTGCATTTGATGATACATGTATACATTTCATTTCTTGCAATAATTGATATATTTATATCTGAGTGATACATATAGCATTATAGATTTAAGTGAAATCAAGCTATATTTTTTTAATTTATTTCATTTTATGTCTCCCAATATTTTGTTATCAAAATGGAGTTTTCCCCATACTTCATAGTTTTTTATCAAGCACATTGATTTTTTTCTCTCTTTCTCAAATATATTTCACTTGTTCTATAATATTGGAATGTTTTGAATATGAGTTATAAAAAGACAACATATTTAAATAAAACACTGAATGTACAGTCAGATATTCATTATTAAATTGCCTCCCTTTTTGAACAACTTTATATAGTGATTTTCAATTTCTTTTAATTTCTTATTTAAACTACGAATATTACAAAATCTCTTTGAGTCCTTAATAGTACAAGTACCAATTTTACATATTCGAAAACCAAAAGATTCTGAGACATGATTCATAATTTAAAGAGTAAACAAATATGGATTCACTTAACTCACTTCACCTTCAAATAAGTTAATATTAGCTATGCAAAAAGGTCAAAATCAAGCAATCATAGTCAAAACATGGCATATACAGTCAAACCTCGTTATCTCTAACTAGATGGGGTCGAGAAAAACTTAAAGATATCCAAGGATTAGAGATATTGAGGGTAAAGGGTAAAATACTTAAAGAATAAGTAGTTGGGACTTCCAAATCAATTCAATATATCCATGGTATTTGAGATACCCATGTTCAAGATACCGAAGTTCAACTGTATTTGATATTACATCTATATATTTCTAAATAAAAGTTTCATTTTCTTTTTGGAAAAATCTTTAAATCTTTTCATCTATATCACAGGCACTTGGGGGCTGGACCCCCCCCCCCCCCCCCTTTTCCATTTTGTTTTCTTTTTAAATCTGGGGTGACCAGCTGGTGCACACCAACAAAATTTACCCTTGATGCAACTCATTTAATCAAAATATTTACAAATCGGTGGCACTTAAAAATGAAATGGAAATATGAAAAGGATGAAGAATGTGTAAAAAATTAATTGATGTATGCATGTTCCATGTTTTTTATTGCTTTTGATAAATAATAATGAATGCAAAGTTTAAGCAAGGTGGCAGACTACAAGATAAGAGTTGCAAGCCTTCTCTCTTTATATGTATCAGTCGAAAACAATATACTTAAAAACAGCTTATTGAGATGAAATGGTTACATTATTGATATCATGTAGTGCATATTAGAATACAAAAATAGGAAAAAGGTGTGTCAACCCCAATTTTATTTAGGAAAAAAAATGGAAAGGGGGGTCAAGGTCAAAGGAATGGTCAAGGTCAAAAAATGTTGATGCAGTTGAATAGCTCTCATCAGTATGTATCAGCATATGAAGTTTGATAACTCCATCTTGAATGGTATCTTTAAAACTGAGCTAAAAACTTATTTAAGAAAAGTGAGGTCAAAGGAAAGGTCAAGGTAAAAAATATTGATGCAATTGAATAGCTCTCATCAGTATGTATCAGCATATGAAGTTTGTTAAAAATATCTAGAATTGTTTCATTAAAACTGAGCTAAACACTAATTTAAGAAAAGTGAGGTCAAGGTCAAAAGAAAGGTTAAGGTCAAAAAATGTTGATGCAGTTGAATAGCTTACATCAGTATGTATCAACATATGAAGTTTGAATACACTATCTTGAATGGTATCTTTAAAATTGAGCTAAACACCAATTTAAGAAAAGTGAGGTAAAGGTCAAAGGAAAGGTCAAGGTCAAAAAATATTGATGCAGTTGCATTGCTCTCATCAATATCTATCAGCATATGAAGTTTGATAAAAATATCTTGGATAGTTTCTTTGAAACTGAGCTTTGAACAGAGCTAAACGCAAAGTGTGACGGAAGGACGGAAGACGGACATGACAAACACTATATGCCCCGGCCATATTCATGGCGGGGCATAAAAATCAGCATTGATTTTGAAACTTTCTCTGAAAAAAAATTTCTCACCTACCAACTGACCCAATTTTTTCATCCCGAGTCAGGCGAGGGCAAGCAAACATTATTTTAAAGTTGGTCTAATTAACGTGAACATACAGTACATGCTTTTGTTCATACATGTTTATCATTATCTAAATACACAAGTTCTTCTGACCCAAGAAAAAACAATGATTTTTTTTGTTCAACTAACATTATAAGTTCTGACCTGATTGTTCTCATTATTTGTAAATCTGTCCACATTCATTCCTTCTGCCTGGTCACTTATTTAGAGGGAGACAACTCTTTGATTTGTAACAAATCAATTTCCCACTCCCAAATTCAACTCAGACAAATATATACATACATGTTTTTGACATGCTTGGCTATTACCACATTCAAGGCTGTTCAATTCAAGGCTATTCAGGAAGATAAACAAGTAGCTCTCATAGCTCTCAAGTTTCAATCAGAGAAACTATTCGAACACTCCAAGATGATACACACACTGAGACAAATAGAATGTCAGAGAAAAACAAACTGTTAAATAACTAACCTGTTGTAAGAAGCTGGGCTAAGTATGTGTTGTTTGCAGAAGGGGCTGGAGTTGGAGCAATCATTCTTTGCTTTGGTCGAGTTGCAGGTTTGTTCTGAAAATACATACTTCATTTAGATACTGAACTTCAATCATTATACAGATGTGCTGCAAAAATCATGATGTTTCTGATTTTTCACTTAAAATAGGATTCTTTGAGATTTGCAACATCTCAGTTTTCTTATTTCTTTCTCTAAATATACATGAATGCTATTTTTTAAGTATCTTTTTAGATCTATCAAAATTTTAATATGTCTCCCATTCCTATCTTTTAAATACAGATTATCTTCTTGTTAAAGCTATTCAATGACTATCAACAAATGAGTTCCAAAAATATTGGAACAAAATATGATGCTGATATAGAAAAACAAGAGGCCCATGGGCCACATCGCTCACCTGAGTAACTTTGGCCATGCTGTTCTTTACCAGATTCCCCCCCCCCCCCTTGTAATACCTATTGTGGCCCCGCCCTACCCCGGGGGGTCCTGTTTGAACAATTTAGAATCTACACTACCCAAGGATGCTTCCACATAAGTTTCAGCTTTTCTGGCCCCGTGGTTCTTGAGAAGAGGATTTTTTAAGATTTTTCCTATATATTTCAATGTAAAACTTGGATTCCCTATTGTGGCCCCGCCCTATCCCCCGGGGTCATGATTTTAACAATTTAGAATCTACACTACCCAAGGATGCTTCCACATAAGTTTCAGCTTTTCTGGCCCCGTGGTTCTTGAGAAGAAGATTTTTTAAAATTTTTCCTATATATTTCAATGTAAAACTTGGATTCCCTATTGTGGCCCCGCCCTACCCCCGGGGGTCATTATTTTAACAATTTAGATTCTACACTACCCAAGGATGCTTCCACATAAGTTTCAGCTTTTCTGGCCCAGTGGTTCTTGAGAAGAAGATTTTTTAAAATTTTTCCTATATATTTCAATGTAAAACTTGGATTCCCTATTGTGGCCCCGCCCTACCCCCGGGGGTCATTATTTTAACAATTTAGAATCTACACTACCCAAGGATGCTTCCACTTAAGTTTCAGCTTTTGTGGCCCAGTGGTTCTCGAGAAGAAGATTTTCAAAGATTTTTCCTATATATTTCAATGTAAAACTTGGATTCCCTATTGTGGCCCCGCTCTACCCCCAGGGGTCATGATTTTGATAATTTAGAATCTACACTACCCAAGGATGCTTCCACATAAGTTTCAGCTTTTCTGGCCCCGTGGTTCTTCAGAAGAAGATTTTTAAAGATTTTTCCTCTATATTTCAATGTAAAACTTGATTTCTCTATTGTGGCCCTGCCCTACCCCCGGGGGTCATGATTTTAACAATTTAGAATCTACACTACCCAAGGATGCTTCCAAATAAGTTTCAGCTTTTCTGGCCCACTGGTTCTTCAGAAGAAGATTTTTAAAGAATTTTCCTATATATTGCAGTGTAAAACTTGGATTCCCTATTGTGGCTCCGCCCTACCCCCAGGGGTCATGATTTTAACAATTTAGAATCTACATTATCCCAGGATGCTTCCACATAAGTTTCAGCTTTTCTGGCCCAGTGGTTCTTCAGAAGAAGATTTTTAAAGATTTATTCCTCTATATGTCAATGTAAAACTTGGATTCCCTATTGTGGCCCCGCCCTACACCCGGGGGTCATGATTTTAACAATTTAGAATCTACACTATCCCAGGATGCTTCCATATAAGTTTCAGCTTTTCTGGCCAAGTGGTTCTTGAGAAGAAGATTTTTAAAGATTTTTCCTATATATTTCAATGTAAAACTTGGATTCCTTATTGTGGCCCCGCCCTACCCCTGGGGGTCATGATTTTAACAATTTAGAATCTACACTACCCAAGGATGCTTCCACATAAGTTTCAGCTTTTCTGGCCCCGTGGTTCTTGAGAAGAAGATTTTTTAAGATTTTTCCTATAAATTTCAATGTAAAACTTGGATTCCCTATTGTGGCCCCGCCCTACCCCCGGGGGTCTTGATTTTAACAATTTAGAATCTACACTACCCAAGGATGCTTCCACATAAGTTTCAGCTTTTCTGGCCCAGTGGTTCTTGAGAAGAAGATTTTTTAATGACCCCACCCTATTTTTGTCTTTTCTTGATTATCTCCCCTTGTAAGGAGACTTGGCCCTTTATTTTTACAATTTAAACTCCCCTTTACCCAGGGATACTTTGTACCAAGTTTGGTTAAAATTGGCCCAGTGGTTCTTGAGAAGAAGTTGAAAATGTGAAAAGTTTACAGACGGACGGACGACGGACAACGGGTGATCAGAAAAGCTCACTTGAGCTTTCAGCTCAGGTGAGCTAAAAAGAAGCCTTTTGACAATTGAGGTAAAAATGAGTTGAGTTCACCCTCTTATCATGACCAATCTGAGCATAAGTTTCAGGATATTGAGAAAGATTTTAAGATATATTGATTGGATAACACTTGAAGGGAAAACAGCAAAACACGAAGATATCTCTGACCTTCTTATCTGAAAATTTGCATGTACATTTTATTGACATAACTTTCAAATCTAACTTACTGGCTTTACAAAATTGCCTTCCTTTTTCTGTGTTGATTTTTTGGACACCTGCGGTGCACTTTTACTCTTGGTGGGGGGTCTAGATGGTGGTGTTGCAGGACTTTTTGTATTCTGATTTCTCAAGACTGGATTTTTGCTAAGTAAAGCCTCCTCCAATGACGAAATTTTGGGGATTGCAGGCTCTGAAGGTGAATGTGACACTGTAGGCACAGAAGGCACACTGTTTATTGAAGTCTCCTCATTATTTTGGGGCAAGAAAAAGAGAGTGTTTGATGTGTTTTGTTGCGTTTGAGCACCGGACTGTTGCTGCTGCTGCTGTTGCAGTTTTATTAAGAGTTGACTTTCAGGACTGTTTACATCAGTAAAGGATGCACTATTAATACTTCCCAGAAGGCCACTTAGGAGGTCTCCTAAAGTCTTGTTTCCTGGGGACTGAGGCTGTAGTTCAATTCCTGGAGACTGAGTCTGAACTTGTCTCGTGTCTATGGTCTGAGATTGAAAATAATGAAAATATACTTGCAATTGAAGGTAAATAGCAAAATTAGTGAAAAAAAATTATTCATACATATATATTTAATTTTTTTATGCCTTGGAATTATTTAGGAAGGAACTATCAATTTTCTACATAATTTTTTTTTTCTTATTGTTGTGTAGTACTTTACATTCGAGTTTGAAGTGGTGGTGTCCATGTTCTGATTTCCTGTGAAGTACATCACATTATTACCCTGTGAGCGAGTGGTCACAATATCTAAAAGATTGAACAAAACATGGTAGGATATATATTTATGAGCAACATTAAGAAATGGAATTATTACATTTCATGGCAGTTCAATTTTTATAGACAACTCTCACCCCTATTTACAACCTCCATGAATATTAAACAATTAGACCCCTGTTTATTAAATTATGTCCCTTGAACCAATGAATTTTAAGCAATCCACAGAATTAATACATGTACAATGATTTCAGAATACAACAAATCATCCACATCAAATTATTCTGTGCTACTGTGATCAGTTTATGAATATTTATATACCTTGAATTGGATCATAGTCCATCAAATCATCAAGATTTGGTTGCAGAGGAACCAACCCTGGCTGCATCAGGTCAGCAGTTGACATTCCATCTAAAATCAGAGAACTGACTTCAATTACAAACTTTCTTTATTATCTCACTCATTGCAAAATATGCCAAATAAAGCCTAACTTTAACACCTCATCTTAAAATCTGAGTATTGCAATTAATGTATGAAATTCCAATTTTTGAAACTTAAAGTATAAATCATTTTTGTCTCTATCACCCATAACATCAAAGGATCCACTAGTCAGTAACAGAAGAATTAGTAAACCAGAGTTATCTTTCTTTTCATTGCTTCAGAAAAGCTACTTACAAAATTCTTTTGGGTTGGGAAATGCAAAAGGATGATTCAGATTGTTGAATAGAGAATCGCTGCTGAAGTCAATGTCCATGAAGTCTGTCGAGTTGAGCAGCAGATCGGTGGCTGACATCTGCTGATTATTGGGGATGGTCAATACCTCTCCCACTCGGGACAGTAACTCAGTGTTAGAGGCTTTCTGAAAATTTATAATTCATAATCTGTCCATCATTCAATGCTCTGTCTTAAAAAACAAAACTAACAGATAATGGATGATTGTAAGGAAAGTGAAAATTTAACAAGGATGTTCAGTATCTCAGAAGTCTGACATGGCAAACCATGTAAACTTTGGTTCTATAAAACTTGGATAGTAGATAAAGCAACTTTCTGAATAAAAAAAAAGGTATATGACTGCCCTTCCTATTGGACTTTGCTTACCAATATTTACAGCACATACATGATTGTACTTTCAATCAGAATACAAAGTCAACTGTAATAGGAGAAGACAATAAAGCAGGTTTGAACCAAAGATTTCAGCAAGCAAAAGCTTTCAATTAAATGTCTTAAAATTTCCCTTTTGAGGTAAAATGACTGCATATAATTTTGGCCAGAATATTTTGTAAAAAGGTATGGAAACATTTATTAATAAGATATTAATTGCTACAACCCAAAGATTTTAATGTGCTCCCAATCCTTAAAACATGGTGGATGGTTGGAAACCATAAAAAATCTGTGACTCAAGACATTCAAATATCAAAGAAAATTATCATTTTTTTAAAAATTTGTCTAAATAGTGACTATACATGCTTTTTCACATCATCTTCATTTAAAACAGGAATGCAACAGATTTTAAATTATCACATTGCTTTTGTGTTCAGGATTCATGATGTAGTAATTAACACTCCTCCTGACTTCATTATTGTTAAATATCCCACCCACCATATCACTGCTGAAGTTCTTGGCAAGCTGACTCTTAGAGAATTTCCTCCAGCTTTTGTATTCCTTGGTAACAGTATCCAGTCTTCTTTTCCAGTACTTCCCTTCCAGCACAATTGCCTAAATCATAAAGCTTTATTAACAACTTTCTCATATTAAGTTTATATCATTTCATTAAAATTTCTTAACAAAATACTCAAGTAAGTTGCTTACAACTAGACTTACAATCCAAAAGACTCCAACAACATTGCAAATTTAACCCATGTAAATAACTATGTACTCCAAATTATAATAATCTGACCCTACTAAGTATTTTCACGATCTGTGTTTTGAACTGTGAAATCACATTCTTTTTTTCGCTTCTACAATTCCTGCCGCAAAACATTCCCATCTTCACAAAAATGTTATATTCCACATCCCAAGACCTTCGTTTAGACCAAATATCCTTAGCAATTAATGGTTATTGGGCACTCTTTGGTATATGGTAATAGACAACCCAAGCACACATACTGAATGAGTTCACTCGATACAGACCAGCATTACATATATTGCAAATATGTGATGTTCATAATGATACTGTCAGTACAAGTTATAAGTACTTTATTTACTTCTTGGCAAATGTCATGTAACCTATATAGACCCTATGGCCCCAAAAAAAAACATCAATTTTTTTTTCAAACCTACCAATGCTTAGAGCAAAACATGAGTATTCAAGCACAATTTCTTCTCAAATTTTTGCAAAGAAACCAAAAGATGAAAGAAAATAGAGGGACACTGGTTACACATTTATACTACTCTCCAATATCACCCACCCCCCAACCCCCAACAAATCTCCACCATGTTAAATTTTCAGTTTTAGTGAATTTGTTTACTCTGTAAAGTACAGAATAAGATACCTCTGGCTTGGTATGTATGTCATCTGATAATGGAGAAGCAAACTGGCAAACTGTTGGCTTTTTCCCATAAATATCTAAAAAAAGAAAAGCATGCTTCCTTAACATAATTTTGATGAACCTTTACATGCAACTGCATGAAGCTAAAACAGAACACCATCAATGTTAAGATGCAAGGAGCATGTCTGTGATGAAGGGTTTTCCAGCAGCTGTTAATCACTTTATATACTCATCTAATTTGTTGCACAACAGCTGATAAAGAGATTGGATTTTTACTGTGGATTTTCAGAAAATACATGGCTAAAACATTAATATTGACAGTATTTTTCAATTAATTTACTTCTTTTTCCTTTTTTTTTCTTTGCATGAAAAGTTGAAATAACTTGACTGCCTGTCATGTTTATTGGTTAACTATGGCCCATATCTTTACACCAAATCAACAGGTCATAATCTACATAAATATGTAATACATGTATCATGTTCCTCATAGATATTTTAATTTCTATACATATCATTAAGTCTATTTCAATCTAAACAATGCTTGACTGAAGCTGTATTGCTAAGGCAATTTTACCTTCATTCTTATGCTCAATGCTTGCTCCCCAGCTGTGACACGTTAAAATTTTAAACATTCACATTATTTTCCTGCACAGTAATAGAATTATACAGCTAGTTCTCATGTTTGTTACCTCAAATACTACAGACTGCTTAGGACTGCCTAGACAAAGTCACAAGTGAGCTTATGTCACAGTCTGAGAAATAATCACTTAACTGTGTCTATCTACATTCAAAGAGTTAACTAATGGTATAATTTTGATTGATTTTCATAAATCCACAATTTTTAATGTCATATTAGATTATTCTTTAATGCATATCAAACACCTATAATATCCATAGATGCCAAGGCAAGATATTGAATTGAAATTGCATATAATCTTATAGAACAGACCCCCCCCCCCCCCCCCCAAAAAAAAAAATATATATATACAAGGGTTTGATAAAGTATCTTGAATAGTTTCTTTAAACTTAGCTAAACACAAAGGGTGAGGTCAAGGTCAAAGGAAAGGTCGAGGTCAAGGAATGTTGATGCAGTCAAATAGCTTTCATCAGTATGTATCAGCATATGAAGTTTGATAAAAATATCTTGAATAGTTTCTTTGAAACGCAAAGTGTGATGAAAGGACAAGACAGACATGTCCCTGACTCCCAGCCATATGCATAGCAGGGCATGAAACATTATTCTTAACACAAAATATCAAACAAATGGAATGACAGGAATAACAGCTATCAAAATAAATTTTAAAGATGAGGTAAATATTTTTACATTGCATGCACCATTCCCTCCAGATGATGTTGTTTAGCCTGACTTTGTCCTTCACAGTTAGATGCAGCCCCCTGAACGCCTTCCATTTAGGTGAGGTCAACTTTCCACTACAATAGACACACAGTACATATATCATTCAACTTAGTCAATCTCAAGGCATCAGAAAGTATGTTACATCTGTGTTAAACACAATTGTTTTAAACAGATCAACTTGTAGCATTTCATTTTAACCTACTATGAAAATATACACTACAAACATTTCTTTAATGCACTAGTACTTATTAATGAGCATGTAATATTCATGACCCCGAACCACTGTCTAAGGAGACCTAGACAAAATGCTTAAACTTAATCACAGAATTAAAAGATCTTAACACATAGTTTACCTAGTTGTACTACAACATTCAGGGGGCATAACTAAATCTAATTTATTTATACTATTTTTAGTCATGTTTACCTTATCAAATCTCAACAACTGCTCAGAGAAAATGTCCTGGATTTTCTTCTTTCCATATCCACTATATAATTTTTTCCCAGTATTTTAATGATGTTTTCTCCCAAGAGAGTTGCTCATTTTGTGAGAAAGCATTGGACTTTCTAATGTGGGGAAAAATTGAAATAAAACCCCCCCAAAAAACCTTTTTTAATGAACTTAGGCCATTCTAAAATATGCTTTTTTAATACAATGTCCTTTTTTAATGAACTTAAGCCATTCTTAAAAATGCTTTTCTAATACAATGTAACTCTAGAGGTTAACCTGGATATTATCTATGAAACAACTTTGTTCCATGAAGCAAAGAAAAAAACCCCAAAATTACACAATAACAAAACTGAGTTCCTGGATCTACTTGCCTAATCACTGCAACATATGGCTTAGACTTACAATTGATGATGTTTCTTGATAATATGCTATTACACTGCCAATAACACTTGATAATAATTACATTAAAGACAAGTCCAAAAATCAAATGTTTAACAAAGTATCTCTGACATACTTCAGGACCTAACTTTATATCAGATTTAAAACAGATCTAGCATGCTGCCTTTATTCTTCATTTTTCCCCTGTGCATTGATTAATAGATAGACATGGTGATCATCTCCTCAAGAACTTCACTTAAGGAGGGAATAACCAGGTTCACAAGAGGCCCCCGGACACAAACACTGACCTTAGTTGTTGTGCTCTTCAATGCACTGACAAAGGAACCTCATATACTTATATCACTCAAATATTTAGACTTATCACACTTAGCAATGAGTCCTCAAGACAATGTAAACAAGCATTCTGAGAGTATTGCATTAGCAATACTAGTCCCCTACCGGCAAGTGTAATCTGGTTCCCGTTAAGAATTGAAAATGCCATAATTCCGTCAAAAATTAATAAAGCGGGACGAAATGCAAACTTGATCTATAAGTAATCAAGGTAAAGCCACATACCAAAAATCAGCTCAATATCTACAAGCGTTTAGAAGAAAATTGCGGAAAACCCGTAAAAATTGAAAAGGCCGTAATTCCGTCAAAAATCAATGAAGCGGAACGAAATGCAAACTTGATCTGTAACTCATCAAGATACACTCACATACCAAAAACCAGCTCAATATCTGCAAGCGTTTAGGAAAAAAGTGCGGAAAACCAAGTGGGACAGACTGACAGACAGACAGAGGGACAGACAGACAGACAGACAGACGGACAGACAGACGGACGGACAGACTCAGAGGAAACCTATAGTCCCCTCCGGTTTCACCGGTAGGGGACTAATAAGAATCTATCTACACATCAAGGATGCTTAGGAAATTGCAGTCCAATTGTTTTGGTACAATATTGCATTTAAATTATCTATATGGTGGTCTTCCTCTGGACTAAATTTGTCAAAATCAGTATTGCGGCTTACCCCAGCTAGGTATAGTTTGTACATGTAGTAAGAAGATCAATAGTTGCACACCGAGTAACAGGACTAGAAAAGAATGTTTATGCATGATGAACGAGAAATATCTTAAAATGTAAATCCCATTGTGTCCTTATACTAAGCACTGAATAACTGAAAATCTCAATGTAATAAAATTTTCACATTTTTGCTCAATTGTTTCTACAGAAAATGACTTGTACATGACATCATTCTTTATTTTTCTTATAATAGTTATTACCTTTCCAATGTTTCCGTTAACACAAATTTATGGGTAATTTATGCATAAAAAATACTTTATACCCCTAAAAAATCACCCAAAGGGTCATCATGACACAGAAAAAATATGAAAACAACTTATAAAAAATTGGGTTCAATGTTGTTGCCTGGATGGAATCAGTTTACTAATCTGCATTCAAAGATTCTAGGAATAAATCATTGCTTTAATTTCCAAGTGACAGTGATTGGAGTTAGTCTCATTCAAGCAGAGGTAAAGTCCGACGAGCTAAAATATTAGCATATCAACAATCTATTTATATTTTCAAATGAGCTATCCAATTCTTAACAAAACCGGAAGTCCGAATTTAAAAGAAATCACATCTGACATCAGCATATTTATTTCAGTTTGGCTTTGTAAAAAAAGACTGAGGATGGTAATAATAAGGTCAGCGAAGTTCAAATAATTAATGAACAGTTTTGCAAAACGTTCAAAGAACTTTCAAATGTTGCCTCTTTAAAGACGTGTTACCAACATGGCGGAATCGGTAGAATGTGTATTAAATAAAACAAGTACAATTATATTTTTTACTTTCATATTTTTAAACATCAAATTATGATGAAAAGAAGCATATCTAGTATAACATCTAAAAGCTAAACAAGAATATACTTTGACCCTCAAAAATTCTCTTTGACTTCCAAAGGTTTACTTCAAAGGGTCATGATGACCCTTGGTTTTCAAAGTTAGCGTAAACACCGTCTTTCATTTAAAGAAAGAGAAAAAACACTTGACTATACTTGAATCCAGTTCTTATTATATGGGCTAGGCATTGGCCTTTCAACTGGTATATTCAATCAACAGATTTTTTTCCCTAAACATTCTACGCATCCCTTCAGTTCAACCAGTATATTGATATAACAGTGACTTCAAAGTCTGTGGGGATTTAACACCATGAAAATGGCCTCCAATTCAGAAAGGGGTCCATTATTATTTGTGATTTTCTGTTACTTGCCATCAATAATATTAACAATAAGGAAGCACATGTTCAGAAAAAAAAAAATTGAAGTCACAATCAGATTATCTTTGGAAATAATGACAATCTTGTGCTCTTGACAGCAATGTTCGAAATTTTCCATTTGATTTCTGTAAACTCAGAAATATCCCTTCATACTTTGTTTGTGTCAAATTTGAGGGAAAATGGTTTGGAAACAATAAATTTTAAAATATATTTTTCTAAAAATTCAGGTGGATGTGCAAACTCATGTTGGACAGACATCACTGACATTCAATCATGTTGATGATTATGTGTTGTGTCCAGTATTGTAAAATAATCAGTCTGAGAGTGTGACATTATTAGAGCAATCAAAATCATGTGGAGATGCTCACCTTTCAGGTGAGCAAACTGCCTGATATTGCAACATGTGCAATGATGATTGAAAAAACTTAGTCTTAGCTAGTGCTAATGTGCATTTTGGAATTAACCACATTAGAACATTGACTTTGAACTTTGTTGCAAAGTTTGCAATCTTTTACAATAAAATGTTATATAAGCTAACCTTCATAAGTTCATATAATTTTTTGTTTTTTTCTGGATCGTAACTCTTGAATTTATAAAATATTTAGCAACAGTTGCTTTGAATGTCATATATCACCAAAAATTTAATGCAATGGCCAATGGGGGCAGTTACAACGGAGTCGGATGATGAAATACTGTACCTGTACGCCAGGGACATGCAGTCAAAAAGTTTGGTGAGAGAGTCGTCAATCGACAGTGTTGCATTGGGCCCAAATGGATAAGAATTCGACGGTGTTTTGTTGGCAGTATTAAAATCATAACCAGTCTCTTCCAATTGTGGCTTGACATCTTCATCGTCATCTTCTTCGTCGTCTTGGTATTTGCCATGCACGTTTGTTATCATAAAATGCCCACTGTGAATGGGTTGCTCGTGTTGTGCACTCTCTTCCATTTTGCAATTTTTAAGTGTTGTCGCCTGAGAAGAAGAAGTCGAGGTTTTCTCTATTGCCATCATATGACAGCGCTCCTGTGTCTGTTTTCATGGAGAAAAATATTCCAGTTATTTTGCGTTTGTCAACAACAGACCATCCGCCATTACAGATCATGTAAAATATGCGTGATAGATTGCGTCCTTCACCCTTACTTCCGGTTATAGTTACGTAACGTGAAATAGAAGAATTGGAATGGGAATGAGCCGCACAGACAATGAGTCAGGGCCACTGATAAGTTTGTTATGGAAGAGCGATAGCGTTATAATCATGCCCTATATGATATGGTTTGCATATGACAAGAAAGATAACTCTTGCAAATTACTTGCATGACTTTGATATTGAGACATTGTTTGGTTAATTTCTATGCAAAAGTTTGAAGTCCTTTTCAGATCCCATCCCTACCCTGCATTCAACAGATTGAATATATATGTTTTAATCTATAGTAATTAAATGACATGTGTAATGAATGCTTGCACATATTATAAATTTGATCATAATATGTCCCCTAGCTTGTACATGTAGTTCTTTAGAAATGATTTTTATTCCTATATCATTCTATGTAAATCTTTGGATCTCCTTTGAGGACGATCTCTGCTCCACTGTGGTATGATCTTGAATTATAGCAGTACAAAATATATAACACAGTATCTTTATAGAACACATACACTATATATGCTTGCATTCAAGTGTACGTTACAGTGAGGCAACCATCAGAGCCATAAAGCTCAGTTGGTAGAGCACCTGTGTAGAGACTGAACTTAGTAGGCCAATTTCTTAATAATGCTTATTTAAATAACAGTCACATTTTCTACTATTCTGTTAAACAAATTAATTTGAAGATTTTTGAGCCAAAGTTTGAAGATTTTCAAAAAAAGAGCATTCCATACACAGTTATGCTTCGTAAAATATCTTGAACTTAATTCTTTTGATCTTTGATATCTCAAATACATGATGAATTAATTGTTGGAGTGAGTTGATCCTAACCACTTTATTTTTACCACAATATTTCAAATCGTCAGATATATCTTGAAGTTTTTTCTCTGTTTCATCGGGTTTGAAATATCAAGGTTTGACTGTATTCCTAATAAAATATTGACCCCAAATCTCATTATGGCCCCACTGAACTGGCTTAGGGAGCTATGATTTGAATCTTTAAGGTTTTGCCAAAGGTCAATATGTCCAAAAATTCATTTTTACAATACCTCCAAAACTATGTGAGGTATAAAGTTAAAAATTTTACAGTTTATAAATATATCATTGATTAACAGATAGAAAATATCATTTGAAAACAAATATTTAAAAAAATATATTTTTTAAGGAAAAAATTTCAAAAAATTTGCATATTTTAAAAAAATGCAACTGCTTAATTCTGTACTTTTAGTGAAAACCATCATTGCAGAAATAATATATGTATATCAATGAAGGGCAAGTTGGACGTGAATGGTCTCTGAAAGGCTGTTATTGAAAGCATGACATGTATATTATAAAGACAAGACCCTTATAAAATCCGCCATTTGCAATGTACTTTCGGTTTCAAATCTTAACATTTGGATAAAATAAACAGGGAAAACAACTTTCCAGAGGCTATCGAAGTCCAACTTGCCCTTCATTGATAAACATATATTGCTTCTGCAATGATATGGCTTTCACTAAAAGTACGGAATTAATTAGGTGTATTTTTTGAAAATATATGCATTTTTTTAGAAGAATTTTTCTCGATAAATATTTTTTTTAAGTATTTGTTATCAAGTGATACTTTCTATCTGTTAATCAATGATATATTTATAAACTGTAAAAGTTTTAACTTTATAAACCACATAGTTTTGGAGCTATTGTAAAAATAAATTTTTGGACATGTTGACCTTTGGCAAAACCTCAAGGAAAGCATCGCTGATATATTTTTCTTATTTCTGGCCCAGTGGTTCTTGAAATATATTTCAATGATTCCTGCTTACTTTACTATTTTAATATTAATGATTTCACTTTGGAGGGGGTTTGGTCTTTATTGTTGAATTATTATTAAAAGGATCAGCTACAAAATCTTTCAATTACTGTATAACCATAACTGAATCAGCCCAAAAATCTTCTTGTAACCATTACTGGATCATGCAGCCCCAAAATTTTCTAATAACTATACATAACCATTACTCGATCAGTCCCAAAATCTTCTAATAACTACATAACCATTACTGGATCAGCCCAAAAATCTTCTAATAACTACATAACCATTACTGGATCAGCCCCAAAATCTTCTAATAACTATACATAACCATTACTGGATCAGTCCCAAAATCTTCTAACAACTATACATAACCATTACTCGATCAGTCCCAAAATCTTTTAATAAGTACATAACCATTACTGGATCAGCCCAAAAATCTTCTAATAACTACATAACCATTACTGGATCAGCCCTAAATTCTTCTTATAACTACATAACCATTACTGGATCAGCCCTAAATTCTTCTTATAACTACATAACCATTACTGGATCAGCCCCCACATTTTCTTATAACTACTTGACCATTACTGGATCAGCCCCAAAGTCTGAGTTTTTTCCTTGCCAAGAACACAATTTCTTTAAAACAAAAAAATGTTCAAAACTTTTTGAGATACTCGGTACCTTGCAGATATATATACTCAGAATACGTGTGCTTGCCATCCAATTTTGACAAGTTATACTCTACAAATGTACATGTAATATTTTGAGATAATGATCCACAAATTAAACATTGTATCAATAAACTCAAGCCAATTAACTACTCAATTCAAACATGACAACTTCCTTTATCCTAAAATAGAAATCAAACTACTGTTTCATAAATTTATTCATAAAACATTTGCAATGCAAGTAACAAAAACGTGATACAATGTATTAGACTTATGTACAATTTGTAGATAACTCATATATGTTTACATTCATGTACATGTATGTTTGATTGAGATGCATGTAGTAAAATGAGAATATAAAAATATGAAATGATACTGATATACATGTATTTTTATATTTTGGCAATAATCTATTACAAACAACCCATGAGAGCAAACAAACTATGATCATATCCCTAAGCTGAAGGAAATGTGAATGCCTTTATTAAAACGAATATGATAGATTGGGTTCTCGAGATTATGATGCTGAATCTGAGTACATGTAATAACACAGAAAACTATATAATATATTATTGCAACTAAGGATGATTTAGTTCATAGTAACGTATAAAGTAAATAAAACCTAAGAAACAATATACTGTGAATTCTTTCATGTGATAAGACCTAAACATGCAAACCAAAGAAATAAATAATAAAATGAAAACATGCTAAAGCTATACCTATTTCAACATATTCCCCAAAAAATGAATACATGTATTAAAGATTCCATTTCCCCAGAAAACGTATACATGACATGAATATAATATACAAACTTTAACAATTACAGGTATCTATTACCGGTACAAAAAATTTAAATCTAAAATCTTGTTCTCTCAGTAATGACATGCCTAAGTCAAACATGAAAAAAAAACCCACTCATTTGACATTAGCACATGTGATCAAACAATATATGAGTACATGTACTACTGAACAAAAGAATTTTTCAATATTTCATCCTTGCAATTTTACAAAATACAGGCATATAAACTATGTCATAGTATATGTATTATGAGAACAACAATTCATTATATTAAAGATTTATAAATATTATTTGATTAAACAGACTATGAAAAATTGAGCAAATATAAATCCTTTACTGTAAAGTTACATGCCCCTATCAAGACTATCACATTAAAAAAATTTCAATTACCCTGTATGGTAACTTGACATTTTCTGTTTATGAAAATATATTGGTCCTCTCGATATACAGATACATATAACAATTTACATGTATATTTTAAATTAGCAAATGAACTTGTTTCTGATTCAAAATAAAAGTCCCTGAAATTATGTATGGTCCTTTTAAAATACTTGTATATCAAACAACTGATTTGGAATGTTATACATTGGTATCACAGGCAATTAAATTTTGCATAGATATCAACAGCTTCCTGACATATCTCTCACACAAGTTGCATTAATGTTTAAAAGCCTGCCTCTTTAACACTTTACATAGGATCATTATCATATCATTTAATTAAATGCACTGTGTCCTTTCTATTCTTACAACTTTAGATGCATTAAATGCATGGATTATTAACAAGGATTATTAACAAAGAAATCTTAATCAATATCAAAATGCTACATAAAAAGCAGATCTTGTTTTAAAATCTTAATCAATATCAAAATGCTACATAAAAAGCAGATCTTGTTTTAAAATAATTAAACTACACTTTATTTAAAAAAAAAATACATAATAATTTGTGCACTAGTATGAATACTTCTGATGCTGGTAATTACACATTAATATCTATATTAATTACAATAGGACGCCATTAGACTGATGAATAATATCAGAAAATATTCATAATACTGGTGAACAGATTCAAAAGTATTGAGGACATGCCCTTTTCTGATTCTTCATGGATAGATCTACATATATAATTATTACTCCGTCAGTATCCTAACAATTTATAATTTGGAGTGCATAAATATTCATGCAGTAAAAGGGTTTTAGTTATAATAATATACAAATTTTAAATTTACTTTGTGTGTGTGTGTGCGCATGCATGGAAATGATAGAACAATTTTTAGTAATTTTATTCCAATTCTACAATATATCTTAAAAAGAAAAATGTAAAAAGATTTCATACATAACAAGAATAAAAGAAATTTTGGATATTTAACAGAATTTATACTTATCATTTATAATTTTTATAAAAAAAAATAAACAAATAAAAAAAAAAACAAAAACAAAAAAAAAACATGTAAAGAATTAACGTGCTACACTGCATTAATTACACCAAGATACACAAAGAACATAAGCATTCCAGTTTTTGTCAAAGTTGAACACCCTCATATACTTATAATTGTACATATATGTAATGATTTAGTGACACAAAACACACAGTTTAGTTCAAAGTTTAAAAATTAGTCACTTAGTACTTAAAACTTAAAAAGTTAGTTGCACATGTACATGTAAATAAAATATTTGTGCATTATTTTCTAAAGTTTTTGAGGAACAAGACTATAATCATTCAGTGGGATAGTTTTGAGGAACGAGACAATAATCCTTCAGTGGGAAGTGTATAGTATACTTTGCTTATGAGTGTTATTCAGTGGGTAGTGTCTAGTATACTTTGCTTATGAGTGTTATTTATTCCAATAAATGCTGTTTACAAAACAAAAACAAAACCAGAACTCCACTGAGGCTGCAGTTCTACTGGTTTGTACATTTAGGAAGAAAGGTAACATTTTGAAAAAATTTAAAAGAATTTTCTATTTTTAGTAACCATTGCAACACCATTCACTGAAGTGAAAAAAAGATACACAGATCTGTCCAGTAGTAGTCTATTTGTATATCAAGTTTTCTTTAAGCAATCAAGATTGTGAAAAAAGAAGTTTTCTAAAAAAAAATTGTCATAACACCATTCATTGGCATCAAAAACTCATCAAATGAATTATCTGTCTTATCCTTGTTTACTAGTAGTTTTGTTGAAATTGAACAAAGACATTAGGCACTTTTTAAAAACTAACAGAACGCTAGACAGATGGACGGTGGACACTCCTGGTCTTTGACCAGTACCATAAAGACAAGGTTTTAACATAAAATGATTGCACTTAAGGACTAAATACCACTGAAATCAAATATACAAACCTTGACACATGAAAAAGCAATATTGGTAGCTGAATACAGAATCCATTTTGCATAAGTTCATACACAAAATTTTTTTGCCAATAATAAATGTGAAACAGTTAATTTCGTCAGTTTCTAAGAAGAACAAGAAATTGACTCTGAACACTAGTAGATACCCTAGCTAACAATTTACTGTGAATTCTTTAGTAACTTTTTATCAAACATATTATCCTCGTCTGAACTGTAGTCATGGTATTCCTTGTTCATGAACTTCTTTGTTGATCCATTGTCATAATATTCATCAAAATCTTCTTCATCATCATCAAATTTAAGTCGGGAAAATCCTGCCGTTTTCTTGGAAGCTCTGGCTTTTACACAGATTATTCCAGTACATAACAGCAACAGTATCAATATAATAAGGGCTGAAACGCAACATGGAATAATAAGTAATCAATGTTAATATGAAAATTTATCAATCCTGCTATACGCATGGCTATATGCCTATCTAAACTGTACGTAATAAAACTCTGTAGAGAAGTTAGCAGAGTTTACATGCAGAGAAGCTTGATTTTTATGATTACTAATAAAACATTCATCATGGATACAGGTCTGAGAGACACTTCCCTGTTCTTTATACTAAAAATTACAGAATGGTGAAGGTACATGTACACTTACAGGTAACGACAACAAATGCGGTCTGAGAAAACCCCAATATGGTGTTTGGTGATTCCAGCATAATCACAGTTTCATATCGCCCTTCTTCTGTATTTGGCACCTTAATACTCTGTGAAGATAAAAAGCATGCAGACATAGCTAGAATATCATAAAATTTCAACCTACATATTTCAATTAACCCTTAAATCTATGAGTCAGTCTGATCATTTATTACAAAGAAAATCCTACCATTTTCTTGTCTTGGTAGCCATGACACTTGATCATGACTTGGTAGCTCGCCGGTGGAAGATAAACATGGAACTTAGCCTCTTCATTTACTTGGTACGTCCAACTAAAGCCCTTGACTCTTATTGTGGCATTTATCATTGGATTTTTATTTTCTTTGTCTACTACTACTCCACTAAAACCTTTATTAGCCTGAGGAGAAAAAAGAAGTCCATGCATTTATTTCATCTTTCTTGTTTGTTCATGACTGGTATACACAGATTTCCATACTGAAGCATTTAAACATGAACTTCTGTGCTATTACTAGGATGCAATATGTGCTGCTATTAAAAGATCTGATGAAGAATTTCTATCAAAATACCAATAGTTATGTACACTGTCTTCAAAACCATTTCTTTCATTGGCTCTATAAATCTATCTGCCATACATACATGTATAAATACCAACCTCTGTAACCATGTCTAACATGGGCTCCCTGAGTTTATGCCAAATGTTGAGGAGTTGATCTTCATTTGGGTGATGACAACATCCTGTGGAAATCTCCATAGGAATGGAATGACAGTGTTTATAGGCATATTCCTGGAAAACAGAGCATATGTTAAGTGAATCATTCAGGATGTATTTCATCCAAACTTAAAACAAATAGTTACTTAATACTAGATTTTCTTTTTTACTTTTTTTTCTGGTCTGTATTAGTTTGCTACGTCAGACTTCATTTTAACAATTGCATAAAATTATAGGTTATTTTAGCTCAAAATTATAAGCTTTCTTACTAGAAAACTGCTGTTGGAGGAGGTATCACTGCCTAAAATTAAAACAATAGAAGAACTCAAATAAAATTAACATATAATAGTAATGTTGACACTTAAAAAATTGTATGAAACCATATATTTCTAAAAATTCACAAGCTTTATCAGAGTAATCTCCCAAATAAAAAATTCTAAACCTTGTCTTCTTCATCTTTAGTCTCGATAAAATTATGGAAATTGAAAATCAATTTTTAGAAATATGTACCGTATCTTATGTTGTGCACTTGTACATGAACAAATTTTTGAGAAAAGTTTGACAGACAGATGGACAGAATCTTACAAATGACAATGCTATTTTGGTCTTTCATTATGAAGTTAAAAATAAATAAAGCTATACAATGTTGGTATTTAAAAAAATTAAACATGTAATAATAATAATAAAATTCACCTTTTTTGCAGCCCTTCTTTCCAGTTTCCTCTATTGTTGAAAGTATACTGGTGAATTTACTGCCAAGATTATCAAATGCCAGCTTCTCTTGACGGTTCAGATTCACTAGAAATACATTACTTATCCCCAGTATATGAAATGACCAGATGTCTAATACATTGTACTTGTAGTATATGTACATGTACTATACTCTTGTTTTCTTCAGCCCGAATCAATCTTTTCTGAAATCTCTCTTATATCACATACATCAAAGGAGGAGAAAATTCATTGCAATATTTTAAAACATATGATTACATTTACCATATGCTGGAGTACTGACACCCTGGTATCCACTTCTAAACAAAAATGTCAGAGTAGGGTGAACCTTCATCATCCAGTCCATCAATAAATGTGTCTCTGTTTGAACTTCTTTCATCCTGTTTTCATCAGCTGCAAGCATTATTTGAACATTCAGTGTTAATACTCTAAAATCACTTATTTTTGTGGTTTGTGGGAAAAATAATGATTCAAAGGGATTTCATTTTGTGGTTGGTCAGCATAAATCGTACTGTACTTTGTAATTTTAACATTTCATGAAGGACTTGAATATGGGGGTCTCTTCATACAACAAAAACAATGAAAATTAAACCCTTATGAAAATTTGTGATTTCACAGTATGTCAGTGCATCAAGAGCATGTGCTTTACAGGAAATTGTTTCATTCTTGTGTAAAATTCTGAAGATAATGGAGGTCATACATTTTCAAACAGTAATACAAGATAATGCGATGTGTTTTCAAAATTCAATTTATCCCATCTTGAATGAATACTGATGCAAGTGAAACATAGATATTTTAAAATTACTATAAAAACCATTACACAATAATCTATTTACACTGTAGTGAGTGTACATACTGTGGAAGTTTAAAAGTAGGTCAACATTTTTGGCATTGGTTTTGCCCTTGGTGTCATTGCAGCCATCAGGGGAGGCAACTGCAGCTCCATCTGGGTTAAGGACAGGGAGGATATGGACCTTTGATATATTCACCATCTACAGATTTGTAGTGAAAGAAAATTTTAAATTTGTTGGTTAACATACATGTACATAAACTTTTCTGATAAGAAATTAAACTTAAATGCATGTACATGTATATCTGATCATTTCAATGAATCTCTTATAATCAATAACTTTTTGCCCCTTTACTGCCAGTGCTCTATTTGATGCACCTAACACTTTTTGGCACATAAAAATTAATTTGACTTTTTGACAAACAAGAAACATAAAATACAGTCAAACCTTATCCTAAACCTGATGGGACAAAGAAATACTTCAAGATATCCATTGACTCTGGATAGTGAGGTTAAAATACATTAAGTAAAAGTGGTTGGGACTTTCAACTCTCTCCAACATATTCATGGTATTCAAGATATCAAAGTTTATCGTAACGATTGATAGTAATACCAGCTACAAGGAATAAGATATGATGGGGCTCTCATTTGGCTCTAAAACTTACCTTAAACTTGTTAAAATGTCTTTTTTAATCACATAATGTAAAGAAATGAAAGAGTAAGTGCTTAGTTATTCAATATCTCATAATATTACAGGCACTGTTTGTCATAATATCAAAACATAGGTAATCAAAGATTACGAAGCTCACCTCGACGAATGTTATCTACATGTAAGGCAAATTTCACATCATATTTTTTTCTAGTTAGGGAACATCCCAAGATCAATATCCATGCAAGTTTGATTTAATTATAGATCTGCTCAAAAAACTTTTGACCTGTTTAGTAATCAAGAAAATTTTGGTCAGTTCCAACATCCAAAGCAAGTCTGGAAGTTTTCATCCTTAGATGCACTATCTATGCAAGTTTAATCATAACAGGCCATAATATTATGTAGCTACTCCAAAAAATTACCCTGGTCACTCATCTGGAAAATGTACGTCAGATTCAGAATCCAAGGCAAGTCTGGAAGTATCCATCCCTAGATACATCATCCATGCTAATTTGGTTAAAATATGGCTAAAATTCACTCATGTGGAAAATCTAGGTCAGATCCAGCATTCGAAGCAGGTTGGTTAGTGTACATCCCTAGATGCATCATCCATGCAAGTTTGGTCCAGGTAGGGCTTATAGTTACTTGGGAACGAGACTACTCCTAAATCTAAACCTGGTCTCACATGTGGAAAATCTAGGTCAGATCCAGCTTCCGAAGCAAGTGTGGTAGTGTCCATCCCTGGATGCATCATCCATGCAAGTTTGGTCCAGGTAGGGCTTACAGTTACTTGGGAATGGACCTGCTCCTAAAACTTTAACCTGGTCACTCATCCGGAAAATCTACATCAGATCCAGCATCCGAACTAAGTGTGGCCATGTCCATCCCTAGATGCATCATCTATGCAAGTTTGGTCAAGGTAGGGCTTATAGTTACTTGGGAATGGACCTGCTCCTAAAACTTTAACCTGGTCACTCATCCGGAAAATCTAGGTCAGATCCAGCATCCGAAGCAAGTGTGGTAGTGTTCATCCCTAGATGCATCATCCATGCAAGTTTGGTCCAGGTAGGGCTGATAGTTACTTGGGAATGGATCTGCTCCTAAAACTTTAACCTGGTCACTCATCCGGAAAATCTACACTAGATCCAGCATCCGAAGCAAGTGTGGTAGTGTCCATCCCTAGATGCATCATCCATGCAAGTTTGGTCCAGGTAGGGCTTATAGTTACTTGGGAATGGACCTGCTCCTAAAACTTTAACCTGGTCACTCATCTGGAAAATCTAGGTCAGATCCAGCATCCGAAGCAAGTGTGGTAGTGTCCATCCCTAGATGCATCATCCATGCAAGTTTGGTCAAGGTAGGGCTGATAGTTACTTGGGAATGGACCTACTCCTAAAACTTTAACCTGGTCACTCATCCGGTAAATCTAGGTCAGATCCAGCATCCGAAGCAAGTGTGGTAGTGTCCATCCCTAGATGCATCATCCATGCAAGTTTGGTCAAGGTAGGGCTTGTAGTTACTTGGGAATGGACCTGCTCCTAAAACTTTAACCTGGTCACTCATCTGGAAAATCTACATCAGATCCAGCATCCGAAACAAGTGTGGTAGTGTCCATCCCTAGATGCATCATCCATGCAAGTTTGGTCCAGGTAGGGCTTATAGTTACTTGGGAATGGACCTGCTCCTAAAACTTTAACCTGGTCACTCATCTGGAAAATCTAGGTCAGATCCAGCATCCGAAGCAAGTGTGGTAGTGTCCATCCCTAGATGCATCATCCATGCAAGTTTGGTTCAGGTAGGGCTTATAGTTACTTGGGAATGGGACTTGCTCCTAAAACTTTAACCTTGGACGCCGACGCTGACGCCGACGCCGGGGGTATAGCATAAGCTCATCTCGACTTCGTCGAGGTGAGCTAAAAATGACTGTTCTGTTTTTGTGGGAAACATGTAAAATTTGCAATTTAAACACTGCTTTTGGCTTCCAAAAGTGGGTGAATGTATCTGATGGTTATGATGTTAATAATAACTTGCACTGGTATTAAATTTTTGATGAATTGTGCTCTGTAATAATAAACTAAGGGTTTCAGAGTAATGTTTTGCACATCTTGAATCATACCTTTGTTAAAATAGAGTCTTTCCCATATGATTCACACAACTCACTGGCCAGCTGCAGCAAGATCTCCGGTCCAACAACTTCATTACCATGGATACCAGCCAAAAACAGCATGTGTGTTTGTAATGTATGTTTTTCCTTTTTGCTCCCAAAATCCAACATCCATATATCTTTATTATTTGAAGATTTGCCAAGGCTAAAACATACATGTATTATAAGTCTATTATAGTGTGATTTTCTCTTGATTTATGAGATACAGCCTACTCCACTTATACTGAAATTACCAATTTTGAAATATCACTTCTTTTGAAATAAGACTGAATCCCCAGTCATGGTATATCATTACCTTTGCCCCCCCCCCCCCCCCCCCCCCAAAAAAAGGTTAAATTGAAATTGCTTATTTTGAAGTAAATTATTGGTTAATAATGAGTTGTTTATATAGCGGCTATATTAAAGCTCTCCTGACTGGTATCTAGTATCTACTAAAAAGTATTAAATACAAATATGACCGAATTTTCAGATACTGAAGATAAACAAGTGGCCCATGGGCCACAACGCTCACCTGAGCACCTCTGGCCTTGCTGTGTTTCACCTGATTTCTCCCCTCCCCCTTGTAGTACTTACTGTGGCCCCGCCCTAACCCCAGGGGTCATGATTTGAACAATTAGAATCTACACTACCCCAGGATGCTTCCACATAAGTTTCAGCCTTTCTGACCCAGTGGTTCTTGAGAAGAAATTTTTTAAAGATTTTTTCTGCATATTTCAATGTTAAACTTGGATTCCCTATTGTGGCCCCGCCCTACCCCCGGGGGTCATGATTTGAACAATTTAGAATCTGCACTATCCCAGAATGCTTCCACATTAGTTTCAGCTTTTATGGCCCAGTGGTTCTTGAGAATAAGATTTTTACTACATATTTCAATGTAAAACTTGGAATCCCTATTGTGGCCCCGCCCTACCCCCAGGGGTTATGTTTTGAACAATTTAGAATCTACATTACCCCAGGATGCTTCCACATAAGTTTCAGCCTTTCTGGCCCAGTGGTTCTTGAGAAAAAGATTTTTACTACATATTTCAATGTAAAACTTGGAATCCCTATTGTGGCCCCGCCCTACCCCCGAGGGTTATGTTTTGAACAATTTAGAATCTACACTACCCAAGGATGCTTCCACTAAGTTTCAGTTTTCTGACCTAGTGGTTCTTGAGAAGAAGATTTTTAAAGATTTTTACTACATATTTCACTGTAAAACTTGGATTCCCTATTGTGGCCCCGCCCTACCCCCGGGGTCATGATTTGAACAATTTAGAATCTACACTACCCCAGGATGCTTCCACTAAGTTTCAGTTTTCTGGCCCAGTGGTTCTTGAGAAGAAGATTTTTTAACGACCCCACCCAATTTTTGTATTTTCTTGATTTTCTCCCCTTTGAAGGGGACTTCGCCCTTCATTTTTACAATTTAAACTCCTCTTCATCCAATGATGCTTTGTACTAAGTTTGGTTAAAATTGGCCCAGTGGTTCTTGAGAAGAAGTTGGAAATGTGAAAAGTTTACAGACGGACGGACAGATGGACGGACGGATGACGGACAACGGGTGATCAGAAAAGCTCACTTGAGCTTTCAGCTCAGGTGAGCTAACAATGTGTTAAAACATCAATAAAATCAGTTTCCACCATGGACATTGATATGGTCCTATCTTTCCAGCTTAAATCACCCTATTTGTACTATATGTTTACCTGTGGACATTGACCAGTTCCTGACACTGTTTGGAGATATTCAGGAGGAATTCCTTCATTGTGGCTTCTTTGTGGTATCCAATTTCCTTCAATTCAGTATTCAATCGTACCTGGACTTTTGAGGTAGTATCTTTCTGGATAACAGCTTGATGTGATTGTGGTTCAAATCCTAATTGTCAAAAAATTGATTTCGATTGTACATTAATAAATAAGAGGAACTAAAGGCTTTATAGAACAAGAGTGCCCCAACCTTGAAAACAAAAAGTTGCCAGTTTTTCTTTGTTCAGATGCAGAATAAAGTCCACACTATTCATTTTGGTAACAAAAAATATTTTAAGGAAAACAATACAGGTCCTTTCAGCCTGTGTTCCAAAAGAAATCTTCATGGAGTTATTCATCAGTCCTTTGTTGCTAATATGAACATCAAATCTCAAAGTTTAAACCATTGTCAAGTTATTGCAAAGAAATTGAAACTCTCTATATATAAGAATCTCACATCATGATAACCAAGTTTCAATTCAAACTGAGCTTTTCAATAGTACAACCCATTTGCTAATATTAACATCCCAAAACCTTCAAAAGTTATTGCTGGATACCAAAATTTGCCTTTTGGCTCCATAACCAAGCAACCCCAATTGAGTTTTTCATCAGACCAACAAGTTGTAGTAGGTGAAGACACCATCCAAACCCAACCCTTCTCTAAATATTGCATAGAAACCTGAATTCTATTTATAGCAATAAAAGCAACACTTTTTTATCCCATGATGGCACAAGCAATCCAAATGAAGCTCTTTATTAGATGAACCTGGTGCAAAAATGTAGATCCTGTCCAAAATCCTTGATATTATTGCTCGGAAACTAAACTGGGACGGATGTACAGACTAGGGACAAGATAACCCTAAAAGAAACCCCTGCCTGGAACATACATGGCTGGGTAACACTTTATCTTTACCTCTCCCCCCATTTTTCTATTCAGGGGGCATGAAATATTAATCCAAACTGGATTTCCAAGACACCATGACATTTGATAGAAAAACAACAGTATATTGACAGATCTCTTTGTTTGAGTCCACAAATATTTGAACAAATCTAATGCTATTCTCTGCTAGTGAACAACACAGTGCAAGTACCTTCAGCTTTAACATGAATAGTCTGTAGACCCTGAGTGAGGGGGATATAGAAATGGCCATCCTCTGCTGCTGTAAATATCCCAGTCTTACTGTCTACTGTTATAGTGGCATTCTTCACCACTCTACCATTGCTGTCCAAAACCTGCCCCGACACACCTGTATAATATATTAATAGACTGAAGCTTTATTTTTCTCATCTAAATTCATACTGTTAAAATTAATTTTTGTATGCATTTCAAAAGATCAGTCACATGCTTACATCTCAAAAAAAAAAAAATACTTGAAACCCTTCGTATTTAAACTCCTAAAATAAATGAAAACACTGCTGACAGAAAATTATGTAAAACCTGTCTTACCTTCTTTACTTCTCAGTACCAGTTGTTTTAATGGTTGCATGGTTTTCATCCATAGTTTTGGTAACTGGTCTGGAGGTGGGAGTCTACAGCAGCTCACAAAGGCAGAAATCTGATATATATACATCAAAAGATTACAAAGTATTTTAAAAAGAAACCTCTTATACCAGGTAAATATGTTCAAGCTCCAGGGTCATAAACCTTTGATGAGCTCACTTTTGATCTCAATCTCACTTTTCCATAATGAATTCCTTTTGTAAAAGAAAGAATGAGAAAAAAAACTGAGCTTGCTAAGTTATATGTCCCCAGAGCCTGGTGTTTTAAGGTTCTCAAACAATACCTGACACACTGGACACTAAAGGAAATGATGTACCATGCAGAAAATAATGTGCAACATTCTTCATACAAACATGGACATGTACATTAATGTTCATGTATTTTACTTAAAATACCTTCCCTTCAAACTTTTGGGCTAATGTTGTGAATTATTCATTTGTATCATTGATTTTGGCTGGTTTAAATTTCCAACCATCGATGTTATATGTGATTTAACAGATAATTTTTACCATGTAGGAATGGCCGTTTGTATACATGTCATCTAGGATACCAGATGTTTGACTGTGGAGTTCAGCCCCGTGGAAGATGCCATGATTAGGTGATGTTATACAAGCATCTGGCTGGTAGATCTCTGGATATTGGTCGGCAAAAGCGTGGGCAAGCGACTGGAAAACTTCCTCATCTTCTGTTGCTGCTACCCCATTATGTAACCTCTCAAATGACATCCTAATAAGAGAAATATTCCAAATGTCTGATTAATGATAATAGGCTTGATTGCAGTAGTTAAACCTGTGCCAACATCATTTATCACGTAAAATGTTTCTAAATACAAGATCCTGTTATAGATAAACTTACATTACAAAAAGACCACCAGAGTCAACAGTCAAAATGACATCAAATTTGTGTTGTTCTTTCAACTGATGTAGCAAATTTGCTGGATAAGACTGCAAAATTACAAAATGAAAGATCATTATAACAGCTATTGTATTTAGTGTTTTACATCCTAAACTGCAAAGCATGCATATCTATTAAACATTTAATCCATTAAGGACATAGGATATTCAACAAATTATGTTGTAGAAATGTGTAAAACAGTTTTTGCAGGCTTAACTATTGCTAAAACACATATTTACTACAAAATTTCCCTATAAAACCAGCCTTATTTTATCATTCTCCCCAAATCTTTCCTTTTATATCCATATGGAAATTCAATGTAAAAACATGAATATAAATGAAATCTCTCAGAATGAATACAAATTTACTCTAATTTCTACCATTTAACAAATTCAACTGAACTTAAAAATGGCAACAAGAAGTATTGATGAAATCTACACTTTCTCCAAATTTTGGATATCCTTTAACCTTAACCACAATGTCAAATCACAATAGGAAAGTGACACTTTGCATAAGACTAGGACCTACAGAATTAAACATTAATCCATTGGGATCTGCAACACAGCTGTGGTTTTGAAGGACCTTTCTCTCCTCCTCTGGAGATGGAACATTAATGTTTGGAATGATATGGAGGTGAATTTCCTGAAACATTTTCATGGTTTCAGAGTCTTTCAGTTCATAACCTACAAATATGCACAAAAATAAGGGTACATTATTGAATTCATTACACGCCATTCAAGGTACAATAGGTCCAAGGCCCTATTTATTGCAATTTTTGGGTGACACTCAGAACAATTCAATACTTTATAATCAAACAGCTGTAATTATGTCTGTTTCAAATTAGAGCTGATTTTCAGAGAAGTGTATATAAGAATCACAAACTCAATAAATTTCTAAAGCTTCCTGATTCTCTATCAATATTATAGTAGATTTTGTTTCCAAAATCCCAGAGGACAATCTACATATAGCCAATGTACATGTACATAAGTATATATATGTACATGTGTATGTTTGGTAGTATTTGGTAGTATCATATATCTTTTATATGAAAATAAGAGACAACCTTGCTTGTCATGATAACAAAGTTTAGCTATGTACAAAATTCAAGCAAACATTAATTGAAAGTAAAATACACATTAGGAAACCCTCACCTTTTACTTGACGTCGGATAAATCTCGTCAATAACTGAGCTCCAACTGGACTTTTGCCATCATAAAACCCCCCAATCAGAAGTACGTGTGGTTTCTCATCTTCATGCTTATCTAAATTAGCTGACAAATGGACCATATAAGGTGCATTTGGTGAAACCGATCTTTTCAAGTTTGTGGAAAGTTCTGTGACTTCCATAATTTTCGGATGACCTTCAGCCAAACTTCTCATCTCAGCCAGAAGATCTGTGTTGTTTGTGTAAACTCTCTGCATGTTTTCCTTGATGTCAAAGTCCTGGTTTTGTGACCACTGGTCGAGTTCATTTCGAGACAATGTGAAGTTAACCTCAACAGCGACATCAGAGGTTACATGCACTTGAATGGTCTGAGAATTATAACTGTAAGAGAAGTGTACACAGCTCAGTTTAAAACCTGCTCTGGTATTTCTTACCGTTTTTTTTTCTTTGATCTTTTTTTCATTTTGGAGTGCAAGTACAGAAGATCCAGTCTGATCATGATAATAATCAAGCATTATGTAAAAGAAAGGAATTAATGCATAATTATATTTGTAATCTTTCACATGTATTCAAGTTGCTCAAATACATCTTGATTATTGTCATTGTCTTTAAATATTATCATTCTTTTTTATTGCAGTACCTTGCTGACCTTTATTTATACATATGAGGGTTGTCCCAAAATTCAGTAGACAAGTATAGTTTTGTATAAACCCATTGTCATAAATTAATATTGTACGTAGATTAAACAAACAAAATTAATAAAATTATTAACAAATATTGAGTACGAGGTGAGTTCAAAAGTTACGTTACCACTGCTATAAAATTTTTAATAATCGAACGTCATCATCAAAATTTTGTTGACTAATACCTCTGTCTATTTTTACTTTTGCCTTAAATTTTCATTCAGATATATGAAGTATTTTTTAAAAAATTAAAATAAACACAACATTGTGTCTTGTCTATCACCGGATTGCAAGAATGTTATCGATGCTATTATGAAGTTTCTCTTTGGCACTCATTTTCAGTTCATCCTCAACTAAGATATTTGGACAAAGTTAAAATAATTTTAATGCAACTCAAAACAAGACGATTAAAAGCAGAATGGCAGTAAAGATTATTAATGGGAAGGAGGTAAGAGGTTTAATAAGATATGCAGATGAACAAAAAATAATGCTGAAAAGTAACATCATAACATCGATAACATTCTTGACGTGCAGCGATAGGCAAACCCTACCCCTGTATTTATCTTCATATTTTAAAGAGTATTTTATATAATAAAGCAAAAATCAAAACAGATTAGTGAATTAGAATGCAAAATTATTTGATAATATCCAATTATTAATTTAGAGATTTTATAGCAGTTGTGACATTAATTTTGGACAAACCCTTGTATTTATACAGATAAATTTTATTTAAATAAAATAGTTCATTGTCTGGTGTAAGTAGGCAGTGCAGTACCCAAAAATTGCAATTAAAAATTGGTATATAATCTTTAAAATTCTACAAAAAAATAATTAATACTCAGAACTTTGGGAATAGAGATAAAAATTTCTAATACCAGTACTGTATTGTTTACTAACTTTCCTTAAATTTTGTTGTTTATGCTTTTATTAATTTAAATTTTATGGCATTTTATATGCACCGGTTTGAAATCTGATGACAGCTGCATTTACACAGGCTGCACACTAGACTGTGATCAAAAACCTTTAACATGTAATGTACAGCAATGACAAAACTGTCTGTACCCTTCATGCGACGCTGTGATTTTGTAGTTTCCTGGTGCTAGTAATCTCCAGTAGTCTCCGTCACTAGCTGTGTGAATCTGATGATCAATTCCCTCCACAGAAATGGCAGCATTCACCAAGGGACTGTCTGGGTGTGTGTCCATAACAAAGCCTTTGACCCCTTTATGTACCTTTGTTATAAATATTAAGGACAATACCAGGTGGTGATCATTTAGAATAAACGTTTCTAAATTTCAGAGTTGGAAGGAAAATGCAGTATTTACAAAAATTATGCTAGCAGTGGTAATACTAGACATACTTCAATATGTAAATTATGTGAATTATTTACCTGTCCCATGTATTCTAGCAAGGCAAATTTATTGGCAGACCAGTAACTGGGCAGGTCTTTGGTCAATGGGAATTTTGTACAGCCAAGTTCTATTGTTATTTCAAAACAATTAGTGTGCAGGTAATTCCAGTCTTGCATGCCACCTGGAAAAAAAATTATATACCATAATGAAATGCTTTCGAGAAATACAATTAAATAGCAATGATTAATATGATGCCCTTCCTTTAAAGCAGGGTAAAATGAGGAATGCTGAAAGTAATGAAATAGGATACAAATCTGTACAGTTGCACCTCTGTAATCCAGGCCCTTGGACCATAAAATTTAGATGAGCTCACATTTGATCTCAGTCTCACTTTTGCACTTTAAATTCCTTTTGTAAAAGTGAGAAAAATCAAAAGCGACCTCATCTCAGTTTTACGGTCCTGGAGCCAGATGACAAAATCCAGATGATTCATCTTCTGTACAAACTTTGTCAGAAATGGAATTTCATTTATATCAACCAACTATTAAAGGTACAGTTCTGTAAATCTGGACACTTTATTAATCTGGTCAATTAGCTTGGGAACAAAAGCCTTAGGATTAGCAAGGCTGGACTATACCATTCATTCAAAAGAATAGCACAACATCAACATAGGTAATCAGAGATTACAGAGCTCACCTCAATGAATGTTGTCTTTAAGTAAGGCAAAGCCCCACACTAAACAAGTAATCTATGTTTAGAAAAAGTGTTTCTTATTATCAATCATGATTGATCGGATATTAAATTTTCTTGAAATGTTGCCTATCACTTATCAATCACAACTTTTTGAGCCTTTCTAGTGACAATGTTAAAAAAAATGTGTCAACTAGACAACTGCGATTGAAAATATCTTAAATTCAAAAGTGTTAATCTGCAGGAGACTACACGTAGCTCCTTCAAACTGAAGTGACACATCAAAGTTTTTTTTTCATATCAAATCTTTTAAATGCACTGTAAATATATTTTTTGTATCTGTTATAACTCATATAACACTTACTCTTCTGTTGATTGAGAAATTGAAAATAATATAATGGTTTATATACCGGTACATATACATATTGTATGAATAAAGGAATGGAGGAAATTCACTTTAAGAAAAGAAGACAATCATTTCTAGGAATAAATAAATCATGTAATACTGTTAAATGCAATAGAAAAATGAGATTTATTAACATACAGTCATACTGCTTTGATTTTTTTTCACAGATTGGGAATTTTGAAGCAAATATTTGAAGAAAATACCTGCTTTTTAGCATTGGGAATTGGGCCTATGAATCCCTGCAGGCCCATCAGTCTTGTTTGATTTCAACTCTACTGTCCCCCAGTGAATTTTATTGACCTTGAAGCCTTGGACCTGTGGGTTTTGGTAAAGACTGGGCTTTCCTCTGATGTTTGTGTAACACATTTAGATATAATTATAGGGTCCAATGCAAGAACTCACCAGACACGCTGTACCACTGAGCACCATTTGTTATACCATCTTTAAAGTATTCACCGTCAATATTTGGACATGGATGTCCTTGATGCATTGTGGAATGAGCCTGAAAATGAAAAGATAAAACTTTACTTACAATTACAAATAAAGTTACATCAACCTCAAAGTTTATGGAAAGTAGAGGTACTGTAAGCGAACTCACAAAATGATACCCCCAGCTGTGATTTTTTTAAGTGCTCATTCAAATTTTGTAAATGTGACCTTGAACTTGCCAAAAAGACCTTGGTTAAAAAAAGACACACCCTCTGGTCAAAAGTAACCTTTTATTGAAATATGGACATGCAGTGTTTCTCCATAAGAAAATTATAGACCCGTAATGAATTTTACACTATTTATACCAGTGACCTTATTGGAATGACCTTGGGTCAGGTCATGACACACCCTCAGGTCATCAATAATCTTTGTACCAAGGATGATCTTCCAATGATTCTCCATTGCTAAGTTATGGTCTGGACAAGAATTTTATACTTTTTCCTGTGACATTGAACTTGCCAGAAAGACTTTGGGTCAAGGTCATGACACAGCCTGAAGTAATAAACAATTTTTTTTTACAAGTATATGCTTCCAATGATTCTCCATTGCTAAGTTATAGTCCAGACAAGAATTTTATACCTTTTCCATCAGTGACCTTGAACTTCCTGAAATGACCTTGTATCAAGGTCAAGGCACATCTTGGGTCATAAGCAATCTCTGTACCAAGTATGAGCTTCCAATGTATCTTCATTACAAAGATATAATGCAGAGAAGAGTTTTATATTTTTTCTGCCAGTGACCTTGAACTTGTTTGAATGACCTTGGGTTATGGTCATGACACATTACTGGGTCACAAGCAATCTCTGTACCAAGTATGAGCTTTTATATTAGTCATGATTCTCCATTACAAAGTTATAGCCCATACAAGATTGCAAAGACAGATAGGCAAGGTGATTCCTATATAACTCCTCCCCCAGCTTCGTTTGCAGAGGTATAAAAACTGAAAACATATTTTGGTTCACAGTTTTTAAGACAGCTATATAAGTAACAAACAAAACCATGTTCAATTTTTATCCTTATAAAGGATACAGCAGGTAATGATTCTTTTTAAATAATTCACAAAAAATTACCAAAGAGTAAGCCTCTGAAATAACTTTAAAAACTCCATCATCTGGGCTCCTACTGTAGACGGAATAGCCACTACGAGTATCATCGTAAGGGTAGTTAGCCAGGAGTGACCCTCCATGTAGGTTTGCTGACAGGACAAAGGGGTATTTCTGTAACCAGGACATGACTGCCTGGGTTTCTGGTTCCTGGTGTTTATTGATCTGAGTTGTCTGGTACTGGTCAGGGAAATTCCGGTTGAGGTCAATGCCATGAGCATTTGTTCTCCCAACAACTCCCTGTACATCACCTTTTCACACAGAAAACAAGCTACGGCTAAATATTCAAACTAAGACATGTAAAAACCTCTGATTTTATTTGAACAAATATCTTACCCTCTCTTGCTATTTCATATCCATCTGGATTCATTGATGGCATTATGTGGATCCTTGTTAAATTCACCATTAGAGTCAGGAAATGGTTTTTGTTGTAATTTTCACACAAAAGCTGAATAAGGTTGAGGAGAATTTCTCTTCCAACAACTTCATTGCCATGCATATTTCCAATATACTTGAATTCTGGTTCTCCTATTATTTAAAACAAGCCAGGATTTGAACAAAATTGAATCTACACTACCTGATGATGCTTACATATTTTAAAAATATGATTAATCATGAAAATGTTGTTCTTTATAAGACAATCTTTTAAAGATTTTTTTCTTTGATTCTCTATTGTGACCCCAGGGGTCAAAAACTTGAATCTACCTGACCTGACAATATTTGCATTTTAATATTATTAATAATGACCCTATTGTTCAAGAAAGGAAGATATTGTAAGCTTGTTTTGCTATATTTTCCCATGTAAAACTTATCCTATATCATATTGTGGCCCTGCCCTATCCCCTGGGGTCTTTGTGTTGAACAAACTATTATTTGCACTACCTGAGAATGCTTACATATCAATTTCACTAATCATGGTCCTGCTATATTTGAGAGGATTTTTAAACATGTACAGTCAAACCTTGTTATCTCAAACTCCATGGGACCAAGAAAAAAACTTTGAAATATCCAAGGATTCAAGATATCGACGGTAAAATACTTAAGAAATATGTGGTAAGGACTTCCCCTTCACTTCGACATATCCATGGTATTCGAGATATCCATGTTCAAGATACTAAAGTTCAACTTTATTCTTATATATTCACATGTAAACTTTGACCTTTAATTAGGCCTTACCCTACCCCTGGAGGCCATGACTTGAATCTGCAATACCTGGAAATACTTCCATGTTAATATCACTAATCATGGTAATGCTGTTCTTGAAGAAGATTTTAAACATTTTCATATATATTCCCATCTAAAATTTGACCCCGTTTGTGGCCCCACTCTGCCCTTGGGGGTCATGATTTGAATAAACTTAAATCTTCACTACTTTGGAATGCTTGCATATTTATTAAATGAATATCACTAATCATGGTTCTGGTGCACTTCAGAAGAATATTTTTAAATATATTTTCCTTCATATTTCCATCCAAAACTTTGACCCTCTATTGTGGCCCCAACCTACCCATGGGGTGTGATTTGAACAAATTTAAATCTGCACTATCTGAAGATGCTTGCATATTAATTTTACAAATCATGATCCTGATGATCTAAAACTTTGATTCCCTAGTGTGGCCACACCCTACCCCAGAGGACTATAATTTGAATAAACCTGAATCTAAACTATGTCAGGAATCTTTCACATAGGTTTCAACTCTTTCTTGGCCCAGAGGTTCTTGAGAAGAAGATTTTTATGACACCCTCCCCCCATTTTTGCACTTTCTTATTATCTCCCCTATCAAGAGGTCTGGCTCTTTATTTGTACAAGTAATCCTCTTCACCATAAGGTACTCTGTGCTATGATTGGTTGACATTGGCACTGTGGGTGTGGAGAAGAAGATGAAATTGTGAAAAGTTTACCATGACAATGACATCAACTACAGACAACAGACAAATTTTGACCAGAAAACCTCACTTAAGCCTTGGCTCAGGTGAGCTAAAGAATGATTAGTCAGAATTAAAGCAGCTGCTGTGAATACATTATTTTGCATAAAATATGAAAGTCTTGTTTTTCCAATCTGTCCCTCATAAAGAATTTAGAATATTGTCAATGAAAAGTGACATGGGCAAGAACATGAAGGTATTAGGATGTTCTTAGAAATATAGGTTAGACAAAAGGTTCACCTCTACTTACTAAATGACCCTCACCTTTGAGGTGGTCTTTGTCAAAGTCACAACACACCATCCATTCAAATGCAATTTATGATTTTATGGATAATAACAGACTGATCAAGCTTGTTCCATCAGATTCATGGATGAATGATCAAATGACGGAGAAACAGACATTTGGAATCTTAGATACAATGTATAAATACATTTTGAGTTGGGGTAATATCTTCCATTTACTTGCTGTAAATATGAAATTATCTACTAACCAGGTTCATGTTTTCCAGGATGATCAGTGATTTCCAACACCCATAAATGTCTGCCTTGCACACTAAGTCCAATACTGTACAGTTTTGTAATGTTTGGATACTTCTTATTAAAACTTGTCATAAATTTTTCCATTGCTTCATAATTATGATGGTGAAATTCCTTTGGTTCAATGAAGTTGACTTTTTCTCTGTGTGAGTAATCCTTGATTTTGTTGATATGCTGGACCAGGGTTTCTAGGGTGTTGGGTTCCTCTGGTATGCTGGTGTCTGGAGTTGTAGGTACCATGGGAGTAGGAGTGTTTTTGGACTTGTCCATAGGAGTCGCAGAGGATTTGATACTTGATGGTTCCTGCGTTGTTGATATACTCTCTCCAATCTTTGGTACATTACTGTGAAAAATTATACAAAAAAAAAAAAACTAGAAACAAGAAAACCATGGGCCACATGCTCACCTTATTTTCCTAGGTCCTTCTATTATATTAAAGACTTTTCTCCCTCTTTATTCCCATTGAAAATTTTGACACCGTACTTTGGCCCCATCCTAGCCAAAAGGGGCCATGAGTTAATCAAACTTGAGCACAAACAACATGGTGATACTTCCCTATGACTGGCCTTGTTGTTTTGTATACACACATTAGATCTTAGTCCCAGGTCCATTATTTTTTTTTTGGGGGGGGGGGGGGATTTAATCCACACAACTTCAGAATGTTTTCATATTACATCTAATATGATGTAGTTTGGCTTTTGAAAGAATTTCTGAAAATTTTCCATTAATTCTCATATAAAATGCTATATTTTATTCCCATCTAGCCCCAGAGGCTATGATTTAACAAATATAAATCTGGAGTACATTGGGATTGTTGTATATTTTGAATAATAATACATCAGTATGACTTATCATGTCTAACTGGTTCTTTAGAAGAGGGTTTTTAAAGATTTTCACTGCAAACAATGTATCCAGGATTGTTTTTGGCATGTTGTTATCACCCTTTCACACTTGCAAACAATTTTGCCCCATTTTAAATTCCCTCAGACACAGTTGGGTTGAAGAGAAATTGTTAATTGTCTTCTTTGAATTCACTGCATTTTAAATTTGCCAGATTGCAACAAGGGCAAAAGGAATGAAAATAAAATGGGATGAAAATTTTCCTGTATCAGTATCCAAACGTAAATAAAGTATTCAGATTAACATTTGTGGCCCAACTTACCCTGAGAGCCATTATTTTAATACAAGAGGCCCATGGGCCACATCGCTCACCTGAGCACATTGGCTAGGAAAAAAAAGCAAAAATCAGTACAGTATTGAAAAGTTTATCCCCCATTGTGGCCCTACCCTATCCCCGGGGCCCTCATTTGAACAAATTTCATTCAACACTACCCAAAGATGCCTCCATATCAATTTGACTAATCAGTGCTTTTCTGTTCTTGAGAAAAAGACTTTTGCCTATATATTCCTCTGTAAACTTTGATCACCCATTGTGGCCCCAACCTATCCCCGGGGTAATGATTTGAACAAACTTGAATCTTCACTATCTGAGGATGCTTCCATATAAATATGACCAATCATGGCTTTACTGTTCTTAAGAAGAAGATTTTTAACAATATTTTCCTATATATTTCTATGTAAAACTTTGGTCCCCAATTGTGGCCCCACCCTACCCCCGGGGGGTTATTATTTGAACAAATTTGAATCTTCACTACCTGAGGATGCCTCCATATAAATATGACCAATCATGGCTTTACTGTTTTTAAGAAGAAAATTTTAGAGATATTTTCCTATATATTTCTATGTAAAACTTTGATCCCTCATTGTGGCCCCACCCTACCCCCGGGGGTTATGATTGAACAAATTTGAATCTTCACTACCTGAGGATGCTTCCATATAAATATGACCAATCATGGCTTTACTGTTTTTAAGAAAAAGATTTTTAGAAATATTTTCCTATATATTTCTATGTAAAACTTTGATCCCTCATTGTGGCCCCACCCTACCCCCGGGGGTTATGATTGAACAAATTTGAATCTTCACTACCTGAGGATGCTTCCATATAAATATGACCAATCATGGCTTTACTGTTTTTAAGAAGAAAATTTTAGAGATATTTTCCTATATATTTCTATGTAAAACTTTGATCCCTCATTGTGGCCCCACCCTACCCCCGGGGGTTATGATTGAACAAATTTGAATCTTCACTACCTGAGGATGCTTCCATATAAATATGACCAATCATGGCTTTACTGTTTTTAAGAAGAAGATTTTTAGAGATATTTTCCTATATATTTCTATGTAAAACTTTGATCCCTCATTGTGGCCCCACCCTACCCCCGGGGGTTATGATTGAACAAATTTGAATCTTCACTACCTGAGGATGCTTCCATATAAATATGACCAATCATGGCTTTACTGTTTTTAAGAAGAAGATTTTTAGAGATATTTTCCTATATATTTCTATGTAAAACTTGGATCCCCCATTGTGGCCCCACCTTACCCCCGAGGGTCATGATTTGAACAAACTTGAATCTACACTACCTGAGGATGCTTCCATATAAATATGACCAATCATGTCTTTGCTGTTCTTAAGAAGAAGATTTTTAAAGATATTTTCCTATATATATCTATGTAAAACTTGGATCCCCCATTGTGGCCCCATCTTACCCCCGGGGGTCAGGATTTGAACAAACTTGAATCTATACTACCTGAGGATACTTCCATAAAAATATGACCAATCATGGCTTTGCTGTTCTCAAGAAGAAGATTTTTAAAGATATTTTCCTATTTATTTCTATGTAAAACTTGGATCCCCCATTGTGGCCCCACCCTACCCCCGGGGGTCATGATTTGAACAAACTTGAATCTACACTACCTGAGGATGCTTCCACATAAATATGACCAATCATGGCTTTACTGTTCTTAAGAAGAAGATTTTTAAAAATATTTTCCTATATATTTCTATGTAAAACTTTGATCCCCCATTGTGGCCCCACCCTACCCCCGGGGGTCATGTCATGATTTGAACAAACTTGAATCTACACTATCTGAGGATGCTTCCATATAAATATGACCAATCATGGCTTTACTGTTTTTAAGAAGAAAATTTTAGAGATATTTTTCCTATATATTTCTATGTAAAACTTTGATCCCTCAATGTGGCCCCACCCTACCCCCGGGGGTTATGATTGAACAAATTTGAATCTTCACTACCTGAGGATGCTTCCATATAAATATGACCAATCATGGCTTTACTGTTTTTAAGAAGAAGATTTTTAGAGATATTTTCCTATATATTTCTATGTAAAACTTGGATCCCCCATTGTGGCCCCACCTTACCCCCGGGGGTCATGATTTGAACAAACTTGAATCTACACTACCTGAGGATGCTTCCATATAAATATGACCAATCATGTCTTTGCTGTTCTTAAGAAGAAGATTTTTAAAGATATTTTCCTATATATATCTATGTAAAACTTGGATCCCCCATTGTGGCCCCACCTTACCCCCGGGGGTCATGATTTGAACAAACTTGAATCTACACTACCTGAGGATGCTTCCATAAAAATATTACCAATCATGGCTTTGCTGTTCTTAAGAAGAAGATTTTTAAAGATATTTTCCTATATATTTCTATGTAAAACTTTGATCCCCCATTGTGGCCCCCCCTATCCCCGGGGGTCATGATTTGAACAAATTTGAATCTACACTACCTGAGGATGCTTCCATATAAATATGACTAATCTTGGCTTTACTGTTCTTAAGATGAAGATTTTTAAAGATATTTTCCTACATATTTCTATGTAAAACTTGAATCCCCCATTGTGGCCCCACCCTACCCCCGGGGGTCATGATTTGAACAAACTTGAATCTACACTACCTGAGGATGTTTCCACATAAGTTTCATCTTTCCTGGCCCAGTGGTTCTTGTGAAGAAGATTTTTAAATTATCTCCCCTTGAAAGAGGGCTTGGCCCTTCATTTGAACAAACTTGAATCCCCTTTACCCAAGGATGCTTTGTGGCAAGTTTGGTTGAATTTGGCCCAGTGGTTCTTGAGAAGAAGATGAAAATTTGAAAAGTTTACAACAACAACAACGACAACGCCAACGACAACAACGACGACAGACAACGGACAAATTTTGATCAGAAAAGCTCACTTGAGCCTTTGGCTCAGGTGAGCTAATAATTGAATTTACACAATATAAGGAAGCTTCATCTTTTCTTGTCCAGTGATTCAGATTATAAATGACCCCACCTTATTTATACTTTTTTTTTTTTATTATCTCCCTTTTAGAAAAGGGGAAAGGTAGGGAGGCATGGCCTTTTATTTGAACAAATTCCCTTTACCCAAAGATACTCTGTCCCAAGTTTGGTTGAAATTGGCCTATGTTTACAGACTTACAGATGAAGCCACTGTCAGATGGACCGATGATCAAACTTCAATCAGAAAAGCCCAATTGAGTTTTTGGCTCAAGTGAGCTAAATAAAAAAATGATTTGATAAATACAAGTGTAAAAAATCATTGTGGATTTTATCATTTCTGACTTTAAGATATGCCATCTCTCCTCCATCTCCAAAACAACCTTGTAAATAAATTCCATTATGTCACCTTTTTCCAAAATATCCCAGATGAAAGCTTAATATACATGTAGATGGTTCACTGACAATATACAACTAAGCATTTTTATAAATAAAAAAAACGTAGAAAATATACATCTGTCACTCATGTCCTAATTCACCAGTTTAAACAAAAATAAATGATTATAAAATAAAACTCAAACACTTGTGTAGAATGAGCTCGCATGCGCAAGTGCAACAGACTTTTAATAGCATATTTATACAAAACATTGTCGTCATTTCGACATTATCTTTCCAAGTCTGCAAAAGAAAAAGGACATTTTCATATGAATATAATTATAACTAACAAAAACCATACCAGGTTACCTGGGGTGGGGAAGGGGAGGATCTGATGCACTATAAAGTAGCAAAACTATAAGTAGCTTGAAAACCTCACAATTTTTACTCAATACAAATAATTCATGCCTCATACATAGCCTGATTTTACCTACTTAACTTTATGTATGAGCAATGTGAGCTTTGATGATCACACACATAAAATTCTGTAAAACAAAAAATATTTTCCAACTGAAGAAACTTTATAAATACAGTCAAACCTTGTTATCTCGAACTTGAAGGGATGGAGAAAATACTATGAGATATCCGAGGATTCGAGATATTGAGGGTAAAATACTTAAAGAATGAGTGGTTGGGACTTGCAAATCACTTCAACATATCTATGGTATTCGAGATATCAGTGTTCAAGATATCAAAGTTCAAATGTATATATAAACACTGCTTTATGTTGATTACTAGAAAAAAAAATCTTTGTGAAAAATCATTCTGCTGTATTTGTTTGGATAAAAAAAAAAGTCTATTCAAAGAGGCACTTTTACCAATGAGCCTTATGAAGAAGGGAAGAGATAGTGTGCTCGTGTATATCAGGCCAACAATAAAAAAATGAAGTTTGATGTACTTCCAACAACCCAACACAATCAACCCTATCCCAGCATTTTTTTAGGACTTAAAATTTTATATATATTTTTTGTTTCCATGGAAATACAGATTGGTCTTATCATTTTTAAGTTAAGGTTTATCATTTCTCAGACTGAGATGCTTTTTAGATTGAAAGTTTTTACAACAATAAGTATTAAATCTGTCTAGCTGTCCAGTGTATACATTATAATGAAAACATCAATAAATATCTAAATCTGTGATTTTATTGACAATTATAAATGTGTTCCAAGATAATTCAAACAAAATAATTTCCTACCTACCTACCCACCTTGAAAACTGTGCCTTGGGGAACATCAAACAATTTTTTTTAATGAAGGCCTCAGTATCAATAGCTGTAAATGGGATTCAATTAAAAATTTTTTGTTGGGGGTAAGGGAGGGAGAGGAGTCCTTAATTAAGGAAAAGTAATGTCAGTAAGCAAACAGAGACCAAGATGCAGATCCACAAGTACATGTAAATAAGCTCTTTAAAGAAAAATCTTGAACATAAACACCATTACCCTAAAACAGGATTATTTAGTTCCCATTTAAATCTGCCATAGTAGAACATTTCAAATCAGCCATGTTTACTTTTTTAACAGATGATTTCAGTTAATCCTCTGTGCTGCAGTTTTGATTTATCAAAATAATCTCAGCTAAATTTATGTTTCTTTTTCTATAACCATGATGTACCCATACACTGGCAAAGTGTAATCCTTAGAAAAATAATTAAAGAAAACAAGTTACCTGTCCACATTAGTCCCCCTTTTGACCAGCATAAAACTCATCTCAGTAGCTGGTCCAGCATTCACAGTCACAGTTTTTGTCTGTGGTTGGAAGCTTCATTAAAAAAAGAATGTCAATGTAATAAATATTTTAGAATAGGAAAGTTCATCCATACAAATTTTTAAATCTTGACTAAATCTGTGTACTTGAAATATAAAAGCATCTTTTAGAACCAACTAGTGAGTATATTTAGTACCAATTTGTAAGTTGTACTTATACTAGTATATGATGCTTCATTTATGCATACATGTATCTGCAATATAACAAACACATATGCTTATGATTTCATTCTATTTAAAACAAATATTTTGTTTATCAGAATAAACTTTAATTTAAAATTTATTTTGCAAAAAATTTTCGCTAACGATCTGTGTTAAACTATCTTTATAGTACTTATATTGATCAAGAAAGTTTGACCTTGTTAACTGTATTGAGTAACTTAAATTCACTAGGCCTGGTTAAGCTTGGGACAGCACATACCCTTCAGCTATAGCTGTCATCTTGTAAGTACCGGGTACTAGAAGGCGCCAGTAGTCCCCAAAAAACGAGGATGTGATGTTATGCTTGATCCCTTCCACCATAATTACAGCATTTCTTATTCCATTCTTCGTCTCTGCATCCTGAACAAACCCTTTTACCCCTTTGTGCACCTATTCAACATGTAAACTTATTAAAAATGACCATTTTTCAAAACATCTTAATATATTTTTATTAATGCATGTATATCGTACAATATCAGTTTTTTCAACAATTTTATAATAACCTGGTAAACATTAATTTTCTCAAAACACCTAATATATTATGATTAAACAAGTAGATATGCACGGACTTCATAACTATTATTCCTATTCACAATATTTTGCAATTTCTTGGGCAAATTATTATACTAAATGCAGAACTTCTGATAAGTCGAAATATTACATGCTTTCTTTTGAGGGTTAACACTATCTAATATAACTTTCCTAAATGTTTGTTGATTCACAAAATGTTTAGAGTTTGACAGCCATACTAATGGGACATTTTAAGCATGATGATGATGAAATGATTTCATTTCAAACCTCTTCCATGAAGGACAATAATGCCTCTTTATTGTTGTACCATTCCTCTTTCAGTTGTGATGCTTTAGGATATTTACAACAAGACAGCTCAATGGTAATTTCCATACAGTTGCTGTGGAGATAATTGTAGTCCTCCATTCCACCTAAATCAACAACAAAATAATTAATATTAAAGAAAAATATCACTTTTTTTCTAAAGTAACTGGAAGCATCTTTTAATCTTAGTGAATTTTGTCAAATGCAAGATGGCATGTTACAGGAATTTCCGTATTTTTTCTTTCAAACATTTCTCTCTTCTTCTCCTTTTGTTTTGTCTATAAATGACCATAAAGAAATAGGAATTTTTATCCCTACTTTATTGAACACATGTAATTGTACTATTATATGTAAGTTTTCATTTTGAAATTTTACATCTATATAATAGTATATAATAAGTTTATTGTAAGTTTGCAACATGGGAAAAATTATACATTTTTAATCAATTCAGAGGGGTTTATCAGAGAGCTTGTGGTCTGACTTCATAAAATTAATACTACATGTATTTCAACTCAATGCTATAAAAAATTATTATGCTATCATCAAATTACTTAGGCATGCCATGGTCACCATTTTGCCAGCTATGTTCTTTGACGACCTGCAATGTCACCTTGTAATAATAGTACTTTTCATGTTGCAAAGAATACGACTGCTCTGCAATTCCATATTTCATACAACTTCTCCCCTTAAATAAAATTATTAAAGGCATAACCAGTTTACCAGCACATTGTGAAGTAAGAATGCGCAAGTAGATTTATTTTGTTGATTTGGTTTTGAGCAGGGACAGTTGTCATCAGAACAATCAAGCATGTAAATTTATCTATTAAAGTAAAACATGTGGATAACGTTGCTTTATGTACCTTTGAGGATCTGCTTAACAATGGTATTTTATACAAGATAATCAAAATTCTGCATTTTTCACTTTAATAGATAAATTTACATGCTTGTTTGTTCTGATGATGACCCTCCTTGGTAAAACTTTGATTGCCAATTGTGGTGTCCAACCCTATTCCCGGGGAGCCATGGTTTGAACAAACAAGAATCTACACTACATGAGGATGCTTCCATATATGACTAATCAGGGCTTTGTTGTCCATTTAAAATAAATTCCTTTATATTCCTGTGTTAAACTTTGATCACCTATTGTGGCCCCATCCAATCCCCATGGAGTTGGGGAGGGGGGTCATTATTTCAACAAACTTCAATCTACACTACCTGAAGTTGCTTCCATATAAATATGAATAATTATCATGGGTTTGCTTTTCTTGAGACTGAAGAAGATTTTTTTTTTAAATTTATCCTTACATACCTGTATTCCTATGTAAAAGTTTAATCGCCCATTGCGGCCCCACCCTGCCCCTGGGAGGGGGGAGGTTCCAAATAAATTTTATTACACATGACTTTGCTGTTCCTGAGAAGAAGATTTTTAAATATTTTTTCATATATATATATTCCTTTGTAAAGCTTTGATTGTCTACTGTGGCCAGTCACCCTTTCCTCAGGGATCATGATTTGAACACTTGAATTCACACTATTTAATAAAGCTTTCACATAAGTTTCATCTTTTCTGGTACTGCAGTTCTCGATAAAAATATTTTAAGATGACATAAAACTTTCCATTATTCTTAATTATCTCCCCTTGAAAGTTGATGTGGCCCTTCATTTGACATCTTCCCAAGTCAAGGGCTTCTGATCCACTCTGCTCAACATAAACCCTTGACAGAATAGACAGTGTTTGATGGAATTAGAAATGCGCTCTCTGATTGGCCTTATAAAAATTTGCTTGAGCATGTTGAGACAATATAAAACATCATTTTATTTCACCTGAAACTAAATTGAAAACAGAAAAACACACCAGTTTTAGTCCAGATGAAAACATTGTTACCATTATATATTATAACCCAGTTAAATGCTTGTCTCAGTATTGGAGTTAAAGTTACGTTGAATTTATTATCAACTTTCAATATTGTTTTGCATTCTCTGTACAATCTTAAACCTACACTACCTGGGGATGCTTCGATTTAAACATGACAAATCATGGATTTGATCACCTATTGTTGCCCTACCCTACCCCCATTAGGTAACAATTGATTTATTGAACAAATTTGAATCTACCTGAGGACGCTTCCAAATAAATATGACTAATCACCGCTTTGTTGTTTTTGAGAAGATTTTAAAAGATATTTTCCTATATATTCCCATGTAAAACTTTGATTGTCTATTGTGGCACCACCGTTTCCTTGGGGTCATGATTTGAACAAACCCATCTACACTGATATACACTATGTATTGAAACTTCCACATAAGTTTCATCTTTATGCCTGTAGAGTAAGGCATAAACATAATGGAAAAATTATGCCTTCAAAATTATATAATTATAATAGTAATTCAATCAATGATATTTATCAATGTAATTCTAATAACCATGAAACATGTACATGTGTATATATCATGTTTATGCCTTATATTTCGTGCATTTATATATAGTCACTATATTAGTGTAAGGTAAAACAAAAATAGTGGTAAGTACCTGGAACATCATACCAATGTGCACCATTAGTAACACCATGTGGAAAATATTCTCCACAGTGTTTCCCAGACTTCATTGTTCTATGGTTGTTAGCATAAACATGAGCAAGTTGTTTGAATACAGCATCATCCGGAGCAGCACTATATTCTCCACCCAACCTATGGTCAGCGGAGTCATCGAATGGATAACTAGCCACCACACTCCCTCCATGAAGATTTGCTGAAAGGACAAACTTCTGTCCTTCAATCCAATCCATCAATGCTTTGGTTTCTGGTTGTATACTATTCTTAGGGTTTCCAACAAACTGATCAGGAAAATTTCTGTTAAGATCCACATTATTTTGATTTGCCCTTCCAGTCTCTCCCCTACATTGACCTTCAATGGCATTTTCAAAGCCATCAGGATTCATGGTGGGCATGATATAAATGTTTGTATTTTTCACAAGAGCAGTGATTCTGTCATCTTTTTCATAGTTTTCCAGGAGATACTGGATAAGATAAATAAGAATTTCTCTCCCTACCGCTTCATTTCCGTGCATATTGCCAACGTATTTGAACATGGGTTCTCCAGGTTCCACTCCCTCTATATTGTCTGTAATCTGAAGAGCAAGTAAGTCCCTGTTTTTCACACTTTTACCAATGGTATGAAGGCGAGATATTTTAGGGTATTTAGACGCCATGTCATGAAGAAACTTTGACAGGTCCTCATAATGATGATACTTAGAAAAGTCAATAGTTCCATCAGTTCCTGAAGCTGACAAATAATCAAAATGTATAAATATAACGAAATAAACAACAACCTTATACATTTTTCTATCCATTACACGTCTACAATCCCGCATATTGTCATTTTTTGCTAATGGTTTGACTAATTACCGCAATCACCAATATATGTACGATCGAAGCAATTGATATTTTGAAAAATGTCATGTGTATGATAATATCTTCACATTCATTTTTCACAGAGTAAGAAATAAGTGGGCGACAATACATCAATACATTTTTTTTGTGTGAATAGATTGAAGAACAATCGGAGTATTTTTGTCCTTTCGTTGATTAGATAACTCGTTTTTACGGAATGGAACTGAAAAAGTGAATACGAATGAATTATTTTTAAGCATAAATGGCACACTTGAGAAAAGAAAATGAATGCAATTGGTTGAAAATATGAATGTTTCTAATAATTTAAACAAAAATTCAAACCAAAAAATCAATAAATATTTAGTTTCGTTTTTTCTAACGATTGCTGCTCTACTAACACGTGATTATGTAAACAAAAACAGAGCAGACGCAGATAAAATGGGCTACAATGTTCTTCTTTTTGTTCCAAATGTTATAGGTAATGACATTATACAATAGATGCAATGCTTTATATAGATGGCAGAAATTAATCAGTATCACTTCAGGTCGTCTTATAATGCATCATTTTAATTTTAAAGGCACTTATATTACATATTTATCTGTAAAAACATCCCATCCAAACAATCAGCTGACACAAATTGTTGAGTTATGAGGTCCGGCACAGTCTTTTGATCTAGTTATATATAGCATGAACTAGCTGTATAGCTTTATTTAGCTATTTTTTTCATACTTTTTTTCTTAAATGTTCATTTTTAGCATGTAAAAAAGTTGCATTCAATGCAAACAAAAATGGTGTACAGTTACCCAAATAATGGAAATATATATCTTTTGCTTAAAAGAGTTCAAAAGAAGTTGAAATAATCTATAACTGTGCCAAGGGACAGGCCCTCACAACCTGGTTCATAGAACATTATCATTTTAATGATTAGAACATTCTATCTAGTTCACAAGCAGCAATGTTTAAACAATGTTTGATTTGGATTGCTTTTTTTGATAGTCCATAATACAAATATGAGTAGTCAAATACTTGCAACTTTTTGTCTAATTCTTATTTTAAAATATTTGTGAAAAGCTCTATTGATATAGCTTTGTCAAGCTATTTTGAATAGCTCAATTAAGCTAATACAGCTAATACAACACACACTCACACACAATGTGTAAATTTAATTTTTTTAATTCAATTTAACTTAAAAAAAGCAAATAGAGGGAAAGTTTCTGCTGATATATTCAATTAATATTATATTTTAAAAATTAATTTATGCTATCAGAGACCTATAAAAATATAGTTTATTTAGCTGTGTTACATATATGTAAGATATTCACATACATATTTTTTAGAATGAAATGCAGAGATAAAAATTACACCTATACTTCATATAGCCAACTATAGGTAAAAGGACAATTTTGCTATACCACTTAAATCTTAAGAATTCCATTGAAAAGCATAATCTTTAATCAGACCTAATTATTAGGCTCCCTTGGCATCCCCCATCATTAAGCAGACCTTATTATGCCCCCTTGATGTCCCCATCATAATGCTTTATAAACTCTGTTTGTTGTGTTCATAGGTTATTTTCGACTGTGTTTATTTGGAGCCAGTCTTCCTTTTTTTTCTCAGCCTGGATGTTTTTTAGCTCTGTATGGAACTTCTGTTGCCCTTGATGGTAAGCTGATATTCTTAGGAAACATTTTGCTGAAAATAATCAGATTATTCTTTTCAATCAACTATTTTAAAGCTAAAGTCAATACACATGCATCATTTCATCATTAAAAATGAGATTGTATATTAGAAGAACAAATAACAATCAAAACACATGTATTTCTCTTTGTTTTATCAGGATTTGATGGATATTTTGCAAGGAAGCTCAATCAGACATCAAGATTTGGAGCATGGGTAAATACGAATGTTTATACATAACAAATGTAAAATCTTACACTTTAAGGAATATGAAATCTTAGACTGATTTTTGTTTTAAAACTCCTTAAATATTATTACTTAGAAGGAAATAAATATTATACATCTAAGCACGAAATCTTCTTTAATTTTTAGAAGAAGGAGACATTTTCTTTGATTTCATTTAGATTTTCTGATTTTTGTTTTTTTTGTTTTGGTATTTTCAGTTTGATATTGTCATTGATTTAATCAGCAGAGGAGGACTGTGGTGTCTGCTTTACAAGGTACGCAGATCTCATTTTAATTTCCTTAAAATAAAACAATGTGATTCTTTTATTATTATTTTTTTTTTAATATAAAATTCAATTTTGCCTAGCAAAAATACAGTATTTAGTAAAACCTGTTGTAGAAGCACAGTTATATTATTATACAATTATTTAAATAATACTGTTTTTGATGTCAATACAATGATTTAGACACCGGAGAAGTACTTTATTCACCGAGCAGGAAGAGGGAGGTGAAAATTGTACTTTGAAGGTGGCTAAATTGTTTTATTATATGAATCAATGATTAAATGATACAAACTCTCAAATCCATGCCATCCTCCTTGTTTACATTTTTTGCTGAAGTCATAACCAAATGCAACGAGAAGCGGCAGTGTAATGAACATATAACCAGTTGTAAAATTTGGAATTTTTTAATTTAATCTATTTAAGGTGTGCTGTAGAAAAAATAAATGTCAGGCATGTAGAATTGATTTAGAGGGAAGGGGCATTACAAGGAAAAAATTAACAACTTGCCTGAAAAAAAATCTTTGATTATCCCTCATAAAAGTACTCCATTTATTTTTTTTGGGGGGGGGGGGGTCAATAATGGGATGTGTGTGAATTATGAACTGAAGTCTATCTGATATAATAAATTATGGACATAAGTAAGCAATTTTACCTGTCTCAGGTGATTTGCTTTGATCCATGGCCATGAATTATATTTGAACTAACAAATTGTACAAATTTAATTCAGTGCAATTCTGGTACAATTAAAAAAAATATTTGAATTCTTATTACATATTGTATCATATTTTGAAAAGTTTCTACAATTTTATACAGTATGGGTATTTTATGATAATTGTGGAATGGCTAACATTTACTGCAACCCACACTCGAGGAGCTAACTGGAAAATCCCAGATGAAGAATTTCCTTATCTCTGCAAATTAGTAATGGCAAAAGGTAATCCTTGTTATTGACTGCATATGCATGTCATACAACACTGTAGTCCTTATGTGCTGAATATTTTTGCATTGATTAAGGTGTCAACTTTCTCTATGTCAATTTGTCTGTAAACAACCTTTCATCTCATCCTACAGTTTTTGTTGGATTTCAACCAAATTTGGCATGTAGTTAATGCAGATGTTACCATGGTTACTAAAAATAAAAATTTCTGCAGAAACTTTAGAAGTAGACTAAACTTAAGACTATAATTCTATTTTTGGTGTTGCCATATGGTGGCTATAAGTTTCAAGTCTATGTGATAACATTCTCTTCATCATTCTCTTCTCTGATTCTTAACCAAGTATCTTGTAAGATGTAATAATTGCATGTGTGAAAATTGAATATATGATTGTGTTGATGGTAGTTATGCAATAAGACGGACAAAGGACTTCATGGTCATTTCCAGTAGTTAAATATCATTAAAAAGCACTGTTGAAAGTGGAAAAATTAAATTGATTCAGAAGCAAAAACATTTTTTTTCAGGTTTTAAAACTCCTTTAGGATTTATAGCTATATCTGGTGTACATGGGTTACCTATAGCTTTATACTGCCAGCAGTCGGACTTCCTACAGCTGTTCCCGATAATGACTCCCACTGTTTTATACACTGTCATTGTCTTCCTTATTCTCGGAAGAATCATAGCATTTAGGGTAGAGGTGAGTAGCTGGTTGTTACTGATACAGATTGTCTACAGTTGTATTTTATTTAATCAATAAAATGCTCTCTGTGTTTTGGGATATGAATTAAAGGTTAAAACAGCTATATTGCAGAAAAATACATAGCCCATGAGACTTTACTTTGTGAGAGAATACAGATTTCAATCTGCCACTTGTTTCTAGTTTTCATTGTTCTATTAACAATAAAAAAGATTATTAAGTACATATTTATTCAATACATTGAGGAACCCAAACTTATACAATATATACCATTTTCTAATCCCTTAATCACTTTTATGGGCTACAAGAAAAGTAACTCTGTATTCCAACAATCAAAGAAAAATCAAATATTACATTCCATAATGTTATTAAATGCTTATTTATGGATTAAAAATTGGAAGAAAAACTGCACAAAATTAACAATGAAAATAATCTGTATAAAAGATGATGGCTTAACTGGAACTGTGTATTTGAAAATAATAAAAGGCATAGAGTTTGTACAACAGTGGATGATAATATCGATCAATTTAATTAGGCCATTCCAAGTTTTTTCTATGTTTAGCGTCCACATGCGCCTTGGTTTTTGACACTCCATATCAGAATAAACAAACAAAATCAGGAGTCCTGAAATTGAACATTCTGGTCAAAATCACTGAATTCTGTCAATTTCTCTAAGTATTTGTCTACAATATGTTATATTAGGGATATTGTAAGCATTTAATACCTTGATTTTGCTGAGGAATAGACCTGTCTACTATAAAATTAGATTAATGAAATCAAAATCCTTTTGATGACATCATTTTTATGACTATAAAGTCTGTGTTTTATTTTTTGGTTTGTGTTTTTTGCGAATGGGTAGGTAGGTTTTTGATGGGTGGACGCTAAACAGAGAAAAAACTTGGAATGGCCTTATATCTTTAAAATTGAGATTCAAGCCTTTCAGCTGTAGTGTTTGTTGTTTGTGTGTATGTTTTAATTGATCCAACTTACAAACTGGGGGTATAAAAAAGTATGTCCTCAGTTTGTCAGTTGCATTAAAGTGATCTAAAGGCTGTGGTATGTTTGTATATTGTACTTTCATGTACTGGTAAATTAGTTGTATCTGATTCGTCAAGAAACATTTGTTAAAAAACACTATTACCTGCTAAATGATGAAGCCACGCCCTCCAGCGCAGCAACAGTTAACATTGCCTGACGACGGGTGATGTTCAAAAAAAAGTGACTGCGCAGAATTTATGCACACAAGGTTCACTGTTATACATGTATGTTTTTGTATAAAACATTCAGTATAATATATAATAAATATTGAATGTAGTTGAGTGTAACATTGAAAATTTTCACCTCAGTTGACAATGGTTTTCTTGGGTTGAAAATTTTCACAACTACATGCAATATTTATATAATATGTTTAAAATGATTAATCAAAAAAAAAAAAAAAAATTGTGTGGTCCAACTAGTTTCTTGTTTTTGAGACAAGTCTTACAAAAATGCATTTACTTCATCAGCCATTATGATGTCAATTGAAATTAAATTTCCAAAAAATTAGAATTCACTGTTCCAGTCAACATACCAGAATGTGATGTATGGACCATTTCAATACAATGAAAGCCTCAGTCAATATACCAGTACTTCATGACAGAAGTCAAACACTGTTGCAATACAGTAAAAGAAATATAATTATATACACTGTATATAAAATAATTTTCCCAGCTTAAATTACCTCCAAATACTAAACATTTGGAACAAGCAAATTCAAAGAATTGTGATCCCCTGCTTTTGGTGTCTTGGTGGTTGGGATGCAGTTGTTTATGGTATTTTGTACAATGTGCTACAAGTAAATTTGATGCAAAGCATAAAATCAGTTGCAAACAGAACTGAGCATTTTAAAAAGTACTTTCACAATTGATTTACCGATAGGAATAAATTAAAAATATATTGTCATCAACATGAAGATGTTCAGATCTCCAGATAAACCACGTGCTGATACCCTGGCTCTTTGTCACCTGACACTGCCGATGATTTCTGCAGACTATGCTCCAGGGAGGGGTGATGGACAACACATCAAATGCGAAGTGTAGAAAAATATGATCCTTGGATCATTCGCAGCTGTAGCATACTAAAAACAATTTTTACCAGTTTTACCAATTAACTTTTCAATTTTTATTCATCACTTTTACCATGTATATATGTACTGCTATTATCATCTGGAAAAACATAACAACTTGCATTCATACATTACACACTCATGTTGGGGGGTATTTATTGTAAACCCTTCTTATATAATCATAGATTAAAAATTATCTAGTGAGAAATGAAAATTAAATTGAAACATAATAACAACAATTACATGTAATTGACTTAGTTTTAACAAGTTTTTAAATTACTTAACTCATAATTTTTAAGCAATTATCACTAATTTGAAGGAATATTTTACCAAACCAATAAAGACATAACATCTCATTTGCCCATGTGCAATAAACACAACCACAAATACTAAGTAGATTGGCTGCTCCTGTGGCAGCCGGTAATAAATCAATGCAGCCCAACCAATTATAAGCATGATAAGACCCCGAAAGGGGGACTGTATTTGCTCGTAACATATATTTTCTTCTTTTTTCCATTTCAACAAGGAGAAGATTAAAAAATAATCTGTTGAAGATTAAACTATATCTTTAATACATGTACTATAACACCACTCACTGTAATGTAATTTTATATTGCTTTATATGTTTTATTTTTTTTTTTCAGATCTTTTATATACAGAGTCATATAAAAGGTTTACTTTTGGAGGAAGAAAATTCCTAGTAAAAGATATAAAAGAATACAAGTTGTTTTGACATTACCAATTACCGGTATTTAAATACATGTATGTGTATAATTATGCAATTTTTTTTCGTAATTTTTTAATTAAAAGAATCCTTTTTACCTCACTAAGCTCAACCAAATATTGTATAATTTTCCATTTATAAATTGTGTATATGGTATTTTGTTTGTGATAATGCACCATCCGTTACAAATGCAACCCATGCCATATCCGACGAGAACAAGCACAAAAAGCGATGTATGGCATTATAAGAAAAATTAGACAATTCCAATTACCAGTAGACTGTCAATTTGACCTTTTTGATAGAGTTGTAGTTCCAGTCTTACTATATGGCTCTGAAATATGGGGCTATGAAAATCTTGATATTATTGAGCGTTTGCACTTGAAGTTTATAAAGTATGTATTTAATTTGAAAAGTTCCACACCATCGTACATGGTCTATGGTGAAACAGGTCGCTTTCCTCTGTATATTACGGTATATTGTAGAATGATTTCATATTGGGCAAAGCTTTTTTCAGGCCCGCCAAATAAAATTTTAAATGTTTTATACAAACATATGTTTATACTGTACAGTGATGGAAACTTAACAAACCCATGGTCAGACTGTATACAGAAAATATGTGATATGTGTGGTTTATCAAATGTATGGTACGAACAGGGTGTCAATATGAATTATAAATGGATAACTGCTTCTGTAAAACAAATATTACAAGATCAATTTATTCAAAAGTGGTCTAGTGACGTAAATAATTCTTCAAAAGGACAGATTTACAGAATCTTTAAACAAAACTTTGGATCTGAACATTATATTGATAAGTTATCTCCTAAATTTAGAAAAATATTTATAAAATTTCGAACTGCAAATCATCATCTGCCAGTAGAGACTGGAAGATGGTATGGTATACCACTGTGTGATAGAATCTGTACACTTTGTAATAATAATCAAACTGCTGATGAATTTCATTATATCTTAGAATGTAAAACTTTAGCTAATGTAAGAAAAAATTACCTGGGCAATTATTTTTCCCACAGACCTAATGTTATTAAATTTATGGAATTAATGTCAACCAAAAATGAAAAAATGCTGAAAAAATTATGTATGTTTATTTTAAAAATTTATGATGCTGTCTGTCCTCCTTGATATATATTTTCCCCTCTCTTATTTATTTATTTTCCTTTTCAATCATATGTCATGTTTTTTGTTTTGTATATGTACCTCTGACCAGATTGTATATAATGTATATATGTTGTTAATGAACCCCATGTACCAATATTTTGGTTTGGGTGAATAAATTGAACTTGAACTTGAACTTGAATACATTTACAATTTTTACAATAACAGGGTATTATGATGATTGTATTTATCACATAATGTGACTTAGTTTTAAAGGCCGGGTAATCTTTATTTGTAACCATTATCTATTGTCCATTTAAATATTTAATGAAAGATAACTATTTTATACATTGTAAGTATATATGTGGAATTTTAAGTATGGGACCACTAAGATAATTCAAAGTTATGGGAGTAGGTTAATTATTAGTTACGGAAGATAATTAAAAGGTCTGAGGCTACCACTTAGGATTTACAAAGATTTGGGACTTTTGAGATCACAGTCAAGGCTGCTTTCATTTCTGGACATATGGGTTTATTCAACTTTTTGATTCATTGTACTTTTAACACTTTTTTTAAGACTGTTGTTCATGTATTGTATTTTTATGTACTGGTACTTAATTCCATTACTTATATACTTCCACATTTTATGAAAACCAACCCAAGTATTGTTACATTGATTATATTTATACACAACCAATGTGATTTTTGACTGATATATTGTTAATGCATTGTCTTTTATTGAGTGTGCACATGTGCAGTTTTTATATTAACTGATGTTTCAGGATGAATCCCACTTGAAAATTTAAAAAAAAGAAGAAAATTCATGATGCTTTAATGACAATCAATAAACACCCTACGTTTCCAGGGAATATAGCAAGTCATGCTTTTTAGCTCACCTGAGCCGAAGGCTCAAGTGAGCTTTTCTGATCACATTTTGTCTGTAGTCCGTCTGTCTGTCTGTCCGTCTGTCTGTCCGTCTGTCCGTCTGTAAACTTTTCACATTTTCGACTTCTTCTCAAGAACCACTGGGCCAATTTCAACCAAACTTGCCACAAAGTATCCTTAGGTAAAGGGGATTCAAGTTTGTTCAAATGAAGCGCCACGCCTTCTTCCAAGGGGAGATAATTAAGAATTTGTGAAAAATTAATGGCATCATTAAAAAATCTTCTTCTCAAGAACCACTGTGCTTGAAAACATGAAACTTATGTGGAAGCATCCTCAGGTAGTGTAGATTCAAGTTTGTTCAAATCATGACCCCCGGGGGCCGCAATGGACGATCAAATTTTTATACAGGAAATATACAGGAAAAATCTTTAAAAATCTTCTTCTCAAGAACAGCAAAGCCATAATTGGTCATATTTATATGGTAGCATCCTCAGATAGTGTACATTCAAGTTTGTTCAAATCATGACCCCCGGGGGTCGGGTGGGGCCGCAATGGGTGATCAAAGTTTTTACATAGGAAATATACAGGAAAAATCTTTAAAAATCCTCTTCTCAAGAACAGCAAAGCCATAATTGGTCATATTTATATGGTAGCATCCTCAGATAGTGTAGATTCAAGTTTGTTCAAATCATGACCCCCGGGGGTCGGGTGGGGCCACAATGGGCGATCAAAGTTTTTACATAGGAATATATAGGAAAAATCTTCAAAAATCTTCTTCTCAAGAACAGCAAAGCCGTAATTGGTCATATTTACATGGAGGCATCCTCATGTAGTGTAGATTCAAGTTTGTACAAGTCATGACCCCCGGGGGTCGGGTGGGGCCACAATGGGCGATCAAAGTTTTACATAGGAACACATAGTAAAAATCTTTAAAAATCTTCTTCTCAAGAACAGCAAAGCCATAATTGGTCATATTTACATGGAAGCATCCTCATGTAGTGTAGATTCAAGTTTGTACAAATCATGACCCCGGGGGTCGGGTGGGGCCACAATGGGCGATCAAAGTTTTGCATAGGAATATATAGGAAAAATCTTTAAAAATCTTCTTCTCAAGAACAACAAAGCCATCATTGGTCATATTTATATGGTAGCATCCTCAGGTAGTGTAGATTCAAGTTTGTTCAACTCATGACCCCCGTCAGGGTCGGGTGGGACCACAATGGGCGATCAAAGTTTTACATAGGAATATATAGGAAAAATCTTTAAAAATCTTCTTCTCAAGAACAGCAAAGTCATGATTGGTCATATTTACATGGAAGCATCTTCAGATAGTGTACATTCAAATTTGTTCAACTCATGACCCCCGGGGGTCGGGTGGGGCCACAATGGGCGATGAAAGTTTTACATAGGAACACATAGTAAAAATCTTCTTCTCAAGAACAGCAAAGCCATGATTGGTCATATTTATATGGTAGCATCCTCAGATAGTGTACATTCAAATTTGTTCAAATCATGACCCCCGGGGGTCGGGTGGGACCACAATGGGCGATCAAAGTTTTACATAGGAACACATAGTAAAAATGCTAAAAAAAAAAAAAAAAAAAAAATTTGTTAAGAATAGCAAAGCCATGATTGGTCATATTTATATGGTAGCCTCCTCAGATAGTCTACATACAAATTTGTTCGAATCATGACCCCCCGGGGGTCGGGTGGGACCACAATGGGCGATCAAAGTTTTACATTGGAACACATAGTAAAAATCTTTAAACAAAACAATTTGTTAAGAATAGCAAAGCCATGATTGGTCATACTTATATGGAAGCATTCTTAGATAGTGTACATTCAAGTTTGTTCAAACATGACCCCTGGGGGTCGGGTGGGGCCACAATTGGTGATCAAAGTTTTACATAGGAATACATAGGTTAAATCTTTAAAAATCTTCTACTCAAGAACAGCAAAGCCATGATTGGTCATATTTAAATGGAAGCATCCTCAGATAATGTAGATTCAAATTTGTTCAATTCATGACACCCCCCCCCCCCTCAACCACTTTTATATTTAAACTTTTCAACCTTTCAAGATTGAAGTGATTTCTGCTTTTTCCTAGCCATAGTGCTCAGGTGAGCGATGTGGCCCCTGGGCCTCTTGTTTTTGCTCTGGTGATTTCACCATATATGATTTTTTTTAGTTCACAATCAAATTAATAATAATTTATATTGAATATTATAATTATATAAACATAATATTTTGAAACATTGATTAATATATATATTAGTTCAAACAGAGTATACCCTTTCTGTGAAGCAAAGGAAAGTATTTTTTTTTCACACCACAGTTTAATTCCATAACAGTGATTTAGATGTAAATATTTGATGATATTAACATGTAAAACAATCAAAATATGTATTACCGGGACACTTACTTTTTATAAATGTTTATAATTTTTTTAGCATGACATGTTACTATTTATAATAACTAGGGGTGTAACCATACTGCTAAAGCCTATCATGGTATATCATGATACATTGCGACTGTATCAGGATACGTATTGCGATATTTCACCTTTCATAATTTTTTTTTATATAATTTGTGTGTCTCTGTTCTGAAACAAGAAATTCTCTATCATAATGTGAAAAGACCAAAGCTGTAGATTACTTTATCAGTTAACAAATATATTATAAAACATTTAGTAAGCTCTGAACACAATGAAACTGCATATTAATTAAATAAAGAAAATAATTCTTAAAAAGTAGAATAAATTCATTAAATTGCTTAAATTGTTATACATTTCGATTCACAGGTATATGGTTTTTGCATGGTACGGTACAATTTTTTTTTGTGTATTGCTATATACCAGTATATCATTACACCCCTGTTAATAAGTGTAGTTATTATATATTCATGTAATATGTGTATTTATACAGATATATATGTATATACTCCAATGCTCAAGCATTCCAAAAAAATCAAGTGTGATTATTATTATGATTTTATTATACATCATTGAATGTTGGGGGGGGGGGGGGGGGGGATTGAAATTATTTTGTTTGATGATCTCTAAGATAATATACCCAACATCTGACAATGAGAAGTAGATTCTATTAGAACTGTTAAACTGTAAAATGCTACCTCTCTTATAGGTTTTTTTTGGTTTCAAATAAAACCCAGTACATTATAGAGTGAAAATTTTTTGATACATTATGCATTTAATGTCTGAACGACTGTTGACATAGTTCTGATGAGTTGAGTATGTTTCTTAATTACTTTAAAAGTGATTTATGACCACAACAACATGAACTTCAGACATTACATTTAATAAATTTTTGTCATTTATTTTTAATCAAAATATACAATGTTGCATTGAAAATACACTTACACGTATCCTTATTATGTTTAACGTACACCAAAGAAAAAAAAAATTCGTTTTTTTTAATGAGTTATTATATTTTTTACTCAGTATAGCATGACAATCAGTATTTAATCAGTTGTTATTGCAAATAAAACTTAAAAAAAAAAAAAATTCTGTGTTACTTTCATTCTACAGAGTCATGTTTTTATTTAGGTATCAAACCAAAAAAAAAATCAAGATCTGCATTTTCTGAGAAAGCAATTCTGTAATTCCACATTTCCAGCATGACATCTTGTGACGTCATGACAAGTTCGTCTGCGCGTTCTTTGACCAGTTCCACAGCTTTTACTGCAAAGACTCCATATTGACCATGGTCCATATCCTGTCAAATAAAAAAAAAGAATCCTTGAACTGAAAAAAATATAATTAATTGATCATACGATATTTACCTCTGGCTGGAATAAGTTACCTCCGTTAGGATCAAAGTCATCCTCTTCAAACACAATGCTGTCACGTTTTTGTCGGTAAAATGTATTTACCAGAACATCCTTCTTTGTGGTGTTTGAAAAATACTGTTTATTTTTCCCAGCCATGGAATTTTTCTCCTGTTGATTAGAAAGAATTCTGAAATCCTAAATCCATAAAACCATGAAAACTGTTTTATTTCTTTAAAAAAACATTGGACAAAAGATTCTGATTTATATAAATTTCAAACTATTCCGAAATTGAACTTATTTGTCTTCTGGATCAATCAGTAACAGACCCGTAGGAAGCAATTTCAGTTTGTTTGTTTTTTTTTTTGGGGGGGGGGGGGGGCACAGCCATACATTTTCAGTTTTGGGGGGGGGGGGGCACTATCAACTACCAAAAATTCCTTGACAAACAAAAAAAAGTCATCAGAAGTTTTTTATTGAGGGGGCACAAGCATGTATAGTAGCTGTTTTCTATAGTAATCTATATGTCGGCAAAATTATTGCCGCCCCCCCCCCTCCGGTTCCTACGGCCATGAGTAACATTGCTTAATAGCGTAGATGAGGTGAATTAAAAATGAACTTTAGACTAGAATTTCTATCTGATGTTCTCTCAGACGCCCGTGTCAAATAGTTGTTTTGACCGTAACAGATTGAAATGACGTAAGCTGCATATTTCCAGTCTTGCCAGTTAATGTTCCGCGGTCTTAATTCAGGGAATTCATATGATCTCCTGCTTAGGGACAAAGTAAGAGGTGGAAGACTTACAAAATGCAGATGGAGAAAGAAAAGAACAATTGACCTTGACTTTCACCTTTCATACTTTAAATCAAAAAGTTTTTTCTTCCTGTTAGAGAGAAGCTCAAAGAGAACTAGTTATCATCTGAAAACTTCTTCATAGTATATATAATTTTTGACCATGGCCTTTGACCTTTTGACCTAAAAATCAAAATGGTTCTTCTTTAACTCACAGGGAATTGTAATAAAAAAGATCAAAAAGCTAAACTTATCAGCTGGAAGCCATTTTATGAAATGTTAAGTTAACAAACAGTGATCATGCTCAAAAGTCCATGTAAACAACACATATTGAGAGCAAAGCCAATATAGACCTCTGAAAAACAGAAGTAGGATCAGGCTTGGAGGAGTTGCAATAAATGAATTTCATTGCAAGAGATGAACTTAAGTTACGAAACAATACAAATCGAAAGCAGAGCAAACACGGACCTATAAAAACATCAGAGGTTGGATCATGTGCCATGGAGGAGTTAGCATCCCCTACCGACCGGTCACAACCCGTCGTTTTCTAATCGGGAAAACGGAAAAATCCGTAGACAATTCAGTTGTAAATAATGATCTAACAATCATTATGAAAAGCGTCAGTCAGTATTCAAGTTAATGATATATAGATTGTATTTGCTGACAAGGTCATTGTATTGACCATAGAACTTGTGAAATGATGACTTTAAACAATACTGTTGATATTCATGTTTCATCAACTTGTTTGTCAATAGCTTGCCTCCTTTTAGAAATTGTTTGTACGTAGAGCATGCTCTTGCGTATCGAATCAACTGGGAGGTATAAAATTATACTTGATTGACCGTTAAGGTCCTTGGGCCTCTTGTTTATTTATTTCTTTTATTTTTTTTTTTTTGAAGGTTAAGAAAATTTCTCTGCTCGGAGAAATTTCAGAAAATTGTTGATTGATAGAGAGAGTAGGCTTTTTCGTGGAAAAAAGGAGGAGGAACATTTTTGATTTATAATGTCTTCTCTGGACTACATGTAGTCATAAAATATACTACTAGTATTAAGCTCCCTCTCTCTCTCCCTCTCTCTCTCTCTCTCTCACACACACACACACACACACACACACACACACACACACCCTCACACACATACTTACACCACCTTCCTTGGTGTATATTTCAGATATCATCAATACAAATACATACGCTGTAAAAAGGCAAACTTTAACATTTTTCTGAAAGAAAAAAAACCAAAATGTTTTCAACAAGATAATTTTTTTTTCATTTAAGAATAATATTTACTTCAATTCTTTCTGGGCACTAAAGCACATTATCGCACAAAAATGTGTTGTAAGCCATAGACATGTATGTATACACTGTGTATTAAACATCACAAAATACAAATGTATCAAACTGTTGCAAGGTTTTGTTTTTCTCTCTCTCTCTCTCTCTCTCTCTCTCTCTCTATTTGTTTTTGCTCATTTTCAGCATAATATAAAGGAATAATGTATTTTTGATGCTCGTTTATATTGATACTTTGTCGTTATACATGAATGCTATCATTATAATGTTAATACTTAATCAGTATCATAAGTTGCTGACACGTTGACATAATATGTTGCTCAATTCTTTTTTCATTAACTTTTGTTAATGTTTCATTATACAACGTCAGTTCAACATGGTTGTTAGAGATTTATTGTTCGTTTTGAACTAGCCATTATTTTAATAAATTGGAATAAAACTTTATAGAGATGCAATACTCACTCAGTAAGTTGACTAACTGTTGTCCCATTGAGGAGGAAATTACAAAAAAAAAAAAAAAAATTATGCAATAATCTTGAAAGTGAAGAAGGCCATTAAAGCAATATGAACTACAACTTTGATGTCGGAAATTTTTGTTGTATAATTATAATTAACTATTTCAATGACAAAAAAGAAAACATTTATAAACTTCTTTTGTTCTTATTCGCGATGGAAGAACTATTTATAAGCTTTGATTGAAGCAAAATTACAATATTGTCGTACTATAAAATATTGATTTCTTATATAATACTATACGTACATTTCATTTTACAGAAGTCTTTCTTCTGAAACAATTTAATACTTAATTTAGTCTTATTGATCTAAAAGGTGTAAATTACATACAAATTTATCATAATAACACATTTTAACAGCAAAATAAAATTCTCAAAAAAGCAGCTCATATTGCTTTAAATATAGGGTTGGGGACATACCCTTGATCCAAGTTTGAGATTCTTATGGTTTTTATCCCCCCCCCCTCTTGTTTTCGAGATATGTCATATTTTAGACACGTAGTGTCGGGTGGTGGGTGGGGGTTATGGGGGGACATAGCCCTGGTCCAAGTTTGAGTAGATTCTGATGATTTTAAACCCCCCCCCCGTTTGTGATATATGTTATATTCTATTCTATGTGTTACATGTTATGTATGTTATATTGCAGGCATTTTCCAAACATAACCTTTCACTGTTGATAACGTTTATTGAAAGGCTGCCCCCCTCCCCCACTTTTTGTTGCATTATAGCCACGGTCAAATGAGGGTAATATGGCAATGTTTGAATAAAATTTGGTTGTGCAAGAAATTTGAAAATTTGAACTTAAACCAACTCCCACCCCCACGAAATAGGATTTTCGAGTTTGGACATTTCCCCCTCCCTCCCTTTTTCTTTACTGGTAACCTGTCCCCCTCCCCTTTCAAAAACTATACTTTTATGTTTGTAGGATTATCTTACCTTAGCCATCAAGTCTCTAAAAAAATAACTTATACGATTTTTTTTCATGGCTTGGTTCCCCTATTTATATATAATAGGTAAGAAGTCGGATGTGATTTGGAAAAGCTATACAATCGGGATTAATTAGGTTCACATTAATTTTCTAATATTAATCTACAATGCTTATTTCCGGTTCAGTCGGCTTCAACTAGCAGACGACTTTGCAGATGTTGGACAAAGTCTAAGAATTACAGTAATGTTCTGGTCAGTTTGTTGTGAATTAGAACCGTTATCACTCTGCATTTATTTGTTGTAATGTTAGAGTGTACATTTTATATTCGACCTTCAAAAGAGGCTTAAACCGTTACAAGACTGGGGGAGTAAGACCTATTTTAAGAATTGTCTTTAAAGACAAATTGAAGAATGGTCTTTAAAACAAAATAGATGATCACATACTTCGATTCAATACATAATTAAGGAATGCTTTAGTTAAAAGAGAAGTGTGAAGAATACTGTAAGACTACGGTATAGGCCTAATCTATTTGTGATATGATCTTCATTTTTTCAATCTGCATCAACATATTTTAAACAAAAATAAGTTATAAGGGATGCAATATAATTCATTTTCTTTGACTTGCTTTACAAATTGGTCAGTACCTACCATTTCGACTCTCGGAAGTTTTACATTCGAATAAAGGATGAAGATTATTTTCGACGAATCCTGATAAAATATGTTTAGATCCTCCCCTGGCATTGAGTAAAATATTTATTAATGGCGGAAGAATATCAGAAGAGAAAATATAGTCCATGCTAATTAATGAGGTTCGTTTTCTCAAAATACGAACTCAAATCATTTTATATGAAACAAAACATCTTTTACATATCTACTGGGTTTATCATGGGTACATTCTGAAAAACAGTTATACGTAGAAATTAGAACACGAACTACTTTTCTATAGAAGGTAATTCAGTGAAAATGGAGGAATAGGCACCAAAATGATGGATACATTTTGGCAGTCGGCGAAAGCAACAGGCTAAAAAATGGAGGATTCGTTTCGGAAATCTGGATTACTCCATTCTTGTGTGAACTGATGTAGGGCGAAATTTTACGCCTTGGAAAGATAATGGCTTGGAATTTTATTCACATCTCTGTAATATATGTGTTGTGTTATGGTAAGGTCTTATTTATCAAAATAAATGTTAATTTACATCAACAATTGACATTTTAATTATAACTCACAGGCAGATTTTTTCATCTTGTCACATTATTTATTGCTTGCTTACCAATTATCGTATTTTGAAAGACATGACAGTTCCTTTGATCTTTTTACATACATTGGTGTACAAGATTTTGCAGTTTTGTTGGCGGATCTGATTTCAGCTCATCTTCACAAGTAGTTAATGCAATTCATCGTTGCATAATGTTCCAATTTAAATTGAGAAATTTAAATTAAAAAATTAGACGACAGGACCCCAGTGTGTGTGATAGTTCACCTTTTACATGTACTTCATACATGGGTCTAGTATAAATTAAGAATATATGCAAGTCACCTGGGAGGGTATTGAAGCAGAATATATTACAGCTGCATGCCTGTAGTGTTTATTTGATAGCCAAATAGAAACTTCAAAGGTCTTTATTTAGGTCTATAAATTCTTTCTACAAACCTGTACTTTGCAGTGTACATGAAACGGCTAACCTAATATTTTGTATAGAAGTTGGTATTGATCAATATTTCGAGGTGTAACTTTATTTTGCGTTTCCAAACATTGATCAATCTGTTAGCAGTGTGTAATTTCCCTTTAATTGCCGATTTCATTCAGTATCAAAAACAATTTTAAAAGGCACACTATTTACTTTTGTCATGAAGAGAAAATGCAGTAGCACAAAACTTGTTTTGTAAAGGAGAAAATGATATATTGATCTATTAGTAGTATTTACATTTCATTTACATTTCTGGCTATTATCCTGTATGTATAATTCATCGATTTATATACTAAGATAAATTCCAGATTTTCCATTGCAGTTTTGAGTTGCTGATCTGTTGCATGTAGAAATATATATAAATTTTATATATTGTAAGGAAAACACTTCTCTCTTCTTATTCATAGTAATAACACCATTAATAGCATTCATGTCAGACTTTACATTAGATTAAAGTTATAGGAAGAGAATGCTTGTAAATGAATAATTTGATCTTTATTTCTGCCAAAGTTTTACATGAATGAATTATCAGAAAAGCAGCTGTGCAGTGTACAGCTGGTGTATTAAAGAATTTTTTTTTTAAACCAAGTTTGGAGAAAATATCCAGTCATAAAGATTACTAATTTACTTCAAATGACATGACATGCCATACTAAGTTACTGATATTTTAACGTAGAACCTACGTCGTATGACGTCATATCAAGTAAATGAGTTTAGACCGTCTTTTTTGGTGCTAGATCCACTATGATGTCATAATTAATTTAATGTTACTTTTTCCCCATACTTTCTCCAAGACTGTCTCATGTAATGAAGTTATACACAACTGTGATAATGTGAATGGCATGTAACTATTTTGAAGGCAATCAGAAATCCCAAGAAATCTAAATAGTACAATATCTTGATGAAATGTGTCTGAGTCAAAGATCTGTTCAAAAATTGTGTGTAAATTTTGTAATGTCTATCATGAAATGATGTGCATTCCCTTTCATAATTATTTGTTAACTATATATTCATAATGGTTGGTGTATAATAATAATGTTTCCCTAAATTATTATCTTTTTGAATTAAAAAAAATACATTTTTTGGTTAAATATTCATTGTTAATCTGAACATAACCCCAAAACGGTCATTAAATAATTAAATCCTGTGTAAGTGCAAAAAGGTCAACAAAAGAAGCATTGATAAATAGTGCCTCTCATTCATTTGCGGCGAAAGGTATATATTTTAATCACTTTTTGTAATTAATTGGGTATGATCTTCATCATATTAAAGATTGAAAACATTCTGACAAAGACTTTTGAAAAATATTTACAAATTTAGGTGGTAAATTGACTCAAAAAATATTGAGCACATTTGCCTATATTCGTTGAAATGTGGACTTAATCTTTTATGTCAATTGAATAAAACAGAATTTATTCTTGAATAATATTGCTTAATACGGTTCAGTTAATAAAGTCTATAAACGATGATGTTTGAAGAAGTATTGTTGTGATTTTCTATATTCTCTTTACGACCAGGCCCCAGGATCATGAAACGTCTTAAGCTTAAGTCAAATTTTTAGTACTGTGCTAAAATGTTGTAGAAGTCAAACAGACCAAAATCAAAATATTCTTCTATATTGCTTCACAAAAGTGTTGTCATCTGCAAATTTAGAGATTAATTCAATAATTAATCAACAATTTACAGACGATTGAAAATTTGACTTAAGTCTAAGTCTGTTTCATGATCCTGGGGCCAGTACCTCTAAAAATGGATTTGATAAGCAAGTGCTAATATATCATTTTAAAAAGTTTGAAAATCTTGTGACAAAGACTTTTCCGACATAGGTTCTACCTTATGTTTTTTAAAATCTGCAATTTGAACCTTCAAATATTTTACTTTTAAAGTTCTGTGTTTTTGTTAGTTCACCTATACCAAGGATGAAAAATATAGACCTATTGGAAAAATTCTAGTGTACTTAACTTTATGATTCTGATTAAGGACCCTCTATACACCGATACAAAATGTTTTTTGGACTTTGAGAAAATTATATAGCATAAAGGAGTACATATTAAAATTATCTAATTCATGTTTAACATGGGGCGCATGCTTTTTTTATCCAGGAAAAATCTTCAAAGACAACAACGTACTCATGTTTACTTACTCAAATGGGGAAAATACATGCCAAAAAAGTTTTCAATTACTCTTTCTTGCTCTAATATAATGTTTAGAATACTTGAATTAATTAAAATTATGTAATACTGAGGAGATTGCAAATTTATTCTATTTTATATCAAATGGTGGATCAGTCTAACTACACAAAAGTACCCTGATATTAGTGTGAAGTGTGTAGAGGGTCCTTAAAATGAAAAACTAAGCAAATACTGACAACCAGAAAGATTCCTTCTTGCTTTTGTATGAAATTGTCATAAGTCTTGTTATAAAAGATTATCCCATGAATATAAAGGAAGGCTTTCATTATCTTTGGATGTTTGGGGTTCATATACAGGTAGCTGAAGTTTCAGAGTCGATTAGTTTAAAGTTCTTTTTTTCTGCCTGCACCAGATACTAATACAGACAGGTAAAAGCACAAAATATTAGGGCCCAATGAAACTTTTAAAATGAAATCTAAAGACGGTAAGTAATTTATGAATATATTTTCTGTTTTTATTTGCAGGACTTTCCTTAGGTTTAGAAATTTACTTCAGTGATCCAAATGATGGATATTTCCTGAAAACAATATATCATAAAAAACAGTCTTGGGATCCTTTGACTCGGAAGGAGGATTTTATAGTCACTAGGCCCTCTGAGGGTTATGTATTAGGAGTGAGGAGTGGTCCTTATGAAAAGGAGCAAGTGATTCCTCAGGACATATCCAGCATCTACCCAAACCTTGACCATGTAGACAAACCGATACATCATGGCACTGTGTTTGGAATGGATGTTTCAGCAAAAGTGGTCACAAACAGCCTTTCTCCAAAATATCCCAGACTTCAAGTTCTGATTCATGCCAGTCCTCACATAAACAGCAAGAAGTGGGACCACCCTGCCAAAGAAATAGATTCCTCTTACCTCGCAGTTGATGGGCTCTGTGGTCATGTGTTTGTCCGACATGAAAAAGAGGAACTGTCCTCAATTTGTGTTCTCGGGACAGGTGACAGTGCTTGTGTCAATGGTATAATGTTTCCCACATCATGGTGGCATGAAAACTCTACAGTGCAAGTGTACTATGCATTTTCACAGAAGGGGGAAAACCAGGAGTGTGCCAGTGCATCAAACTCTATCGTGCCAGGAAGGCTGTTTGAGAAACCTGTTATAAGCAGTAGGAGGTTTCTAGCAGACATTGTGTTGTCTAAAGATGTGAAAGGTTTTCACAGGGAGAGAGAGGAGGATATATTGATTGATGTTCCAACCAGTGCATTTGATCCAGGCACAGTTTTTGAAGTCCCAGTGAAATTTGAGGCAGGGTCTGACATGAGAAATCTTGTGATGAGGTAAAACATGTTTTCAGACACTTGTTGAAAAATTAAGCATCAAGATTTCGATCTGTAAATGGTGTTTTATGCTGCAAGTTTGCTGGATACTTGCAGATACTTGCAGATGAATAGAAAATCTATTTCCACTCTTGCAAATGCATACTGACATTTCAATATTGTGTCATTGAATGGATAGGTAAATGATTGCAAATTCCATAGGGGCCACAATCAACAATATTGGAAGGTGTCATTCAATAATTTAATGACCTGTTAAATTTTATTATGCAGTGCTAGAGTGAGACAGGGATTAATGATTATTGGAGCAGAGGCAGATCAAAACAGTCCATGGCAAGTTCACGTGGACATTGATGAAAATGAGAAGACAGCCACTGTAACAGCTTATCTTAAAGATCCACTGAACTACAGAGTTTCCAACGTGTAAGAAAAACATTTTAAAAATGCAAGAAGTATATTCACAGTGTTAATACCCTGCAAATGATTTATTTTTGGGAGGATATACTACACTCTGTGTAATTTTTCAAAGGTAGGATTTTTTAAAAGTTGTGGAGG